TCTCTGCAATTAGACTGTATTCTGACCCACCTTGTCAATCCATTTCTGTAATCAGACTGTATGCTGACCCACCCTATCAATCTATATCTGCAATCAGACTGTATTCTGACCCACCATGTCAATCTATTTCTGTTATCAGGCTGTATGTTGACCCACCCTATCAATCTATATCTGCAATCAGACTGTATAGTGTACAGGGTGGTCCAAAAAAAGTGAACCCCTGCAACTGGCCATATTTCCCTTATTACTTGCAGGAATTCTTTTTTATTTTCACATGTTGTAGAGGAAGGTCTAAAATTTATGTTGGTACCATACATTTTTCTTAGTCTTGAAATTTGCAGAAATTATTAGCCCTAACCAAACATTACTGAAAATGGACAAATTGTGATTTTCAATATCCGCGATTCTTCAACCCTTTAACACCTTTCCCCTGAGAATTTTTTTAAGCTGCAGTCTTAATGAACTAATATTTTCTGACTTTGTTCAATTTTAAATCCTGCACATTATGGCTTAAAACTAACATCCTACATTTGTTAGTTGCAAAGTTATTGTGATCCAAAGAGATGTGCTAAGCTTCCACAGACGAAAACATTTTCCAGTGAAATCATGAACATACCCCAATATGATCTTGAAATGTCAATATCTTCATAAATCATGGACCAATTCTAATGATTTATGGCTCAAAACATTGAATATTGGATTTTCCTTTGATTTTTAAAGATATTTGATGAAGGGGTTATCAGCTATGCCTGGTCACAGGGGGCAACTTCCTTCCATAAGAGGCCCCCCTCTAACTGTTGGTGTAGGTAACATACCCTTGAACTGTTGAACAATTAAAAATGCTTCAAAATGATCAATGAAAGTGTGAAATGTGTTTCCTGCTTTGATAGTGTCCCTTTTGTCATATGGTAGGGTTTTCAACTTGTATCTCTTACTGAAAGCTGTTTAAGATCATCCAATGTGTTTCAACAATTTCCGTGAATCACATTTGTAAAATTTTGTACAATATCTAATTTCCAGGCATGTTTGTTAAACGCTTGTAATTTCTTCAAAATTTAAGACTGAGAATAAATTATGGCATCAACTAAAATGTTAGACCTTTCTCTACAACATGTGATAATATGAGCCAATTCATGCATGTATTAAGAAAAATGTAGCATTTTGCAGGGGTTCACTTTTTTTGGACCACCCTGTATACTAAGACACCCTGCCGTGCCAATCTATCTCTGTAATGAGACTGTATTTTGAACCACACTGTCAATCTATTTCTGTGATCAGACTGTATTCTGACCCACCATGTCAATCTATTTCTGTGATCAGACTGTATTCTGACCCACCATGTCAATCTATTTCTGCTATCAGACTGTATTCTGACCCACCATGTCAATCTATTTCTGTGATCAGACTGTATTCTGACCCACCATGTCAATCTATTTCTGCTATCAGACTGTATTCTGACCCACCATGTCAATCTATTTCTGTTATCAGGCTGTATGTTGACCCACCCTATCAATCTATATCTACAATCAGGCTGTATAGTGTAAGACACCCTGCCGTGCCAATCTATCTCTGTAATCAGACTGTATTCTGACCCACCATGTCAATCTATTTCTGCTATCAGACTGTATGTTGACCATTCCTATCAATCTATCTCTGCGATTAGACTGTATTCTACCCCCCCCCCCCCCCATGTCAATCTATTTCTGCGATCAGACTGTATTCTGACCCACCATGTCAATCTATTTCTGTTATCAGGCTGTATTCTGACACACTCTGTCAATATATCTGTAATCAGACTGTATGTTGGCCAACCCTGCCAATCAATCTCTGTAATCAGACTGTATTCTGACCCATCCTGTCATTCTATCTCTGTGATCAGACTGTATTCTGACCCATCCTGTCATCTATCTCTGTAATCAGACTGTATACTAACCCACCCTGCCAATCTATCTCTGTAATCTGACTGTATTCTGACCCACCTAGCCAATCTATCTCTGTTATCAGACTGTATTCTGACCCACCTGTTAATCTATCTCTGCGATTAGACGGTATTCTGACCCGCCATGTCAATCTATTTCTGTGATCCGACTGTATTCTGACCCACCATGTCATTCTATCTCTGTGATCAGACTGTATTCTGACACACTCTGTCAATATATCTGTAATCAGACTGTATGTTGGCCAACCCTGCCAATCAATCTCTGTAATCAGACTGTATTCTGACCCATCCTGTCATTCTATCTCTGTGATCAGACTGTATTCTGACCCATCCTGTCAATCTATCTCTGTAATCAGACTGTATACTAACCCACCCTGCCAATCTATCTCTGTAATCTGACTGTATTCTGACCCACTCTGTCAATATCTCTAAAATCAGACTGTATGTTGACCCATCCTGTCAGTCTATTTCTGTAATCAGACTATACTGACCCATCCTGTCGATCTAGTTCTGTAGTAAGACTGTTTTCTGACCCACACTGCCGATCTATCTCTGTAATCAGAGTGTTTACTAACCCACCCTATCAATCACTCTCAACAATCAGACTGTATATTAACCCAACCTGTCAATCTTTCTCTGCAATCGGGCTGTATGCTGACCCACCCTGTCAATCTTTATCTGTAATCAGGCTGTATGTTGACCCACTCTGTCAACCTTTATTTGTAATCAGGCTGTATGTTGACCCACACTGTCAATCTATCTCTGCAATCAGACTGTATACTAACACACCCTGCCAATCTTTCTCTGTAATCTGACTGTATTCTGACACACTCTGTCAATATCCCTAAAATCAGACTGTATGTTGACCCACACTGTCAATCTATCCCTGCAATCAGACTGTATGCTAACACACCCTGTCAATATTTATCTGTAATAATATATATCGTATATCTACCCACTAGCAGATCAAGAAGCCAACAAGGAAAGGGGGGTAAATTTAAAATCAGAAAATATTAGGATCCAATATCCAAAAATGGGCCCCCTCCCTGGATCTTCCAGTGTAACCCACCCTGTCAATAGATAACTGTAATCAGGCTGTATGTTGACCGACCCTGTCAATCTATCTCTGCAATCAGACTTTTCTGACCCACCCTGTGAATCTATCTCTGCTGTCAGACTGTACATTGATCCTCCTTGTCAATCTACAGGGTGTCAAATAAGTCTGTTCTCCCCCCTTATTTTTTTTATCTTTAAATTTATCATACTTTCCCATATATCATTCTGAAGCTCGTGGAAAATGCTGATCACCCTCAAAAAATCAATCATAAACTCCTCCTAATGAAATTGCTACAATGTTTCTTGTAAGGTTGTAGTTGACCTTTGCTTACTCAAAACAAGTAAAACTACCAGGTAATAGTGAATGAAAAGTGTAAAGTTGATACTGCCGTGACAATGCCAACATTGGGTGATTTCGATGTTTCTCAATATCGTTACAGAGTAAAATGTGTTACATTTAGGGAACCCTTTAAAGTAGGGGCATCTTTCATCACAAAATAGTTGATAACACCTAAAATTAAACATTCTGAATGATTCATACAGGATCATATCCTCGTAGAATTGAGGCCATCCGGGCTGCTGGGGGAGACATAAAAAAGACTATTAAAAAAGTGAAATATGGACATCACTAAAGATACTACAAAAAATTGGGAATTTAACCAATCACTCTGAGATGTGGTGTGTGATCAGCAAATTAAATTCCCTTTAAGATGATATATACCAACCCTATGTTATCTCTGAAGTAAAAATGTTAAGGGGGGAGAACAGACTTATTTGACGCCCTGTATATCTGTAATCAGACAGCACATTGACCCACACTGTCAAGCTACATCTGTTCTTTCAACCTATATCTATAAATAATCAGACTGTATTTTGACCCACCCTGTCAACCTATATCTGTAATCAGACTGTATTCTGACCCACCCTGTCGATCTATCTTTGTAATAAGACTGTATATTATAATACTTACCCGCCCTGTCAATATATATCTGCAATCAGACTGTATACTAACCCACTCTAACAATCTATCTTTGTAATCAGACTGTATGCTAACCCACCCTGTCAACCTATATCTGTATTTAGGCTGTATGTTGACCCACCCTGTCAACCTATATCTGTAATTAGACTACAGTAAAACCTGTCTAATCCGAACGCCATTGGGACCGGCTTAAAGCGTTCAGATTAGGAGGTGTTCACATTTCGAGGTTTTTGCATTGGCAAGATTCCAGATTCTGAACAAATGTGAACACATTCTCGGTACATATTTATAGTTCATTTGACCACATAGCTAGCTTTATGGCATTTCAGAAATTTGAAAATTCGAAAATTCGATTCGAATGAATCTAGTCATGCTGGAAAGACCTATTATAATCAAGACCATTCAGGTTTTTTCCCCAAAGTTTTGATATCATAACAATATTTGAGCAATTTTGAATGAAACATGTGAAATTTTATGAAAAGTGTTCAGTTTAGACAGGTTAATTTTTCAAATATGACTGTCCACTGTTCAAATTGAGAGGTGTTCACATTTCAATTTTTAACATGGGAGTCAATGGGACGAAAAAATGGGACCGAAAAAGTGTTCAGATTGGGAGGTGTTCGAGGTGTTCAGATATACAGGTTCTACTGTATATATTGAATTACCCTATTAGCCGATTTATAAATTCAGACCTATCCATTTTTACCCATTATATTACACTAATTAGACTCCCCTCACTGCCTGCATCCTGAACCAACTTATCAATCTACCTTGACTTGACTGAATTTAAGCATTCTTTCAATCTGTTTCTTGATGCCAAAAAAAGTTTATGCTTTTTAGTTCAGTTTTGTTTCTTTGATATAGCTCTTGGCTTTTGAATTGTCGGTTTTGGTCTGGTTACGGTTTGTAGTATTCATGGTGTACTGGTGTTAGCCATGGGCTTGTATGGCAGAGAAAGGGTGTAACCCCAATTTTCGATATAACATAGGTTTTCACAAAGAAGAAAATGACCATCTTAATACTTACATCGTTTGAGTTCTATCTGATACAATTTTGGTCTTTCCAGTTTAACTAGATGTATCCTGACTCTTCCTGCCTCTCTCTACATTTTTGATTGATTAATGATTATTCAAATTGAATACATTCAACAAATCAATTTTATTTTCCACGTTTTGTTGCTGTTTTCTTGTCTAGTGTGTCACTGTTTTCGTTTCAAATGTAATTCCATCTAAGTGTTCTTGCAGCTTGGTTACCCATGTGTATATCTTAGCGTCATGCCTGGCTTAATGTTCAAAGTTTAAAGCACGATGGTAGACGCCTGTCAATGTTATCAAAAGCTTGGAACTTTCCTGCTAAACGATGAACTCTCTAAATGTAGCTCCAAAACTAAAAATGTTTTCAAAATGGATGCTTCTTCGGTTGTGCAAGTGTAGTCTAAGTATGCTCTCTCTGTTCTCTGTAGTTTTATTCCCGATGAAGAACTAAGCCAGTAACTTTAGCTCCAACACCTCTACGTATATATGTCCCAGTCTAATGCAGGCTATGTGCTTAGAGAGTAAGCTAACATAGGCAGTGTAAAGTCAATTTGAGTGGATAAATATTTGCTCAGGACTAGAAGAGTAATATATGCATATGCACTCCTGGTATAATGACACCCTAGGGTGAAAACAAAGCCTGATGGGGTTATATTACTTGTTTCGATTATATAGGATTAACAGGCCACTATCTTGTAATTAGTATTCCTTAGATGGTGTGAGGTACTGAGGTATGCTAAACTTGGCCTTTTTTACTTTGCCTCGGGCATATAATAAGACTTCACACAAGCTTCTCAGGCCAAGCCAAAGATATATGGTTTGTATATATGCAAACAAAGATAAACCCCGGAGAAAACACTCGAGGAAATGGAATAAAAGAATTGTTGATATATTCTCTTTTAGTAAATATTGATCTACAAACAATCTTTAAATCGTTTATTTGTTTCAATAGGTATTACTCCACAACGTTGCCCATACTTATGAAACCATGTTAGCTTTCAAAATGGTGCCAAACCATAGCTTTATTCGCCAGATTGTCAAACCTTTACTCTTGCCTCAAGACTGTGGATCTGACTCCTATCTAAACATCACAAGTTGTAAAAGTAGATAGTCCAAAGGGCCTTGAAGCAAGACTAGCCAATGTTATCTTAAATTCGAGATGACACAAATGGAAACACGGATATACTAGTGATATAAAGCAGCCTATCGATGCCAAAACAAATTGTCTAAAACACAAGCGGTGTCACAAAAAACGCAGTGACGCAGTCTTAATTCTTAATTCTTGATTTTAAACGCAGCTCTTGTACTTTATATATTCTCCCGAGATGAACCCTTATACTGTATATAATAATATGGGCTTTCAACAGACTCTTGAAAGCCCAAAACCATTTTAGAGCAATTATTTTAATTATGTACAAATTGGAATTCCTATTATATTTCTAAACCAGAAGCTCTTATATATTTTAATCAACGGAGTGAGCCGCGAGATTTTTTTAATAAAACAAACAAACTTTAATCATCGTATAATATGCTACCTGTACCATAGTCTCGCGCTCGGGTTTGCTAAAATATCGGGTGAAATATACCCTTTTAAAGAACTTGACTTCGAACCTCTAAAGAAGCGCATCTTCAGATAAAACGCTGCGTGTGTCTTTTTTATACCGTTAGTCTGGTTAATGCAATTTTTTACAGAATTTCTTTGATATATTTTCTTTCGAAGTCTGTTCGGTACAGAGTTTATTAGGTGCAGAATTAGTGCAGTCTAATCTAACCCATTAGATGATGCTATTTGGTGTTATATTTGTTGTAACGTGTCACTTTATCTTTTTATGGGTACAGAAATTGTCTAAAATCATCATGTTTTATCTGAACGGGAAGCGTTACTTATTTCATAACAAAAACAACATCAGGGAACTGGAGGGGAAGCATTAGAATTGAATCCGTTTGGGTAACAAAATGGCGACGGAATATTTGACTTATACAAATAAGCGTATCGACATGTTGTAACCGAAACGGAGTTGTCATAATTTTCTGTTCTTTAGCAAAGACTGGGTGTACGTTAAAAGCCATGCTTCCTATTTGCAACTTAATGGAACGTTTTGCATCAACTAAGTAAACTGAAGAAAGGTGGTTTATATCGCATTTCATTTGTACCAATGTAATTGTGCTCTGTAACAATTGGGACATTATAAGCCGTGATATATATTTTACAGATCTACCATCACCTTGCCATACGTTTGGTAATTGAAAGCAACACGCAACACTTTCATGACTTAAATAACGTAAGTAATTGATGTAATGTGATACCAGCTGTAACGTAAAACACGTCCAGGACGTATTTTATCATCATTTGTTTATAGACATAAGAGGGAACGTGCAACACGTTTATGTCATGATCATCGTTTGCTTCTACACATAAAAGGAATATGCAGCATCTCCATAACTAGTTACTCGTGGTTTGTTTATATGCGTAAATGGAACGTGCAACATGTCTACATCGTTTACATGGTTAAAAGGAACGCGCAACACGGCCAAATCGTTGTTCGTGGTTTGTTTCTACGCATAAAAGGAACGCACAACACGGCCATATCGTTGTTCGTGGTTTGTTTCTACGCATAAAAGGAATGCACAACACGGCCATATCGTTGTTCGTGGTTTGTTTCTATGCATAAAAGGAATGCACAACACGGCCATATCGTTGTTCGTGGTTTGTTTCTACGCATAAAAGGAATGCACAACACGGCCATATCGTTGTTCGTGGTTTGTTTCTACGCATAAAAGGAACGCCCAACACGGCCATATCGTTGTTCGTGGTTTGTTTCTACGCATAAAAGGAACGCACAACACGGCCATATCGTTGTTCGTGGTTTGTTTCTACGCATAAAAGGAACGCCAAACACGGCCATATCGTTGTTCGTGGTTTGTTTCTACGCATAAAAGGAACGCGCAACAAGGCCAAATCGTTGTTCGTGGTTAGTTTCTACGCATAAAAGGAACGCGCAACGCGGCCATATCGTTGTTCGTGGTTTGTTTCTACGCATAAAAGGAACGCACAACACGGCCAAATCGTTGTTCGTGGTTTGTTTCTACGCATAAAAGGAATGCATAACACGGCCATATCGTTGTTCGTGGTTTGTTTCTACGCATAAAAGGAATGCACAACACGGCCATATCGTTGTTCATGGTTTGTTTCTACGTATAAAAGGAATCGCGCAACACGGCCGTTGTTCGTGGTTTGTTTCTACGCATAAAAGGAATGCACAACACGGCCATATCGTTGTTCATGGTTTGTTTCTACGTATAAAAGGATCACGCAACACGGTCATCGTTGTTCGTGGTTTGTTTCTACGCATAAAAGGAACGCGCAACACGGCCATATCGTTGTTCGTGGTTTGTTTATGCGTAAAGGAACATGGAACACGTTCATATCGTTTTTTCATGGTCTTCTACACATTTATGGAACATGCATCATCTTTAATATCGAGCTACATCATTTGTTTTTATGCATTCATATCGTGTTAAGAACGTGCAATAATCTTAATCACGGTACATCATTTATATCAATGGATGTACGTAACACTACACTATCATCGTGTATAGTTAAAACGATGAGACTGTATCCTGACTCGGAAACGTATTTCAGGAAGCTTTAATCGTTGTAAAACGGAATACGCTCTTTCACAAGAATATTAAACACACCCAGTGGATTCTGACGGATTTATTCCTGGGAGATGAAGTGTTATTCAAAACCGTTTGGTTCATTTTTCTTGACGAAACTGTAAAATAAATTCAAAAATCTCCGTTCATTAAACTTAGATACAGTAACACATTCAAATCGAAGATATCAATGGTAAAATATTCCATATATATGCGCAATTGTGTATAGGACAACTGGGAAATTTCGCAATCACTTCTGCCATCTTTACGCTCTTAAAAAGATTGTAGCGATCAAAGTATATTTTCGATATATTTACGAGTCCATCAGTCAAATATATATATGAGACAAATAATGACTTGGTTTTGTATCTTCAATTCATCGATGAATTTATTTGTTTCATTACCACAGTGATTATGCTAAAAATAGAATACTTTCAACAATCTGTTACAAATATGTCACAGTGACCTGTATAAATAATTTCATTTTTTAGATTACTAGTAAATTTTGAGTATTGTTATTAAACTTCAGTTCTGTTTCTGAGGACATTTTAAAATCATCCACATCGGTCAAACTAAAAATAGCTTTATTACTTATCCACACAGTTCAAGATTTTTGATTGACAGCTCTCCATATTTGGAACATGAAATTGATGGCTTGTGTTAAAATTCCAAGGTCAAGCTGGTCACTCTTTAAGGCAATTATGAAACAGGTTTTTCTTGAAATTGATCGATTCTATATCTTCATATTTCTCCGACAAAACATATTTTAAGAAAAATTGACCTTTGTCTGAAAGAAGTTTTTTGCGGTATTTTGTGGGACAATTTTGGAAATTGAGCTAACAATTATCCACGTTGCAATTGAGCCCTGCCAAATGAATATTGTTTATGTACAGCGTATATAATAAGTATATTTGATAATTAAACTAGAAAAACAGCAACTCCACGGAGTAGCAAATCCAATCGAACAAAAGATGTTTTGAGAAATAGCCGCCATATCAAATTTGAACCAAATCCATCCACTGGTATTTGAGTTATCAAAGATAACGTTTTTTAAGAAAAATGGTCGCAATTTTGAAATTCAGCAGCCATTTTAAAAATGTCTTCTTTAGCAAGTCGCCTTTGTCCCTAGGCAACAGCATATACAATTTGAACCAAATCGGTCTTCTTGTATCTTAGTTATTAAAGATTATGTTCTTTTACGAAAAATGGCGGCCATTTTGAAATTTAAAAGCCATCTTGAAAATCCCTTCTCGAGAAAAGCTCCTATGTCCCGAGGCATTAGCATGTAAAATTTGAACCCAATCCATTCACTGGTATTTGAGTTATTAAAGATTCCGTTGTTTTACAAAAAATGGCGGCCATTTTAAAATTCAGCGGCCATCTTAAAAATCTCTTCTTGAGCAGGCTCCTTTGTACCCAGGCAACAGCATATAAAATTTGAACCAAATCGGTTTACTATATTCTAGTATAAAATTTGAATCAAATCCATGACCGGTATTTGAGTTATTTTCCTGGACAGACGGACGGACGAACGGACGGACGGCTTTCCTATATCCCCCTCGAACTTCATTCGGTGGGATAAATATTCATCTGCCATAAACATTTATTCAACTGCAAAACCGGATCTCTAGTCCTATGTTTGAATATGGTTGATCGTTTTCTGGTTATAGCAATTAATATTTTCCATATAAAAGAATAACATTAACTGATCTGCATATATTCCTATAAAGGACCATTCTCGGTTTGGAGAATGAAATTCATCGGCTTATTTCGACGTTATCAATGTCGCCAACAATTTTGATTTTTTAAAAATAGTGTACATTGAAATGTGATCTTTTGAATATTTAAGATTTAATTATGGTAAAATTTTTCTTTCTTTCATGAAACAAATATTAGCGATATTTATTAACACAATGACACGAAGTATAAATAACAGTTAACTGGGTTTTGCTGCATATCAAGGTCAAAAGAAGTAACATATTCAAAATGAAACTAACCCGCATTAATGAATTTACTAAAAAGTATCCTGTATTGCCTTCGATCTTTATTTTAACTGCGCCTACTATTCTCTATCTTCGCCTATACAGAGTTTTTGCAAACAAAATTCTATATAGGAATATATGTAGAGTGCAATTTACGTTCAGAAATATGGAAATAATCCAACGTCCTTCATTTGCAACTTAATTGTATCCTGTATCCCTTTTTAAGGTGGTCACGTGGTAGAGTAGTGTGATAGTGCTGGGAACACTTTTATTCCAAGGATAGGGTCACCTGAGTGAATGCAAGTTTAATCAACCATAAATGTTTCAACTTTTCATTCCAATCAGTTTTATATACAAAACCAAGGAAGGAATCAGGACACATTACAATTTTTCAACAAAATATTACCATTTTGTAGAAATTCTATCCAACAATTTATGACCAACAGTGTATAAAAATAATGCATTTATTCTTTATGCCAATTTGACAACATGATATATACAGAGTTGTCCAAAAAATTGGAACATCACTTTAAAAAAGTTATTTCTCCACTGAAATACACCAACAATTTAACACATTCAATACTTAATCTAAATATGGCTTTTAAATGTTTAATAGCCGACTTTGAATCAACCTTCATGCATATTTCAAAAATAGAATCATCACCAGAGGTTTTAAACCATTTAATAATTTTAATAAAGCAAGAAAAAGATTTTTCAACCATTTTGTCCTCTCTATGGTTCAATGTACCATTAACTTTGTGTACTGCACAATCTTTATAGCAGATAAGCAATTGATTGAACTATGTTCAGTAATTTTTTTTCAATTTCTTTTGGACCGCATTGTATATTGTGATGTAGTATTGTGGCTAAATTTATTAGTGGGTTTCCAGTAAATCCTGTGTTTTTCAAATGAAAAACCATAAAAGAACAACATATTCATATCATATTTGAACGAGAAATTATATACACTAAAACATTTGTTTTTATTGTTAATCCAACCTTGTGATTTATTATTTATGTAAATTAACTGCAAAACAGGATCTCATATGTTTGAATATGGTTGATCATAATCAGCAATGAAATTACCAAGAAGTCTAACAATGGTGGGTCATGATACCATGGTATGCCCTTGCCATTTTCAATTGTTGACCAATGGTATTTCATGGTTGGTGGCATTTCATTGTATTCCTGGTCAAAATTGACCATGGTCATTCAAAAAATAGCTCTGGTACTCCATAAATTGACCATCAAATGGCAAATACCCTAGTCATTCCATAGTATTCCATTGTCAAAAATACTTATTGCACATTCAGACGTTTAAGGGATTGTTGGAATGTCAATCATCATGATCTTGTCAGTTATTGGTTCATTCACTACACAAACCTTAAACAAGTGGGCGATTACAATAGCTCAACCACGTGAGGGTGAGCTAAAAAGTACTATATAACATCCATATTACGGGAATGACAATTCAAATTACGACGCACTGGCAACATTGCAGGAAGCAATACTTGCTACATAAAGGTAAGTTTCATTTCTTTTTTAATAAATATGTTTTTTTCATATAGTTTTGCTCATTTTGTTCATTCTCATTTCACTTGTCATAATAGTTAATTTTAATTGTGTAAATTGTTTATGTTGTAAACAATATCTAAAAAAAAAATTAAGTTTTGACTCTGTAAAGAATTACTTTTTTGTGACAACAAAGAAAAAGAAAAAACAACCAAACACTGCATTAACTTTAAGCATTCTCTAGAAACAGGTAAAAAGTCCTAGGAATAAGGAATGTTCTGATGTGAAGGGGCTTTTATTTAACACAAAACCCTCAAGACACCTTGTGAAAATATTACTTTATAAGAAATGTTTAAAAACATTTGGTAAGAAACAATGGAGTTTGATAATTGGCAATTGTACTCACATTTTTGCATGTAATAAAGAATAATATAATTTAAAATGTATACATGCGGATGCGGACCTCAGTGTACACTGCTATTTTATTGTATATATATATATGGGGGAGTCTCCTGATATATAGAGGTTATTTAATGGGAGGTTTTTGATACTGGGTATATCTGATGGAAATACAATATACTTACCCAAGGGACTGTAGGGACCGAGGGTTGATATATTGTTTTCACTGAGGGATATACCCTGTATCAAAAATTTAGCATTTAATTACTGATTTATCCTATACTTAGTAGATTATGAGGATTAAGTATGCATCAAATATTATGGAAACAAATACAAAAAATACTCCAATCAAAACATGACTATTTTATCTCAATTTAAAGTTCTAACATTTATTTTTTTAAACTCGACAGCTTTGACATTCAACAGTATATGAATTTATCTAATGGTAGAGCCATGGTATACACTGGTGGATTTAGGGGGGAGGGGCCCATGGGCCCAAAAAATATTGGTCCCTAAAAAGATTTCCTTATCATGGGTTTATCTATTTGAGTTAATTTTATATGATTAACAAGCTTTTCTAAGTATAAATTGATCCTCATACATTTGTACTCTGATTTGAATTTGAAGGTAATTATGCTGTGTGTATGCACCATTGTACTCTGTGTGGTACACCTGACATCAGGCAACTTTGTGACTAAAGGAGTAAAAACAATCTTAACTCCTAACAAGTACGACTTCAAGCATGAGCCAATAGATGTCAGTGACATCACCTTTTTCACATTTGATGTGAAAACATGCCACGATGGACATATCCAACTTTCAAAGACTGCAGGAAACACTGATGTGGACACCTACGAGATATTGCTCCAAGGTTGGAATAACGGCCCAAAGACTTCAGCTATACGAGATAAAAAGCAAGGGAAACTAGAAGTGTTCCATAATGGACAAATTGTTTACTGTGATTCCACAACTTCATTTTGGGTAAAAATAAATCAATTAAATAGTCATGTTCAACATCTAATCATTTGTCATTATAGTTGTGATGAGTAGATTTAATAATGAAGAGAAGTCATAAATGCAATTAAAAAAGATTTTATTTGATGACTTAAGTGGCTGAAATATAATATACTATATTTTTGCAACAAACGTATTCTTATTTTCTGTACATAAAACACTTTAAACTGCAGATCAGCTGGGCAGGGGGAAACATAGAGGTAGGAAGGGGCCAGGTGTATGGTACAGACAGATTCCTGCATTGGAGGGATCAATCTCCACATCCTGTCAATGCACTACAGTTCACTTCAGGATTTGGTGGGAGTGGAACATGGACATACAAAACTCCATTGAAAATAATCTCAACCCCAAACGACTATAACTTCAAGCACACACCAATAGATGTCAGTGGCAGAACCTTTATCACATTTGATGTGAAAACATGCCATGATGGACATGTCCAGCTTTCAAAGACTGCAGGAAACACCAATGTGGACACCTACGAGATATTGCTTCAAGGTTGGAATAACGGCCCAAAGACTTCAGCTATAAGAGACAAAAAGCAAGGGAAACTCGAAGTGTTCCATAATGGGCCAATCGTGCACTGTGATGCCACATTATCATTTTGGGTAAGAACAATTTCATTCAAATTAAAAATCTTTTTTTAATCCCAATAATAATGATAAAATTCAGATGATAAAAATGTACTTTGTAAGTCTGAACCTGAACAAAGTCTTTTCTTTAAATCAATGCTCAAGTAAAAGTCAATGTTATTTTAAAAGTTAGTGAGACAGAAAAAATCTTGTTTGTCATCGAATAATATTCCTCAAATTTCAATTTTTGTCAATTCTAGATCAGCTGGGCAGGTGGTTACATAGAGGTAGGAAAGGGCCGTGTGTATGGCAGAGATACTTTCCTGCAGTGGTATGATCCATCCCCACATCCTGTGAATGCAGTACAGTTCACTTCAGGATTCGGAGCAAGTGGAAGATGGACTATTCAGTTGTGAGGAAGTTAGATGACAACAATGTTAACTTCTGTGTGTTATTACAACTTATACTAATAAATGATTTGCAGTCATTGCATGAAATCATATTTAGCATGTGTTATGTTGAATTGTTTCCATGTTGGATGAAATAAAACACATTTTGATATTATTTGTGACTGAAGATGTAAATTGCATACTAGTATCAATTTCTTGGATAATTCTTGGATAACTAAAAATACATATCTCCAATTTTCAATGAAAATGGAAAATATGTTCTCTCAAGTATTGCAGTAATTATATGTTGACTAATAACTATTTACTTATTAAGTAAATTGCATATTTTTAGTTTCTATTTCTTTATTCATCTGCCTTTTTATGCACTCAGTATAAACCATCTTAGTGGTGGATTTAAGTACAGTGAATCATGTATATTCAAACACCTATCAAGTACAAACATCTTCAAATGGGAAGACTTTTCTCAGTCTCAATTTTATCATCTCCTAGACTCACATATTAAATAATGAAAAAAAATCTTGAAATGTGAACACCTGCTAATCCGAACACTTTTGTCTGGTCCTAGAGGCATTCGGATTAGACAGATTTTACATAGCTTAATTTTTCAAAGCTAAAAATGTCACAAAATTGAATCGATATCTTCCAAAAACTCTTCTACATACTTCAAACTGTTCTGAACTGTATGTAACAATTATAATATGTATATCTTTACCCATTCCCAGTCCAACACTTGATTCAAAGCAAAACAAATTTAATTGTAGAGCTACTTTGTATGATATAGTTTCAAAGAATGAGCCTATTGGTACTGCCATTGTTTTTGATAGCCAATAGTATATGAGCCTGGCCATAGGAAAACTGGTCTTATCACAAAAATTAAAAGTGTGCTACAGAGCCAAAAATGTGCCCAAGATTAAGAGAAAAATGTGCTAAATTCAAATCTGATAGTCTATATATGCAAGGAAAATTGTAAGACTCATTTGAAAGGTCTTTTGTGCTTTTTAAGATAAACAAAAAATCAGAATATTGAAAAAATCTGTGATACGACCCCCTTTTCTGTGGAAAATAAAAATACTGCTGTTGCTGTACTGAATAAATAAAATGAATATATAAATGAATACAGATCATAATAATATTATTATTAATTAAGTATATATACAATTTTGTACAGTTTTCTTTATTTTCACAACAGAAGAGACCTTAAAGGAAGAAGGGATAGAGAGTGTGAAATATTGGACGCAAAATGTTCGAAAAAACATATCAGTTTCCCCTTTAACTCTTAATCTTAATTATTTTTTTGAAAATAATAAAGGATACATATGTGATCAAATATAGAAGTTATTAAAGATTTTAAAAGCAGAAATGTCCATTTCATTAGAATTGAATAGGGAACGTCCACATATTCAAGGATTGCCAATCAGAACTGTTGGACCTTTCAAAAAACGCATGACATGGAATGATGAGAGTAAAAAGTTTAATAAAATTGTGACACTTTTATTTAAACTTGCTCTCAACTAGTGTTTGCACCTTCTTCCTTTAAATCTTCTTGAAGCAGCCTCTTAACTGTACAGGGTATTTATAAAAAAAATTATAGACAGTAAATTTAATTGCTCTCTGTCTTCCATTTCATAACTTATTTTTCATTTTTTAATTATATTATTTTCTAATGTATAAATTAATAAAAAGATAAGATATGACAGATATGATCGAACCACGAATACTTTTAATATGTTCCTCTCACTCGTCAATGCATGTTCATGGACATGATTTTAGTCCTCAATGAGGTATAATGTACACTATATTATATAATACTCTCAATAAAGATTCCAATAAGTGTTTAATTAAAAGCAGTGACATATTGTATTCATAATACAAATGATTTCATCAAAATTCTAATACATCATCACAATAATGAACCATGATTAAGGCGCAATTCTTAGCTAGAAAACCCTACGGAAAAAAATTGTTCACTATGTAAGCACCATGACAAGTTCCGCTATTTACCCTATTCAATAACGATATCATTTTATAATTCTGTGACACTCCCCGCAAATTCTACACTTTACAATAAACATTCAAAATGTCACCACTTGCCATTTGTTGCAGACACCAAACACCAATGAATACAACACAGACGAATACAACAGCCAAACACCATCCACAAAAAGGTTAGAGACTATAACAATATGACTGTGTAAAATAACAATATGTATAAAAATTCAAAACTACCATAAACAAATAGTATTGTTCACATTCGGGTGTTAGAATGATGGTATATCTGGCAATCTCTGAGGCTTAGCTGTATCTCTTGAAGGAATGGGTTCAAACGCTGGCACATCAGGAAGATTCAGGCCTGCAATTTAAAAAGAATCATGTCACATTTTATTACAAAAAATATCAGTGAATGTATGGAATTAAGACCCTTTAATGGACATTGTTTTATTTGACTAGTAATTTTGACTTATGTATTCAGATTTGCTAGGTAAGTGAGATTTGTTTTAAAAACACGAATTTGACTGTCTGTTTTGCACAAAATCATGGTATGGTCAATTTGTATCAAGTAATGTGTGAGATTTCCAGTGGTGGTAAACATTTGTGTATCAATACTTTTTCATGGTGAACTCAAATTGTGAAAGCTCAAAAGTGAAGAAATATTTGCATATTCTGTGTCATGAAAGGTATGACTAGCAAATGGATTATCCAGGGTCAATATATAATCGGGACCAGTAGTCCAGCTGCTAACTTGGTAGTCCAGCCTTCCTTTTGTGAATGGAAGACCATTCATTATTCAAGAAAAAACTTACTTTTATTTGCATCTCCTAGTTCATCTAATTCTTTGGCAAAATCATTTTCTTTGTCATCATTGGCTATAAGTTCTGCTAGCTCCTCCTCCAACTCAGTGACTGACACTTCATTGGGATCAGTTGGTCCTCTTGAAATAGCTTCAGTGATATCTGCTTGAGTGTCATTCATCTGAAATTGAAGATATTCAATATGGTCATCCTTTTCATAATTTCTTACAATTATGTCTTGAGCACTTCTTGAAATACTTTTTTACTTTATTAGTCTTTAATTTGGCGAGCATTTTAATTTATCCCCTTGAAAAACTGCCAATAGTCCAAAATCACCAAATTAAGTAGCACCAAATTAAGGACGAATTCAGTTAGACTTTTGAGACATGAGGTTTAAGTACAGTAGAAACGGTCATATGTGACCTTCCTAGTCGATCCCACTACAGCACAGTATGTACTGTACATTGCCAATAATGTTATGAATTCTATGATTCTATAATGCAGTTTTTCAAATGAAGAGGACATCAAATGTAAAAGGGTGATTCTTCTTCAGCCTATGTACTCATTGTTTTGAATAAGATGAGTACTAGTAATCTACATGTTATCGGGCATATTTGTGAAGGCATCACATCTGACATGAAGAAACAAATACAAGGCATTAACACGCAAAATGTCACCACCTACCATTTGTTACCAACTGCCAAACACTGACTGCTGAGCACCATCCACAAAAAATAACAATAACTATAACAGTATCTCACCATCTATGGTGGTGACATAAAAAAGTCTAATAGCAAGGCAAGTGGCTGTAATAAACATTAAACAATTGTACCTCCTGAAGTTCATCCATGACATCATCAATCCTCTCAACAGAAAGGTTATGTTTGGCTGTAGTGTGTTTAAATGCAGTTGTACCAGCTTCATAGGCATCAAGAATCTGAAACATAAATTCTTCAGTTAGATAGTGAAACAAGGGATATTTTTTGTATGATGTATTGTGGATTTCAGTCATACACAATCATTCATAGTTAGCATTCTTTTTAAATAGATACACTGGAATACTATCTAGATACGATATAGATATTTAAAATACCTAAGGAAACACCTAGAAATGGGAAATCATTGAAAATGGAGACCTCAATAAGCACAACAATTTAGCCATAGAACAACTCAAAATTCTGTTTCATTGATGAAGCCTACTTTAATTATTGTAACATTTCATATGAAAATTAACCAGACTGTATTTACTCTGGCCATGCCATAAATATGTTTACTGTTGTTTTATTAAGCCATTTTTTTCTTTTCAGTAGGATGGAATGATTTTGATTCTCACCATTTTTTGAGATTCTGCCTCTCGAATCTTTTCAATGAGGGACTGCACATTTTGTAAGGCGTTTTCACGTTTAATCATTAGGTTTTCCATTTGTTTTTTCCGCCTCAAAGCATTTTTGGCCTGGAAATGTATTACAACAGTTAACTTACATGAATATGTACATGTAGTCTAATTTAACATAAAAGACATTTGTTGGAGTGATCGGTAAACAAAACATATTTACAATATCATGCATATTTCACCATATAGAGTAACACCTGTGTATGTGAAACATATTTGGTAATTCAAATTTTACTTTAGAGGTGTTTCAGTGTCAGAGGTTCATTTAACATGAAAATGAAATTCATAACTTTGAAGTGCATCATTTACAAAGGTCTTCCACAGGTTTTAATGTACAATTTCATGAGAAAGATATTTCCTTAAAATTTACAATAAAATAAAGTTTATAAGAAGCTGTTAACTTACTGAATTTCTCAGTCCTTTACCGAGATAAAACTTGGCATCAGTTCGGCATCTGAAAGACATATAGATTTGAATTAAGAAGTCTGAAATCAAATCCCTGTGTTGCCTAAAAGTTCTCTTAAACACTGTTTGGGGAAATAGATTCAGAGGATGGAGGTTTGCTTGAAACTATACATTCAATTGTTTTATTCGTTTGATTATGACTTTGGCCTCTCCAACCTAATGCCTTAGTTTGGGGACCTCATTTTATTACTCAATATATCGGACTTCTATGAAAAATTAATACGACTATAACCTTTCCATATCTTTTGACAATGTTTCAATTTCTTCTTCTAGTTTGGTTTCTGTATTCTGGAGCCTCAGTATTCCCTTATCTACCTCTGACACAGGGGAGACACTTCTCTCACCTTCCTTGGCTATCTTTACTATCTAAAAATAGGAAAGATAAAACATTAATCGTCATAGAAACAAAAGTGGTGTAAATATTGCTGGTGCAATAAAAAAACAAGGCATTAACAGGCAAAATGTCACAACCTGGCATTTGTTACAGATGCCAATCACCAACTGCCAAACAACAATGACAACCACTAGATACCAAACACCAAATGCCAAATACCAAAAACTGTCCACAAAAAAAGTTGGAGATTAACATTATGTCAGCACTTCTGGTAGTGACAAAATATGACTGGTGGTGTCATAAAAAACACAATACTAGTAGGGTAAAATAAACATAAAGCCGCTGCCAGTATTATGTGATAAAAATATGGATGGTGTGGTAATTGTGTGCTTGAAACATTTGTGGCATAATAAAACATTGAGTGGTTTGTTAAAAACACCCTTGATGTACCCCTGATACAATTGAGATTATAAAATATAAAGAATATAAAATAAAACATACAATACTCACCGCTTCTTTATCCTTTCTTTCTTGTATGATCGATATGACAAGTTTATTCTGTTGTTGCAACTGTTTCAAGACCAATTTCAACGATTCCCCATCCTCACAGACATCTCTACATAGGTCTTTCACACGTGTCATATTGAATATATCATCAGTTTCTTGGTGTTCACTTGAACTCCGGAGATGTTGAAGGACATCTTCACATTTGCCCTGAAAGACATCATGATTTGACAATAGATGGTCATGTGAGACATTTCATATATACATGCACATACTACAGTATAAACTTCATATATTTACATATCAAATATTTCTCATCAGTCCCCTTAAAGTAAACTCTCAAATTTAATATTTCGCTGCTGTCTGCTGACGAGAATACTTGCTCAAACACCATATTATGTCATTGAAAAAAGGATTTTCAAGTGATTCAAACTCATAAAATGCCTTTGGTAGACAATGAAATATACATCAATGGTACATCACATGGCTTCACCCAAACAAAAAAATTATGTGGATTTTACACATGTCATACCTTGGCTAAGTCAACGAGGACAAACTGCCCTTGTAATGTTGTAGCTGCAGGTCCCATCAATGAGGAAAGTCCCCAAGAAATTGGCTTCTTTACAAATGAGTTATATCCCCATGATACCCAACCTTGCTGCATTTTGGACTGGTATTCATCAGATGGAAGGATTTTACCTTGTCTGAAATACAAATTATTGTAATGTTCATATAACTACATCATGTTCAGTGTACATGATGCACAAAGACATTGACAATTTAGATGTGTTAATCTACACTATACATGTATATTTCTCAAAGTATAAAGCCATAAGGCTGAGATTTTATAAATTTCTTCTTGACTAATAAGCTGTAGACCATAGACCCAGGAACATGTTTAATTAATCCAAAATTGAAATTTGTCCAATTGGAAACTAGCTGAGAAAGAAAATTTCTTAGGATGACATTGGGAGAAAAAGTTTCAAAAAAGTCCTAAATCAAATCATGAAATGTGCAAATATTATCGGTTTTCAGTGTGGATGTTTTAATTATAGAATCAAACAGTTTTATAAAAGAACGGTTGAAATAGAAATGAAACAATGTCAGTCGATATGTTTGTTTCAAATTGAGCTGACTTACATGTATACAGTACATTTGTAATTCAAATGTGGTCTGAGACCTAACATAGTTTGCAATTTACCTATCTGAATGGCTTTTGTAGATTCAAGCTACATTACAATTAACCGGCAATCATCTAAATTATTAATTTAATTTTTTGTATCACAAAAGTCATAATCATTAGAAATTTTAATGTTGTTGGTGGTTGTAACTGGCATTCATGCCATTGCCATCGCCAAAACAGGATGACTGTTGGTCCAGTCATCTTCGTTCACTCGACTCCCGTCGATGAACGCAGTGAAGACCAGAGCGTGCGAAGATGGGGTCCAGTTATAATCCGAAGTTGTGGATTAATCTGTACATTTATTAAACAATGTAAATTCTATATGCAAAAGTTGAATGAAGGGTGGATGTTACTCATGTGTGATAAATTGATTACAAAATGAAACTGAAACTGAAATGCAATAAAAAATTTTGGCCATTGTTCACCGGGGGAATTTTTCTTATGTCAGTCAGTCTCCAATTGGAGTAAATTCAATTTGGCATTAAATACACATGTTCCTAGGCCTATTTTGTTGACTCTAGACTTTCTTATTATAAAGTTAGACTATATGACAGGGTTTGTGTAAAAAACCGGGTGACCGGGCAACTTACGTTCCTAACAGGGTTATGAATTTTATTTTTTTCATTTCTGTTAATGCCCCAAAACTTTCAATCACTTGGGCAATCAATCAAGTCACAGTTACTTAAAAAACTGCAATCAACATGTCAATATACATGTGCACTACACTTCAGTATTTCAATAGGCTAGTATTTCAGTAGAATTTATTACGGAATTCCTGGGCCTTGGGCCTATGGAACTAAAGGAATCATTGATATCCTGTCAGTAACTCAAGCAATAAATCAAGCCAAACATCACTACACTGTCCAATGCGCAAGCATCAATATTTGTTTACATTATCAATAGTGAAAATCATTTTGGGTTTATAGCCGGGTACATGTAGTTGTCATTTATTTTAAAAGTCAGACATCGGACACGAGCCTAAAATGTAAACTACCTAGGACTTCCGAATTCAGTCATTTCACTTTCATGTTTATTCAGTTGATATCTTGTATAACCAGGTAACCATTTACATGTAGTTTTTGATATTGATAAAGTAGCTGATTATTTTAAAAAGTGCTATGTCTCTTATAGGGTAAAAAATATCGAACAATAACTTGCACTCCGTAGGCTAAGTCTGTCAAGTCAATTCGCTACTATATATTGGGGAAAATGTGAAACTTTGAAAGTTGGAAACCCTTAGACTGTATCCTTCGTCTGAATAAATATTCAGACTGTAAGTCACCTATTGTAAAATGTGGTGTCGTATAAATGTTACAAATAAGTTTGTTTAATGATAAAATGATAACCTTATAAAGAACTTACAATATTATTTTTTCATATATTGTCCTCTTACTGAAGATATTCATAAAATATACAGACGCTTCTTGTAGCGAAGCCATTGATTAGGTCAAGCCATTTTGGCAATGCCAATTCTCACGATAAACAAGATTTAGCCAGTGACGTCAGTCTATTTGTAAACAAAGAACACGTGGAGCGGACGGAGCAACATTACGGAAGCGTATTGATAAATTCCATATGTGCGGGAATTTATTAGATCTAGTCATTTATTATCATTATCCAGATTAATTTTCGTCATCTATAGTAAATAGAGCGGAAATATTCATGAAGAAGGCCGAGGTAATCAAGTGGTCATGTGTTTGAAGTTAAAAGTCAAAGTTCAAAAATTTGCATATCTCGTTTGGATCTCGTGAACTCAAACGTCCTTGACATTGATTTCGCGATCTACTAATGAACACATCCTGAAGTTTTGGTGAGTCTGAACATTTCATTATTCGTAAAGGCTAGAGTACCGACAATTGTCGGTACTCTAGACTCTGATGTGGTGGCACGCTAGAGGACCGACAAATAAATTGTCGGTTCGGGAGATATGCTGTGTTTACACGCTAGAGGACCGACAAATATTGATTTTCGAATTTTCTGGCGCATGCGCAATGCGCGGGGGGATATTTCAGATATCATACGGATATTTTGGGAACAAGTGCAAAACCCGGGGAGGGCATTAGCCCCGGCTACCCGGGGATTACCAAACCCAGTCAAAAAATGGTAGCCCGGGAACAGGGAATGGTAGTAAACGTTGAAAGGCCCAATAAAAACATGAACAAGTAAGACGTTAGAGAGCTATTAATGCAGAGTAAACGGCTATATATATTCTAAACAGACAGGATATTTCTCCTGAGCCGATCAGGCGTAGAAAGGGGCGTTTGCTACCCATTAGATAGAAGAAAATAGCTAGAATGTTTTTTATTTGAAGCTTATGGTATGAGGGTTCCATATCCATCCGCCAAAAGGTATGACCCCTATATAGTCCATTTAAAAACCTGTGGTATCGTTCTAAATAACCCAAAGTTGGCTTCTAGGGTACCTAGTATGCCACTATTTGGTATCAAAATAAAGAGGAGTTCAACTTTAATTTGAATTACGTAAATAGCGATGTAGGTCAAAATAGTTCCGAACGTGAGCATGTTTACTACGCGTTTGCCCGTCATATCAGAATTGAGGAAGTGGTAGCAAACGCGAGTTACAATAAACGGACGCTGATATCTCAAAAAGTAACCTGACTCCCTATAATTTGATGTAGGTCAATCGAACCCCTATATGGACAGGTGCATTTTGATATATAACACTATGGGGGGTAAGCGTTTCATAGTTGGTCACGAACGCCATATGTGCAAAGTATTGTTATGAATTTTCGAATTTGGTGTTGGATTACGGTACTCATACCTTATAGCACAATTTTTGATGGAAGTTGCATTTGGCTCCCTTAGTTAATGGCCACGATTCCATCTCGCATGAGAGAGCTACCAAACGCAAAGTAAACAGTGATATATTCCAAATGAGATATTTCTCCTGTGCCATGGCGTAGTAAGGGTAGAGAGCGATGGGGTCGAAAGCATCCCCTCCCCTAACTGTATATATCGACCCATTAGATAGAACAAGAAAAGAGCTTTAAAATGTTTTTTAATTGAAGCTTGTAGGACAATTTTGATGGAAGTTGAATCAATTTTTGTCGAAATAAATTATGGCTCACTACAAGTTAATGCCTGTACGATTCCATACTGCAAAAGAAGCACTATGCCCCCCCCCTCAAAAGAAAAAAAGTAGGTCTTGCCGGGATTCGAACTCGGGACCAAGTGTGTTCGAATCGTTCTCGCTAACCACTAGGCTACCAGTGATGATGTTATTTCTAAAAGTAAAAGTAGTGGATTTATTTATGAAATTGTCGGCTCTCTAGCAAAAACACGTAGCAGCCACTTGCGTACCGACAATTGTCGGTTCTCTATCTGGCACTACTAGTTGACGATAGAGTGCCGACAATTGTCGGTACCCCAGCATATACCCCTGGACAGACTCCAGTACCGACAATTGTCGGTCCTGGAGCCACTCCGTTCATTATTTTATATCAACTTGTACCCGCCTTATGCAAATATTTTTGCTTCTAGTTTAAGATGAACATCTTTTCAACATAGTCACCAATTTTCAAGGTGAACATTCTTGTAATAAAGGAGAAATTTATGTGCACAAAATATCGCCGAGATTTCCATGCCAAGGGTATCAATCATAACAGACCGAATATTATATTCTTTTACCTGAGCATCTCCTGGAGAACTGTTTGTAGACATAATGGGGATTTTCCATCTCTTTTAAACTTTAGTGGCAAATCTTTTACATCAAATACAAACTGATTTGAGTGTCTCATTGTAGATTCAATTGCACCAATCCAAAATTTCATTTTTTGATTCCATCCCTTTGGATTGACTTCCTTTTTTCGGAAGCCAGAAAACATAAGTCCCATAAAATCATTGTCATTCCACTGGTCTATTATATTCTCCATATTGAAATGTTTATTGCATCACTATGATATAGTGTTTAAGACCGTATCTATCAAGTAATTGCGCAAATTTGTCGACTTTTACTTCTTTCAAAAAACTCCGCCATGTCAGTTCTCTAAGTGAACCGGAAGTCTCGCAACTTCTCGAGAGTTTAAAAATGGTCAAAAAATATTTTACGATGTGAATCTAATCTTGTGGTTTCCAGAGGTATTTTTAGACTTTCATCTCTAATCCATCATGTATTCCATCCGCAGATGGCTATATAAACCAAAGGTGAGTTTCAAAATACATACACTATATTGCTATTTTGGGTTCAAAATTGGAGTATGTTTTGACTGAATTTTTGTTTTCTATTTATCCTACAACCTAAGGGTGGGGGCTCTAAAAGCTTGGTTACTTAGGCTCACGGGGAATAAGTCACTCCCTCCCTCTTATACTCTAAATATTAAACATTTTTTATTGTATATAATATAAGAGGATGGGGACGACTTACTCCCCATTCTTATGCCTTCTAAATAAGTGGTACTATTGCTGATACTATTGGCCCGTCAAAATCTCAGATAGTTACTGACTGTGATCGAAGTAAAAATGCTGCGATTTGATTTGTGCATGAATTGCATGTTCTAAGTATTTGATAGGATATTATTTGATATGTATTTATATATGATATATATATTTGAAAACGAGATGACAGTACTAAAACTGGGTACCTACAGGCACAGGAACTGGTTGAAGAGTTAACCTGATAAGAATATCCACTCTCTGTGTACCAAGGAAAAAGACAGATTGTGGAGAGCTGATTGCCTTTTCTGTCAGTTCTTCTATTTGTTTCGTTGTCTGCCCAGTGATTAAATACTGTCAGATGACGACACTATTTTTGTATTGTTTGTGGTAGAGCGAAATTAACAATTGAACTACAAATACATTCCTTATGATTTCAAATGTAATATCTTTTAAAAGGTTTGCAATATGTTAATAATGGGTGAATTCTTTCAAATTGTAAATATGGTGATATAAAAATAAATGCATTTTGGGTATTTTAAGAAAGCCATGAGCCAAAAATATTTTTAAATTGAAAGTTTTTTGTTTTTCAAAAGGCACACTGCGATCTATATAGATAAATGGTTGAAAATAACATTTTTGGACTATAGACATGATTGCCTGGTCTAAAACCTTTTCTGGGGAATTAATTTTCGAAATATGCATGAAGGCCTATTGAAAGTCAATGATTGAAACTTTAAAAGCCATCTTTGGACTGAGGATTGAAAAAGTTAAAAAACTTATTTTGAGATTTTTCTTGGTAAAAATTTACAAGTCGAGAAAACAGTGATGGTCTTTTTAAGAAGCAAGAAGTCAAAATGTTCCTGATAGAAATCATATAAATGAATTGAAGGTCATTAGAAGCATGTAAAATCGATCAGCAGAATTTGAAAAATAGAAAATTGCTTACGCTCGGACATCAGACAATATATTTGCTAGTTTTATTGATCGTAAAAATATGTTATTTATTTGCCTAATATCTTCTTAAATGTGATATATATATATTTTATTTGATTATTAAATAAGAAAATGGGTTGTTTAGTGTTTCCTGAGATGTAATTGAACTGCGATCATAGGGCTTCAAAATCCAGAATATATTCTTTCTTTTTACCCCCTGCGATAAGCAGTTAGCATTTCCCCGATTAAGAACTCGCAATCTGATTGGCTGTCGCAACACTGCGACAGAAATCATTCCGCATAATTGGATCACGTGATTCAGTTTAATCGGGCGCTTCCAAATTGGTTATAGCAGGGGGAAGAAGGAGGTACGGATTCTGGATACCTTCTTAGGAGGATGACTAAATCAACAATCACTACCTTTAACAGTCAGATTAGAGTATTTTTATATCATAACCAAGGCATATGACTAAACATACCAGCACCCTGTAGGATATTTTGTTGAAATGAAGTGAAATTTATATTGGTTTTGATTTTATATTGGTCATGTACTAGTGTAGTTCAATGTCACAGTACTTGACTGTGTAATTCATTAGTGTAAATAAAAACTTACTGGACACAAGGTCAAGCATATATAAATCAATTTACATGTATGTATAAATTATGATCAAAGTTTAATTTAGATTAGTTTTTAGCCCTCATCAAATGAGTACACGTTAAAATTTCATGATACAGTACTAATAAAAAGGACGAATTGGTTTTAGTTTTTTGGCTCACATAGTATAAGCTTATGGGATCAATGAATGTCCACCCACTGGTCTGTATATCATTCTATCCAACTACATTGGTGGTACAAATTAAAACTGCCATATTAAGTCAGTTGTACATTCATATTATGCCTTTTACATTTCATATTTTCAAAAGTCAATTATTTTGGTGTTTTCAATATTATATACCAGGTATATACGGTTAGTCTTTTTCAGGTACTTACTGTCCTCATATACTTAACTTTAAGTCAGTGGGACTGATAGGTTTCATGATTGATAATTGTTTTGGGAGTTAAAATACCAGACCAGTCCAAAGGAGAGGGGGGGGGGGGGCATTTTGGCCTTAAGCAAAGCCATTTTCTTTAAACTTCTCTGATTTCTCTACAGTTATTTACAATCAGGAGCTTTTTAGTTTGTTGCAAAGTTTTTGGAATCCAGATTTTACTTTGTTTAGCTGAAAACTAAGATTTATCAATGTTCAACAAATTTTGTCAACCATCTTGTATGATACTAGTACTTCTTCTTGTTAGTGAGTATACACTTAAAAAATAAATGAGAAAAAACATTAGGCAAATGAGAGCTTCAAAGTCCATTCCTAAATGGGAAATGAATGACATAATTTGTCCTCAGGTTCTAAGGTTAGAGGGTCAGCTTTGAATCTGATCTGCTTGCAGAGATTCATGAGATACAAAGTTGTCTAATTAACCATTTCTTCCCCAGGGAGTTAATTTAGCTAACAATAGTAATTTGAAACATTATTTTTGAAGATGCCGAGTAGAAAAATGGGTCAGTCATTTAAGTCTAATGTCAAATTTTCAGTGTTTTTATTTTATTTCACTTCATATTTTTTGATTAATATTTGGGTCATTGTTAAATGTTACGTTCTACATTCCTCGTTTGCACAACTATAAAAAATGAGCCTGACAAGCCTGAAATATATATTTGTATGATATCTGGAACAATAAGCTTAACATGTATTTTCTTTTCAATTTCTCAGATGCGAATAGGTAGATACCAGTTTCGCCACCAGCTGGCTAACTTGGGGGAAATGACATGGCAGGGTATTACAAAGTTCCCTTAAACTTGAATAATCATCAGTTTTAGTTCACTTTTCATATTACCGAGGGCTCTCACCAGGAAATATTTAGGGTGTGGGGCTAACAACTTCAGTATAACCGTTCAATTGTGATAAATCATATTTATGTTACGTTTTATCCTTTTTGCATGCTATTATTGTATATTCAGTCAAGTTTTGACTGTGGAAACAGTCATGATTTGCCAATAGGGTGTGAAGGGAGCTAAATAGAGTGTGGCTGCGCCACAGTCTAAAAGCCTGGCGAGAGCCCTGTTACCCTTATGTATCTGATCGATAGTTATACAAATTAAAACCTGTCCAGTAAAGGAAAATATAATCTGCCCAACACAAGATATTTCACTTTTTGTGATTTTACAACATTTGGTCTATGGGGAATCTGACATTTTCAAAGAAAATTAAATTTTAAGTCGATAAAACTCTTTTCGAAACCACATTTCAAGATGTAATTTTACATGTAGATTCCAAGTATGACATCAATAACGCAGATGCGAGTAGGTAGTTACCAGATTCACCACCAGGTGGCTCGTTCGTGTCAGATAGCATGGCGGGTATAGGAGAAAGTTCCCTTAAACTTAAATCACGTCGGTTTTAATGATTCAATTCTCATATAACCCTTATGTATCTCATAGTTATGCAAACTGAAATATGTCCAGTAAAAGAAAATGTTATCTATCCAATACAAGAAAAGATATTTCACTTTTTGTGATTTTGTATCATGGGGTCTATGGGGAATCAACCCGAACAAGAAGTCACATTTTCCCAAAAAATTAAATTTTCAAAGTTGATAAACAATTTTCGAAACCATATTTTTAGATGTACTTTTACATGTAGATTTCAAATATGACATCACTTTGACTGAATATTTAATGACGTAAATAAAGATTATTTCTACTCGCACCTAGTCTATTAGACTGAATTTTTAGTGACGTAAATCAACATTATTTCAACTCGCATCTAGTCTGTTCATCTCTACCTCATATATAATTTATGTTATCATAATTTATTTTATTAAGAAATGAAAAATGAAACAGAAAATCTATGTAATTTCAGAAAACAGACTCCTCATTATTGGCCCAGTTTTTCTATGCAGATGAGGAACTGAATCTTATAGCGGCAGAACTAGATAGCTTTGATGGAAGGAAGGACCCAGAAAGATGCACCTTGCTTGTGAATTCCTTGCGGTGTTGTCAAGATCGGGTTCTAAATCTTATGATGAAATTTATGGATGAGGTTATTCCTGATAAAAGAGCCAATCGTGATTTCCGCGTTAAATTCCCCGATGATGTCTTACAGGAAAGTCTTGCTGGTCAGCTCTGGTTTGGTGCTGAGGTAACAATACAGACACATTGTTATTCAAATTGTGTTGGTTTTATATTGTTATGACATTGTCATTTTGTGATTCATCCTGTAGTATGAAAATATCGATGTGTTCCATTCTGTAGTCCATCCTGTTAGGCCCATAGCTATGGGGCCAAAAAATCTTTCAAAATCATGCAGTTTTCACCATTCTGAACACTGTTCAAATGGTTTTTGGCCAAAGTTTTCAAATAAAAACCCTCTTGGAATTTTTTGAAAAATGAATCCCTATTGGGAAAAGCTGGCTACGGGCCATCTATAGTTTTGTAAAATTGTTTAAAAGGTTCCATTTTCTACTCCACCCTGTAGTTGTTCTTTTTCAATTTTTCAATTTGCAGTGCCTGGCAGCAGGGTCTAACATTGTTAACCGTGAGGTTGAAAGTGCCAGTATGAGGCCCCTTGCTAAAGCATTGACACGTCACCTTGACAACCTCCGAAGTCTCATGAGGGAACAGTGTCTTAAGAATATCAATGTCTATGATGAAAATGTAAGTACGCCCGATATTTGACTGCAAAACTGTGATATTCTTTCTACTAATTCTTCGATTAAGCCCCATTACTCTGGATAATGTTTGATCCAAGTTTTGACAATACCCAAAAAAGTTTGATTTTTCATATCATGATATTTTGTGAGAGTTTTTTGCATGTGCACTTCCAGAAAAAACACTTAAGGGATTGATTTGATATTTTATAAGATATTATGCACCATTCAAATGTTTGCATGAGACCCCCATGATTCTAGTAGTTTGTCACATCATTCTGTGGTCTACAAATTAGATATTTTCACCATAAAAATAGTTTCTGCAAGTTCCGATCTCTAAGAATAAGATATAGGTGTTAACAATTTAGCACATATACACACTTATTCAGTCCAGTACTGTACAGAACTACAGTTATAACTTCCATACATATATATTTCCAGATCAAACATGGTCTTGAGGTATTTGATCGACTGTTCGCAGAGTTTGAACTCAGGTAAGTTCAAGTAAATCTCCTAACACATGATCATAGAATTAATTGTAATTGTTTTTCCTTAATCATGAATAAATAAAAACAGAACTACTTTCTGCTAAATTTGTGTTTGTGATTCTGTTTGTAGTTACGTTAGTGCCATGGTCCCTGTGAAAAGTATGAAGGAATATGACATTCTGCAAGATGTGATCATTCTATTCTCAGAGTCAATAATGAGGTGAGTGAAATAAAATCCATAATTCAGAATATTTCACCAATGATATGAGTTGCTCAATTGTATATTTGGGAGTAGAGGTGAGCGTGTAAAATACTAAAAGCAATATTTGAAACAGAAAAAAAAGAAATTAGATATGTAATCAAATATAGAATTTCATGAAAATTTAAGATTCAAGAATGTCCAAAATCAGAATTGAAAAAGGGGATGTCCACTTATTAATTTTTGAGATTTTGAAATTTTGATTTTCCTGAGATAAAGTCAGAACTGTTGGTCTTTTAAAATGGGCATACTTTAAAACACATTTAAGTTCACAGACATCTTGAATTTACATGTATTTTATATGAGTATAAAATTTACGATGACATATGGCTAAAATTGTTTTCCTGGCAAGAATCGGGGCCCTTCCAAAAATCATGAAAACACAAGTTTTGGAAAATAGATAAAACAACAAAAATTGCTCCCACAAATTCAATGTGTTTTACAGTACATAAACCAGTTTATTGGTTTTCCTCATATTTTGTTGCTTTACTAGGATGCGGATTTATTTGTGAAGTATGTTTAATAAACCTGTAGATACTTCTATGTATAATTCTACACTACAGGGCATTGAAACTAGAGCTGCTGACCCAGGATATGTTGGATGATTATGATCCTGCATTGATGTTTACTATACCAAGATTGGCTATTGTTTGGTACGTGTCTTACATCCATATACATTTGGGACAAAGAATCGTTTGTTTTTACATAGAATTTTTAAGAATCTTGCGAGATTTTTTGTTTTTCACTTAAAAGTACACATGCATACAATGTGGATGTTAAGCAGAGTTACGTATCTTACTAAGGCTAACTAGATGAAATGCAAATTATCATGCTTATTCAGAGCAGCATATTTCAAGACCTTTTATGTTGAGATGTTGTTCCATCTTAAACACCTTATGTGAATAAGACTAAAACAGAAAAGAAATTCTATGTTCATTTGCGGAATTAGTTTCCACAATTAGAATCCACAATATTGCTCAATAGTTCATGAATATTTCAATATTATAACTATATTGCATCTTCTACATTTTAGTGGTTTGTTGGTTTTTCCTGAGGGTCCATTGAACCCTGATCTAGTGCCACAACATATGTCTGAGATGTTCCGACCATTCCAAACCCTGCTTTTCAAGATCAGGTAAGTCTATCCCCACCCATGTGTCATCGAGACAGTTTAGTGAAACCAGTTTACATGTATGTATCTTGAAATGTGAATTCCTCTGTCTGTTGTCAGGTTTTGTTAATTTAAAACAGGTTCTTTTGTTTTTAAATAACATTATTTTAATTATGTCACCACCACAAATGGTGACATATTATTATATTCTCAAACGTTTTTTGGATGGTGTTTGGCATTTGGTGTCCCTTGGTTGGCATCTGTAACAAATGGTAGGTGGTGACATTTTGCACGTTAATGCCTTGTTCATTCTTGTAATTTTTGTCCAATTTCTTTTTTACAAGTCCAAGTACTAGTGCTTCACATCGTGTTAAAAAACAAAAATTGGTTTGTTTTCAGGGAGCTCCTGTGGACATTAAATAGAGATGAGATGTGGACGTTAGAGAAGTCACTCTGTAGTGCTGAGGAACCAGGCCTCTACAGGGAAATAGAACCAGTGCGCTTTCCAAGGAATAGCCAGTCAGATTACATGTATATTCCACCTCCAAAAGATCGCAAGGATAAACCAACCAATGAGATATCAGTTACTATGGCAACTCAAACTGATGAATCAGGATCAATTGAAAACATCAGTGATGAATTAGGAATGACTGAAAATATGAATGACAGTGAAGACATTTCTGTTCAAATAACACGATTCAAACGCGATTCAAGCTCAGAAACTATAACTGCAGATGCTCGTGAATTCTCCACTTCGAATAGGGCAAGTTTTAGCCTTCAAGGAGATCTGGCAACTCCTATCAACAGTCCAGATCAGGAGCGACGTAAAACCATCGTTATGGAAGACCAGATTCCAACTAATGACAAAAGCGGGTTTATGGAAAGTGATGATGACATTGATTCAGAAAAACCTGTGCCTATATCTGGTGAGTTGAGAGAAGCCTGTCAAGATGTTGTCTTGTCCTTATTTGAGATGGCTTACATTGAAGCAAGTTTTGAACAGGAGAGAGAAAATGAAAGGCAACTTTTAAATGCAGTTCATGCTTACAAAAACTCCTCATCAGAGGCATGTGTAGAGGATGATAAAGGTGCAACTGAAGATGACATAATTGTTGTTGAACATGACATAAGTGAAATTGAAAATGACAAAATTGCACTTGAATGTGAAAATGACATAATCAGTCCTGAGAATGACAGTATTGCAGCTGTTAACGACAATGACATTATTGATAATGCTGACATTGAAGCAGTTCAGATAGCTGCTGAACATGAGGACAATGTGCTAAGAAGTTGTGATAAGACAATTGATGCTGATAGTAATGTATCTAAAGATGATGACATCGAGGGACCAGTTGAGAAAAACATGAATAAACAATTTGATGAGGAGAGTATTGAGATTCTGAAGGATCCTATAACAGCTGATGACTGTACTGTTTTGAGTGTTAATCCTAGTGCAACTAATAGCATTGTTGTCCCCTCTGATAACGCATCTGATAATCAGCTCAACCAAAACCTTACCTTACCATCAATGCAATCCATTACCAATGGAGTGAACCATGATAATTCTAACCATGATGAAGATGAGGTCAACGCTAATGACAAACGGCAGGATATGGGAGCAAGTGGTGAAGCTAAACAACATGATGAATCTGTAAAGTTGACTGACGATAAGAATTCTCAAGGGTCAGGATCTGAGTCTCCTGTCAAGGAGCACTTTAATATACGTAGTTTGATTAAAGAAATGACCAACATACGTGAACTTGCGCTTAATGAAATTGCTCAACCTGGGAATGATGAACCTCACACTTCACAACATGACACAGCCTCAGATGCCAAAAAACATCCTTCACAATCTGGGCCACTTGACTCTAGATCTGACACTAATGCTGAAGTTATGAGTGAAAACGATGATAGCGATATAGTCATTTTAGAGGAGAATGCTAATGGAGTGACAAACGAAAAGTCAAAGAAGAGGGGAAGCTCAAAAAATGTTTCCAAATCTTCAAAAAATAAATCTAATTCAAAGAAAAATTCTGTCAAGAAATCTAAAAATAGAAAAGAGGCAAAATCAAATGAACCAATTTCACCAATAAGAAACCGTGCTGATTGTAAAGGAGCCCCAGTTGTTGGGCACACGAATTTGAGAGCCGGTACTGCACAACAAGCCAGTACTTCAAGTGCACAGACTGTTGAAAATGACAATGTTTTTATGGATCGATCTGATATTAACCCAGATCACCGCAGTAGATCTTTAGGAACACCTGTATCTAACAATCCCACATTATTAGCAGTTGCTAGAGGTGCATCTGCCTCCCCACATTTATCATCAAACAATAGAACTACATCCCAAAACGGTACTAGCCATTCCAAAAGGCGCAACAAGCGAGGCAGGAAACGACATGGTCAAAGCTCACATTACGCAAATACAAACCCAGAGAGACTCAACAGGCGATGTGATACTACTTGTGATGGTTGCTATGGGGAGAAGACCCAAGGTGAATGCCCCAAGAAGATGGCTGTGGACTGGGATAGGGAGAGGTCAGTAAAAGCATTCTCAATCTATTTTACAATTTAAATGTATAAGATTGTATCAAACTCTGATAAAACTGAGACCTTCAGTACAGATACTACAGAACCCCTATTTTAGTAATTGACAACCTGGGGATCAGGAGCTTTACAAACATTAGTTAAAATAGTATGATACCTCATTTTGTCTAAGATAACCTGAATTATCCTGTGCCAAGTAGAGTTTTAGGGAGATAAGTTGGTAAGATATATCCCGTATCCTGATTTTGAGGTTTCCATATCCAGAACCTCCATATCTCCCGCCAAATCTCATACCTCCATATCCCGCTTCAGTGCATATCTTCCCGCTTCCGGTGCATATCTTCCCGCTTCCGGTAATGCAATAAAATAACTTTGCATATGAATGATTTGTTTATTTTTACACCTTGTACTATTGAAATGGCAATATGCCCCTGAAAACTCTACTTGGTATAGGATAAAGCAGTTATGTACGGTCGGTTTGGATATTGGGTTCATCCCTCGTGAGATGTGCACATCTACCTTCGGTCCCTACGGTCCCTTAGGTAGAATTGCATATCTCCCTCTGGATAAACCCCATATCCAAAACCTCCCAGTACATAACCCTTATATATATATATTTTCAGACCTATGGGTTAGAATTGAACTAAGGATTAGTTGCTGTGCTATTTTGTATATTCTTTTGATATGCTGAAAAAATAAGTTGGCCCAGATGAAAATAAAATGACTTTGTGTCCACAAGTCAGTGCTTTCATGTTGCGCCCTGGCTAGCTTTACCTACTGAGTAATTCACTAATTGCATACAGTATTGTGATAGTAAATTGCTTGTGTTGTATTTTTGTATGAAAAATGACTTTTGACATAATATTCTATGTTCATTTCTAGTTACAACAGCAGTGACACAAGTTCCTACAACTCTGAGAGTGCTGATGATGAGGAAATACAACTTGCGGTTCAAGCTGCAGAGCTAGCATCTAGGAAAGAGGCTCGTGCAAGGTTTCGTAGCAGTGGGGATTTAATTCACAGACTGTTTGTCTGCATATCAGGTAAGATGTACCCTGTGAAAGAGTGTTTGACTGTCTCATACTCTTTAGATCTCCATAAACTGCTGACTTTGCTGAGCTTTTCTGGTTTAATTTCAGATGATATTCGCATTGACACCAATAGATTTTTTAAAACAATATAGAACATTGCTTTGTTGAATGATAGCACCATTAATGGTGGAAGCATGCGAAATCATAAAATCATGAGTCCTGGTTCATAATCGTTTTTACATTTCTTCTTTTTATGTCCTATAGGAGTCGCTGACCAGCTTCAAACCAACTATGCGAGTGACCTACGTCATATACTGAAGATTGTATTTGAGATGCACTGTACAGAATCTCTATTACCTGTTGATGCTGCGGAAGAAGCTACCTTATGTGAGAGCATACTAAGTGACGAGGGAGCCACTAATGAGGAAGTTCAAGCCTCACGTCGTACTGTGGAAGGTAAGGACAGTTTTACGATCTTGTTGAATTTAATTTATTTTTGTACAAGAAAAGGATTTTTAATCTTCACTTCTGAAATTATATTGGTTATAAAACTTTTCACATTGTAGAACCACCTCCATGGCTTCCCGATGAGACATGTCCACATTGCACAGCCTGCAAAATCCCATTTAATTTTGTGAAACGCCGACATCATTGTAGAAATTGTGGCAAGGTATGTATGTGTAACTGTTCGACATAAGGGCCATTACTATCGTGTGTTATAGTTCTGTTATAGGAAATTGAATTAGTATGCCAAATTCTTTATTTTCCTAATATTTAAGAATTTATCTTTGCAGTATCATTCTTTTTCACAGGGTATTTCATTTAATTAAGTTAAATGAGTATGAAATAATACTTTGTATTTTTTTCAGATATTTTGCTCAAGATGTTCATCAAACCAGGTATCCTTGCCTCAGTATGGACATTCAAAGCCTGTCCGTGTGTGCAACAGGTGCTATATGTTCCAGGTGACACCCTTCTCAGTTACACCCGAGTCTTCAGCAAGTTCTGTACAGGGATGAACATTATTTTAGAAAGATGGCTCAAGTCCATTTATACAAATAATTTGAGATCATAAACATGATATATTGTACGGTGTATTGGAATACATTGTTGGAATTTTTTATATTGCACCAATCTATTTTCTATCATAAACTGCACCAGGTGGTGAGTGTGTGAAGGCGTAGATGAGTCTGCTAAATCAGAATTTATCAAGAGGATATACTGGGTGTCCAGAAAGTATAAGGGCCCCCCTAGGGACATAGACCAATGTCCCCATAGTATGTGTCATATATCATTTTAAAGCTTGTCCAAAGTTACATTGATTTGCCAAGTATCATGGTTCAACTCACAAATGGGAAAAAGTTACACACATTTCAAAATGTATGGTGTATGTCTGTCTAGGGGGGGCATACTTTTGGGACACCCTGTACATATATATGTATGAATGTTATTGTTTGTCATATTTATTATCTCATATTCAATATATTGAATTCTCCACTCATTGAATTTTGAATTTTTTTTATATCGAATCAAAAGTTTTAGAAATGAATGGGTAAGAATTCATGAAAATTTAAGGCAAAGTTGAGTAGGTGGGTTTAATTAAGTTGTGTCCAAAGCATAACTAAAATACTGTCGCAACAGTAAAAAAAAGTTAAAAAGTATGTCCATGTCCTTCTATATTTTTAAAGGGCAAAGTTTGGGGAAAATCCTCAAAATGTTGTCCAAGAATGATCACCATATACAAGTGTACGATTCAACATTATTTACAAAGTTATATATTTGTAGATCTTTAATATTTATTTAAGATAAAAACTAGATTTGTTATTTATATGAAATAATTTATTCTAAAATGTAAATATATGGTATGGCTGCTAAATAACACATTTATGAGATAATATTGTATACTCAAATCCAGATTATACCCAATATTTGGGGTGATGGTCAGTGAATGAGCAAAACATGTTTAGATATACTTGTATCTATAAATAGTTGTACAGATATATAATGTAGAGTGGCAAATTGTATAGAGGTTATTTAATGGGAGGTTTTTGATACAGGGTATATCTGGGGGAAATACAATATATCAATCTGAGTGACGGTAGGGACTGAGGGTTGATATATTGTATTTACCGAGGGATATACCCTGTATCCAAAAGCGAGCATTTAATAACTGATTTATTCCATACTTAGTAGATTATGAGGGTTTATAGTCCAGTTCCCTGGCTCAGTATCTACTCTCTGAATTTCTGACGTCATAGATCTGATGAGCATGTGATATCACCCACTCACCTCAGATACCAATTCAATTCCTGCATGTTATTCACCTACTAAGTATGGAATAAAGTAAAATATTATCCCATATAAAATAACTGCATTGAATTTATGTTTAACTGTTTGCAAACTTGTTTGTATTAAAGTGTCTGGACAAAGTGGTGGCCTGCAAATTGACTCCATGGAGGCTACCCGTATTGAAGTGCAGTTTTTATACTAGTATAGCACTGCATCACTGATGTATTGCATAATCAACACATGTTTACTACATGTTTAACACAGGTTTACTCCATGTTTAACACATGTTTACCACTGTATATGTTTACTACTGTATATGTCAACTGAAAAACTGCTAATAGTTTACATATGAGACAAACAATGAATGGAGTAAACACAGCCCACCTCTCGGCCGGGAGGAGAAAACTTGGAGAACTTGTACATGCAGAATCATGGTCCTGCCATAGCCCATCTTAACTCATCAATTTTGAACTAATGCATTTCAATAGTCCTGGAGCATTTTTTGTTAGTTGTGAGATCAAGCTCTAAATTCAAATTATTGACAATAATTTCATTTATGGCAATGTGAGAGTCGGTTAAGGTTTAGGTATGAACAAGCCCTAAGAAGACCATTCCCCGGTTATCCCAGGTAAATGTTTCTGGTAAGTTACACTGAACGAAACATCAAGCTTCAGATCTCGAGAGTACGAGATGAGACTTTAGACGAGATATCGATAGGATTGTAGTTGGAGGGTTTTCTCCCTAGGTGCGTACAAAATCCATTAACATCAATGTAAGTTATACATTTCGATTCTTTTCCCTCACCTCCTTCCCCAGCTTACACCACCAGTTGGAGATTTATTTTCGCCCAAGAAGATGAGTTGGAGATGGTATTATAATATTTCCAATTGAGCTAATTAACAGTTATGTCAAATTGTAAACTCTTGTAGCTAATTAACTTAAATTAGCCATTATTTTCCAAGGTATTGTGTTTTGTGTTAATTGGCTCAATATTTATTTATATTAATTTTATATTAATAATTTTACATGTACGACTCTCACGGCCATATCTATACTCTACATGAACATAAATTTAAATTACAGTTAAACAGAAGGTATATATATGAAAATGGTGACATAATCTCTATGAAAATGGTGACATAATCTCTACATATTCCAAAAAAGGAATATTATATTATCTATACCTCGACCTGTATCAATGTATTACTTGAAATTCATCAACTTATCAACGAACGAACATGATTATCCAAAATTGCGAAGATGATCACATCACTAATGTATGCTATTATATTAGACTGATTATGATAAAATATATGCTTTATAATATAAATATTGTTTTGTGGTTCTTGATTATACCATCTAGACATTAACTAGATAGTACAGTAGTTCATGACTCCTTTTGATCTCTAAATCTTAACAGATTCCTGATTTTCAATAGGCCTACACACATAGAACTAATTATTGAGCATCTGGTCTCTGGGCTATCAAATTAAAAATATATACTAGTACCCAAGTTGTGAACATTTTGACCTTTTTTGTTGAATATCTGATGATTTAGAAGGGACTAATTTGCGTGTGATGGAAAATGCAAGCTAGGCTACTTTTTGTTGCTAGACATATCTGAATATTAAAAGTACATGTTTGTCCTTGATAATATAACCATTGTATGAGACCCCAGTGTTCAATGTCTTCTTAAAAGCTCTATATTTTTTCTAGGTTTACAATCTTTCCGGTTAATACTGATCATCTCATCACACTTCATTTGAATATACACTCATGATTCCATCGTCACACCAGCTGTTGAGATAAAACAATCCAATGATTGAAAATGTTTGGTAAAAATTTCATTTTTCTGAGGCAATTGTTTTAATCCACTATGAGTTTCAAATCCGGTGTAAAAGAAATTATGGTCCCCTGGGGATTATGGTCCCCTTTATAAACGGCCCTTACTGGCCCTGATTGTGTATAAGATAATAAGGGAAAGAGTTGTATTTAGGTCACCATATAAATCAATGGAGAGTAGGACCATAATTTGATAGGACCTCCTACCCTTTTACACCGGCATCTATTATTATCAATGTTAAACTCTTATGTTTGAGTTGATCTCGAGTTGATACTCGATTCAGATGTTTACATTTACCATTTGGATCCTGGGTAAGAATGTTGCATCATGGGTTGTGGTATCCTTTGCACCGTGTTATCATGAATGTCAAATAACATTTTGAGATCATTCAATGAGAGTTTCTCTTTCTTGGCACCAGCACTGAAAATATAAACAATCAATAACATTATTACAATTTCATCACATTCCTTACAATATAATTATTATTATGTAAATATTAAAATCCTTCAAATATTGTAACTAATAAACAGTGTCTCTTGAATTTGGTTATATAATATTAACATGCAAGATGTCATCACCTGTCATTTATTAGAGGCCAACTGCTGAACACCAACGTCAAAGCCAAATGTTGAACACCACAAAAAATTAGAGACAAACCATATGTCACAGCATTTGGTGGAGGCTACTTTTTTTATCCATAGATTTACTAGGAAATAAGTTCATGCTTAGAAATCTAGAAAGAACTTTCAATTGAATGAAATGTTTACCCAGAAAGAATCCCTTTGGCAAGATTCAGTTTTTTCTTCTGCAACTCCTGAATCTTTTCCTCAATGGTACCCTTGCATATAAACCTGTATATTGTGACATCATGCTTCTGACCCACCCTGTAGACACGATCCCCTGCCTGCTGCTCCAAAGCTGGATTCCTGAAATACAGGGTGTTACATATTGAACATTTTGTTTGGATTAACAGCTAGTGGCTCTCTTTTACTGAATCTAATTCAAAATTCTACAAAGAAATTAATATTATGTTTTGTAATACCAAAATTAGAAGACCTAGAAACAAACAAACAAAATAATTCATGAAAGTTTATATGAAGTGCTGTTTCTTTTATTTTTAAACATTAAAACAGACATGGAAGTCTGAATTGAGACCTTTTCCATGTCCAATAACAGCTTCTGTTTTAGAGTGAGGGAAATAGATACTATGGGGACTATGGCCCATATTGAGACTTGACACTAGACTTAAGAGACATGAGAAAGTCCTTTACCAGTGTAGATCCATCATGAAGAGATTGTTGCCTCCAACAAGATTCAACCCAACACCTCCTGCTTTCAGAGACACCAACATAACCTACAAATTTGTGTAAAACATGCTCAATTTAACTAAAAGCTCATACTCCCTCCACTGTTAATCTAATCATAACAAACAATTAATCAACTCTATCTCCCACTCAAAGATAGGCTTATTTTTGCAAAAATGACAAATTAATATTTGATCTGGCTTCTTAAATTCCCTGAAATTCATAATACACATAGTTTGATTTGTTACGTCTACATGCAACAAATAAATAATTTTACCATTGATTCACTAATACGAAAATTACAAACATATCATGGCAGCTTACCTCTGGACCCTGAGGATCGTTATTGAACTTATCCACCGTTTCCATCCGTGTCTTTGGAGGTATATTGCCTTGAATGAGGCAGGACCTAAAACCAGCCTTCTTCAAATGTTCCCCGACAATCTCCAACATCTTCACCCATTGCGAAACAACAACACTCTTTCTGGGCTGACCCTTGGGTGACTCAGCTCTGATGCGCTCCAGGTGCTCCATAAGTTGAGATACCTGTGAGGATTGGAATGATTTACAAATATGAGACCTGTGAAAATAACACACTGAGAGCCCATGGGAAAGGAAAGGTTTTCCCGGTCTAACCTGGAGGAACTCCGGTCAAATTCCATGATTTGAGATACCCGTTCAAGTGTTATGAATTAATCATTTAAACAATGCAAGACCTTTATACAGTAAACCCCAGAATTCAAGCAACAGAAAAATTCAAAAGCATAACTGAATTAGCCATTATTGAAACAAAATCATTTTTAATCTTCAAAATGCCTACTTTACTGCTTGTGGAAGACTTTTCAAATATAGGTGAAGATTTGGTGATGGATGGTTCCTTTGGCCCTCCTGTTTCACTGATTCCAAGGTCTTTCATCTGGTCAACTAGATTCAGATCTATTCCTTCAGTCTCTGCAGATTCTGGTTCTATGGCCTGGAGACAGAGTGATAACTGATAAATATTGCACTTGAAGAGCAAAATAGCTGCTTTATGTAAATTACCCAGGATGCCCAAAACCTAATCAGATCTAATGGCACTTAGTCTGCGCTGCTCTTCATTTGTAAATATTTCAAGGTAAACAGTTGAACAATTTTTTTGTTATCTCGATAACATGATCTCTTATACACAGCTCACCTTAAATCAACAAAAACGAAGACAGTATAGCACTTTAAAAATATGGATGATGAATGAGACGTATGTTGTACAGTATTTTGTCAAAGAGTTCAACCAGAAAAAAATGATCCAATAGAATAACACAATTATGATTATTACTTTTATATCAATGAAAAACATGTCATAACTTAGGGTTAACATCTGTTTACAAACTACTTACATCTTTCATTAAGGCGAGGTGACTACAACATTGCCTCAATCTTAGCAACATAAGAAGAATCTGACCTCCTCCTCCCTGAGTTTTACCACTTTGATTGGCATTATTTATCAATCTAATCCCTCCTCCCATCAATTGATTAGCCCCTCCCATTGCCTGGTTGGCTCCGCCCATTTGACTTGCAGGCGCAACATCCTGGCCTTCATTATCAAGGGCTGAAGCATATCCATTGCTCTGATTGGTTGAACCATCAACACTGTCTTTCTCTTCGTGCCTTTTAATGTAGTTGACCAAGAAACTCCTGCAAATTGTCAGAATAAACATATATGCTTATCATATAGTAAAATTACATTTTGTATTATTTCAAAATAATAAATACACAAATGTAAATTCATAAAATGCAAATCAGTACACACCCAAACAGTACTGTACAGCGCTGTATAAGATGATGATCAGATTGGGGGCGAAGAACATAAAAATAAGATTGGTCAAAGGTATTTCTCAAACGTGATATATCAAACTTCCTCTTTCATACAGAAATATGATTTATATATATAGAAAATTAGATATCTCTTTAAGTTAAATAGTTGGCATGAAATTCTCTTTTCTCAACTGTTCAAATATGACATCATTAACATTCATTAACCTTGACTGTTCAAAGATGACATCATAGACATGCTTTTCCTCTTCTGATAGTGTCAGCTCATGGACAATTGTTTTCTTCTCTGGTAATGCAACCTAATATAATGGAATCCATAATATAATGGAAGAATCCATGCATTTTAATCAAATCTTGGCACTAGTCTGGTCTTGAAAAATTGAAAGTTGAACAGATGAATATGAGCCAGGCCCGTGAAAAAGGGTCTTATCACAGATTTTTTCAATATTCTGATTTTTTGTTTTTCTTACAAAGCACAGAGGCCTTTCAGATGAGCCATGGCTTATGTCTTAACAATTTTCCCTTGCATGTATAGACCAAAAAGTCGGATTTGAATTTAGCACATTTTCCTCTTAATCTTGGGCACATTTTTTGCTCTGTAGCACAATTTTAATTTTTGTCATAAGACCGGTTTTTCTATGGCCAGGCTCATATGTCTTATATTTTGCTGTTAATGATACTTTATCAATTTAACAATGGCATATATTTGTACGTGTATACGCAAGAAACATAAATAAATTGAAATTGAAAAAAACAAAAAAAACAGATGAATAGTTTTCTTGCTATCTTGATGACAACATAAAAAGCCAAACATTTACCAAGGGTTCTCCATCTGAAGATCTCTTCTGATCTTTAGTGCGCCTTAGTAACAGACTCTTCACCAAGATATTTAGACGACCTTGACCTTTAGCTGCAATGGAGCGGGTAAAGTATTAGTTTATTTTTTACTTTCTTGTGTGGATCTTATGCTGTAAAATATATCATATACACACTTAAATATGCCAAGATTGCAAATAAATATATTGTTAAAGTCTGTTAAAGTTCATAAATGAATAATGATATTCAACTCACTGATGATCAATTGATCTAAGGCACCTACCATGTTCTAAATGATACTTTACTTAGCTATTTCTACTTACATGATTTGTTATCAACCTGTCGTTTCCAAACTTTGTATTCATCAAATGGAGAACACCTCAAAAACCTAGAAAATAACATATACTTGTGTAATAAATTGTATAAAATAGTGAATTACAATTCCTATATGAAATTTGACTATGATTTCCTTGAATTTCCTTGAATTTCTTTTTCATTCTTATTCGTCTTTTAAATGGAACACTATAATACCATCTAATCTGCCATCACATGTAACATTAAGCAGTTAAAGATGTTGTTCCCATACCTCAACAATGAGTACATATCCAGCAGGTCATTCTGTATAGGAGTACCAGTTAATGCCCATCTATAGCCAGCTCTAAGTCGGCACACTGACATCGCCATTAAACTTTTGTGGTTCTTGATTTGATGAGCCTCATCCAGAATGAGACGTTGCCAGGCAACTCGTAAAAGGTTTGCCTGTTTTTCCACATTTTCATCCTCGTCCTAAATAAATCAGTCAATCAATTAACATGCAATACAAAAAATGTCACCACCTGCCACTTGTTACAGAAACCATCTGCTATTACAGACGCTGAATACAGTTACAGACGCCGAACACTAACCACCGAACACCATTCACAAAAATTTGGAGACTCTAACAATATGACATCACTTCTGGGGATGACATAAAAATCAGAATCCATACTGGAAGAGTAAAGTGGGGAACATACGAGGCATCACCTCTTGTATAGCATGGTAAGTATAGAGAGCACGAGTAAAGTGTTAATTGCATTTTAATAGTTTAAATGATAAAACATTTGGATTAATATTTTTCTGTAAAAATATAGTGAGGCAGTTGCCTCAAGTGCCTCATGTCTGGCTACATCCATGTTTTGTCTTGATTTAATAATGCAAGAGTGAACCTACCTTTACTGCAGTTTCCTGGGCTTCTTTATTTTTCTTTAAGTGTTCAGGTATTCCAACCTCTCTACTGACTATGGAGTAAGTGGTCAACACAACATCACTTTCAGCAAGCCTATATGTAAACAAATCCAAGTGAGTAATTATTTTTTTAGGTATTCCAAACTCCCTGACTATGACATAGGTGGTCAAGACTACATCACTCTAATATGACTTTATTAATGATATTGAAACAACATTTTGAAACACAAATGAAAATCCTAATAGCCTCCAAAGAAAGAATAGTGGTTATATTAGACTTTCTGTAATGAGGATTGGTTTTCATATATTTGTAATTATGCTAATTAATTACCAGAAAATTGAATCAAAATACAACAAAAGGAGCAATCATATTTTACTACTACAGTATAAGCATCTGAAAATAAATTTAAAAAAATTAAAAAGTTTCCATAACATACTTGTTAATGTCAGGTTCTCTATTGGGGCCATGATAAAGGATAACCTTTAACGTCCCAGGCTTACATCTCCGCTCTATCTCTGTCTTCCACTGGTGAACCAATGAAGCTGGACACACTATGAGGGTTGCATGAGACTTTACAATACCTTGGCCCACTGGAAGAATATGTTCACAAAGTTAGCTTGAACAAGGCATTAAGATGCAAAATGTCCTTACCTGCCATTTGTTACACATGGCGAATACCAAACGTCAATCACTGTCCCCAAAATTGGAGACCATATATATCGCCACTTTTGGTGGTGACATAAAAATGTTGGGTAGTATGGATGATCAAGTTATATGGGTGTTATAGTTATAGTGTGGTACAAAATAAAAAAATTACTTACATTTACTCAACCATTCAAGTTATATGGGTGTATCATTGCATGGTACACAATAAAAAAATACATTTATTCAACCATTTAAATTGTATGGGTGTATTTTAGTATGGTAAACAATAAAAATTAGTACTGTGGGTACTGGGCTCACATGGTGTTGCTCAAAAGTGAAGTGAATGATGGCTAAAATAACAGAAAATAAAAAAAACGGATATAATTTTTTGCTTATTTTTTGTAACAAAATTATTTCAAGCCACTTGCCACTATTTTGGACTGACTGAGAGACAAATGGACAAATCGATGTAAAATAAAACGGCTGAAAAAAAAACGGATATAATTTTTTGCTGATTATTTGTAACAAAATTATTTCATACAACTACTCTTTACAGTGACATGGCTTTTTGCAATGCAGGACACCTGAAATTATTTGTAAAGCTAGGAAATGGGCCAAAATTGAATTTCGCGACACAAAATTGGCGACCATTTTGAAAATAGGCAAGCTTTTGAACCAGGAGTCAAAGGGGAGTTTTTTGTATTGATGTTGAACAAAAATAACTTGAAACTGGAATCATCGACAGAGGTTTTAAGCAAATGGTCCAAAAGAGGATTTCGCGAGACAGATGGACAAATCAATGGTAACTAAAATGGCTGAAAATAAAAAAAAAGGATATAATATTTTGCTGATTTTTTGTAACAAAATTATTTCATACAACTATTCTTTACAGTGATATGGCTTTCTACAATGCAGGACAGCTGAAATTAAGTGTAAAGCTAGGAAATGGGCCAAAAGTGAATTTCGCAAGACAAGAATGGCGGCCATCTTGAAAATAGGCGAGCTTTTGAACCAAGAGTCATAGGAGAGTTTTTTGTATTGATGTTGAACAAAATTAACTTAAAACGGGAATCCTATTGACAGAGGGTTTAAGGCAAATGGTCCAAAAGTGGATTTTGCGAGGCAGATGGACAAATCAATGTTAACTAAAATGGCTGAAAATAAAAAAAATTGATATAATTTTTTGCTGATTTTTCGTAACAAAATTATTTCATACATCTGCTTTTTACATTGACATGGATTTTTACAATGTAGGACACTTGAAATTATTTGTAAAGCTAGGAAATGGGTCAAAAGTGAATTTCGCGAGACAAAAATGGCGCCCATTTTGAAAATAGGCGAGCTTTTGAACCAGGAGTCATAGGGGAGTTTTCTGTATTGATGTTGAACAGAAACAACTTAAAACAGGAATACTATCGACAGAGGTTTTAAAACGTGCCACTGTTGTTGACGGAAAAGTGGATTTCGTGAGTCAGATGGACAAATCAATGTTAACTAAAATGGCTGAAAATAAAAAAATGGATATAATTTTTCGCTGATTTTTTGTAACAAAATTATTTCATATATCTACTCTTAACATTGACATGGATTTTTACAATGTAGGACACCTGAAATTATTTGTAAAGCTAGGAAATGGGTCAAAAGTGAATTTCGCGAGACAAAAATGGCGGCCATTTTGAAAATAGGCGAGCTTTTGGACCAGGAGTCATAGGGGAGTTTTTTGTATGGATGTTGAACAGAAATAACTTAAAACAGGAATCCTATCGACAGAGGTTTTAAAACGTGCCACTATTGTTGACGGACGGACGGACGCACGGACGGACGGACGGACAGACAGACGGACGAGTGAGTGATTGCAAAAGCTCACCATGTGAGCTAATAATAAAAAACATTTACTTACATTTACTCAACCATTCATCCTCTTTGGGCTTAGTTTTTTCTTTGACCTGTTTCTCTCTTATCTGCTTCTGCAGCAATGTTAGAGATATCATTGTCAGAGTTTTACCAAGACCCATATCATCGGCTGAAATTCAAAAAAAATAATACTGAATAATTTTACTGTTTGGTATGCTTATGCTATGATAATGGTAATGATTTCTTGTATCGCAACCAAATTATTACTATATTTGGAGATGATACACACACTAGTGAGCTTCCTCGTCAAACTATTGTATATTTATTCTATATCTTACCCTACTATCACACCAAACTAGTTCTCACTACGTTCTCGAAAACAGGCTTAAACTGTGCACGAACGGATTTGACGTACTACGAACCCACTAAGAACCGTTTGGGATCTGTTTACAAACTTCATGAAACTACTAGAACGAGTAGGTCCTCCAGCACTTAGAGCATGCTCAACATTTTCTGGTGATCATCAAAACGTTGCCGAATCGGTTTTAAACTGTGTGCGAACTGAATGAACGTAGCTACAACGTCCTACGGTCTGTTTACGAACTTCATGGATTTTCCCGGACGGGGTATGTGATTTAGAATTTTGAATCGATTCAAAATTCGATGGCGACCATACCGTTCTGTAATCAGGTCATGATGACCTTCTAGACTAAGGGACGGTTTATACTACATTGCACACCGACGTGGTGCGAACTGAACGAACTGCGAACGTGATGGACATATTGAAGAAGGTTTATGAACGAAGTAGCTAATTATTTTAGACATATATCCCGACCGCAGCGAGATCGAGCCCGTTTTATGACATTTTCGTAGGACTGGCAAGAACGGGTAAGAACTAGTTTGGTGTGATAGGGGGGTTACATGCATATTCCTAGGCCAATACAACCCACACATTTCCTTAGATGCAACTTACCCAGAATTCCTCCAGCTGGTTCTTGCTGCTCTCGCCATAGCAACCAGGTTAAGGCTTGACGTTGATGTGTCATCAAAGGAACAGTCAATCTCCTGGGATCATCAGTCTCATCTGTGGGAGAGGGACAGCTTTCAAATTGCCTGTAAATAAATTACCCTTATAGGAATGACTATCTTCATTTCACTCTCTATATAGCTGATAAATCTCTGAGCTCAACAAGTCAGTCAGAGCCTATTGTCCCCAAAAATGTTTCTCTCGCTCCATTGTTTGAAAAATAACTAAAGAATGATTGGGGAGCTCAGGCTAGGAAAACAAGGTACTTAATAGAAAGCAGCAGGGTGGATGACTTAAAGGTCAGGTTACTGTGGCTATTTCCTCTTTGGGAATAAGGCAGATTTGCCTGAGTTCCATCTCACTATTGATTAAATAAATAGAGGATATCCTATGATTTATGAGTGATATGATTTTTATCCACGAATGGAAATGATATCTACACGAGCGAGCGTAGCGAGAGAGTGCAGATATCAATATCCATGAGTGGATTAAAATCATATCACGAGTAAATCATAGGATGTTCTATTTATTCCATAGTTAAAGTCATCATCAGAACCGTCGGAAATTAAGTTATTTAATTCGAATTTCCAAACGATCCGGCGATGTTGACACTTAGCCTCGTTTTGAGTCCGAAGTAGCAAAAATCCATAAACCATCGCATACGACGTCGTATGTCATGGCTAAAAAACCGTATGTTATGGTTAAGTGAAAATTTGTCCAAAATATCATATTTTACCACTGATTTCAAAAATACCGTTTTTATTTTCACATGTTATCCTATGAATATCATGCTAACTATGGAATAATTAAGATTATGACATCCTTGGTCAATTTTTGAATGATATAGGCCTATATTTTTTGAATCAAACATTTTCCCAACTTACTCATGTAATCTGTCAATGGCCTCAGTGGTTACCATGCCAACCTTTCGTTGTTGCTCAGCAGTCATTCTACCACCAGCATAAAGGGTCATCATCTGAGGGTTTGCTACAAATTAATCAGCAGATTCATTATATTATTTATATAATGTATCGGCACATAACCCAGTATAACATAGGTGTTATTAAGATTTATTCATGCTTGTCATCATCTAAAGATACATTTGTTTTACGTAGATAGAGCCCATATTATAGAACTATGACAGTAATTTGCATCCAGAGCACAGAACAGTCTTATATATTTACAGTAGTTCATAAATCATATATTGAACCATCCTTTACCTTGAAAGTTGAGTAGCAATGCAATGCTTTTATGAATATAATTTATGGGTAATACAATTGTATCTAAATTAAAAGACATGTTGAATGTGTTGTATTTTACCTGCATACATATTGTGCATGTCCCTAATCTGATGAGACTGCAATGGTTGTGCATATTGAAGCATGCTAGTCTGCTTTGGTTTTATATTGGCTTGCAAATGTGGCTGTTGAGGCAGAACTTTAGCATTAGAACTGACCTGGCCCTGGTCGTTTATTAATCCCTTTGCCTTTGCTTCAGCTAGTGTCATTTTAACAACCTAAAATGTAATTTTTGATAAATACTCTACATATACCACATATCGTATAAGTATGTCATATAACAATTACATCTACAATATGCTAAACAGTATGAAATTATTGTTAACCTATCAATTAGGACTGATGTGCAACAAAAATTTCACACAGGCTGGTTAAAAATAATGACAATCAAGTTATAATTTAATATTTCTATATGATGAAACTATTCCAAACTGCTTTGCATCTTGGTCAGTTTTGTAGCACTAAGATTGGTCAGATTCAAATTATCTTTTTGAAAAAAGTAATACCATACCTTTGCACCAGCTGGTATCTGCATGCCATTAACCATGGTTGGCTGTCTAGCTGGTTGTGGACCATGAGAAACTCCCTGGTTTGTCTGACCTTGAGGCGCCCCCTGGTTTGCTGATTGCAAAGTTAGGGCTTGTATCTGTCTTTCAAGGGTCTGAACCTGTTGCTTTAGTCTCTCCCCCTTGTCAGGTAGGTTCCCTAAAGGAATTGTTTTCAGGAGTTGCTGAAATACATGCAAAAGTCTCATTAATATTTAAGCCTGAATGGGTGGTATTGGGTACATTAATGTATGTGATGGCTATAAATAACATTGATTCATTGAAACAATGATAAATTATTTGCTTTTTCTGAATGAAAAGTCTATTTTAGATATAAAAAAACTTTACAAGAATAATACATGTAGTGTGCTATTTGTTGTTGACAAAATATTCCATACCCTCTTTTCTTTAAGTTGAGCTTCTAACTGCTGTTTTTGGAAATATTGCGATGATGATATGATTTTTGTGGCTTCGATCTTTCCATGCTGTCCCTCTGTGGCTGTGAACTTCACTTGATTTACTCCCTCCTTCTGTGGTGGCTTTACCTCAATTATCTCTAAATCATCATCATCATCTTTGGGAGGATTAGGAATTGATGGAACAGCATCATTTTGGGGGGATTTTAATTTTGATTTCACAGGTGTTCTCCAATCACTGAATGAATCGTTTTGGGAACCTGATGATTTAATTGAACTCACTGAACTTCCTTCTCCAGATTTAATACGTATTCTATCTGCTAGTGACACCCCTATATCTGTATTACTTTTAGATGCACTGTTTGCAATCGCTGCAAATGAGCTCATTGGAGCCTTTGCACTGTTTTCGTTTTTCTGTGCAACATTCTTTTCCTGGGATTTGGGTTTTGTGGTATTTTCTTTGGATTTTTCAGTGGATATATTCATCAGTTTTTCAACATCATTACTAAGTTTACTGAGTTCTGAGTCAGTGTTCAGGAGTTTGGACTGTTCAGCTCTGACAGTGTCTCTACTATTAACTTTTCGGGTTTCTTCAAACACTCTATCCTCGTCACAATCGTCATTATAGATTTTCACAGATGGTTTAATATTGGATTTTTCCATGCTGGGTTTTTGAAGTTTTTCAACCATCTTAGATGTGGGTTGAAGTTTATCCTGTAATGGCAATTTATCATGCTGAAAATACAAGCAAAGTAAATTGAGAAATCGATGAAATTTTAATCAAATGGTGTCAGATATTTAAAACGAGCAACCCCAGAAAGAAATCACCCTTAAGGACAGGCTACCTACCTTTATATCAGACACATCTTTCATGTGTTTTGTTTTACTTGAAATGACATCTTTATTTTCCTGCATCTGCAAAACCAAGAATAAATAAGAATAATTTTTAGTATTTTCCATGTACATGCTCATGAAATTTAAAATCATGTATGTATGATGAGAAGTTCATATATATCTACAAAAATAGTCTCAAGTGAATTGAACAAGATAAAAAGATTTATGGAGAACAAGATTTTTAAAAATTATTTTAACTCTAGAATGTCTTTGGCCAAAGTGATTCCTATGTGAAGAGAGGTGGGCTCTCATTAGGGAGTGGGCACTAAATATGGCAATTATGGTAGGTTAAGATATAGTTAAAAACACCAACCTGTAATGCTTGTAAAACTTTGAATCCGCACCAGCTGTGCTTTCCTTCTGTCTTGCCTGTCAGACAACGATACTGCCACCTGAAATAGGTCAACGGGGCTTGGTATAAGGGGATTTTAAAGAAATCAGCAAAGTTCTATTACAGACCAGTAAAACTTAATGTCTCCAGGTCTCTATCCTCCTAAGCAGGTGTCCAGAATCCGTACCTCCTTCTTCCCCCTGCTATAACCAATTTGGAAGCGCCCGATTTAACTGAATCACGTGATCTAATTATGCGCAATGACTCATACATGCTTTCTGTCGCAGTGTTGCGACAGCCAATCAGATTGCGAGTTCTTAATCGGGGAAAAGGTAACTGCTTATCGCAGGGGGTAAAAAGAAAGAAGTATTCTGGATTTTGAAGCCCTGTGATCGGAGGATGCCAGGTCTCTGAGCCAGTGCTATGTACAGTCCTGTACAGCAGATACATTTCCAAGGCCTTGTTATGTCATGTGATTTCAAACACCAACTGCATTCTACTTCTCTATTAAACTCAATCAGATCTATTATATGCAAGATTGTTATTCATGATAATTTCCAACTATTTAAACCCTTATATGATACAATAGGTAAAAGTAAAATAATTATGAATAAACTGTTCCATACTTCTTTTCTGCTGAGCCTTTTCTCACACCAATGGCCTGTAGTTCTATGGTATCACTTTGATGAATTGGACACGCAACAGCAGGCAAACTGTAAGAAATGTATTTATAATGTTGTAGCATGCAGTAACACTCAACATTATAAATTCATATACTGTAGTTAACAAGATGACCACAAAAGTGCAACACAAGGCATAACATGCAAAATGTCACCACCTGCCATTTGTTAGAGACACTGACTGCCAAATGCCTACCACCAATTGCTAAACACCATCCACAAAAAAATTGGAGAATATAACAATATATCACCACTTCTGATGGTGACATAAAATGGTTAGTCACTAAGTAATGTTTATTATGTAAATCTAAGTGTTTGTTGGTTAATATACAAATTCAGCATCGGATACAGTCACTTTGGGATATGTGGTTTATTAATGTCTATAAAATATGGCTGTGATCTCTGTGCAACTCATAAAGTTTATAGTTTAGTACAAATTTAAAAAGAGGTTGTGCATATGTACCTTGTTTTCTTGATGTATTTACACTGCCCCGTAGGATTTCCACATACATAGTAGCTCAGGCCTTTGTTTGGCCCCTCCTTTGTACCAGTCTTCAAGTAGCATGGATGTTCTAAAAACACCATGGTTTTAATTAATGAAATATTAAAGGAAGACTACACATTAGGTTTCTCCCCCGGACAATCAGTCATATCCAATTGTAATATCTACTGAATTGAGCTTTATCGCAGCAATCGAGGGAAACCCTTTCAAATGATAGGAACACACTATCTTAGCGCGAACAATGAATTACAGTAAAATTTCAAATGTTTGGAACTACTTTGAATCTAAAAAATTTAGCAATTAAAGGACCATATTGAAACAGAATATTTAAAAATAGAAGCTATTCGGTAGCCTCTTATGTTTTGATGGTTCTCTGCCATGTTATTTTCGAAAAAATTAACATGGCTGAAACTCCTCAAATTACAAAAGGCCACAACTTTGCTGCACATTATACATAACTAGGACTTGTGCATGGGTTTCCATTTTTTCATATATGTTGCAATATACTCATTTGATTGCTTATTTTTTAAATGCAAAGTAGTTCTAAACATTTAAAATTTTACTGTACACATCTACACTTGCTATTTGATGAGTGTGCATACTGTATTCTGTAATTTGATTGGTTTGTAGACACCGTTTCTGTCTTGTGCCAAATATAAAACCCATACTTGACGACCAAGTTATTAACATTTGTTTGGGTTATCTTTTTTTGGCTCACACTCTATCAGGCCATTTTACATTAGGTTAGAAAAACAAATAAAACCATGATCATAGTGTGAAAAACTGAAATCAAGGAAATAAAGAGTGATGAGCAGGGATATTTCGTAGGGAATTTCAGTCACAAAAATAATGAGTACAACTTACACTTCCTCCCAGTAACTTAGTATGTATCCAACAGACCGAATATAATATTCGGTCTGTTATGATTGATATATTTCCTGTGGAAATCGCGGTGATATTTTTTGCACATAAATTTCTCGTTTATTACAAGAATGTTCACCTTGAAAATTGGTGAATATGTTGAAGAGATGTTCATCTTAAACTAGAAGCAAAAATATTTGTATAAGGCGGGTACAAGTTGATATAAAATAATGAAATGTTCAGACTCACCAAAACTTCAGGATGTGTTCATAAATAGATCGCGAAATCAATGTCAAGGACGTTTGAGTTCACGAGATCCAAACGAGATATGCAAATTTTTTGAACTTTGACAACACATGACCACTTGATTACCTCGGCCTTCTTCATGAATATTTCCGCTCTATTTACTATAAATGAAGAAAATTAATTGGGATAATGATAATAAATGACTAGATTTAATAAATTCCCGCACAAATGGAATTTATCAATACGCTTCCGTAATGTTGCTCTGTCCGCTCCACGTGTTATTTGTTTACAAATAGACTGACGTCACTGGCTAAATCTTGTTTATCGTGAGAATTGGCATTGCCAAAATGGCTTGACCTAATCAATGGCTTCGCTACAAGAAGCGTCTGTACATTTTAAGAATATCTTCAGTAAGAGGACAATATACGAAAAAATAATATTGTAAGTTCTTTATAAGGTAATCATTTTATCATTAAACAAACTTATTTGTAACATTTATACAACACCACATTTTACAATAGGTGACTTACAGTCTGAATATTTATTCAGACGAAGGATACAGTCTACCCAGTAACTTAGACTCGCACATATGATATCAACAAAAAAGATGACATGCAACAGAAAATCATTATATATTAATTATTTCAGAAATATTTTCAGTTCCTACATTGTTTTCCATCATATAATTCGTGTTGAACATTTTCATTTTCGATTTGAAAATTTCAATGATTGACAAATCAAAAATTTCAAAATAAAAATAGCTTTAGACTAGCCTATTTGCTCTGAAAACCAATGATTGCAAAAATTTAATGAATATGAGACTTATCAACAGTATCTATACTTACTATGGTCATCACAAAATAGAGTCTCCATGGTCAAGAGATGATACAATTATCAAATTTCATCCAAATTTTCAAAAATAAACTCACTTCCGCCAAAGTTTAAAAATGGCTGAGGGAGATTGGACCAATCAAAATTGAGTATTTTAGATTAATAACGCGAAATAAAAACGGGCACCTTGCAGCATTACTGTGCGCAAAATATTATTACTCATTACGCATGCGCAACACACCCTTTAAAAATGACTGAAAATATTTGTCCTGAGAATGGGATTTTCCCAGGCTCCGTACTACCAGTTACCATTGAATCTGCGCTTCCAGATGTTATAGTATGCTGTCTGAAACATGGTAGTAAATCATACCGAGGCATTCTATTGGATATGAACAAAGGGTATGTTTTTATTTCTTATTTTCTGAAAGCCTTTTTGAGACCTGAATCAACAGGATGTTATTGAATGCTTCCATATGATTTTTCAATAGGTACACAAACATTAGCCATAGGTTGTCTATCAATTCTATAAAAAGATGCAAATAAATCAACTTTCAAGTCAGACCAGTCATCAATGGCCTACTAAACTTTGGTTGATGTCTAACTACAAAAGTAGAGTACAATCGGTGACATAAAACAATCTCGCCCAATAGACGTCACACGACAGTTTCAGGGCAAAAATGTATTGAAAATACTATCACTAAATAAAACAGACTACACATCTGTACAAGAAAATCCCAGTTTATCACTTATTTTCCTCCGGTTCTTTCACTTCTATCTTGTATCGTTTACTCCACAATGAGAATTACATGTTTCGTACATTTTTTCTTTCAGGTCTATGCCATACGGAGTCAACGTCGCAGCTTTTAAAGGTCACAATTGGAATAGTCAGCAAAACACCGTAACTGTGGAACCTGAACAACCAAAGGAAAGTGATATCTATAAAGAAGGTGCTATAAAAACAGAAACAACAGGACTTGCAGAGAAAACTCAGCTATCAGCCTTAAGTTTACGTGAAACTTATAATCAAGATACTGAAATTGAACAACAGAATTTTGATAAAAATGTATCGAAAAGCATAACTCGTAGGTTATGTGACAAACGTATCAGGAATATGAGGTTGAGACCACGTCAGGTACTTTGCTCCAATTGTAAAAAGGCCTGCGGGGATACTAAATCAAAAAAGCATCACCAACAAAACAACTCACATTCTAAATCTAGTACTTATAAGACTCAGGACAATATGCATTCTAGCCACAAATTAGAGAATAAGAAACGTAAAATAGAGATTATCGATAAAAATGACAGACAGCGCAAAATGAAAAAAATTAGTGCAGGTGCCGGCGGTGGAAGCCCTGTTTTGAAGATATCCCTTGGTAGGGGTGATGTCATAGAAATACCACGTAATTTGCCAAATGTTGCCTTAGATAGTGCTGAATTTACAAAAGAAGAATCAAAGTTGAATATGCCTAATGGTAGACAGAAGTCACAGAGACACAAAGAAAGACAGAGATTGAGACGAAAAGGCAAAGAGAAATCTCATATGAAAAACAAATCTCATGATTTTCAGGAAAATGTGAGTCCACCATGTGAGAGTTTCCAACAAGACAGCATGGACATAATAGCGATCGATGGAAAGATACCTCAAATTAATTTGGATAATGATATGTTTGATAAAAAACAATATGTTGGGGAAAGTAATTCACCAAGTAATCCTGACAATGCTTCTATAGATACAAATGACCATAACCTTACCAAGCCAAAAACTGAGAAAGTTAACAGTAAAAAATCACCTGAAATTTTACCATTGCAATCAGTTGATGAAACTGACCTTGAAACGGGTGACTTCAGAAATGTATTAAAGTGTGTCACACCTGAAGGTCGTGTGGTGAATATAGGAGATATAATTTGGGGGAAGATAACAGGCTTCCCTTGGTGGCCAGGTCGCGTCATTAACATCACAATACGCAATCAACAATCTGGATATCTGATATCGCAACTTGCTCATATATCCTGGTTTGGCTCAGCAACAATGTCAGTCATGCCTTGTTCTCAAATCCATCCATTTTTAAAGGATTACAAGTCAAGGTACAATAAAAAGAAAAGAGGCTCATATAAAAATGCTGTAAAACAGGCTACTGTTGCTGCCAAGCTTATGGAAGCTGATTTTGATGACGGCGAAGTGGATGTTGATCTAGAATCTGTAGATGAATGAATAAGTACAAGCTGCCATGATTAACAGGTAAAAGTTGGCTAAAAACAAATTCATAAATGACCCCTATGTACTGTTTCACTGAGTTACACTTTAGTTCTTTGAATTGCATATCCAGTTGAATCATGCAAGGTGAATAATATTTTAAGCTAAATCATGGATTTCTATCTTTGATTTCTATTCTAACTGAATTGAAACAAATACTTTAGCCTGGGTTGCCTTCCTTCAAAGTTGACTTTGTGATATTTATTTATGCAAATGTAAACAGAATGCTCTATATTTTAACATGTCCTTAGCTGTGCGAGGATGGTCACACCACACTATAATATCCACACTAATAGACAGTTTAAAATATTTCGGATTTGGTGAGGATATGATTTCATGGGTTGAAACTGTTAATAAAGAAACTAAAAGTTGCATAAACTATGCAGGGTGGTTGTCAGAATGGATTTCTTTGGATTCAGGCATAAGACAGGGGTGCCCTTTGTCACCACTATGTTTTTTGTTATGTGTTGAGCTGGTTGCGTTAAAAATAAGACAAAATAATGAAATCAGGGGAATTAAACTACCAAATAAGTCAGAATTAAAAATAGCTATGTATGCAGATGATTTAACACATTTCTTAAAAGACAAAGATTCATTAGTAAAGGTGATAGATACAATTAATGAGTTTAGAATATTCTCTGGGCTTAGTATAAATAAAAATAAGACAGAGGCAATGTGGCTTGGAACAATGAAACATTCACAAGAAAAAGGGGTCGATATAAAATGGAAATTGCATCCAGAGAATAAAATTAAAATTTTAGGAATAGTATTTTCTGCATCAAAGAAAGTGATTGAAAATATGGATAATCTATTACCAAAATTGGAAAAAATTGAAAACATTATGAAAAGTTGGGTACGAAGGGATTTAACAATTTTTGGAAAAGTGACATTGGTTAAATCATTAATGATGTCACAATTTGGATATATAATACAGGCGTTCATATTACCGGAAGATTTCCTTAACCGTCTTAATACACTGTTTTACAAGTACATCTGGAGTAAAAGTGGTTTTAAAGAATGTGAAATTAAGAAACAACCGGAGAAAATTAAAAGACAGATTTTAAATTTAGATAAAGAAAATGGTGGTCTAAACATGATAAATATGATAGACTTTCAAATCTCATTTGTGGTAAAATGGTTTTCAAAACTGATTGGTGAGGGCATGGATAAATGGAAAATAATTCCAAAAGCTGAATTTTCCAAGTTAGGGGTTAAGTTCAATGTACTCAAAAGCAAGATAGATATGGAAAGCTTTATAGGGATTAATGAAGTAAAGAGTAGTTTTTGGAAAAGGGGGTTAGAAATTTGGTTAACAAAATCTGAAAATAAAAATCTTTTAGATTGTGACATCATTTGGAACAATCTGGACATAACTTTTCAAAAAAGAGTTCTTTATGACAAAAAATGGATTAGAGGGGGGATTAATTATGTGTCTGATTTTATAATAGAAGGTAAATGTTTAACATACAATGAAATAATTAATAAATTAGGCAGAGGCCCAGATGTAATATGTACAAGTAAGAGCAGCTTTGATAAAATATCCAAATAAAATCAATAGGAATGAAAAAATAACTTTTTTAGGGGAAAATATAGAGAAAATAAAAACATGTAATATAAGAAAGAAAATAGTTAGTAGAAGAGGGGTGACAAATAAATCAGAAGCCCATTGGAAAAATCAATATGGTGAGATCCCATTTAAGATAATGTATAGAGTACTTTTTAAGACAAATGTAAATCATAAGGTAAAGGAATTCATATATAAAGTAATAAATGGTGCAATAGAAATTGAAAGAAGATTGAAAAAACAAAAATTATCTGATGGAATGTGTAAAGGATGAGTCTGGGAATGAGTCTGGGTATCGACTTAGAAAATATTGAAAATTGTAATGTCCGAAAAACCAACTCAATCACACATATTATTAAACTTCAATATCTTATCCTTCTTCTGAGATTACTAAAATATCAATTTGTATTACAATTGATGAAGAATATTGGCATCAAAGACAGTGTATATCACTTTGTCAGAATTGAAAAAAAATCAATGGCAAATATTAAATGAATTATTTATACAAAAAGTTTGAAACATATCCTCCAAAACATTGCTTATTTTCTTTGTATAGACATTGAATGGTATTTCTGGATAAGTGAATTTGTGTTTATCTGGGTAATCAAGGGATTATAGTCACTCAAAGTTACTGAGCATCCAGTTTTGAGACTTCAATTGTGTTGGTGAAGTTACACATATTTCAGTCAAATTCATGCTGAGCACAACATTTTGGTTTCAATTTTATAATCCCTATACATGACCCTGGTGATGAAGAGTCAGATTCAGTCAAAAAAACCAAACCGGAAAACTGTGCTCATTGTGAAAACTAAAAGTGAAGTAACTTTTTTCTGATATTTCTTACATCAAATGGCAGCCATCTTGTTTTTCCCCCTTCAAATTAAACTGGCGGGAAATTCAAAAATTTGAAAAAAAATTTAATCCTTAAATATATTTCAAAAATTTGATTTTCTTTTTAATTCTTCATGGGTCTTAGTTATTTCTTCTTTGTATGTCATACATGTTGCCATTGGTGTTTTTTTCTATGATAATGACTATTTTTTGTTTGTTAGGCTTCTTATTCTGACTCTCAGCAGGGGGCTAATTATGCATCAAAACTCATGAAAAAGTAAATATACTTATGAAATATAACTAGGACAGTAATAAAAACCATATTTCACATACATTTGACTGAGGGACGAAAAGGGCATATACCCAGACACATCCTTTGTAAAAATGCTGAGGAATCACAAGAACACCTTTTTTAGAATGTAAATTCAAAAATGAATGGGACAATTTAGAAATTACTAATTTGATTGAAAGAGATAAAATGCTTTTTATGTCCCCACCACATAGTGTGGGGCCATATTGTCGGCCTAGGCGCGTCCGTCTGTCCGTCCGTCTGTCTGTCCGTCTGTCTGTCCGTCTGTCTGTCCGTCCGTACGTCCGGGAGTTTTCTCCAAAACCGCTGCAGATATCACCTTCAAATTTTCAGGGATAATTTATGAGTGCATACAGATGTGGATGAAAAAAAATTAACTCGATACCTACTTCCTGTCGGCCATTTTGAAGTCAAATGCTAAAATCCTTGTCTGCAAACTTTAAGAAAAACGGCTTCACAGTTGCTTTTAAAACTTTAACATCTTGTTCAGCTCACTTCATTCTAGATCTGATTAGGTTTTGGACCTGTTAGCTCAGTCATGTCAGCCATTTTGAATGTTTTAAGAAAAGTTAGCGCACGATAATACTTTGTATCATATTGAATGGTGTTTTTCAGTTTTCATGCTTTAACTTTTTAGTAGCTTTATAAATAATTTCAGGTGTACTTTGTTGTAAAAGCTTATGTTATTGTTAACAGTAGGTATATGTGATAATTTTGTAAAAAGATTTCAGCAAAAACTCATAATCACTTTTTTATTGTCGGCCATTTTGGATTTTTCCGTCCTAAAATCTTGTCTGTAAAGTCTTGTCTACGCGTTTTCAGGTGAACCGTTTGGTAGATCAATTTCAAATTTTCAGGGATGATTCTTAGTATGAGAATCTAGATCTGATTAGTTTTTGGGCATTCTGGGTAAATGTCAAGGCAGCCATTTTGGATTTTCCGTCCTAAAATCGTGTCTGTAAAGTCTTGTCTACGCATTTTCAGGTGAACCGTTTGGTAGATCAATTTCAAATTTTCAGGGATGATTCTCAGTATGAAAATCTAGATCTGATAATTTTTACGGCATTCTGGATAAATGTCAAGGCAGCCATTTTGGATTTTCCGTCTTAAAGTCTTTCCCGTAAAGTCTTGTCTACGCGTTTTTAGGTGAACCGTTTGGTAGATCAATTTCAAATTTTCAGGGATGATTCTTAGTATGAAAATCTAGAACTGATTAGTTTTTGGGCATTCTGGGTAAATGTCAAGGCAGCCATTTTGGATTTTCTGTCCTAAAATCTTGTCTGTAAAGTCTTGTCTACACATTTCCAGGTGAACTGTTTGGTACATCAATTTTAAATTTTCAGGGATGATTCTTAGTATGAAAATCTAGAACAGATTAGTTTTTGGCATTCTGGATAAATGTCAAGGCAGCCATTTTGGATTTTCTGTCCTCAAATCTTGTCTGTAACGTCTTGTTTACATGTTTTCTGGTTAACTGTGTGAGGGATCAATTTCAAATTTTCAGGGGTGGTTCTTAGTATGAAAATCTAGAACTGACTAATTTTTTTGTCATTCTTGGTAAATTTTAAGATGGCCATTTTGGATTCTCCGTCCTCAAATTGTGTCGGTAAAGTCTTGTCTACTCATTTTTAGGATAATCATTTGACAGGATTACCCATAGGTGGGGACATATTGTACACATTTGTGTTCTTGTTTACTTTAGAGAAGATAGCTCATTAGAAAACATGATAGAGATTAATAGTGAAATTTTTATTATTAAACGGAAAATATGGTTAAAAAGATGTCTAGAAATTTTCAATTAAGAAAATGTATTTAGATTTTAAACTATAACAGTATTACGTACATGGTGGGTAACAGTTTTTTTTTTTTGATTTCGCAGATATATTGATTTGTTGTATTGAATGTATTGAAATGTTATATTGAATGTAGTAAATGGATCGAATAAGTGTATTAAATAAATAAATAAAAAATAAATAAAAAAATCCATCCATTTTCTGGTGTCCGATGATGGTAGCATTTGGAATCTTCATCCAATAAAATGCTACATTTTTGTTTAGTAATTAAAATACATTTTTTATGAAAGATGGTTGCCATTTTGAAATTCAATGGCAATCTTGGAAATTTCTAATTGAGCAGAGCTAGCTCCTTCTCCTTTGTCCTTAGGCATCAGCTGGGCATATCATATTTGGACCAAATCTGTCCACTGCATTCGAGTTATCGAAGATTTTTTTTTTTAAGGAAAATGATAGGAATTTTGAAATTCAGTGGCCATTTTGAATATCTCTTTTTGTGCAAAGCTCCTTTGTCCCTATCAGCATATAAAATTTGAATCAAATCCATCAACTAGTATTTGGTATTTCAGTTAGTATCAAGAACAGCTATTATATATGTATATAAGCACCATGAACTTAATAACGCAAATGCGAGTAGGTAGTTACCAGTTTCACCACCAGGTGGCTCGCTCGGGTCAGATAGCATGGCGGGTATAGTAGAAAGTACATCTGTTTTAGTGGTTCAATTTTCATATAGCCCTTATGTATCGAATACACAGCCAATATAATTCGACGCCGTTTCGTCATCGAAAAAATTCGGCACCGTTCCGGCACCGTTTCGACACCGTTCCAGCACCGAAAACTTTCAACACCAGAATTTGCTACCGGACTAGTCAGTCCATTTGGTGCCATTTCGACACCGAAATTTGGCACCGAAACGGCGTCGAAAATCAGATTGCATTTTGGGGGTGTAGTTATGCAAATTAAAGTATGTCCAGTAAAAGAAAATGTTATACGTCCAATACAAGAAAAGATATTTCAATTTTTGTGATTTTTAATATGGGGTCTATAAGGAATCAACCCGAACTAGAAGTCACATTTTCAAAATAGATTAAATTTTCAAAGTTGATAAACAATTTTCAAAACCATATTTTTAGATGTATTTTTACATGAAGATTTCAAATATGACATCACTTTGACTGAATTTTGAATATTTAATGACGTAAGTCAAGATCATTTCTACTCGCATCTGATCTATTCAGTAAGATAATAATTTACTAGAAATTAAATTCAAATAAACAATGATGTTTTTCTTCTATTCCAGGATGACTACCCTAATCTCTTTGGCTAAATTCACTACCCTCTGAGTAGAACAGATCATTTAACAGTTTGGTGTTAAACCAATCAGAGAGCATCAAAGTTTAAATCAATGGACATCACAGAAAATCATGGCGAAGCAACAAAGTCAATGCAGTCGACAAAGCAATGCGATTAACTCTGATTGGGTCGTGTTGAGAAGTTAATTGATAATGGAGAGTATGAGAGAAAATTGCTGTTCGTTTTTGTAAAGGGTAATTTAGGACCAACATTATTCCATTTCTCTGTTGCACAACCAACCATTTGCAGATCATTGTGGTACTTTAAACTTCAGGAATAGGCTAGTGCAACTGTCACAATCATTGTAAGTGACTATACAAGGTGCGTTTTATTTCAGCCATTTCTGAAATAGGGCTTACAATATGGTGCATACATCAATCAAGTTCAAAATATTTCAGGTTTAAAGGCTTGAATCTTGCCAAATTTTGAAATGCAGAATTTGAATTATTTCAAAAAATGCTGTCTCCACGGAAACTGATCAGGCCAATAGGGCTGATTTTAGCATATATCCCATTTCACATTTTAAGAAATGTGTCACCATAAAGTGTTCCAATTCATCAATCAATATTTGCTGCAATAACTTTTTCTATTTTTTTTGTTAAATGTGATTTTGTGTGACATGAGTGTAATGTGAATCCATTTATTCACATCAGTATCGGTGTATGTGATTGTAGCTTACATTTAGTATTCATTTGAATCGGTATATTAACCAGTTATTATACATTATATGTATTACCCATAATAATATAGTACTATGTAGTAGTGTGCAAAATTGGATATTGTGTCATAAATTTTCTGCTTATAATTATTACTAAGAAATACCAGTGTTCCATATGTCTACCATTACATGCACATGTGCCCCCCTGGGTAATACGTGTCCTGCAACCATATTAATTGATTGATGGGCGACTCCACACTTATTACCCAGGGGGCACCTGTGATTACATGTTGGGAATTTGTGCCATATAGCATGATACATTTGAGTACTCAAAGGTTCTATTCCGAACAGCATAAACAATTATCTTACTAGTATTCCATATTGTAACAGTAATGAGATAATATCTACCTCAGATCTGCAGTAACACTGAAGAGCAAGTATAATTGCATGTATTTGCTTTCTTAAGGCACAAACAGGTGTATTCGTCCGCCGAAAGCAGGACTCCAGACATCATCCACTAAGTTCTCTCCTTCTTGGAAGAAGGGGGTACAAGTGGAGGCATGTGTTCGGAGGATGGTTATATTTCACTCTGAATTCTACACATCATCAATTTTGTTTGTCATATAACAGGTAATGGTATTAGCACATTGTTTTTATCAAAGGGAATTCACATTTTAAATTAAAAAGTCTATTTCATAATCTGAAACATGTGAAGTGGAACACCTCGGTTAGTGAAACACTTTTCAGGGTCCCAAAACCAACTGATTTAATGTTAAATGAGCCTCTATCAGTGGAACATCTACTAAGTGGAACACTTTTTAGAGGTACCAAATGTGTTCCACTTAGACATGTTTTAATGTATGTATGATTTAGTGTGGAGCTTATAAGTTGGTGCTTAACTAACCTCTCTGACACATATAAATTACATGTGTAATAGTCTCCCTCTGTTGTATTGGGGAAGATTTTATATTAGGGACACCAAACTTGAATCTAGACCTAGTATACATTATAGTATTTACAATTGAATTACAAATGCTTGGTGAACTTGTGGAATCACTGTATTAAATACTACATGTACGGTATTTATGTTCCAAAACTGCACAAAAAACGTATTCATAAGGCAGTTTGTCATCTGATACTCAACACATCTTTCTGCCTTCAATTAGAAATAATTAAATAGAAGACCATGATTTTTCATGATGGCAGTTTGTAGAGTTTGTGTAGTGTTAGTGTAGCCACTAGCAAACAAAGTTCATGTGAGGTATCTGCTAGGGTAGACAGAGATGTGATGCACAATCACTTATTATTTTGTTTCACTACTTTGATATATTTTATTTTGAATTTTTAGTATTGCAGTACAGTTCAAATTTTGCTCTGATTCAGTGAACAGAGTTAGACATCTTAGTGAAGATCATGTAGTTATGGTTGTAGAATAATATACAAGGTGTCCATGAAGTCTCTCTACACTTTAAACAGTCTTTGTCACTGGTGATCCACTCGATTACGGTTGTTACCGAAATGGTTCGTTTCGGTAACAAAATGTCGGAACGTCGAAGGTACGATTTTTCTTTTTTCCAGATCTTAACTGTTTTTCGAAATACCGTTATGTAACTTAAGTGAAGAATTAAATCGACGATGCCTTTGTCTTCTGAACTATTTGTTCGCAAATGTGTACATTTTCATAAGCATATGATACTGATACACGTTTGTGATCAGTATCATACTTTCCACATTCCAACATTTTGTTACCAAAACGGTTCCAGCATAATTGAGTGGATCACCAGTGCTTTGTGTCGTAATTGTACAGAAACTGTATTGACACTGTATAGATACTTTAGAGTTAGACATCTGAGTAAAGAATATGTCATTATGGCTATATAATAATATACAGGGTGTTCATAAAATCTCTACACTTTAAACAGGCTTTGTGTTGTAATTGTAAAGAGTTGTTATGGACACCCTATATATTAACTTTGATGTGAAAATTGGATGAACAGTTAACAGTATTGTTAGTTAAACACTGGAGTCAGTAACAGAAACTTTGTAAAGTTAAGATTTCTTAAATCAAATGTTGTAACCATGGTGATATTGGTGCCAATAGCAACATTTAGGAGTTCTTAACCATACAAAGTTTCTGTTAATAACCCTCAGGTTCTAGTCTTTATTTCACTGAAGACTGAAGGGGTTTTCTGTAAAAATTATCTACTGAGAAATTTATAAGTTGTGAGCGTGTATTCCATGAATAGTCATAGTTTGAGGAGAATATACTTTGTGAATTCATCAATTTAAGAATACCTTTATGACATGCATGGATCCAGGCTATAATAAGATTTAAATAATTTTCCCTTTGTTTGATGTTTTATGTGAAACTGAAACAGATAGTTAAGTGTAAAGAAGCCACAATCAAAAATATTCGAGTTTTAATTTGCCTCTGATTTTGTGCAATAGGAAAAGATACCGAACCGAACACACAGATATTTTATAATTTACTTGTAATTCACCAAAATATGATATCTAAAGTTCACAAAAATATGGTACTCATGATTAGTATTGTAGTACATGTAATTAATTTGTTGTGTTTAAGATGTTTTATAAACTTTAAATATTACTTTAGTTTATGTTATATGTAATTTGTTAAGCACATTTAGATGTTTTATTAAATCAATACTAATACTAAAAGCTTTGTTCCTTGTCAAGCTGAGTAGTGATTCTGTCAATATAATTGCAACTAAGAAAACAAAGAAAGCCATTACTTCACCTTAAATAGTTGTATTGTCATGAATTGTACAGGTATAACATTCAATCAATAAAATGGTATGAGTCATTGTTTCCCGATACTGCATATAATAATATACAGTAAACTTGTCAGAGGTTTTTATGTCACCATCACAAGTGGTGACATATTGTTATAGTCCCCAACTTTTTGTGGATAGTGTTCAGTGGTTGTTGTTTGGCAGCTGATGTTTGATGTAACAAATGGCAGGTGGTGACATTTTGCATGTTAATGCCTTGTGAAAACATGTGATTCAGTGGGATATTTAAAAAACATTTCCCTAAGACAGGGCTTCAAGATCGAGAACAGATTCTGAGCATCTGTTACAATGAAAGATGTTAAAAAAATAGAACTGAAAAGTATTCAGATTTTACTAATTCCAATCAATGTAGTGAGGTGTTCACATGCATGAGTTTTAGTTTATTATGAACAGCTCATTTGTTCATTTGTCATATGTTAATGTATACGCCTATGTGTTCATTTTGGCAATTACTGCAATGTTTTATTTTATGAGAGTGTTTTTGATGTATCACATTGTACAGTACTATACAATAGAATAAGTCTACTCTATGTACAAAAATATATAATTGTGCAATGAATCAATGATAAGAATGATATTGTTTCTTGTTGAATGTAGTTTTCATCTTCATGTGATTCTATTCATGTAATGTGTTGGGTCTTTTTTGTAAACAAGCAATGTATTAGTACGATGTATGTATAGACTACATGTACAAGTCAAGTAGCAATATGTTAATGTGAGCAAAGATAAATTGATTCATTAGCACTGTTCCGCAACTGGTTACTTTGAAGGAACGTCAATGTAACAAAATGGATGAACAAGTATTTTGTTTCCTCGGTTTAAACTTACGTATAAGTCATGTTGCAGATTATCTTTTGGCACAAAGTTAGACAATACAGTTTAGCTTTTAGAAATGCTCTCGGTTTGGAATTTTATTTTTAAATAGAGCTATAATTCATGCATTTAGACCATCACTTTTGTTACATTGACATTAGTCTATAAAGTAACATACATTGGTAATATAAGGGACTTTTGTCAATGTAACAAAAGCGAGGGGTTATATTTGCAACTTCATTTACAAAACAAATTCCAAATCGAAGAAACTTATTATCTCTAAATTGTGTGCCAAATTGTAATCTGCAACTTAACTTATAAGTTGGTTTAAATCGAGAAAACAAAAAAACTCTTGACCAGGAAGTTCATCCATTTTGTTACATTGACGTTCCGTCAAAGTAACTAGTTGTGGAACAGTGATTAGGAGCTTTAGAGAATACTAAGTTAACATCTACATTACACCATATATTATCACAAATTAGTGTAATTAGCATATCTGAATTGATACTGGCAATTTGCCATAGTTGAACATTTATAACATGGTGTTTCATTTAGTGGTTCATTTTTTGTAAATTATAAACAAGTATTTGCTTTCTAAATGTCAATGACTTGTTATTGATTGTTCAACGAAATATTGTTTTTTTTTTATTTCTATTGGTCATTTGTAATATAACTGAATAAAACTTAAACAATGAAATATAACATAAGTCGTGTTTGATTAATATTTATTTTTTTAAATTTTATTTTGCCCATTTTCAAAACTACATGTACATTGTATTTTCTAAAATGGATAAGACCATTTATTGAATCTTTGAAAAACAAAAACCCTCTGAAAAAGAAATATTATTTCAATGTTATGAAAAGCAAAAAAGGTTCATCACCAGAATTGAAAAGTATGTATGCTTTTTGGTTCACATGACAAACCTACTGAATCAACAACTTGCCTGTCTGTCCCTCCGTCCATGTCTCCTTCCAACCATCAACAAATTACGGACAAGAGAAAAATGCAATTCATCTGAATAATACTCATGTGATATCTATTCTATATAGGTAATTTATTTACACCATTTTACCTGGCTCCTACTTTTGCTTTATATGGGAGAATTGGATTACTTCACTGTCTGAGCCAAATGACTAGTAGTGACATCTTTGTAATGCATGAATCCAGAGGATACACGCTTGAGTCAATGTTTGAATCGCTCATGAATTTGTTAAGGGCCTTAAGCCAAGAATTATTCATTCTTAAAAAATTCCAATTGACCATTATGGAAATAATTTTTGGCCCCCTGGCTACGGGCCAGATTTCGTACTATCCAACATGTGTAATGACACATGATCATGCCTACATTACAACAATTACATCCTACTAGTGCCACCGATAGTGTGATAATGAATATAATGTAGTAAGCTTGACTACTTGAATCTTATAATCATCTCCACAACACTTAATTTCTAGTAATATTGAAATTGACACAATATCCTCCTTAGGACTCCAGACTCCAAATGACTACTGCATGATGACACGTTTACAATTGTTTTATAATGTTGTCTATTTTTTCTATTGTTGAAGTTGACAAAGTATCCTCCTTGCCACTCTGGACAGCCAAATGACAACTTGATAATAGTGGTTTTATAATGTATGTCTGTTTTTCTCTCTATTTTCCATTGTTGTTGAAGTTTACAGAATATCCTCCTGTATTTGGATCCTGCACCAGATTGAAGTTATTGGTGGAAAGTCCAAATGGTTTCAGTACCATGTTACCCAAATCTTTTAGCTTGCCTGAAATATATCAATAAAATTGTTAAATATGGGCGGAAATTGTCAAACTTTTTTCAGTGAGTACACATTAAATGATACAACATTGAGCAGTTTATGGCTCATTAAATCTTATTGTTAGTAATATGTTTATTGCTTTGTTTAAAAAAAATGTTTCATATTTCTGCAATATTTTCCCAATAGCGAATATCAAAAATATACTCAATGTTGACTTCCGCTACTCAAATAAAGCTTAACCTAAGGTAAGTTAATGGATGAGTAATCTGCCTTTTTAACGTGTACATTATATGTAGGCTCTAAAGGTCATCATAGTCTGCAGCCCATCTTAATTTAAATTACTATGGGTGTTATTTTAATACTTTACATACCCATCATTTCAGCCTTCAATTTTTCATTTCTTTCTTTTATTTGATCTGGAAGACGCTGGAATTAAAGTCAATGCACTTCATGAGTTGTCCATTTCAATGGAGTTATCACATGAGAATGAGTATACAGTCAGAATACACAGAGGAAAGGTCAATTTTGCAAGTACATGTACAGTTAAATCTGCAGAGTGGAACACCTCTAGAAGTGGAGCACATCTTTAAGTGGAACACTTTTCAGAGTCCCAATACCAACTGACACTTATTGTTAAAGGGATCCAACACCTTACAAAACTTCTTAACGGAGAGGAATAAGGGAAAATGCTTGCCGGATTCTGAATCTGTGTATTTTTTAATGATTTTTCACTGTCTTAGAATTTCAATTTTTTTCCTTTAGTGGAATCAATTGGTGCAAGGCCCCCATAGGGACCTTGCGTTTTCATACTAAAGTTCGTTTTGGAGTTTTTTCTTATTGTTCTATGTATTTCAAGACATTTTAGAGACAGGGCCCTTTTTCTAAAGCCCTTTTTAGAAAAATAATTGAGATTACAGAGGATACCCATTATTACTGCTTTTTAACACAACATTAACAGAAAATTCAAATTTCAAACTCCTTATCTCACTATAATTCACCAATGAAAAATGCAAGTTGAGCAACCAAACTTGGCACAAAGTTGGACCCTAAGATAAGCTCTAATCTGAGGGGTTCGATCTTTTGTGAAATCATATATTTGCCTAGCAACCACATAGCAACCATCTAAAATAACATATTTTACAATATAAATCCACTTAATATATGCTAGGATGCTATAAGACCATTACAAAAAGTCTTCTTATCCTAAAATACAACAATTCAAACATATTTACAAAAGTGACATTACCATGTTGCATAGCAACAGCATGGCAACAGGTTACAATGCCCATTTTGACATTTGCACATCATATTCCTATTATATGCTCACTTGTATGCTTTTGGATCCCTTCCAAATTATCTCTTAACGTACAGAAATTGTATTTAAGCATAAATGATTTCCCTAGCAACTTCCTAGCAATGGCTTGAAATAATGGTTAAATTTGCCTAGCAATGACCTAGCAACAGCTTAAAATAGCAACGTATCTCATTAAAATCTCACTAAATGTCCACTATATGTGCTTGAAGAAAATCAACATGTCTTAAGTTATAAAGCTTTATTGCTGCACACTCAAAAATCTGTAGTCTCTTGTGTAAAGCATGATGGGACATTTCTTGTCTTATTTCTTATCAAATTGCAAAAGTCCTGCAATTCATGTTTCAGTTCTGAGATAAAGTAAACACAAAATATTCATCGTATTTATCCTTGTTACATTTTTAGCATTGATACCCCTAAGATAATACTTTATTCAGGTTAATTGCTACAATTTCCTTTGCAGTTGCATAGTTTCGATGCAGTAGAATGCACCATGGCATTTGCAGTTCCCTTTGCAGTCACATTTGGTGCATCCACATTTAATTATGACTTTACATGCCTCGGATGCTTGCAACAGTATTGTCCATCTGGGTACCCATAATCCTGATGCGCACCTAAACCATCCCCATAGGTTTGGTGAAGGAAAAACTGGATCCACCATATAACATTGCCCCCATACATGTGCTCCTTGGAGAGCTGCTCGCATGACATGATAGAGTGCTGCATCTCATGTTGGAGGTACTCTATCGGGATCCATCTGTCATGAGTGAACATGTGCCTGCGCATGGTATTGAGATTTGTCCCACTGTTTGTAGGCTGGTAAACCAGGATAATGAACCTCTCAGTTGTGTCCATAACTTCTGTTGTTACGGTTGAAGGGCGATCTGCCAGAGTCAAAAGGACACCTGTTAGATCATTACATAAGTTCCATTGCTTGAAAACTGTCACCTTGCTCTGATGGTAAAGTCCAGATGTGGTGGGTGTGGAACATTGGCAGCACACATAATCTTTGTGGTCCTAGTGCTCTAGCAATCACATGAACTGGAATGTAGCGATTCGTTTTGCATTTTGAAAATGCTACATAGACCTCTAGTTGAAAGCCCATGCTCAGAAGCACAGGCTAAGGCTATCACAAGTACATTACTGTCTACTGATCTTATCATAAATGTCCTGCAACCTTTTCCCACACCATGAGACACATCCAAAAACATATATGTATCTGCCTCATGACATCGTTAATTTTCCACATTTGGATAGTAATATTCCACTGAACCTAGCATATGGGGTTTATGTATCCCAGCAGGGCGTGTTCAAAATAATATATAGATAAATACTATATAGATTTTAAATCAAGACACCATATTTTACTGATTAAATCATTAGGTCAAGGTTATACTTGTTAAAAGCTTAAAATCCTTTCTGGGCTTTGCTGAAACCATGGGCTGAAACATACAAGTCATTAATTTCAAAGTTTCAAGTTTTACCATTTGAGATGCTGAAGGATGTAGGAATTGTGCAAAGAGCTCTATCTTTCAAGAAAGTCTTGCCAATTGCTTGGTAGTTTGGTGGTAGGATAGGATTTCTCAGAAACAATGAAAACAAGATAGAGTTCTTTGCACTACTAGCAACTGTTACAAGACATATTATGGCAGATGACAGAGTCTTTGTCTCAACCATTGAAGGAGAGTACATCAGTTATCCTGCTAATTATGACATAATAGTCCCTGCTCCCAGGAAGAGGCAGATGTTTTTGGATGTGTCTTATGGTGTCGGAAAAGGTTGCAGGACATTTATGATAATCTCGGTGGACAGTAATGTTGTGATAGCCTGTGCCTCTGGGCTACAGATTGAGATCTATGTAGCATTTTCAAAAGGCAAAACTAATGCTGCATTCCAATTTATGAATTTGCTTGAGCATTAAGACCACAAAGATCATGTGCGATGCCAATGTTCCACACCCTTACTGGAACTGATACCACATCTGGATTTTGCCATCATAGCAAGGTGACAGTTTTCAAGCAATGGAACTTTTGTAATGGTCTTACAGGTGCCCTTTTGACAGGAAGCACATGTATGGGGGCAGTGGTATAAAATGGATCCAGCTCTTCCTTCACCAAGCCTATGGGGATGGTTTAGGGGCCCATCAGGATTGTAGGTGCCCAGATGGACAATATTGCCCAAGCATCCAAAGCATGTAAAGTCATAATTAAATGTGGATGTACCAAATGTGACTACAAAGGGAACTGCAAATGCTGTGGTGCATTCTACTGCATAGAACTATGCACTAGACCTGCAAAGGAAATTGAAGCAATTCACCAAAATAAAGTATTATCTTAGGGGTATCAATGCTGAAAATGTATCAGGTATCAATGTGATGAATATTTCATGTTTACTTTATCTCAGAACTGAAACATGAATTGCAATTTGATATATATAAGACAATAAATCATGCTTTACACAAGAGACTAAAGATTTTTAAGTGAGCAACTATAAAGCTTTATAAATCATAAAAGACATATACATTAAATATTGATTTTCTTCAAGTACATATAGTGTATATATCGTGAAATTCTTATGAGAAACATTGCTATTTTAAGATGTTGCAAGGTCGTTGCTAGGCAAAGTTGACCTTTATTTCAAGCCGTTGCTAGGGAAAATGGTCAGACATAAATGCATCAATACATTTGCTATATGTTAAGAAATAATGTGGAAGAGATCCAGAAGCAGTGAACATATAATAGATATATGGTCTGCAAATGTCAAAATGGACATTGTAACCTGCTGCCATGTTGTTGCTATGCAACATGGTGATGTCACTTCTGTAAATATGTTAAAATTGTTATATTTTAGGATAAGAAGACTTTTTTTGTAATGGTCTTATAGCATCCTAGCATATATTAAGTGGATTTATATTGTAAAATATGTTATTTTAGGCAGTTGCCACGTGGTTGCTAGGCAAATATATGATTTCACAAAAAATCAAAGCCCTAAGATTAGAGTTTATCCTAGGATCTAACTCTGTGCCAAGTTTGGTTGCTCAATTCCCATTCTCCATTGGTGAATTATAGTGACATAAGGAGTTTGGAATTGGAATTTTCTGTTAAAATTGTGTTAAAAAGCAGAAATAACAGGTATCATGTGTTATCTCAATTATTTTTCTAAAAAGGGCTTTAGAAAAAGGGCCCTGTCTCTAAAATATCTTTAAATACATAAAACTATGAGAAAAAACTCAAAAACAAACTTTAGTATGAAAACGCAAGATCATTCACCAATTGATTCCGCTACTTTGAAAAAATGAGATTTGCATTGTTTTCCAATTAGAAAAATGAGTAAACATGAATAGCTCGAAATCTAACGGTGAGATTTTGTTTTAAAAAATCATGGATATCAAGGCTAAATATAGCTACTGTATAACACAATGTATTCGCGTGCATGATGAATTTGCGTAAATTCGCGAGGGTATGTATTCGCAAATTCATCGTGTAGCGAAATAAATATGTAGGCTACTAAGCCATAAAATGAAAATTGTTAAATGTGATGGCGCCATTTCCAAAGTTTACCATAGGGTTATTTTTGTAAACAGTCAACCTTGAATGTATTGATGTTTGCAAACCAGTAAATAAAACAAATATGTTTATAATCATCGTGTTTATTGCTTCATATTGTAAAATAAAACATCATACCATAAAAAACTATTGTTGTTGTTATTGTTGTTTAAAACATGTAAAAACAAGTCAAACGTCCAGATCAAACTTATGATAAATCATCAGTGATTTTCTCCATAGATTTGTAATTTGATCGGCGTACTATTCTGAAGTCAATTAGAATCCAAGTATCAGTCATGCAGGATTCCCAAGTATCCACGAGAACTAGTGGTGTGCACCCGTGGTACATTTCTTAATCGATTATCGAAAAATAATAATTGATCAATTATCGATTAATTGATTCTAACATATTTTTATATAACAAGTCCCGGTTAAGTTTTTTGAGCAGAAATTTATTGGCGACGTTGTAGCTTTTCCCCTGGAGTCGTCGCCATTTCTTGACCGTTTCTAGACTGAATAAAATTATAACTTTTAAATACACCAACATTCACCTTCCATTTGATTGCATACTTGTATTGAAGAAACTTATGGGATATATTGGATCAGTAAAACACAAAAAAACAAAGGTAAGCGTCGGTATTCAGGGTAATTAGTTTGTTTGGCAGTTTGAGCTTAGCGTGTCAGGTCTCAAATCAGTCAATGACGTCACGTAAGCTTACTCGCGGCGATTAACCTTATTATAAACAAAGCGCTATTCATAGAATTAATTCTTTATTGGCCGAGTCAAATATGTGGTCAAACAATCACCAGGGGAATCTCATTTAAATTGATACATGCATAATTCGCGATGGGCACAAAACGCAAAATTAAAATGACGCAAATTAATGATGTAAATGAAAAACGCAAAAATTTAATGCGCAGATTTAATGTGTTATACAGTATACAGTAAACATAAAAAAGCAATGCTTGGACTCTTCATATTCACACAAAAAATTAATTAGTAAATGAGGTTTGATATTTGTGAGAATAAGTTGTACGAGGTGCAATGCTCTACAAACACCAGACTACAGGGTGGATTAGGATCAATGACACACATAAAAATTAATTTAAAAATATTTCATGATAATTATCTCAAACAAAAGCAGTTAGCGAAGGATACATTTCATTACACTCAATAAATAGTTATCACTTTTGTCTATATATACATATCTCATGGGAATGTATTTCCATCTGCTCAAGATATCATATTTTAGCTTCGAAAACCACAATTGTTGGATAATACATTTGTCTCAGAATGACAGCCACCCTGTAGCAATGTAGCTTTCACTTGAAGTGTACCCTAGAGAATAATGAACTTACTTTCAAATTGGTCTTGCTTTTGTGGTGTATGTGGCTTTTTAGCAAATCTGCCACGCTCATTTCTTTCCAGAACCATCTTGTTCAAATGTATCACTAAACGCGCATGTATAGACAGATGACATAGATACTGTATACATATAAATTATATATTGCACCTGTATTTACATACATGGGAATATATTCCCTGTGGAAAAATGCAAATGCATGAACATATATTTTCATCTTATATATGACTTCAAGCTAACATATCATTTCATATTTATATTTTCATAGTTAGTTTAACATGAATAATAGATCCATGAGAACAATATTCTTTGTTTTTTTTTAATTGATGGGTTTACTGTGAATTCAATAAATTATAATTTGCAAGGGGTAAATATACTGTATGAGCTAGCTAGTGGCTTTGTATTTTATGTTAGGCCAGGGTAATTAAATTAGTTGTTTCTCTTTCTTCTATTTTTCAAAATTGATACGGGAATGACGGTTTTATATTACCTTTTTTGTCTATCTAAAATGCTGATGAGGGACGGGATGATTTTTTTCTTTAAAATAACTGTAAAAACAAATAACTTATTTTGAAGGAAATAAACTGAGTTTATGTTGAATTTATATGTTGAATTTAGCCAACTTTACTGGTATATTTGATCATATATCAGTACCATGATATTGTCAATTATCCTGATCCATAAAAAGTAAAAAAAAAGTGTTTCACACGCCATGGATGCGCGCGAGGTACGGTGTTTTTTTCTCAGAAATGGCAAAAAAAGGTGGAGGGGGATTGAGCCACACGCGGGCAAGAATGAGAAACAACTAATTTAATTACCCTAACCTTAGTTCATCCAGTAGTACGTTTTTACTGCAAACTAGTGTTTTTATATGCAGCTTAATAGCATAAAATATGTTGAATGAAGCATATGGTGTGGATTAGTCGTGTGACACACAAACTGACCAATACATGAGGGTATTAGCTACTTTTCACATAAACCAAAGGAGGACAGTGCTTTTATTTCAACTGGGAGCTTACCTCCACACGACTGATCATGTGACCATGGTGGTGGTCCCCTTTAAGATAACCTCTTTAAGTGGAACATCTCTCAGTCCCAAGTGGAACACTTTTTAGAGGTACCAGATGTGTTCCACTTAGACAGGTATTTTTGTTTATTCGACAGCAGACTGATATTTTTTTTATTAAATAGAACTTATTACTTGATTACGATGACTATGCATTACATAGGTTGATGATGATTCACAGATTCAGATGTGTTTTTGTACTACACATTCTGATTGGACAAGCTAGGTTATCACATGACATAGTTTATGAATCAATGACCTACCATGCAGGCTGATCGTGCGACATGCATTGTGGGATCAAGCTCCAATAAACGTTGATAATCTCCCAATGCTTCATCTAATTTATCTGTTTTCTCGTAAAGTTCTGCTCTTCTAAGAATAGCTTTAAGATAAACTGAGTTCAGTTCCACCGCCTTACTGCAGTCTTCTATGGCACCCTTGTCATCATCCTTGAATTAAAAAAAATAACATACAACACCTTGTAATGTACATATCCATAAACAGGAAAGTGTGTTAATTTGAAATATAGGAATAATAGTAAGATATGGGCTGATGTGAAAAAGTAACTCTACTTTGGGGGGGAATTGAACCCACAACCTCCCAATTACATGTAGGATGCAATAAATTTCTAAAACAAGCAAGTATATCCTTATAAAGTTCAGACTAGTATAGCACACTTTTAACCTATACATGCACTTAGTGAATTAGAGAGGTTTCACTTACTTAGTAATACATGTAGTATACATTTAGATTATAACATACCTATGATGATGTATAGTGTAACCTGTTCACAAGACAGCGGGCCAATATAACTTTTGAAAAGCCCGCGCCCACTAACTTTCTGATTTGTCAAGCGCTGGGACTACGTCATACATTAGGCCTATAGGTCAAATTGACTCGTACATTCGTAAGATACAAACATGGGAACAAGGCATTAACATGACAAAATGTCACCACCTAAAACAATTTGGTCAATTTAAAGCAAGTTGGAAAATACCTTTTGACCTTAAGAAGAACTTCTGAGAACATGTAGATGATTTTGAAAAAAAAATTAGTCAATTTGAAGCAAGTTGAAAAAAGACCTTTTTGACCTTGAGAAGGTCATTGAAGGTCAAAGGTCAAATCTCAAGTCAGATATGAACTTCTGAGAACTTGTAAAGTCAAATTTGAACTTCTGAAAAGATGTAGATGATTTTGAAAAAAAATTTTAGTCAATTTGAAGGAAGATGAAAAAATACCTTTTTGACCTTTTTTGACATTGAGAAGGTCATTGAAGGTCAAATGTCAAATCTAAAGTCAGATTTGAATTTCTGAGAACGTGTAGATGATTTTATAAAAAAAATTTAGTCAATTTGAAGCAAGTTGAAAAAAGACCTTTTTGACCTTTTTTGACTTTGAGAAGGTCATTCAAGGTCAAATGTCAAATCTTAAGTCAAATCTAAAGTCAGATTTGAATTTCTGAGAACACGTAGATGATTTTGAAAATTTTTTTTAGTCAATTTGAAGCAAGTTGAAAACAGACCTTTTTGACCTTTTTTGACCTTGAGAAGGTCATTGAAGGTCAAATGTCAAATCTTAAGTCAGATTTGAATTTCTGAGAACACGTAGATGATTTTGAAAAAAAAATTCAGTCAATTTGAAGCAAGTTGAAAACAGACCTTTTTGACCTTTTTTGACTTTGAGAAGGTCATTGAAGGTCAAATGTCAAATCTAAAGTCAGATTTGAAGGTCAAATGTCAAATCTAAAGTCAAATCTAAAGTCAGATTTGAATTTCTGAGAACATGTAGATGATTTTGAAAAAAAATTTAGTCAATGTGAAGCAAGTTGAAAAAAGACCTTTTTGACCTTGAGAAGGTCATTGAAGGTCAAATGTCAAATCTAAAGTCAGATTTGAACTTCTGAGAACATGTAGATGATTTAGAAAAAAATTGAAGTCAGTCTAAACAGTATTTGTTAAGTTATAGGAAGTTGTAAGAAATTGTTACAGACGCCGGACGCCGGACGCCAACCGCCGGACGCCAACCGCCGGACACCAACCTCCAACCGCCGGACGCCAACCGCCGTCGCAAAAAAAACGGAGACCATAACAATATGTCACCACTTTTGGTGGTGACATAAAAAAACGGAGACCATAACAATATGTCACCACTTTTGGTGGTGACATAATAAATCATCATTTCCGAACCATTGCTAGTCAATTAGATAAGAAGACGGTACTCTCTGACCAGATTAGATCATCATAGGTATGTTATAAATCGTTTATGTCACTATAGTTGCACATATGCCCTCGCTTCTCAGTGATCAATGTCACTCCCAAGGTCGGGCCATATATCACTGAAACCCTCGGGCATATATGCAACGATAGTGACATAACCTCTAATTAAAACACTGGTGATTTAGAAAATCTATCATAGCAAAATCTGCGTTCGATTTTCTAAAAACATAAACAATATCACTCGAGTCCTTACCAGCTTCATTCTGCAAGCTGCACGGTTGGAATACATTATTGCACGGTCTTTCGCAAAACACAATGGACAGATTTGTAAAGCCTGTGTGTAGAAATTGGCTGCATCGACTTGTAGGCCATCCCTGAACTTTTCATTCCCCGTTTTCTTCAGCTGTTGGGCCTCTTTTTGCCGCTCCTAAAAATATATTTGTGTACAGTGAAATCTGTATATCCGATCACTTGGCTTATCTGAATACCTCCCAATCTGAACACTGATGATGAACACTGTCAACAAAAACATCAATATGTCACCACTTGTGGTGGTGACATAAACCTTTGAATTGTAAACACCTCACGATGTATAACCAATGAAGTCATATTTGAAAAATTAAACTGTCCGATCTGAACACTTTTCACAAAATATCACATGTTTGTTAGAAAATTTCTCAAATATTTTTGATTTTACAATGAATTATTATGATACCAAAACTTTTAAAACATAAACATTAAACATTTAATGGTCTCAATGTTGTTTATTTTTGGTCCTATAATGGGTCTTTCTAGCATGACGAAATTCATTTCTGAAATACATGCACAGGTGGCCTGATAATTGAACCATGAGTCATTTTTTATTCTTATTGATATATGAAAAATGGCTGGAAATTTGAAATGAATTCCTCAAACAATCTTTCGAGAAATGTGTAGACAAGAATTTGGGACACTAATCTGCTAATTACTAGCCACTCACTGATTTCACTGATCTCATTATTGCAAAATGATTACTTATTCTTACCTGTTTTTCATCATCACTCATATTCACTTCCATAACCTTCAAATTATCTTCATCAATAAGGTATTTGTCAATTTGAACCTCCTCTTCCTTATCTTCATCTGGTTTGTTAGGATTTGTTTGTATATCTTCATTGAGTGCTTCATGAAGTAACTTTTCACAGTCAGATTCAGTTGCATCCTCTTCATCATCCTCATCATATACTTCATTGTCACCATCATTATCCTCATCACTAGAATGGTTTTCTTTAGTATTATCACTAGGTCTATTTTTATCATCACTTATTTGACTGTCATTGGTTTTTACTTCAATTTCATCTTTGTCATTATTTGGAGCATCATTGTGTGTTTGTTCAACACTGTTTGATGTATTTTCATTTGGCACATGCATATCTGAAGTCCTTGTTGTGCAACCAGCCTTATATTGTTCATTTGATGCTATATCAATGTCTTTCTTAACTGGAGATTTATCCACATCTTTTTTGAGCAAGTCTGGGTTAGAAATGGCAGCTAGACCATGTTCAAAAGTTTCACAAGCATCGACAAACTCCTCATCTGACTCGCTGTCTTCCATTTTCTTTTGTCGTGCTTCTGTCATCATTTACGCCAAGGTTTTTTCTGAAAGAATGGGTAAAATTGAATTGATGCTAAAATTTTGAATGTGATGCAGTATACATTTTTATACAAAATGAACAACTTGTTTCCCTTTGGTAATGTTGTATGTAGACTCAACATTTTTATTTTTTTGACAGATGAAATCTTCCTGATGAAGCATGCACTCAATCAAAGCGTAACTATGTCATGTAGAAGTAATCTAATCACACAACATGTAAGGTTGTATATTAGGATGTTTCATTTAAGATAAGCATTTCAAAATTTCTGAACATGATGAAACACATTCAGGGATTTTTTCAGATCACTGTGCTAACTGAACCATTTTTCATATACCCAGTTGCATTCTTTACGTGTTCCCTGGGATGTAAGAGTGTGGAGTCGTCCTGCAAACATATCTTTGTTATTTGTTTGCAGGAAGACCCAACACTATTACTACCCAGTGATGAGTACCTTTGACAAAGGCCTAATGATAAATAGTCTAGAGCATGAATTCAGAAGAATATAGTTTGGAGTGGGGATACTAGGGGTTACCATTGGTTATTTGGTTTCCTGAAAAAAAGCTTTTTTTATCATTTTCTTGCCCATCACAGCGCCATCTAGTGTTTGATAAATTTAATCCCGATAGAGCAAGTACTAATTTATCACAGATCCGGAGCCAGATCCAGCCCCTATTGGTAGTAGGCTCAAAGGATAAATGGGAAGATAAGACCCGAACCAAAAATGGTACATTTAAAAAAAATTACCACCCAAAAATATGACCCTTGTACTGACCTTTATAACTCTTTATTTTTTCCATCTGTCAGACATTAATTGATCAATATTTACCCTATAATCTCTTCTTTATGTATTAGTTTGAATGGTTGCATGATATCCATTATTGACGCTGGAATTCGAATTTTCCCGGGACAATTATTTCACATTTTCAGAGCGTAAAGATAATGAAGTGCTTCGGTAATTTCCGGCAGTTTCCGATGTTGTTCGTCTCTTGAATTACGTCACATCGCAACAAACAGCCAATGAAATTAAAGGATCCCATAGCCTAACAAACCGTTGTTATTGTTTCTACAGGAGTTAAAAGAAACGTCATAGGATTTCTCTGTAATCTCTGATGTGACGTCATCCTGATTGGCGTCACATTCTCAGAAAAGGTATTTGACTTCAGGAATAAACATTTGAACAACGGAAATAGCCGAAGCACTCCATTAAAAATATGCTCGCTTATTTTATGCTTTTATCAACAGACGCTTTCTTGAATGTGTGGTTTTAGTGATTGGAAATGAAGCTAACAACAGTACGCATCGTTTGAGGTATGACATGTGACTCCAAAATCAAGAAATATAAATTTTCCAAAGATATTGTGTCTTGTCCTTGAGTATATTTATTGAGCCTAGACATCAAGAAGAGGTAATCTGGCAGAGGTCCGTGTAATATACAGTATCAGGAAACATTTCCAAGTTTGGTTAGAAACAGAATTTCTAGAGAAGGAGGAGTGATTTTCGAGACTATGAAGAGCAGAATAATTTTCTGAAACAGGTAGCTTTGTGGCTCATTTATCTCAAAATCTGTGGCCAACAAATGAACATGAACAAATTACAAGATGAAACATTATAATGGTCCTAAACACAGGCCCAGGAAGATTTAAATCCCCCTCCCCCAGTCACTGTATAGCGTCTTTTTCCTACCTAATACATAGTGAGTGGGAGGGGGATGAACTCTTGTTCCAGTGTCTGTGGTCCTAAATGAGATTTTAATTGCAACCTTCTCCAGAATTGAATAATGAATTTCATTCAATTTAGAAAATTTTAGAGTTATTCAATGGTAAAAATGAACAAATTACAACTGATTGAAAGAATTTATCCATGATCATCAAAATGCCAATGGTCCATTTGTAAGTTTGTGATACCATTCAGTGATCTGGTGTGGCAGTAAAGACATATAAATACCAAGAATATGTGTAAAAAAAATTACCTTGCAAATGTACTTCCTGTTTTGTTTCTTCATGACATAAAAGCTAGCTTTTACTTTACCATCAATTTGGTGTATGATTATGCAATTTTCATGGGTCTTTCAATCAAAAGACAAATATATTTAGTACATTTACTAGATAGTAGGATTACATTCGTAATCATTCTGATATTTATTGGCTAATTGATCAAATTATATGACTAATGAAACATCTTGTCATAACGTAATTTAGCGAGATTTTACGAGACTTGAAAAAATTAAGAAAAAATCTAAAATATTGCAACAAAATGTTGTTTTTTGCAACAATTGTGAAGTAGATTTCTTACATATTGTATCAAGACAATTGGCTTCTGCCCAGAGGTATGTTAAGCACATTGTTTACATTACAAAGTGGTGGGCTACTTTTCTTCAATTCATTGCCAATTGACAAGTAGGCTAGGGCCAAAGACAGTGGCCTACAGTTAGGGGTAGGGCCTACAGGGCAGTAAAAATGCAGGTCTGTCAAAGGTCAATGTTGTGTCAATCCTCAGACAATGCCATACCATTTACCGTCTATCCAATGGGAGATACCATTGGGCGGTTTCAGTTCGGGCATGGGCTTTCAATTAGAAGGGTATGCAACTCTGTGTAATAACATGAGACCTTCAAAATGAGCAATGCCATGCTTCCCTTTTATGGTAATATTTCAAAAAGTATTGGATAAATGTATACGTTTAAGTATTATTTTGAATAAAAATCAATTTTCAATATGATTAAAGCATAACATATATTCAATCTCATGTAAAAGTAAACAAAAATGACCAATAAGAATAAGAGGTATCAAGATGTTCTCTTCGAGTATTGCATTGTGGGTAATTATTCAAGAACACATTCCAATTAAAAATATAATTTGTGGGAGAATGTTCACTTTCTGTATTGTAATAATTATGATGAATTCCATTTTTTATTAAATTATCAACATGTATGCAGATAATCATGTTTTTATTTTTGAGTTATTTCTTTAAATCATCTATAAAAAGGACAAAATAAGATTTTCTTGGAATGTGTACATTCTCCAACTTTGAAAACCCAAAGGCAATGCTTTTGTATGAAATATGGGAAGTTGCCTACCCTTCTAGTTGAAAGCCCATGGTTCGGGCAGTCAACTGATGAAGGCATTTGTAGGATTGAAGGTGTTCCAACCAGGAACAATGAAATATGCCTCGAAATATTTTAATCAATGATCTACTATGTTCCATGTGTCACTGTGTTACTTTTCAGAAATCCTGTGAGAATACCAAGCCACCAAAATGGCGTCTCTAGAGAAACTGATGAAGGCATTTGAAGGATTGAAGGTGTTCCAACCAGGAACAATGACAGAGGAAATGATGAAGTAGGATTCTAACACTTCATATTTTTCATTAGAACTAATGCATGTTATAATATTTGATAATCATGATTACCACAGATATGTTTTCTTTTGACTTTAGCTTCTGTATTGTCTAATTTCTATATTTCATATGATTTGATAAATTATGAACTGTCAATACTACATTGACAGTATTATACATGAAATGCTACAACTGTTATCTTATATTTATTTTAGAAAAAGAGAGCAGCCTGTCAGCAGGAAGGATAAGATAATAAACTGCAATATGATTGCTGATTGCATCTGTTCCCCAAACCTCAGGTAAGTGAACTAAAAATAAGCTTCAAGCTTTTTTACATCAGCCCTTAGCACGGGATTACATTCTGTGTTTTTGTTAACCAAGGCAAAGAGTTAGATATGTATTCAGATTATCGTTGTATCAAACAAATAATGATTTTAGGCAGTCATCAGCATTCAGCATCAGATATCTTTGCAGAAGTTTTAGATCTCTTGTTGTAATAATCTATTCATGAATAAAAAAATAAATCCAACATTTTGAATAAAGGGTTTAGGCACTGGGTCTTAATGTACAGTTTTTAGGAGAGTCAGTGTGATGATTTTATTATCTTGTAGAATTTATTTGGAAGAAATGTTTTGAAAATGCATCTTATTGAGAAAATACTCATTGTCAAATATACTGTCTAAAATACTTTGCAATACCATACACAGGTTTTTCTCAAAGTTGAGTAAAGAAATCCTGAGGAGAACACAGTACACCGTTTGGTATAAATTACAACTGGGTATATTGAAATACATAGCTTGTGTAATCTATATTGAGTCGCATAGTTTGTTTGTCTTTGTATCTTTAGTTTTGATCAACATGACTTTTGAAATAAGATTTTTGAAACATTAATAGATGATGTGAGAAATTAATGATGATAAATTACCAGATAGGGTATATTGGTAAGATAAATTTTCTTTAAGATTAAACTCTCATTGTCTTAACTCTATTCATTCCACATTCCACATCCTATTTTAATTTCAGAAATGTGCAAGATTTTGCAAAGTTCCTTGGCTTGAGCATTGAGACATTTCTCATGATGTGTGATGATGCTGAGTCTGATGTCAGAATGGTAGCTGATGAGTGTCTAAACAGAACAATCAAAGTAAGAATTTGCCCCTAATGTTAAACAAAAAGTCAATATGGTGTCAGGGGTGTAAACAAATGGTGTATAAAAATGGTGAGGCAAAAATACATTAGTGAGTGACTTTTCAGCTAAAAGGGATATACTGGATTGAAAAAGTTGACCATATATTTTGTGGTTTTGTGTGCAAAATACAGTGCAGCATTTGGGCTTAAGGCTGAATTCATAGCTACAAAATCAGTTTACACAAAGGAATTTAGCACAATGTTAATATACAAATAGTGACTGCCATTGAGGGCAATAGTGTAAAATATTTCCCCGAGGGAATATCCTCTAAAATGTACTATTCCCGAAGCCCCCTCACCGGGTCCATTGTTAGCATTATAAGCTGTGACGTCATCATATGCTCAACAGAAAGTTTTTCCAAAGAAATTTCTGAGACTCTCACTTGACAAATTCAATCACGTTTAACACGTGAAATAGATTATCATAACACTTGAAATTACACAGACGTATTGAGCTAAGGGAACTTTATTTATATTTATGTTGTTTATATTTTATCGTTCATGCGCGTCTGTCATGGTGAACGGAGTTAATTTGTGTTTGTGCTCATCCTCCATTTTTCTGTTTTTCGTCTGCGCAGTGATGATGCACAGACATTTCCAAGGGTAATAGAAGTTGCAATTGTGACGTCAGCGGGCAATAGTTCAAATGTATATTCCCGCTTCTTACATTTGAGGGAATATAACTTTTGAAGGGTAAAAGTAAATCTATTTCGGAACACGTGACTAGGTATTGACCAATCAGGATTAGTGTTACATATTGGGTATATAATAATATTGGATAATACCCAAAACACCTTGTTTGTCATCCTGTTTAATTTGAGATGATTACAGATGCAAGACAAAATTTAAAAAAAATACAGATGCAAGATTATTGCCAAGATCTGATTTGGTCTTGGACATACTGGGTAATTAACAAGGCATTCGTTTGGAATTTCAAGTGTGTTGTTTATCAATATACATGTATTGTTCTATTATAACAGACCTTATTAGACAACAACCTTGGAAGGCTTCAAGTAGAGCTTTATAAGGAGATAAAGAAAAATGGTTCCTCGAGATGTCTCAGGGCTGCTTTGTGGCGATTTGCAGACATGTGTCATTTAATCCGGCCTCAGAAGTGCAGGTAATAAAATTCTCCAGCTTATCCGACTTTGTATAACTATACAAAACTATAACTAAGCTTATCTGACTTAACTAACTTTGTATTTAAATTGAATATGCAATAATTTGAAAATAGCAAGCAATAGACTCAAAACCAATGTATTTTTTACAACCTGAGAAAGTTTTATTGAAACTTTAAGATGTGAAAACATTCTCAATTTTATATGGGTTCAATAAATATGAGGCCATTAGTAATAATTCTAATTGCAAGAATCCAGTGCACGTCCCCCTGTTTTGAATGTTAATTTTGTAATAATCATTTCAGACCATATGTTGTGAATATTCTACCCTGTTTGGCACGGATATGTCGCCGTCACGAGGATGCCATCCAGGAGACCTTACAGACTGCTATGCATAAAATATGTCCTGTCTTGATGTCCTTCTCGACAGATTCCGAAATCAAAGTTCTCTTGAAATCATTCCTACCCAACTTGAAATCTGGGTCAGCTGTGATGCGACGCACTGCTGCGTCATCGTTGACCTTGATTTGCCAATACACACGCAAGCCGATGCTCTTCTTCTCGTGGCTCTTGAACAACCTTCTTGGTAAGTTAATAACTAGATAAAATTTTCTACAAGTTAAAATTATATCCATATTAGGAGGTTTTTGCTGGCGAGAATGTTTACTTAGTTGGTCCATTTTAGTGAAATTGATTGATGTTTAGTGCTGCCAGCATATGAAGCAATATAATATTTACTATGTCAAAACAAATATTTTCAATAATTCTCCAATGCAGAATTCTGTTTGGGCTTTTTTCTGCCAAACTTTGATCAGGATTATTAACAATAATAAACTGAAGTCATGTATATCTACAGAGACAGTAATACCTATTCATGAAGAGCGGATTGTCTTCAACCTACTTGGAGTTCTTCTGTGTCTGCGTCATCTGATTCCACATCTCTCCCAGCAGTCAAGTGATGACATTGGGCAAAGTCTAAAAGGGAGCTTTGGTAGAGTGGAAAAGGAGAAAGAGACACAAATTGGAGAGGAACAGTTTTTACAGGTAAATCTAAACAGAATGAATAATTCATTGAAGAAATTAAATTTCCTATACATTTTACAATTTACTTATTGGATAGCTAAAACATTTGTAGGACTTAAAGGCAGAATCTGATCTATAGGGGGTGACAAAATTACAAGCAACATGTATAATTGACCTACCAATCTATTCCTTACAATATCAAATACAAGATGTTATAAATTGGTGAAGTTATTAATGATTCAAAGTGCGAAAATGGGTGAAAAAATGTTTGAATTCTCCCAAATAATAAGAATGGTAACCATTCTTATAGAAAAATAACACATTATTCTAAAAATCTTTAGTTTTCCTGGAATAAAGTATGCACTTTTGTGATTTTTAGAAAATAGACATGACAAGGAATGACATGAGCCAAAAATATTCTAAAATTGAAGCAATTATTTGTTTAGTCTGCTCGCTATATCTGATTCTCTCTTTAATCTAATTATTTACACTATATATTTATTTCTGTACATTCTTAATTTTAGTGATTTGATCAGGAGGATGTCTCAGATACCAACATTTATAGGAAAATGAACACCAGGGAATGTGGGCCAAGTGTATTCCAAATTTGAAACAATTGTTTGAAAGGTTGCTTGGTATATCTGATTTTGCCAGATAAATGTATCATGTCCCATCTTATTCCCCTTAATTTTTCTAGATATATGAGTTGGGTTTACATTACACAAGCCACGCAGATCATAACGTCATAACAGCCTCTCTTGAGATGTTACAGCAATTGTTGCGGACGCCTCCTCCTATCTTTGCCAAAATTCTCGTCACTAAAGGTGCAATATCGCATACAAGTATTTACAAAGGAGATGATATCAAATTGAGGAGTCGTATTAACAGTAAGTGTAGAACAAAACTAGGTCTCCTTTTGGAACTCAGATTTAAGTTCAGATATACTTTTTGATGAAAATATGTGTATTGAATTGTTTATTATAATGATAGAATGATATTAATAATTAATAATTAATATAGATATGAAATATGAATTAAAATATTCAGAAAGTAATAATTTTTCCAGTTAATGTAGACTAATGTAGCATAAGACTTCATTGATCATAGAGAGTTGTATATATCGACTTGTGTATCAGGGGGTTGATGGTAACTTTTTTAGTTTATCTTCAGATCTTGTATCTGTTTGTTTGTATTTCATATAGGTAGTGCTGGTCTACCATCTCTATTAGATGATATGGGATTGGATGACGATGATGGTTCAGAGGTCAGTTCGAGTACCACTGGGTCAATGTCCTCTGGAACACAACCTATAATGGTTGAGGAAGACACGGGTGACCTTGAAAGTTCAGATCTTCCAGACGAGACTCCAGAGCAGCCTAAACCTCCCGATCCTGAAGCTGACAGTAATGGAGACATTGATTTTACAGTACCACCATCTGGTGGGGGAATGCCTGAAATAATGACAGATTCAAATTACTCGAACCTTGATATCGGGGAAATTCAAGAGCCTCAGTCTGGGATGTCACAAAGTAGTAGTGCAGATACACTAAGTGAGGCAAAGGCAACACCTAAACAAAGTCCAAACAAACCTCCACCTTTACGGAAAGGAGTAAGCCTAGATGTCCTCAATGGGAATATAGAAACTGAGGGGGCCATGGAAACTGAACCAGGGAAAGCAAGTGGGGATACAGAAACCATATGTCCTGGACCAATAGGATCTGTTACTGATGATGAAATCCCTATAGTCTACTGCACAAGACTTCTTTGCAGCAAGTTCCTGCTAACAGGTAGATAAAAAAAACTAAACTAAAACTTTGTGAAACTTAGTTATGTAAATGTAATGCAAAATTTATACATGAATATACTTATTGTTTATATACTCAGAGAATAATATTTTTCTCATACACATTAAAATCACTTTTCAGCAGGGAGTTAATCATATTGTTTAAATTTAAATTCTACCATACTAGATTAAGATTTTAACATACTAATATAGATCTTGAAAAATGTTTTATTCTAGGGTATCCACAAAACCTTATACCAGATCGTATGGTTCGTGTTAGTGTGAAGTCATTAGCACTTGGATGTATTGCCTCCAGTATCTTAATATATCCTCAGATATACTTCTACAATCTACACATTGATGAAACAGGTAGGTTGTTTCATTACAATAAAGACAGTGAAACATCCATCTTTATTATAGTAAAATCTGTCTAATTCGAAAGCCTCTTAGACTGGCCAAAAGTGTTTTGATTGGCAGGTGTTCATATTTAAAGATCCTTATATCACTACCACAAGTCTCTGTTTGGTGGTTGGTGTTTGGCAGTCGGTGTCTGTAACAAATGGCAGGTTGTGACACTTCGCATATGTCTTTCTAAATCTCTATGTACAGCTGTAGTAAATGCCCTTCATTTTAGTGAAAAGTACATTTTGGATAGCACAATGAACTCTCCATCAGGAGATAATCTGTAACACTCAAACAATCTTGTAACTCTTTTGTAGGTGGTTCGCAGAAATTAAGCGATATTCTCCTGTACATTAATCACCAAGACCCACAGCTAAAAGGTGTCACTTCTATCCTTATCGCAAATTTTATCAAAACCTCAATGACCCAGGCAAGAGGCAGGTTCGACCAATGGCTGAAAAATACCATCAGATATACAGAGGAAGGTGAGTAGTCGTGATTAATACTGTGGATGAAGAGAAAGTTGTGATTTGCTTCTTTATGAAAATATCTTTGTCTACAATTTCGCCAAAATCTGTCTCGTGTATCTACTTTGAAAACAGAATGTCTTCCTGTCTGTGTATAATGGAATATTTTGTAACTTTGAATGATACATATATAAAAATTTACTTATGACCTTATTCCCCTTATTTAGAAATTACCATCAGTAAAAGTCAATGATAACTGCTTGATGATTTGATATGCATTGAATTTTACATTAATCTTATGAATCACCATAAAATGTAGAAAAGGTTTGAGAAGAAAAAATTTCTAAAAATTCAAAATGGCTACTGTCAATAATGCTCATTTCAGAGTCTCTAATGGATTACTTGGTTGGGAGATTACTATCTGTACTGGAAGATGAGTCATCCGTAGCAACTCGACTGTCACTTGTTGCGCTGCAGTCCTGTTTGAACCATCTCTTAAATAGCACACATAGCGAAGTAGGCTTGCAGATATTGCTGAAACTACTACACATGAAAGACAATCCTTACTGGCTTGTCAAGGTACAATCATTTATGGAATTTGTTATTGCAAATATGTACTTGTCCAAAATTGAATCTGGAACATTAGAAAAATGACAAAACAGTGGAAGTTAAAAAGTTCTTATACAGTGCCACTGACGATTTGGTCCCTCATGTATAATATGTATGTATTAATGATTAATGGCAATTAAATCTAGTGATAAAAAGGTATAGTGCATGTGCTGTCTTTAGGTTGAACTACTGGAGATATTCGGCCAGCTGGACTTCAAGTTGATCCACTACTTGGAAAGTATATCAAAGAAGCTAATCAGGGGAGACCATGGATACGTTGGAGTAAGTCTGAGAATAAAGATACTTCTTTGATAAGATTGAAAGTTTCCTCATGGTTTCCTTATGAAATTAACATTACATGGTATTAGTCAATTTCAGATGAGATTAAGAGTTGTTTCACACAGTTAAATTAATATTATAATTTCCACGCTCACCAGTGTTGTAAAGTGACTTCAATTTGACATATGCACATTTTAGATTAGCTAAGACCTACACTTCCATATTGATAAAAAGCTAATTTTGAATAATATCTTGTTCATTCTTTAAGTTCATTGTTGTTGTTTTATGAGCTTACTGTTTTTATAGTCTCCCAACATTTTTTGTGGATGATGTTTGGCGGTTGTTGTTTGGTGTTCAGCAGTCAGTGTCTGTAACAAATGGCAAGTGGTGACATTTTTCATGTTAATGACTTGTTTTGGATTTTCCATGCTTCTTTCAGTTGCTGAACCTACAGTGCCATATAATTGATGATGTCATACTTTACCTGCTTGGGGATTCTGATGTTCGTGTGAGAAATGTCGCTTCAGAAATTCTAGTCAGGTAAAACATATAATATATCTTTTATCATCATTTTCAAGTTTTATATTGATGTTAATTTTAAAAGGGAGATTATAGACAAAAGGATATCAACTGAATCTAAAGTTTCTCTGTTCTTAATGATCTGCATAAATATACACTTAACACTAATTCTTTTTCATAGAACCAACTCCAACAGCTATTAGATGTTTGACCTAAAGACCAAACACCTTTCAAAGGTCCTACACGTGTACTTTTTAGTAAAAACAAATTAAATGAAATAACATCTTGTATTTTCTAGGATTATTCCAAAGCTGTTCTACCCAACCGATTCAGTCCAGCATAATCCTATTATTGCCTCCGCCAGAGAGTTCACGGATGCGTACCTGAATCCCATAATGCATGAATGGTCTGAGCCTCCTCAACCACTCGTTCACGGCCTCGTCAAACCATTCCATTTCAATCCCAGCATTCCCTCATCTTTGTCAATAGAGGGCAGTTTGTCTAGAGTGGTGTCGTCACTTGTTGAGGTCATGTCAAACTCGCTATCCAAGTATTTAACAGTAAGTACCTGTAATTCTGATTTTGTTCATTTAATTAGGAATTCGTCATATATAGCGATGCAATTTTTTAAGGAAAACTGGTGTCTGAATCAAATGAAATCTTTTGATGTCTGTTTTTTTTCTAAAAATGAATGAAAAAAAATGTTTGAACTCCTCAAACAGTTTTAGAATGATGAGGTCAGAATGGTCTTTGACAATCTTGTTGTAATAAATAGTATCATCTGTCCAAATTCATTTAAGGAACAATTTCAATTAACCAACTTATCTTAATATTCCAAATACATGTATAATATTTTATTGTGCACCTCATTAAAATACTCAAATCTGATTGGTTAAGAGCAAGATCTCGTTCTATCCAGTATTGAAGCAACGAGATCTCCAATCATCCCGTATGCCAGAATACCTATCCTCAAAAAAAATACTAGGCTCAGCTTCTGTTTTAGTAGACCCATTCTTTAAAATTAAGAAAAAATTAAGTATTTCTCAAGGGAGGTGCATAATAAAATAAATACTGGATGACCATGAGGTGGATATGCCAGAATACCTATCCTCGAAAAAAATACTAGGCTCGGTTTCTGTTTTAGTAAACCCATCCTTTAAAATAAAGTATTTCTCAAGGTAGGTACAAAAAACAACAACTTTGCCTCGCCCAGTATTTTTTTCCTTTGATAGGTATTCTGGCATATCCACCTCATGGTCATCCAGTATTTGTTTAATACTCTACCAAAAGGTTATTGGAGGTTTATGGTTCAATCTTCTATTTCTATCATTTACAATAGCGAATTGATTTTGGACTTTAAATATGAAAACTTTTTTGTACTCTTTTATTGAATTGAAATTTTAAGTTTCCTGACTCTCAGCTAATTTTCTTTCAGTATGGGTGTTGCCACACCCTGTGGTTACTGTCTGAAGAGTACTATGTCACTTGCTATCCCCACTCCTGGTGTTGTGCTCCTTGGGTCGCAGTGACATCTAAAGACCCCTTGAAACAATCAAAACCTGGAAACAAAGGAGGATCATTGGCTTCAAGGTAAAAACTGAATCATCATACCAAAATCTTACTTTTAATGAATTGAAATATAAAACCAATTTGCAAATTTTTTCTTATTTCTCATTTGTCATTCAAATATAAAAGTTAATCGGGGAAAAAAATTGTATCAATTTGGTTCTTATTAATATGTTATCGATTCATGACTGGAGTTAACATGATTATGCATGGAACGTACATCGAACACATTGATAGCTCAAATCTTCAACAATATTTTGTACCACTTCTAGTTATAGTATGTAGAAGTATATATTATAGTGTGACCATGAGGTTCTAATATAGGTTATGTGTTCCTTTCAGTAATGTTGCTGCATTGAGCAGTATCCTGAGTGCAGGCACATTGGAAGAGATGAAGATGGGGTCATCTGGTGGACCTCTACCAATCCTCCTTGCTTGTCTTACATCATCATACGTTGCCCTTGATCTATCAGCACATCAAGATACTCTGAAACTGTCAGGCAATCTTTTCTCAGGTATATAACATCTTGGAACATAGTCAGTTTTTGCCAAGGGGGCTCACTTTTCAAATAATTCCAGGGGATTCACATTTGAGAATTTTTGCCAAAAATGACTTGAAAAGTGCTCAGAATGGTGAAAAACATCCCCCTGGCTACGTGCCTGACACCACACCTGTTTTATGAAGTCACAAATAAGAGGTGGTGACATGTTGTTATAGCCAGAGTTTTATTGCTGGAGATTGATTGGCAGTCAGTGGTTGTTCTCTAGTTACTACCAATAATTTCTTACATGTTTATAACCATTTACAACAAGATACCATGTGGTGACATTTTGACATGTTGGTGGCTTTCTTACATACATAGATGGTGAAATTTACTCTCTTATGAAGAGTTGAATACTGTCCATCACTCCATCATATTCTCCTTTTAAAACTGTTCTCCTTAACTGCAATTACATGTGTGTACATGTGATATAAAAGTTAGATACAATCTTATATCATATGAGTATGTGAATAAATACAGTTCCATTGTTTTAACAGGGGCTGCCTACAAGTGTTTACGATCAATGGAGGAAGTTGCCAGCATCAACCCTAACACAGAAGAGAGTCATTGGGCCCCTCTAGGGGACAGACTCCTTGTTCCAATGGCTGATACATTGCTTTCTCACTTAGGACGGTAAGGGGAATGATATTGATACACTAGAATGTATCTCGAGAGATATAACTCTATATGTTTAATTTGAGATGAATCTCAAATGGATGGAAAGAGAATCTTTTTGATATTTTATGAACTTCAATATTATGTTCTCACATGTATCGCAATTCGCAAGATGCAAAGAAATTGTTGGTTCATAGGATAGGCAAACTATATGTCCATATTATATCTAAAATTAATTCCTAAAAATCTTAAATTGGCGGATATCTCTGTTTGAATAAATGAATATAGATTATAATTTTCAATTTTAGGCTCCTCAATATCTGCACACACATTATTGAAGACGTCACAGTCACCCCACCAGCCACTAGGACATCTCTACCCTCCCTCCCCACAGCACCTTCCCTCAGTCCAATCAAACGCAACAAAGCTAAAGGAAAGATGACAGACCCCTCTCAAACCACACAAACATCTGAAAAACAAGCAGCCAAAGATTCTCAAAAAGGTAAAAATGTGAAAATTGTATTTGAAATTTGTTTTTAAAAATGTGAAAATTGTCTTTAAAAATGTGAAAATTATTTTTGCAAAACATATATTGGAAAAAGCTTTCTTGATTCACTATGGTAGTTGACATTGCAAATATTATATTCATTGGCATGGGCTTTCATTAATAAAACTTAGAATTATTAGTGCTCGATTAAGACATGCAGAGTATATCCAGTCCATTTCCTCAAATATGTGAGTGTTATCTAATGCATTATTTATCCAGACATACATATTGTATTATCTAACTTTGTGTATTATGTGTCTACAGATAAGGAAAGTGAAAAAGACAAGGAAAAGAACAAGAAGGAGGGCCTTGGTTCCTTCTATGCCATCCCTCACTATATGAAACTTTATGAAGTCATGAAGAATGCTTTCTCAAACTACAAGGTATTGAGTCTAATATATGCCCATTACAATATAATAAAAATACATTACTGTTGCTAGAATGGAGACTTTTAAAGGACAGGTGGCGGTAAACCCCTCTTTTAGCCCCCCTACAAAACAAGTATATATTGACATGGAATTGAAGAGGAAGAATGACTTATTACTTAAAATGTGATTTCTGAGAGTTTTGACATTTGACCTTGACACTAGGGTGGTTTAAAGGTCAACTTTGAGAGTTGCTATTTTTGTCAAAATTTTACTGTTTCTAATCCAAGAAATGAGAGCAATTAGCTTTATTTTGATTGTGACTGATAAAAAGACATATGAATAGAAATGAAAAAAAAATTTAAATAAATTATCACAGGCAATTACCTGAAAATAAATACCAATATGGGCATTTTTAGGGGGACTAAATGTTCTTGTTTCAAAAATGAATGTTCTTGTTACCTTTTGAGACTCTAGCAGTATCCTAAGCATGTTTTAAGAGTTGGGATGTGATTATTATTTTAAATGCCCATGGGCAATTAGGATAAAATGACTGAAATTAAATTCACACAAGGGCATTTCAAAAAGAATGGATTTTCTTATTTCAATTGCTTCTCGCCAGTTTTCTAAACATATTTGCCATATTCTAAATAGTTATAGGGTCACTTTTACTAAATGCCCATTGGCATTTGGCATTTTTATTTGGCATTTGAAATTAAAATGTTTGAATGTACAGTTACTTTTAAAGTTATTTGCCAATTTGCTATTCCCATATTTGAAACACAAATAATTCAGAGAAATCCTCTCTCAATATATATCATAAAATATAAGGCAGCATCATGTATGAATGGCATGACACTCAAAGGATTGCCTAAAATAATTTCTACTTATTCCCTATTTAGAAAAACACTTGGGCCATTCAAATATTTTCTTATAATAATGTCACTAAATTCTATGTTTTCAGGAAAAACAAAATTTCCCCATGTACTCTCTACTTGTAATGTATATAAATGACAAAGGGAATTGTGATCTTGGATTATATTGTTGCTAAATGAGTTCCAAGATTGATTAAAAACTACATGTATATAAACTTTATTAACAAGGTCATCTGAACTCAAGAGGTGTGTTACTTGCTTTGGCACAATGTGTTATTGCATTTTCACTCTTAAATAATAACTTAAATAATAACTTCATCAGAATGCCAACATATAATTAATTTTGGATGGCCTAATCTGTACATGCAGTTATGTAGTGTACATGTATACTCAGGTTAGCAGCCATATTGAAAACATAAACAAGTCAGGCTTATTTTCATCACAAAATTTAAGTTTTAGTGGTGAGCCCAAACTCCCACAAAAATGATATTTGCAGAGAAGCTACTTTACAGTCTCTGCATTATACAGTTTCAATATATTTTTTGTGGGAGTGTGGGCTGACAGTTAACTTTTCAATGAAAGGGAATGAGCACCATGCTAAAACTTGATAAAAAAGTGAACAAAAAATGACAATGTTTTCTAGATTTGCATAGGTAAACTACATACATCGCTAGATTTTGTCAATTTTCTTCTCCAAATACTTGTATGCCATATGTTCCATATATTAAATTCTATATAATGATAAGTTTTGATATTATTTTGATGGTAAACATAATGTGTACCCATATTGAGACAGCCTTGTGATAGGGGTTCTTACTGCCAATTTTTCAAAGAAACAGAGAACTTATGCCACTTTTTGAAATTGCACATCTCAAGAAGAAAGGTTTATCTACAACTTGCAATCGGTTTTAAAAGTAAATGGAAGAATGAGTTTTTCAGAAAAAGTCTAAGTGGACCAATAGTCTGTTAAATGGACCTGTTCTTTCCTGTCCATTCATTATAAGTTATAACTCAGGTTTCTAGAACCCTTCTCACATTTTGATTTCCCTATAACTCACTTTTTATTAACACACTATGCACAAAACACAAAAAATACAAAGTTAATTGCTTTTAGGTCTTATTATATTATAACTTTCATGTAATGGTTTTGTTACATTTTTTAGATTTCCCTTGATTTGAGCACGCAGGAGAAATTCTCAACATTACTCAAAACCACACTAGAGGTTCTGGCGCAAGTACTTGAAATTGCCTCATTGAATGAGATTGGGAAATATGCAGAGGAGCTTTTAGGGTATTTGAAGAGTACTTTTACATTGGAGGCTACATCCACAGTGCTGTGTGTTCAACAGGTATTGTAGCATGTTTTTGTTGCTCTAGGAATTCAAGGGGTTAAACATTAAAAGTGAAGTGTTCTGATTTTGAAGTTCACATTCTTTATTCCAGTTGTTAAAGGGTTTATTTGGCACGAATCTAGCCAGTCAGTGGGAATCAACTCAAACCACAAACACTGCCAAGAAATCATCAAGGAAACAACCCAGGCTAGGAGCCAATGTTAAACCAGGGCTCTACCATGCTTGTTTCACAACTCCCTATACTCAGTTTGCGCAGTCCATCACCACGGCAACGTTTAAGAGTACAACTAACATTGAACCTGAAGAACCAGTGAGGTATGGAAACTTAATTAGAGTCTAATACTGTCAGATTAAGAATTAAAATTGCAGTCTCAGAATTTTATGCCTTCATGAATAGCTGCCATTTGATTCATATTCATATTCCCATTACAGCTACTGTTGGAATCTGTCCTTAGAGATTATATTCTTTGTTTTCCCCTATAACTAATCGATCTATGCAATAGAAGATCATGGGATTTACCTAGTACCTCATACTCTTTTTAAAATTAACCATCCAAGAATTAATGAGAAAGTTGCATTTCAGATTGCAAGGATAAGGATTCATTAGCATTAAAACCACAAAATCATATGCAATAGGTAGAGGTTACTGCATGGAGCAGGTTGGTACTCAGGATAATCAGTCTATTGTGTTATATTTCAGTTTGCTTGGCTGGCTGAAGAAGAGGGCGGAGAAGAAGGTCCCTGCCATATTAAAGCCTGGGAGCAAGGCTGACAAGGTAATATTTAAAGGCATGGAAGTGGGGTCAGTGAAGTTATATTTAGATGATATCAAAAAACATCGGGAACTATTGATTGATTGATTGATGATAATTCCATGAAATAGCAACATAGCACAGGTTTGGAAACAGGGTGTTGGGTAGTAGATTCCTAACACCAACCTCTGAACAGCAACCCCCCAACACCAGCCACAAGAATAAGTTGGAGACCATAACAATATGTAACCACTTCTGGTGATGATATAATAAAATTGAATATAGCTATACATTTATCACGCACATTTCCATAATTCCAGGCATCCATAGCTAGTTACATTAGATTGTTTGAGATTTCTTGAATGTATTTCAATAATTCCAGGCATCCATAGCTAGTTACATAAGATTGTTTGAGCCACTAGTAATCAAGGCCCTAAAGCAGTACACTATCACCAGCTCATTGGATCTTCAACAACAAGTTCTCAACTTGCTGGCCCAGTTGGTTCAACTCAGGGTTAACTATTGCTTGCTGGATTCTGATCAGATCTTCATTGGGTTTGTGATCAAACAATTTGAATACATAGAAGAGGGGCAAATCAAGTAAGTATTGCTTTACAATTATACATGCTATAGTGGAATATCAGTTTTATATCTAAAAATAATCTGACTGTTGCTAAATATTCATGATAGTTATGATGATAGTAAATTTCATGCGAAGGCACATTTTGATATCATGTTGAAATCATATCTAAGACCTTGATTGTCACATATTATGAATATCAGAATCACGATCTTAATTCCTCAAATGAAATGAGGGATCATTTTTGTTCATTTCAGGAGATCTGAGACACTGATTCCACATATATTCCGTTTCCTGGTGTTGTTATCATACGAGAGGTACCATTCCAAGACCATCATAGGCATGCCCAAGATCATTCAGTTGTGTGATGGTATCATGGCTAGTGGACAAAACCCAGTAACACATGGTATGTATGGTATCTGGCTAATGCCTTTGTCACATTTGATCTACAGTAGGATTATGGTGGTCATAGCTTCCCAAAATCAAGAGAAATATACAGCATGAAATATAGGGATATGCAGTACGATGTAGATTTTCTATATCGATTTTGTGAAGTTACGCCAACCATACAGCAAATATAACTGAGGCTTCACTCTATAATGTGGAGTTATCTAGGTTCATTGAGGAAATCGTAAAATAGCATTGCAGCTTATTGTGTATGTTATTTCCAGCATTACAGCCTATTGTATATGTTATTTCTAGCTATCCCAGCATTACAGCCAATTGTGTATGTTATTTCCAGCTATCACATCATTACAGCCTATTGTGTATGTTATTTCCAGCTATCCCAGCATTACAGCCTATTGTGTATGTTATTTCCAGCTATCCCAGCATTACAGCCTATTGTGTATGTTATATCCAGCTATCCCAGCATTACAGCCTATTGTGTATGTTATTTCCAGCTATCCCAGCATTACAGCCTATTGTATATGACTTGTTTGTTCTGAGGAGCAGTAATAAGGCAGATGCTGTTAAGGATCTGGACACACAGCGTGAAGTGGTGGTTGCTATGTTACTCAGGCTCATACAACATTACCAGGTATAAATACACCTTCAATAATGTAATGGTCTTACGACAAAGTTCATATTTGTGCCTTACTTCGTAAATTAACAAAACCTTATGAAAACTGCCGAATGTTTTTTTAATATACTATAGATAAACATATTTCTTGTGTGCAAAATTAAATCAAAATAAAATGACATATAATTACTATTTAGATTGTATCACTGTCAACTATTTTATTTAATTCTGTGCAAACAATGTAATTGCCTCTTCAACTTCAATGTTTTCCTTGCAACTTAAGAATTATTTGACTGTTCTACATCCGATTTGTGTTTATGCTGTATTTTGTATAAACCATTTTTCCAAATTCACAGGTGCTTGAAATGCTCATTGTTGTGCTACATCAAAACCATAAAGAAAGCGAAGAGAAGTGGAAACGTCTCTCAAGGCAGGTTGTTGACATGATACTTCCGCTGCTCTCTAAACAACGCATGCATCTTGATGATCAGATAGCCCTAGATGTCCTCCACAGGGTCTTTGAAGCTGTGGCCCCAAGTGTATTCAGGCCTGTTGATATAGTGTTGAAAAATCTATTTGCTGCTCCATGGGATTTGGTATGTACAATTTTAATATAAATTTATCTGATTGTGTGATATGACAATATACACTGACGATACTTTGTAGGGAGGTGTGCTGTGTAATTTTGATTAATTTGTGCAGTGTGTGTAAAAACCAACTTTGCAGTTTTAAGTTCATAGAGGAATGACGCATTCAGTTGAGAACCAATAGAGTGTTGTACTCATTTGTACAGCTCAGGCCGCTGTATGGTTGCTGTAGATCAAATGTGTTTTGAACATATGAAATGAAATTAAAAAACCATGGGTGTTTTGCATGTTTTTGTACTTAATTCCAGAGTTCAGTCTCGAACACTCAAAGATGGCTGAACATTCCGCTCTCTATTCTGCGTGTGTTGATCTCACAATCTAAAGAGGAAGTGGTCCTGTCCAGGCTGAGTGAGTTGAAGCTGGGAATCAAACTTTTCACGAACACTTTAGAGAGGCACAAGAATGGCTTTGTGAAGGACATGGGTGAACCAAGTATTGAGAATAGAGCTCTGTTAGCCCCAGAGGAAACCCTAGCTAGGTAGGAATATCTATTTGTCTATATGAATTGTTGTTATGAAAAAATGTGAAAAAATGTAACAAGTATATTAGATTAGGGAAAAACATGCTCCACTCACCTTTTTGCTCGAGTCTCTCGAATGCTAGTGGTGCTAAGGTTTGAGATTTTTGTACACCACAAGTTCTTCATCCTATAGTCTCTGTTATAAATGAATCACAAATACAGATACTGTTGAGATTGTTGCAGAAAGATTTTTATTGCCAATGATTAGAAATAAGACCATTATTTAGCATTTAGCATACCCTTCTCTTCTCATCATAAGTAAACTTTCGATATTTATGATTTGTAGGTTTTTGTTGCAAGTAATTGGATTGGTCGCTTCAGGCATCAACGACAGCTCCCTCTGTAGTCATCACCCAGAACCAACTTCGTTTCTATGCCAACAACTGGCCCATCTTCTCTTGTATACAACGCACATGTTTCAGTCAGGTGAGCATTGAATCTTACATTTTATTCCAAAAGTTGAAATTCTTTTGATGGGGATATGAATGGATAATTTGGAAACTTGGTATCTTTGGTTTTGGTATTGGCATCTGTAAAATTCTACCATTTGCGATCAGAATTCAAGTGTATTTTGTTTATGAATGCCATTGTCATGTACAAGTATTTTGTCTTATTGGTATAACGTCATGTAAAAGTATTATAAGACATGAACGGGGGGATGTGGCTCTTTTATTCTCATTCTGGATTTACAATAGGTGTTCCGACTGTACAGTTTACTTTATCATTATAATTACAGTGGTCTCCCCAGCATTAAAGCAAGTGGGCACAGCACCCACCCAAGATTTTGAAAACATGCTTGCACCCACCTGAAAATCCATTTGCACCCACTTGAAAATGAGAAAAATCATGAGAAATGGCATATTCTACCAATTTTGGTCTGAACTGTGAAAATGAGAATTTTGCACCCAGTTGAGATAAAATCCTGGGGAGATCACTGAATTATATACTCACTGGGTTTATATCTACATTTTCAAATCACTGAACAGTGTACGCTGATCTGTTATATTGAAAGCTGCATTTATTCTTTATTTATTCAAGCAGTTTCTCATTTAATTAAATTTTATTAATATTCAATTGCTCTGAAGGCTCATACTGTCAGATATTTGTATTTGTGAACAGTGTATATATATTTTATGTCAAACTTTTTCTGATTATCTTTTCAATTTATAGTCATTCCCCCAGTTTCCTTGACATTTGTGTTGATTTGCAGTTATAATGGGGTGGATGCCTATTATGTCAGATGAGCCTTTTGTGTTTGATAATAAAACAATCATTAATAAGTCAAGAAAATAATACCTGTCTAATAAAAGAAATTTCACTTTTCATGATTTTATAACATGGGCTCTATAGTGAATCATCTGACCTAGAAGTCACATTATCAAAGAAAGTTAAAATTTTAATGTAATTTTATAATGTAAATTTCAAATACGATATCACTTTGACCAAATTTTGAATATATAATGATTGCAATCAAGATAAATTCCACATTGATTTAGTCTATTATGGTATTTTAAAAATCTTTGTATAGCGAATATTTTTCAGCGCAAAACAGTTGAAATCATTTCAACATTAGTCCTTAATGATTTCTTAGATATACTTTGCACCCACAAAGGTCATGGATTTGTATGGCTCCTTCTCCCTTAGTTCAGCAATTTTTGGTCTTGCAATGATTCTATCAAAGTAGCCATTTAATGCAGGGAATGCATCAAGTGCTTTTGGGTCAACTGCCTTACACGTATCTAGCAAATCAGCCACTTTGTAGTCCACAAAAGTGATTTCATCTCCGACAAGGAATCCCACTCCACCCTTGTTTTTCTTAAGTTCTCCCTAAAAGTAAAAGAAAAGAAACTGAACTTTTTGTTTGTCTCCTCAGATGTATTACCATTTATGGACCAACGTGTATAGGTTGATTTCTTCATGGCATGTCATCGACTAATTTGATCAACCTGCTGGAGCAGGTCGTTTTTACAATAAATCAAGATTTTCATACAATTTATTTTTAACTTAAAATCGCCGAGGAAATGAACCAGTACATGCAATGACGATCTCAATCTGCACAAAAGGATAGGTATCGATATGGAGAACTGAATTCAACAATGCTTTTCTCTTAAACCAATCATTGAAAACATTCTGTAAAAAACATGGTATTTTATGTAATGTTGACTGATTGACAACAATTTAATGCGAAAATTATTTAGAAATATTTTATATAACTGTTTTTGTTAACATTTTTTTTGTTTTTTTAGTGCAATTGTTTTTGCTCCTTTCTACCAATTCTTGAGAATGAAATAAAATGTCTTTCCGAACCTTGTTGGAACAAAATAGCATATACGAGTACAACTTGTTTTTAGACCTCTCAATATTAAAGTTATACAAAGGAATTTTTGGTTGATTTTTAAAAAGTATGAGGTTCGGAAAGATGTTTCATTTTACTCTGGAAACATGATACCAAGAACAAAACAAGTGCTTGATGTGTTTTTTAAAACAATATAGATGGAAGTATGTATATCTATTTCAAATTATATTGTTACCATTCAAAAGATGGTCATTAAATTGACAATTTGTAAGATTTTCAGACATTTTTGATGACTGGTTTAAGAGAAACATGTGTTCAAAAAGTTCGCCATATCGATACCCATTCTTTGTAAGAAGGCTTTTATGATCTAATATGAATTTACTTAAAAAGGCGCCAACGTCCTACACTCAGAATGGTCGTTATTCCATTATAACTTTTTAAAGTATTTTAACGAAGACTTCTAATTATTATCCTGGATAATCTAAATGCTGATTCAAACATTTCTTACTTCAATTAGGTACACTTTCCTTTATTCATTTTTTTTAATATTATAAAAATAACTATGATCAATGTGGTGGAGCAATCAATGCGACCAACCAAAATGATTTTATCAGAATATTAAAAATATAGTAATTTGCCTTTATTATATATTATACCTCTAATATCGTCAGTCCTCGTGGCATTACAATGTTGCTCAGCTTTTCTCTGCTACCATTGTACTAAATGAATAGATGTAGAATTAAATAGATGGCAGTCACATCGTTTTTTCAGTAAGTCAAAAATTTCACAATTTTAACTTTATGCATTTGATAGATTTTTCCTTGATAGCATGAGGTTTACATACAAATACTTTTGCAATTTTCTACATGTTGAGAATTTTAATAGAATTAAATATGGCAATATCTGTAAAGTGAATTTTATAAAAAAAATTGATCTTACAAAGTTAGAATAGATCATGCTATACATCCTTTCTCTGAGCTCACTTTCAAATTCGAAGAGCATGTCAATCTCTGTAGCTTGTTCATCAGTTGATCCACATAGTTTAAACTTTCTTGCAAGATAACGAAGTATAGCATTCGTTGGCGCAATTTTTAGACCATCATCCGTTTCTAACGCAGGTACTTGTCCATATGGCTGAAAATGATGCAGGCCATTAATTCAGTCATTTTGAATTAAATTTTGGGTTAATCTAGAAAGGAGTCATCAAAATAGAATTTAAATATTCACAATTCTAATATGATTTGTGGTGTCACATTAGCTAGAACAATTGATTTACTGGTCTATATTGGAGTATGTATGACCACTAAAATTCATAAATGCTACTCAATTTCTTTTAACATTGAACAGAATAAAGTTTTTGGTCATATTTTGTGCCATAAATCATAAAGTCTCGGTCTTTATTCCTTATATTAATTAGAATATACTATTTTGAATAATCTGCTGCATTCCTAATTTTACAACAGAGGGATGGTTGTTTCAATAGTACCATAAGAAATAGCAAGATATGTGCTTATTAGGGTTCCCGCGATTCATTGATACATCAATGCATCGGCTCGTTTGGTTACGATACGAGCGTATCGATACACACTGTTGAATTTTGATCCTGAAAAAACTGTCAACCAGCTGTAATATGTCATATTTTGCTTAAATCTTCCTAATATTCAGCTTTTTAAAAGTTATATTTTACATTTTTGTGTGTGTTTTAATGGTGACGCACCCCATAATGAGTATAAAAATGAAGACAACAAACTGGATCCTCAGTCAAAATGTGAACAAATCACTTCTGTCCTCTATGTCTACATTATTCAACGTTCTAGTTTGTATGAATTCAAACAAAAATATACTAATAAAACTTTGTAAATTTTTAATCGAGGCTGGGCTTGGGTTTAAATCTTTTAGCCATGATTGTATAGTGTATAATAAACTGTGCATTTATTTGATGCAAAAAGAAATATTTAAAAATATCAGCATAGACTTGCATTGAGTGAAATAAGAAGATATACATATGTTTTTCACTAATAATACTAATAGAAATTTGTAATACCATCTTTGACTTTTTCTCCAGCCATTCTTTACTGAAATCTGGTTGAAACAATCCACTGTTGATATCATCTAGGTTAAATTCTCCTTTCCGAAATTTTTCACAGGCATCTTCGTTCCGCCATACAGGAATAAGTTCATCTTCATATGGAATGCCATTGTCCACTAGCAGGTATCTAATTGGCTGAGCACGTGCTAGAAAACCACCAACATTTTCACAGTGTATCATAGAGAGAAAATTTATTTAAATCTTTCAACTTCAATTATTCTTAAATGACTATAATGAATCAGCATGTTAACAAAAAAGTATTGTAATTATTTTCTGTGTATCATAGTTTTATAGTGTAACTAATTTTAATTCCTTTAATTTATAATTTTAAACTAGCTTACCTTTTATATCAAAATAGCTGAGTTTCATGATGGATGACGCTGGAAGTAAAAATGTATTGCTAAAACTTATTTTACTTTATTTAAACGTCTTCAAAAATAAAACAACACTAGATGTCAATGGGATATTATCTGTTATTAGCTCACATGGCGGGCTATTGCAATCACTCACTTGTTCATCTGTCTGTCCGTCCGTCCCTCCATCAGCCTGCCTGCCCGCCCAAACCGCCCACCCACCCGCCCGCCCGCCTGCCCGCCTGCCTGCCTGCCTGCCTGCCTGCCTGCCTGCCTGCCTGCCACATAAAGAATAGTCAACCTAACCAAAAGAACTGGAAATGCAAGGTTTCAAAAAACAAATGTTGAATGCTAACATGGAGATTGGATCTGCAAATAGTCCAGAAACAAGAAAACGAAAATTGAAAAGCAATGAAATATATAATACAGTAAAAGTGATACGAATATACGGGAGTACAAAGACTTGATAATAATCTACATACATAAACAAAGATTAACAACTGGACAGAAAGGTCTAACAGAGAAGATAATGGAATAGAACATGCAGCAAAAAAAGATGAAAAAATAAGATAAATATAGATGAGGGAATTTAATTAGTACTTGTCTTCAGTACGTGGTGTAAAGTCTTCAGTTCTGTGGTGTAAAATGTGGACTCCTGATGTCAAGATCCTGGGTTCAATCCCACAGGAGCCAGCTTGTGCTAACTAGTATACCAGAGAAGTTCATTACTAGAATGATATTAACCATAACTCTATAAAAGGCCTGTGCTGGCTTGAACTGTCTATGGTCCTAGCCAGGATAAAGATACCAGTTCCTGTCAGATTATACGGGAGTTGTTTCTACCTTAGGATATCAAATTACATTATCCTACCTCATGTCCTATGGTGTCTGTGTGAGATATGTTACTTAAATGAAAGTGAAAAAATATATGCCACTATTGTGGCATATATGCCCGAGTTTCTCAGTGATATATGGCCTGATCTTGGGAGGGCCATTGATCTCTGAGAACCGAAGGCATATGTGCCACTATAGTGACGTAAACGATTTATAAAATACCCATGATGATGTAGACTGGTCAGAGAGTAGTTTTCTTATCTAATTGGCTAATAAATGGCAAAAACAGAAATTGATGGTTGATTCCTGCGTTGAGCCATTTTGACCCAATACATGTATTTCTTCATGATAAAACCGTGTCATTTGATGGAGTGATCTGAATTTTTTTATTAGTAATGTCTCTAGGTACACAGCCAATATAATTCCGCGCCGTATCAGCATCACAAAAATTCGGCGCTGTTCCGGCACCATTCCGGCACTGAAACCTTTCGACTCCAAAATTTGGCACCGGACTAGTCAGTCCATTTGGTGCCGAGACGGCACCGAAATTTGGCACCAATTTGATGTCGAAAATCAGATTGAATTTTGGAGGTGTATTAAACCTCACAACTGATTAATTTTGGGGCATTTTGGGTAATTTTAAGGTGGTCATTTTGGATTTTAATCATTCTGGGTATTTTTTTAATGAGATTTATATTAGATCTGTATTTTAAACTATTAAAGCCTAACATTTTCTTCTATTTTATGACATATTTGAATTCTGTGTGTAATTTTCTATCAAAACAACTTTAATTTGGAGTTATTTACCTTTATTCCAATTTTAAAGATTTTCATGTTTTCTGAAAAAGGTTTGGCTAAATACCCATTGACACAATGTTGAAAAACCTTTGAAATATTATTTAAGGGTCTTAATTTTAATGTTAAATCACGATCCCCATGTCAATAAGTCTGTACAGCTACATTCCAATGGTGTCTTACGTTGATCCAAATGGAATTACTTGTTAAATCAAGAAATTAAGTGACTCTTGTAATATATTTCCATGTGTTCTGGCCCTACCAATACCTTTGCTGGCATCTATTTAGATTTTTTTGTCAAGAAAACTAGTACTGCAACCCCATTTGAGCCCAGTCCCCATGGTACTATTAATACAAAGTCACGTAACACATAAGTGGTTGAAGAGGTCGTTCTATTTTATCAGTCATAAATTAAGTCAAAATCCATGCGTCTTAATCGTGACAAAAAATCGACGCTATGTATTGGTCTCTGATGATTCATGTATATGGCATAAAATTTAGTTTAAACATGGCAATTTTGATAAAAACTGGCATTACTGGGCATTGTTTTTTTGAACGGCAAGTCTCAATTTAGAGAACAGTCTCATGGGCTAATAATGTTTTCATGGAATATATGGAAATATCACCCAAATTAAATTATGAATATTCAAAAGAGGACATTTAAATCTACAAGGTGTAATAATATCAAAATTGTCTGAAGCATGCGTAATCTTGTTTGAGACTTTTTACTTGAGTACATGGTAGAAATGCCTAAACTGTCAAACTACTATTGTGTTAGAAGAAATATTCCAGTTAGAATTTACAATGGGTGATTTTTGTTTTCAGGTGTTTGAATGCAAATATTGTTTGTAAATAAAGATTAACTTGTACATATGCTATACATTAGTATTCATTATTTGATAGATTGTTTTTCATCGGAAATGAACATGCACACATTGATTGATTTCAAGGAAACTCTCCCATGAGATTTTACTAAAATGACTATTATAGAAATGTAGAACTGTAAAATACCATTGAAAGGAACATTATTAAGTTACATTTTCATGATATGTGCATTTTTATTTTCAGGTGGTTGAATGTATATTTTAACATGTTTTTAATGTCAAATTGTTATCATAGTCTGCTAAAAAACAGGATATATTGCTTAAAATAATTTACCATCCAATTTACTGTGGAACTACTCATACTTCTTTAAAACCTGCCTTATTGGAATATGTACCTAATATGGTGCATTTTTGTTTTGAGCAGAACAAATCAAATTAATTCAGTTCATTCATTTAGCATCTATTATCATTTTGGTTATGTCTAGAAATATAGAGGTTATGAAATGGCAGATGTTTCCATTTTATGAGGCAACACCAATTGAATTTCTTGACTTAGCACCTTCTTTAATTCCAACTAATGATTATGAAAGTCTTATTTTTAATCCACTGACTTTAGAAAATAGACAGAAGGATGAACCTCTCACTGCACATGATTTTGAAATAAATCAATCAGTTAATCAGTGCAACTACAATAATATTGATCAATTTAACTATCACTTACAAAAATCAAATGATCTTAGCATGTTACACATCAACATGAGGAGTGTATCTAAAAATCAATGGAAATTCCATAATATGTTGCAATTGTTAAAAAATAATCTTTCAATTATTGGTATGACTGAAACATGGCTTACATCAAACTTAGAGCCTATTTATGAGGAAAATGATTCTAATTATAATAGTATTTTTAACTCTAGGAAAGATAGACCAGGGGGTGGTGTTGCACTTCATATTTTAAAAGGCATTGACTTTAAACATAGGGATGACCTCAAATTAGATTATAAAGCATGTGAATCACTATCTATTGAAATTCCTAGAAAAAATGAGAAAAATATGGTTATTACTATAATATATAGACCACCAAATACAGACATGGCATCTTTTCATGAAAGTTTTGAGAGTCTACTTTCTAAAATTGATAGGGAACATAAAATTTCTTATATAATGGGTGATTTCAACATTGATTTACTTAAAACTGAAAGTGATGCACAAACGTTGAATTTTCTTAATCTATTATACTCCCAATCTTACAACCCATTGATTTTTAAACCTACTAGAATAACAGAAAAAAGTGCTACGCTTATTGATAATATCTTTTCTAATTCAAATAATGTAATCAAAAGTGGTCTTCTTTCATTTCCCATTTCTGATCACCATCCTATCTTTGCCCTTACATCACACCATCAAAATGTTTGTGAAAATAAACAAATCACTTTTAGGAAATATCCATTGAGTGCAATCAATAATTTTAGTGATTCATTGAAAGATATAGATTGGACAGGTATAATTAATGAAAAGGTTGATGTAAACGTGGCTTATAATTTGTTTGCAGACCAAATTAGTAGAAAATATGATGAACATTTCCCTGTAAAAGTCAAAAATACAAAAATTCACAAGAACCCAATTAAGCCTTGGCTCTCACATGGTATACTAACATCTGTGAAACAGAAGAATAAACTTTATCGAAATACTTTGAAACACCCAACGAAACAGAATCAAGCTGAATACAAAACTTTTCGAAACAATCTCCATAAATTAATCCGTAAAGCAGAAAGGAAATATTTTTGTGATAGATTTACTGAAACAAGCAATAATATCAAGAATACTTGGTCAGTAATAAATGATTTACTTCACCGCAAAAAATGTGATTCAGTTTTTCCAGATAAATTTTATGATGGAGATGATACTTTGACTGATAGAAAAGATATTGCTAATCATTTTAACAGATTTTTTTCTAATGTTGGACCTACATTAGCATCAAAGATAAGTTCAAAAACGTCCCCTTTAACATTTATGGAAATCAATGAATCTTCTTTAGAACTTACTCCTGTGAGTAAGAATGAAATCGAAAATTTAATGTCCGTTTTAAAAGATTGCTCACCAGGCCTAGATGAATTCAAACCAATAGTAGTTAAACACGCAAGAAATAACTTACTTTTACCATTTGTTCATATAGCAAACGTATCTATCCATACAGGGGTTTTTCCCACTAAGTTGAAAACAGCCAAAGTTATCCCACTTTTTAAAAAAGGAAACACTTCAAAATTTTCAAACTATAGACCCATATCTCTACTTAGTGTCTTTTCTAAACTCTTAGAACAGATCATGAAAAATAGATTAATAACATTTATTGAAACATACAAACTTTTATTCAAAAATCAGTTTGGTTTTAGAAAACATTATTCAACTTATATGGCAATCCTCTCCTTCTTGGAAGAAGTGAGGATATCTCTAGATAAAAGCTCAACTCATGCTATTGGAATATTTTTAGATTTATCGAAAGCCTTCGATACAGTAAATCATGAAATTCTTCTAAAAAAACTTGAAAATTTGGGAATTCGCAATGTTGCAAAAAATTGGTTCGAAAGCTATTTATCGGATAGAAAAATCATTACTTCTTTTAACAACACTCTATCTGAAGAAAATATTATCACTTGTGGTGTACCTCAAGGGTCTGTTTTAGGCCCCATCTTATTCATTCTCTATATAAATGATTTACATAAGGTTTCAAATATTCTTAAATTTACTATTTTCGCAGATGATACAAATATCTTATGTTCAAACAAAAATCTTCATGATCTATATAGAAATGTAAATTTAGAAATGGAAAAGACATTAGAATGGTTCAAATCAAATAAACTTTCTTTGAATATAGACAAGACAAATTATATGCCATTTACAAGATCAAAGTTAAATATTGATGAAAATCAAGATTTTAATATAAAAATAGGGGGTAATATTCTTAATAGAGTAATGCATACGAATTTTCTGGGAGTAACAATTGATTGTAAATTAAAATTTAGAACAAGTATAGGTCAACACTCAATAAAATATTCAGGTGCTCAGCTTTGGAATAATCTGCCAACTTCCTTGAAAACATCACCTTCCATTTACTGTTTTAAAAAGAATTTTAAAATCCATATGACATCAACATATGATGAACTGAATTACTGACAAACATATATGTAGATTTTATATATTGTTATCAATTTTATTCTCTTTTTACTGAGTAAATATTCTTAATTGGTCTTTTTTCTCATTTCCATGTGACTCGGGTTAATATTTAAATGTTTTCACGCTGATACACTTATTTAAAGTGTCAAGTGTTATTATGTATTTGATTTTAATTTAGAGAATTAATATTTTTAATAAAAAAAAAAAAAAAAAAAAAAAAAAAAAAACGTGCGATTAAATAAAAAACAAGTCTCGTTTTGGAGAAAGAAGTTCATCAGTGTACCACGCTTATAATTTTTTTATGATATTTTATGAAATATCCCCCAAATTAAAATTAAGAATGAAAAGAGGACATTTAAATCTACAAGATGTAAAACATCAAAATTGTCCAAAGCAGGCGTAACGTGCAGTAGGCTGATGAACTTTGTTCTCCAAACCAGGACTAGTATTTTGGGTAGTATTTTCTGACTTTGGGCCCACTTTATTGTGCCCCTTCCCCTCAGGATCACCCTTTGTGTTTTGTTAAACATACCCTTCACTGGCAGATCCTAGGGGGGGGGGGGGCATGTTTATTTATATTATATGTTTATATATTATATTATATTTATTTATTATTTGAATTAATATGTGTTGTTGACAGTATATTGTAATTCATAAAATTGTATCTTTATATACAGGATCAAGATGATCATTTTGACCCCTGTGAATGATAGTCAAAATACATGGTTCAGTTCAATGAAAAATATGTACATGAACATTTTTACTCAATAAGATTAGAACAACTATGTTTTGTTTTTGTTATTACAATATTTATTTTGTACTGTAATTGTCAAACAATGACTTTCACAGTAGCTCCCTCAACAGCTGAATAACTTTACAAATTCTAACACAATTTTTAATCTTAATCTTTTTTTTGCTTATATCTTTTACTCATCGAATAAAGGAGAAAACTATGCACTTATTATGTTATATGGCCTCAGTTCCATGTTTCTAATACTGGGACATTCGGTCAAAGAATAGATTGATGATGTAACAATTAATGCAAATAAATTAATGCAAGCTAGCTAATTTGCATATTTGAATTTCTTAACGGAACATGAAATTTAATATGATACTCATATCATTTCTCGAGACCAAATAATGACAAACATTTTAATATGATAGAATTATATAGTTGAAAATATGAGTTGTTGTATTATGTCCTCTTTAGATATATTTTGCACCCACAAAAGTCATGGATTTGTATGGCTCCTTCTCCCTCAGTTCAGCAATTTTTGGTTTTGCGATGATTCTATCAAAGTAGCCATTTAATGCAGGGAATGCATCAAGTGCTTTTGGGTCAACTGCTTTACATGTATCTAACATATCGACAAGCTTGTAGTCCACAAATGTGATAGCATCTCCAACCAGAAAACCTACTCCACCATTGTTTTTCTTCAAGAGCCCCTAAAAGTACAAGAAAAATGTTTTGAGTGAATTGTCAACAAAAACTATGTAGAGCCATTATATGTAAAGTAAACCCTTGCAAACCCTTTGAGAATAGCTTGCTTAACTACTTGCTCACAAATACTTTGTAGTGTAAAACTTCAAAAAAAGAAAATATATCAATAAAAAGACTTCTAAAAATTATGACATCTTTATCTAAATGCACCCAGACATATCCAACTGGTCATTATGGTGTCATTAAAATGTAATTACCTCTAATATTGTCAGCCCTTGAGGGATAACAAAGTTGCTCAGCTTTTCTCTATTACCATTGAACTAAATGTATAAAATATGTATAGAGTTAAATAAATGACATAAATTTCATAATTGGACATGAGTAAACCTCTTTCATTTCTTATATATTATAGAGAATATCTTGACTGAGTGTCCACTGTTTTTTAGTTATTTACAAGTTTTACTATTACAAGAATGTGTATTCTTTTACAATCTGATCTGACAAAACAATATGAGGTTGTGCATTCAATATTTTTTTCTTGAGAGTATGAGCTTTACATACTTTTATAATTTTCTCTACCTCAGACGATTTTGGTAGGATATGACGATATCTGAAAAATGAATTTTATAACAATAAAAATTGATCTTACATAGTTAGAATAGACCATGGTGTATATTCTCTCTCTGAGGTCACTTTCAAATTCAATGAGCATGTCAATCTCTGTAGCTTGTTCATCAGTTGATCCATAAAGTTTAAACTTTCTTGCAAGATGGCGAAGTATAGCATTTGTTTGCGTTATTTTTAGACCATCCTCAGTTTCTAACACTGGTAAAACTCCATGTGGCTGAAATGATGGAGGATATTTTGATTTGATTTTTGGTGTAGATCTAAAAGACAGGGATAATTTATAAAGGGATTGGTCAAAATAAATTCTATTGTTAAAATTCTGAAATGCTGTACATTGCATTTGATCTGTGGAACTTGCATATCATATCATAGCATATATGCATGATCAATATCTTTGACTCAATAAGAATATAAAATATGAAAAACTTATAGTAAGGAAAACAGGAAAATATACTTAGTAATCATTTATACACACCATCTTTGCCTTTTTGTCTAGCCATTCTTTGTTCAAATATAAATCTGGTTCGAGGGATCCACTATAGACTTCCTCAAGACTAAATCCTCTTTTCCTAAAATTTTCACAGCCATCCTCAGTCCACAAATGAATGAGTTCATCTTTATGTGGGATGCCATTGTCTACAAGCAGGTACCTAATTGGCTGACCACGTCCTAGAAAACCATCAGCACTCTTAAAGTGTATCACAGAAAGAAAATTTATTTAAATTATTTAACTTCAGTTACTTTTAAATGACTTTAATGAATCATATGTTGAAAAAGAATTCTAATTATTTTCTCTATACTATTTCTAAAAATGTAACTGATTTGAAGTTCTTTTTAGTATTTTAGATTAACATACCTTTTACATCAAAATAGATAAGTTTCATGATGGATGACAGTGGAAGTAAAAATGTATTTCTAAAACTTAACCTGCTTTACTTCAACTTGTGAAAAGTTATGATTGTTGTAAATTATCAGGGAGATATTAACTGCTTTTAGCTCACATGCTGGGCTATTGCAATCACTCACTTGTCTGTTTGTCTGTCCATATAAAATCATATGAGGCATTATTATATATTTGTATTCCATACCTAGCAAAGCATTTGTATGGAAGTCAATGGACCTGAAGGTCGGCTATATATTCCTGTATAGACGCCAAACTTTTTACCATGACAATTTTATGATGTCATAACATGTAAACAAAGTGATCTTGACTGGAATTATGTATGTAAGTTAAGGCTAACTTCAAAAAAGGGAGCAATGTCAATGTTTTGTCAATTTGTAGCCTATCTTGGGTTGAGATGAAAAATACTCTTTGACATGTTTTTTTTTAATTTTAAAAGTTGGTATTGTTGATTTACATCTCAATTCAAGTGGAAGTGCACTCCAAATGTTATAATAATATATGAAAAAATACAGGAGTTTGCCTCTCGGTTTGGAGAACAAAGTTCATCTGTCTACTGCCTATAACGCCTGCTTTGGACAGTTTTTATATTTTTACAAATTGTAGATTTAAATGTCCTCTTTTGAATATCCATAATTTAATTTGGGTGTTATTTTTCATAAATTATAAGCGCAGTAGGCTGATGAACCTCGTTCTCCAAACTGAGATTTGTCTACTTGGTCTACTGCACGTTGCGCCTGCTTTGGACAATTTTGATATTGCAGAATTAAATGTCCTCTTTTGAATATTCATAATTTAATTTGGTCATTATTTCTATATTATTAGCTCAATAGACTGTTCTCCAAACCAAGACTTGTCCTTTAGCTGATATATTCTGATTATATTAGGTATGTGAAAATCTACTGGTTTTCTCAGTTGCTTGTGTGTCCTGGTAGTTCTATATTGTTGGAAAATTTCTGATATGTAAGAAGGCCTATAGATAAGTTGTACATAAATGCTGCTAGGTGGGATTCAAGTCAGTTAACTAGTCTGTCCCAATTTACGAATTTCAATACTGAATTTGTGTTTGAACCATGTAGACACCCTGATACAATACATGCGATTCTATACTGCGACTCGATAAGTATTAATTTGTTATGATGAATAATATCATTGAAATCAAGATGTGGTCAAATAAATTATTCATCTATTCTGGTTAAATGTTTACCTATAAGTTTATGTCTCAATGCATGAAGTGGATTTATCTTTATCGAACTTGTTTCATTAGGTTTTCAATATGTACATCAAGGCTTTGAATATCATCCAGGTGCACTCCCTGATGCTTGTGACTTTTAACTTTTGCAGAGTGTCTCCATTTAGGGCCAGGTCGGGGATATTATTTAAAATACTTTACTTCTTTGTTGTCTAAAAATGAGGTCAACACTCTGGTTCTTTAAATGTTCTTTTCCTAGTATACTGTATGACCACTCAAAAGTTTGTTGAAATCGTCTTGTACACATAGAAGTTCAATGGAGTTTGGAACATATTTCAGTTTTCAGGCGAAACCATTTGATGGATTTATCTGAAACTTTTATAAATATTTCTAGGTATAAAATTTCTTGGTGAATTTTGAGGTGGCCATTTTGGATTTTCTTTACATGTTTTGAGGCAAACCATTTCATGGTTCAATCATCAATTTTTCACAATTTTTCTTGGTACAAAAGTCTACAGTTACTTAGTCTTTGGACATTCTGGGTAAATCTTTAGGTTTAGATTTTGGACTTTTTGTTCAGAAAACTAGTACCAAAGGACCATGTGAGTACAGTACCCAAGGTATTATTTATAAAACATTACTTACAAAGTTGAAGTACTTTGGCACGTAGTCTTACTGGACATACTCTCATATATACATACATTCATTTTTTTATCACTGAAGGTGAAGTGACCTTGGCATAATAGCCCCCTCTTATCAGACATACTGACATACATACATGTACATTTATTTTCAGTAGGGCTAGTAAAACGTGAACCTGATCCAAGAGTTCTAAAACTCTGATTATGTTTTGGACATGTTGGCTCAGTCATGGCAGCCATTTTGATTGTCTTAAGAAAAGTCTGCAAGCAATAATACCCTTTCTCATGTTTCATGAGGTGTCATTAGTTTTTCATGATTAATTTCAAAAATCCATGTCACTGTTAACAGTAGTTATATGACATAATTTTGTAAAAAAAATTGGTAAAAACTTATATCTGCTTTTTATTGTCTGCCATTTTTGGAATCCTGTTTTGAAATCCTTTTTTGTAAAATATTGTCTAAGCATTTCCGGGCTAACTGTTTGACGGATGGATTTCAATTTTTCAAGGATGGTTCTTTGTCTGAAAATCTTGAACTGATATTGTTTCTGGCATTTTGGGTAAATGCTAATGGGGTAATTTGGGATTTTTGTCCTAAAATCTGTCTCTTTAACTGATTAGTATTGGGCTTCAGGATGTAAAAACTAGAGAATCACCCATTGGTGAGATCATGTTGTACACATATGTGTCCTTGTTAAAATAGTATCTCGCACAAATACAATTCTACAGCCAACCCTCTTGGTGACCAAACTACTTAGATTCAAACTGACTTAGATCCTTGTAGGGGACTCAAGGACTTGTAAAGAAATTTTGGTGACAGTTTTCGAATCAGGCTCTTCAGTGCTGAGTCAGCAAATTCTAAAACAATTGCATTTAGTTGAAAACATTTCTATTAATATAAGTGTTTAAAGGGTTAATACCTCTAAAATCAATATATTCAATAATGCAGATGCGAGTAGATAGTTACCAGTTTCACCACCAGGTGGCTCGTTCGGGTCAGATAGCATGGCAGGTATAGTAGAAAGTTCCCTTTAACTTAAGTTACATCTGTTTTAGTGGTTCAATTTTCATATAACCCTTTTGTATCTAATAGTTATGCAAATCAAAATATGTCCAGTAAATGAAAATATTATCTGACCAATACAAGAAAAGATATTTTGTGATTTTGTAACATGGGCTCTATGGAGAATCAACCCGAACTAGAAGTCACACTTTCAAAAATAATTAAATTTTCAAACTCGATAAACAAATTTCGAAACCATATTTCTAGATGTACTTTTACATGTAGATTTCAAATATAACATCGCTTTGACTGAATTTTGAATATTAAATGGCGTAAATCAAGTTTTTTTCTACTCGCATTTAGTCTATTGAGAAAAGCAGAAACATTTACTTTTAATTTACATTGTATAACTCATGTTAAATATCCATTTCAGGCCTCCTAGATTTCCACTAACGCGATTATCAGTTCTAACCTTGCGAACTATGTTCCTTCCACCGAACCAATGCTCTCACAATGTGAATATTGATTCTTTAGATGCGAACCATTTTTTCCTCTCTCCTGAACACATTTCTCTTCTTGCAAGCAGAGTTTTTTGCAGTTTCAGATGTAGGAACTCTGTCCACAAGTAGAGAAATATATTTGGGAGAGAGGAAAAAGTTGTTTGCGACTAATGAATTGATATTTGCATTGTGAGAGCCGTTGTTTGGGTGGAAGGAACATAGTTTGTGAGGCTGGAACTGATGATCACATTAGCGGAAGTCTATGAGGCCTGTAATTGTTTTGAAAATCATTTATGATCAAAAATCAGGAACAAATACCATGGCACTTTGTCATATATTAAACCATGTTTATGATTGAATTATTAAAGAAAATCAAAAGATTTTATTTTACTCATACTAAATAAAGATTATGTAGTATAACCCTGCTTTGTACCAACTTTTAGGATTCAAAGGGTTAATACATCAAAATCCTTATTCACACAAATGCCAAGAAAATAGAAGATATTACAGACATTTCTATACAATAATATTTATTCATCATTACAATAGATTAGACAAAAGAACTTTAAAAAAATATTTTGTCAAGCCACCCCTATGTCAGAAAGGGGTTCAACTTATTTCCACATTAGGCTTGATAGTTTCTTAGATATACCCTGCACCCACAAATGTCATGGATTTGTATGGCTCCTTCTCCCTCAGTTCAGCAATTTTTGGTCTTGCGATGATTCTATCAAAGTAACCATTTAATGCAGGGAATGCGTCAAGTGCTTTTAGGTCAACTGCCTTGCACATATCTAGCAAATCAGCCACTTTGTAGTCCACAAAAGTGATTTCATCTCCGACAAGAAATCCCACTCCACCCTTGTTTTTCTTAAGTTCTCTCTTAAAGTAAACATGTAAAGAATTTTTAAGAAATGGTCAAGAAATGAACTATCTGTTTCAGTCCGCTCAGAAATATTACCATTATAGACCAAATTATTAAAGGCTGATATCTTATGTACAAACGACCTCTGCTCAAGAAGGCATTTCAATATGGCCACTCGCTTTAAAATGGCTGCCATTTTTCATAAAAAATGTAATGTTCCATTATTCAAATACCATTTGACATATTTGGTCCAAATTTTATATGGTGATTAATGATTTTTTAGGGACACAACTAAAGAAGGAATTTCCACTATGACCACTCAATTCAAAATGGCTGCCAGTTTTTGTTAAAGAAAATATAATCCTTGATAACTTAAATACCATTCAACAGATTTATAGAAAAAAGAAAATTGAAAATATTTAATAAAGAAAACTTCCAACACTTTTTACATCTTTATTTCATTCTACTCTGACATACCCAACATTAAGATGTATCTTAAATGTAATTACCTCTAATGTTGTCAGCGCTCGAGGAATTATGATGTTGCTCAGCTTCTCTCTGTCACCATTGAACTAAATGAACAGATATAGAGTTGAATAGATGACAGTTACTTAGTGTTTTGAGCAATATGAAAGTCATATATTTCACAATTTGACATTAGGTAATCTTTTCTAATATATTAAAAACAATTTCTTGCCAGTATCTACTGTATTACAACATTGTATTATTTTACAATCTGATCTGACAAAACAATATGAATTTGTGCATTCAATCATTTTTTCCCTGAGAGCATGAGCTTTACATACTTTTACAATGTTCTCTAACAGGCCTCCTAGACTTCCAACAACGCGAACATCAGTTCTGATACCGCGAACTACGTTCCTTGCACTCGAACCACGAATCTCATATCGCGAACGTGAAATCTTATGTCGCGCACCACCATTTCCTTGTTTCCGAACATATTTCTTGTACCTCGCACAAAGATCCGTTACCGCGAACAATTTGTACATAATACATCCGGGTGCTTGGGATTCCAAGTTATACCAATATGCAACGAAGTGAAACAAGGAAACGAAATTCAGTTTCTCCTCCGCTTTCGCCGGACTTTCGTTCCTTTGAAAAGCATCTAACATCCACGCCCCGAGTTGGCAGGGCTTTAAATGATGTGTATATCACACGCTTGCACCGATGATCATGTTCCCGACATCCATTTTTGTGACTCATGTGGATGGCAGAGAGACTCAGCTGATTTCAGGTAGATCTACCGTTTTTGTATAGTTAATTTTTTTTCTTACACTGGTTTAGGTGCCATGGTAGTTAACAGGAAATGACAAAACAGGAAGTGACAAAACCATGCTGGATTTCAAACGTTTTTTGAACCAAGATATCAGAGTTCTGCTTTGACCTCCAGTCAGTTTAACTAGTTCCACATACCATTTACATGACCATGATCACAATGACCATGGTCAGATTGACCCTAGACATGATGACATTAATTCTTCAGCCCTCTGAAATTTGTGACTGAAAAATAGATAAAAATAGAGCTTAGGAAAGGTCACTGAACAGAATCTCTTGCATTTTTCAGAAAATGTGCCTAATATATTGCTCTCAGTGATACAATCTTGGGAAATTTGATATCATTCGTTGAAAAAGAAAAAAATGAAAAAACTGAATTAAAAAGCGATATTTTTTCCTTTTTAGTTTGACCGCCATTTTTTCAGACAAGTTTCTGAAATTTTAAAGATTGTATCATTTAGAGCAATATATTGGGCACATTTTCTGAAAAATTCAAAAGATCCTGTGCATTGACCTTTCCTATGCTCCTACTTAAAGCTATTTACATTGACCTTTTCAGAGGGCTGAAAAAGGTATTTCATCATGTCTAGGGTCATTCTGACCATGGTCAGTGTGATCCTGGTCACACTGCATCATGCGACCTTAAACTACAAGGTTTACTTTTATACAGTACACCTACATTGTATTCATCAGTTATATTCTGTGTAGATGCACTGGCCCGCCCCTCCCTCTGAGATGGGCCCAGAAAAAAGGGTCCGACATTTTAGCGCTCCACATGTCTTGGGTCAGATATCGTCCTGGTTGCTGAAGTAAGGAATTTTTGGGGAACATGGGGCAAAACGGCCCTCATAATAATTAGATCCGTGCAGAGGTTTTTCTAATCTGTCAATCATCGCGAACTTTCATGTTCCATCTTATGAAGGGATTATATTTCACATTTTCTGTGATTTTTCAGTGTTCGAAAATAATGTTGAGAGTAGGGCAAAATGGCCCATGGGTGGGGCAGAACAGCCCACAATTAAAGCTTCAGCTTTAAAACCAAGATTAATTTACTACATGACTCGCCAACACACATTTATCTCAGACGGTCAAAGATTAGACAGATAAAGTATTCTTAGCCCTTACCCTAAAATTACGATTTAGTAGTCATTTGATATGTTTTGAAACAAAAACCAAGTGTTAAAATCTTTATCAGGATGATAGATTGTTATTTTCCTGTATGTAAACAGTTAATCCCACAAGCCGTAATGGGGGGGCAACATTTAAGTTAAGTTTTCATGGCAAAGGGTAGCATCTTCAAATTATCAGTAGCTGGAGCTACAGATATAGCACATCAAGTATTCTATAAAATCAGGAATATTGTACATAGGGTAACTCATTTCTTTATTATGATGCAATCATCGGCTCAAATGGACAAAATTGGAAAAAGCTGTCACTAATTTGGCCATACGTGTTGTTACTCAAAAGTGCAGGTTTTTGTTTTTGTTGTTATTACCCAGCCCTTTCACTGAAAATGTCAATGCGCGTGATTGCAAGGTAGTCCCAATATTTTGTGTTTCCTAGAGCTTGAAAATACTGTTATCGTCAATGAGTGGATATTCATTCACATGCATGAAAACTGGGAAAATATTTCTTCCGAATTCCATATGAAAACACCTCCTTGGAATTTTACTTATGCGTAATAATACGAACAAAATTACGGACTTTTTTTCGATCAGATGCGTGGTTCGCGGTAACGGATCTCTGTGCGCGGTATAAGAAATATGTTCGGAAACAAGGAAATGGTGGTGCGTGACATAAGATTTCACGTTCGCGATATGAGATTCGTGGTTCGAGTGCAAGGAACGTAGTTCGCGGTATCAGAACTGATGTTCGCGTTGTTGGAAGTCTAGGAGGCCTGTCTAAATAGGATCGGATTTCAGTACTGTATGACGATATCTGAAAATTAAATTTTATAACAACTAGCAATCTACCCATTCAAGTGGATCACCAAGGGTTACAGCAGCCCCAACATGGCAGCAACCCCCATAAAATGATAAATACCTGTATATTGATCATTTGACCTTGACTGATTCTTGAATTGAGGTGAACTTGTCCAAAGGCCTTGAAATGCCAAATACCTAGATATTCACATTTCACCTTGAGATGACCTTGGTCCTATAAACATTGACTTTGAACTCTGTTCACCTAATCATGAGTCACCCAGGGTGGGTCGTCAAGGGTCACAGCACAGACCAAGGGACTTAAAAACCCAAATACCTAGATATTGACATTTTGCCTTGGAATGACATTGACCTCTGACCTTGGTAGAATGCCCACCGGCCCACTTAGTATGTTGACCAAGTATAAGGGTCCAAGGTCAAACGGTACAGGAGGAGATGTCCAGACAGACAGGCAGACAGACAAAATGACAGACAGACAGACTACCATGGTTCTTTATCGTAAGAAAACAATGGTAAAAAGTAGATCTTACATAGTCAGAATAGACCAATGTGTATATCCTCTCTCTGAGCTCACTTTCAAATTCAATGAGTATGTCAATCTCTGTAGCTTGTTCATCAGTTGATCCATATAGTTTAAACTTTCTTGCAAGATGGCGAAGTATAGCATTTGTTTGCGCTATTTTTAGACCATCCTCAGTTTCTAACACCGGTACTTGGCCATATGGCTGGAATTATGTAGGACATTTATTGGAGTCATTTTGAATTTATTTTTGAGTAATCTAGAAATGGGTTAATCAAAGTAAATATCAAATATTCACATCCAATATTAGAACATACTATTTTGAATAATCTGCATTCTTAAGTATACAACAGAGTGTATGGTTATTTCAGTAGAATCATAAGTAATAGCAAGACATGTGCTTATGCAGGTCCCTAAAAAGTTTCCTTGCAAAGAAATTTATTCTTTGAGGTGATACTATATAAAATCTTTTGCAATTTGAAAAGAATTTAATGCACTCAGCCACTCATGTCTTTTATCAAGACTTGGAACTTGGAGTACCACCCTCGTCCTAAGTCTTGATACGAGACGCATGATTTTAATCATGTACAATCCATTGTTTGTTTAGTGTATAATAAACTGTGCATTTATTTGATGCAAAAATGTTTTAAAATGTCAACAAAAACTTGCATTGAGTGAAATTAGAAAATATATATGTGTTTTTCACTAATAGTAATACCATCGATGCCTTTTTGTCCTGCCATTCTTTACTGAAATCTGGTTGAAACAATCCACTGTTGATATCCTCTTGCTTAAATTCTCCCTTCTGGAGTTTCTCACAGTCATCCTCAGTCCATACAGGAATCAGTTCATCTTCATGTGGGATGCCATTGTCTACTAGCAAGTACCTAATTGGCTGGGCACGTCCTAAAAAGCACCCACATTCTCTCAGTATACTTTCAGTATTGCAGAGAGAAAATTTATTTAAATTGTTCAACTTCAATTATTTAATTGAACTATTTGAATTTCAATTTCAGTATTTTAAATTATCATACCTTTTACATCAAAATAGATGAGTTTCATGATGGATGACACTGGAATTAAAAATGTATTGCTAAAACTTAATGTACATTTACTTATACTTCTGAAAAAATAAAACACATGGTGAGCTATTGCAACCACCCACTTGTACATATCTTTGTCCTTCTGTCTGTCTCTCCATCCAAACTTACTGTACTTTTACTTATACTTCTGTAAAAATAAAACACATGGTGAGCTATTGCAACCACCCACTTGTCCATATTTCTGTCCGTCCGTCCGTCCATCCATCCATCCATCCGTCTGTCAACAATCAACAATAGTGGCACATTTTAAACGCTCTGTGGATGGGATTTCTGTTATTTTTGTTCATCATCAATAGAGGAAACCTCCATACAACTCCTGGATCAAAAGCTCAAAATTCACTTCAGCATTTAATAGCTTTATTAATAATTTCAGATGTGCTACATTGTAAAACCCATGTCATTGTTAACAGTAGGTTTATGAGTTAATTTTGTAAAAAATTTGGCAAAAATTTATATCTGCTTTTTTAAAGTCTCTATAAGTAGTCATAGAGATGCGCTATTGATGCATAAGGGTTTGAATAATCGTATTGACTCTAGTTTCCATATTCACAACTTGCTAAAGTTGCTATAGCGAACCATAGAATCATGTTATTGACGCATTAATTGTTTCAACTCCAGTTTCCATAATTACGACATGATAAAGTCGCTATAGCGATCCATGTTTCAAAAAACCATTTGATGTATTGATTTTTAGAGTATTTTTTTCTTGGTACAAAACTTCACATACAGTTTTGGGGCACTTTGGGTGGGTTAATTTTCAGGTGGCCATTATGGATTTTCCATCTTAAAATCTTGTCTGTAAAGTCTTCTCTTCATATTTTGTGACAATCCATTTCATGGATCAAGCTGAAATTTTCAGGGATGATTTTTGGTATAAAAGTCTTTGGACATTCTGGGTAGAGTTTTAGACAGCGCACAATTTTTGACAAAACCATGTGAGCCCAGCACCCACAGTTCTATTTATTTAACTGATACAAAGTCACACAAACATATTGTCGAATAAAGTGGTTGAAGTTCAATCACAAATGTATTGCAGACATATGTATTAACCTTTGTATATAATCTTATCAGACATACTGATATATACATATGTGTATTTTCAGTATGGTTAGTAAAAAATGAACTGGGGATTCAAATCCATTTTAAACCTCTTTTTGAAATTGTGTTTTCCACATATAAGAAAATCAGTCCAATGAAAAAATGATGCTTCATATTTAAATAATACAAATGCACCATTTAACATGTTTATCAACATTTTAGACAGTTTGTTCAACATTTTAGATCAGTTGAATGTTATTATGTCACCACCAAAAGTGGTGACATATTTTGTTATGGTCTCCGTTTTTTTGCGACGGCGGTTGGTGGTTGGCGTCCGGCGTCCGGCGGTTGGTGGTTGGCGTCCGGCGTCTGTAACAATTTCTTACAACTTCCTATAACTTAACAAATACTGTTTAGACTGACTTCAATTTTTTTCTAAATCATCTACATGTTCTCAGAAGTTCAAATCTGACTTTAGATTTGACATTTGACCTTCAATGACCTTCTCAAGGTCAAAAAGGTCTTTTTTCAACTTGCTTCACATTGACTAAACTTTTTTTCAAAATCATCTCGAGTTCTCAGAAATTCAAATCTGACTTTAGATTTGATTTTAGATTTGACATTTGACTTTCAAATCTGACTTTAGATTTGACATTTGACCTTCAATGACCTTCTCAAGGTCAAAAAGGTCAAAAAGGTCTGTTTTCAACTTGCTTCAAATTGACTAATTTTTTTTTTCAAAATCATCTACGTGTACTCAGAAATTCAAATCTGACTTTAGATTTGACTTAAGATTTGACATTTGACCTTCAATGACCTTCTCAAAGTCAAAAAAGGTCAAAAAGGTCTTTTTTCAACTTGCTTCAAATTGACTAAATTTTTTTTTCAAAATCATCTACATGTTCTCAGAAATTCAAATCTGACTTTAGATTTGACATTTGACCTTCAATAACCTTCTCAAGGTCAAAAAAGGTCAAACAGGTCTGTTTTCAACTTGCTTCAAATTGACTAAAATTTTTTTTCAAAATCATCTACGTGTTCTCAGAAATTCAAATCTGACTTTTGATGTGACTTAAGATTGGACATTTGACCTTCAATGACCTTCTCAAAGTCAAAAAAGGTCAAAAAGGTCTTTTTTCAACTTGCTTCAAATTGACTAAATTTTTTTTTCAAAATCATGTACATGTTCTCAGAAATTCAAATCTGACTTTAGATTTGACATTTGACCTTCAATGACCTTCTCAATGTCAAAAAAGGTCAAAAAGGTCTTTTTTCTTCTTGCTTCAAATTGACTAAATTTTTTTTCAAAATCATCTACATGTTCTCAGAAATTCAAATATGACTTTAGATTTGACTTTAGATTTGACATTTGACCTTCAATGACCTTCTCAAGGTCAAAAAAGGTCAAAAAGGTCTTTTTTCAACTTGCTTCAAATTGACTAATTTTTTTTTTCAAATCATCTACATGTTCTCAGAAATTCAAATCTGACTTTAGATTTGACATTTGACCTTTAATGACCTCCTCAAGGTCAAAAAGGTCAAAAACGTCTGTTTTCAACTTGCTTCAAATTGACCAAATTTTTTTTTCAAAATCGTCTACATCTTTTCAGAAGTTCAAATTTGACTTTTACAAGTTCTCAGAAGTTCAAATCTGACTTTAGATTTGACCTTTGACCTTCAATGACCTTCTCAAGGTCAAAAAGGTCTTTTTTCAACTTGCTTCAAATTGACTAATTTTTTTTTCAAAATCATCTTCATGTTCTCAGAAGTTCAAATCTGACTTTAGATTTGACATTTGACCTTCAATGACCTTTTCAAGGTCAAAAAAGTCTTTTTTCAACTTGCTTCAAATTTACTTTTTTTTTTCAAAATCATCTACATGTTCTCAGAAGTTCAAATCTGACTTTACATTTGACATTTGACCTTCAATGACCTTCTCAATGTCAAAAAAAGTCAAAGAGGTATTTTTTCAACTTGCTTCAAATTGACGAATTTTTTTTTCAAAATCATCTACATGTTCTAAGAAGTTCAAATCAAACCTTCTTAAGGTCAAAAGGTATTTTCCAACTTGCTTTAAATTGACCAAATTGTTTTAGGTGGTGACATTTTGTCATGTTAATGCCTTGTTTTCATGGCTTATTATATCTCTATAGTGTAAAATATCAAGGATTCAACATTCTATTTCTAGGTCTATTTCGGAGGGTTACCACGACAACGATGTCCTTGATCCGACAAGATATGCAACCAAATGGTTTCTATGGTATCAAACACATCAATGAGATCTTCCGTGAGTTAGGCCACAGGGAACCCATGTTAACTCTCCAATGGTGCAATATACTCATACTATTGAACTATGACGATCAGCCATTCTGGAGTAAGGTTCTTCAGACCCCTGAAAAATATGTCATGGGAAGTCCTAGGTGAGCTTACATTTACAAAGAGAATGATCATTAGGAGCTACACAAAGTACGACCCTTCTTAACAAAATTTAGAATAAAATTGATATTGTGTGAATCTCTTCATTGACCTTTTAATGAACTGTTGAAAATAAGAGCAAGCCTATGATCAAAGACCCTAAAAAAATACATAAGATCACTCAAGAGAGCAAGTTGCATCAATTTGCATTGAAACTTTTCTAATTTTTTTCAGTCATAATATTAAATCTAGTCCTAGTGAAGAGAAATGTTCTCTTTCCCAGAGTTGTAATCTACAAGTGGTAAAGCATGGAGGCATCATATTGTTCTGTGATTATGTGGTAAGTATTATCTATTGAATGGTAAAAATTCTGAGATTTCACCTCTGTATGTATGCAAATCTAGGGTTTTTGACTGTGGATTCAGATTCAAAGTTTTGCTTGTATGTCACTCAGTGGAGTTGCCGTTTTATAGTTGCCCCATATGTATTTAAAATGTCGCATTTAAATTCAAGTAACACCCAAAAAGTACCACTTTAATTGTCCTGTTTAGATAATTTTTTAGTTTTCAAATATTTTTTCAGACAATGGATATGATATACATATTGATATGATACCATATTGACTAGCATTGATTTCTTTTTGTATATTTTATATTTCAGTGTGAAAACTTAAGTGATGCTGAACATATGACATGGGGGATTATAAATCATGTGAATGAGATCATTGAACTTTCTTATGAACCCCCAGTGCAAGATTTTATTAGGTGAGTTTTACAGCACAAAGGTGCCTTGTTTGGTAAATAAACATTCAGTTATGTTTTAAAGGCCTCTTGTATGGTTTGAAACTATGTTTTTATATTTCATTTACAATGTACTATTTTTCATGACTTAAAACGAGATTTTTTTAAATCCTTTGGAAAAAAATGTTATCAGCTTTTTATTTCACAAATATTTATTTGAACACATGAGTGTCAACTGGTATTTGAGTTATTGTCTAGACAGATGAAAGAACATCGGACAAATGGATGGTCAGACGAAAGATAATGTTACAAAATAAAAATAACTTTGTTGACAATGGACATTCCTTAAAAATAGCTTTGATATTAAATTTAAACCAACACCTTGATCTTCCCTATGTGTTAAAGCAACAGTATCCCATTAAATCTACAATGTGTTTGAGTTGTTCAAATAGACTGATGGCTTTATCCCAATTGCACAATGTTGAAATAATGACCTAAAGTAGGTTTAATGTAGGCTGTTGATAGCTTTATTATTATTCATGATGAAGTAAGTGCTATATTGCAGTAATGTTATGTGTCAAAGAACCACTTCTTTTGATGAGTGCTGATGTATGTCTGACAAACACATTACTGAACTAATCAAACTCCCTCGCAGTGTCTAGGAATACACTCTCCTATAGCTAACCCCTAGAAATGCATAAGATACTTCCTTTGTCTAATTGTATTGTTTAGTATATTTTTGAAAGTACCTTATTAACATCTAACAGTCATCCGATAAACCGTTAATAAGGAACAGACTGATATTTTCCTGGCTATAAATTCACGATCAGCATTTGAAATATTCAAACTAGTGACGATTAATTGAGCCACTAATGATCTCGATCATTTCTTGTGTTTTGAATTTTTTGATTGGTAAATAAGACCAAAACTTGCAATTCAAATTTTGAAGTGAGAAATACAACTCCAGGACTGACGCTAGCTTTGTTAGAGAATATCGATATTGCATTCTGGCTGCCAATCCTCCTTGAATAGGTATATTGAAGACTGGCACTTAATTTTGCACTTAACTCCTTTATTGTTTTTCTTGTCTTGAAGACAAACAATTATGATCCATTAAACTGTTCAAATATATTGTTGTAAATTAGTACACGTAATTGTGTCAAATTGGCAATATATTTCAATTTATATTTTTTTGCTCTTTTATTGGTAAAGAGGCAATGCCTTGTGGTTTTTCTCCTGGACAATCAGTGATGTTTCATTCTAATTGCTTTTATACTATCTTACACTGGCATGTAGCGATTATAGCGATACTGGATACTTTACTGAATTGTGTCGAAGTTAGACGTGTGGTGCGGAAGTTAATATGCAGATGACCATCATTTCAATGTTATATTGTTTGTAGGCAAATTGAGATTAGGCCATTGGAGTATTTGTTTCACGCATACATAAAGCATAACGCATTCAAGGGTCACATTTATCATTAAACCAATAACTCAAACATATGACCTTGTACACCGACCACCTCTTGAAATCAATGCAGGCCGATTTCAACGAATGCAAACGGTGATATATAAAAGAAACATAATCAAGCATGACCACGTCCCAACTTCTTTTGTTTTCTTTACAACTAAGCTATGACTGCAGTCTATTCAGTGTTGCGTATCGAACCTTGTTTATTATAAAAATAGTGCAACAACAAGCAGAATTCACACATTTACCTTATACTTATTCTCAACTGAAGACATTGAATTTATCTCTTAGGTTTTACATTATAAATATCTTAACATGCAGAATACGAAAATAGAGGCTTAGGCCCAACTTTGTATGGATTTTATGAAAATAATCTGATTTTAGAGAAATGAAAAGAAAAATGTCCACACCCTACACAAAAGATTTATGGTTCCCCGGGAATACGCATGTGTTGCTTGTATATTAGAATCGTATTCCAGTTACAGAAAGAAGTACATATCATCCTAAGCTATATAGTAGCCGAGACAACACAAGTCCCAAGTCTGTATTTTTACTCTCATTTCTTCACTTTTAAGAGTTAAGTCATCATATTTTGCATGCATATCCCTTGAAGAAATCCTAACATTATTATATGGTTGCAAGGATATAGATCGAATATCACATGGAGATATATTTAATATGTAGATCAAGATATCATATTTTAGCAAAACATTCACAAACCATCGAATAACACTTTTAAACTATCGAATATCACGTCTTAAAAAGTGATATTCGATGGTTTGAAAAGTGATATTCGATGGTTTCGATTTTTTCAAAAAATGAATTTTGAATATTTGATGACGTAAATCAAGATAATTTCTACTCGCATCTTGTCTATTCCACAGGTTTGGGAAAAGCGTACAGGAAAATCTCCATGTTCAATTGATGTATGATCAATATACGAATCGAATGTATTCTCGTGTGCATTACAATATCCACATTGAAACATTTTTGGCCTGCAATGGACGTATAATGGATTAGAATATGAAGCCGAGTTATCATTCAAATGTAAAGTCATGGTATTGGGTTGCAAGTTAATATCAGATTCAATGCAAATTAATCATTTAATATCAGATGCGCGATCAGTCCAATAATGTAATTTCAGGTCATCAGTTCGATATCTAGCAGTTGTTCTAACGACACGGTATTACTAGGCTATCATGTTATAAATACACACACATATAAATAAATCAAACTGGTACACGATATAAGCACGACTGCTCTTTCAATTGAGTATAAATGTTGATAAACTTACCCGGAAGCCAACACATACACGTTTAGACGATGCTATTTTCAGTTCAGTGTAAGAGTAAATGCCCGGATATCGAAGCTTTTTCGTGTAAAGTTTTAACCAAGCATGTAGAATCGGGTTATATTGCGTGTAGAATTTATCGATATCAGGGCCGCTACATGCCAGTGTATCTTACAAACCTTATTAATATATTGAGACCAACTCTTGAGCACATTATTCTTGATATATATTGAGAAAATCAATGGAACAACCAACAGAACAACCAACTGTCAGATAAAACACAATTAGTCTAATCGATATACATTCGTTTTTTGTATGTTTTAAAACTTTTTAGAGAAATAAATATGTAACCAAGTAATCAGAGATGTATAACTGTTTTGGTTAAAAAAAAATGGATAAAAAAAAATTGTCTCTGATGGGATTTGAACCCAGAAACCAGGCACCTTCCAGTTAGGAGTTTGACATATTAAAAGACATAAACAATTTCAGAAAAACGTCATGAAAGTATGCTCTTATTATCATTTGAAAATGCTAAATTTTACTTCAAATATATTGTAATGTATGTCTGAGTAAATATTTTTGTCTGCTTTTGTAATTAACAGTGTTTATTTACTAGTTGAATTTCCCATCATCGCTACTATGGCAACATTGGTTGTCAAGCCAATCAGCCAATCAGCCAATCAGATAAGAGCAAATTGTTCTACCATGATTTTTTATTTCATTTGAACTTAATGTCTGTGAACAGTTGGAGCCTCAAAATAAGATCGACAAACTTGCTGTGGATCTTTTAGCTTCAATTTAGGGGGTACTCTAATTGTGTTTCTATCTCATATTGCCTGTTTAACATTGAGATTCCTCCAAGTTATGTTTTACATATGGCATACTTTTGACCTTGACCTTTTACTTTCATAAAGAGTTAACTAAAGAGGCCATTACAACTTTAAAAGTTTAATATATTTTTCATCGAGAGGCCAACATTTATTCTGAAAACGTTAAATGGTTAATCCACCTGTAGAACCTATAAACTAGGTATATTGTGACTCGTATTGTTTAAATCTTATTTATTTATTTTTCATTAAAATATATACAAAACATGCAACATGTCACAATCTAAGACATCACAATGGCATTTAAAAGAAGTATCATGTGCTTCAAAAATACGCAGTAAAAGATGTAATAAAGCTACTGTATACATGATTAGATAAGATACTAACAGACTATACTTCCTAATGATTATATACGATAGTGACGATTGTTTCATAGTTGATGTGGCTCAAGATGCTAGTAAAATAAATTCACTTAAATGAAACAGAGTATTTTGGACTTGAAGCTAAATATTATATTTTAGCAGTTCAGATTTGAAATGCTTCTTAGAATTTATTATTGAGTCAGATATTTTAATGTTATCAATAAGTTCAATTTTGGCGTTCAATAAGAGTATTGAATGAAGAAAATAGCAAGATAAAAAAAGTTACAGCAAAATTAGCAATACTTATTGAACGCGCTGTACATGTATTGCATTCCAGATAAGAGGGCTGTGATAATTGATTGAGAAACTGCTAACTTTCTGAGATGAAAATCATTTTTTCTAGGAGTGTTGTAAGAGTGAACTGAATCATTTTTAGTACCTTTACTTCTGATATAGTTGAGAATTTATCATTGCCCTTTTCAGATTAAACATGAACATTGCAATATTAAATTTGTTCACTTCAAATATGTTGAGAATACCAAGATCCTTGAATAGGGAAGCTGGGTGGGTCAAAATGTAGTAATTAATATGATCTTTTGTAATCAGATTATTCACACCATATAAGACTCCTATACATGTAAAATGAAATTGAGTCACATTTAATCACCTTTTCACGCCATATCTACCCAGGCATTTTTATTTGCCACATCCTTCTCCTGATGTGTTGGTAATATTACCATCCTCTTTCTAACCACCTGAGCAATGTTCCAACACAAAAGGATCACTTCAGCAATCGTTATGATAGACATACCAATAAAGAATCCAAAACTTCCCCCTATTTCTGAGATCATAGAGTTAATTGTGAAGTCTTCAGCCTGCTGGGTTATCTTCGTGTCTAGGTCTTTAAAATACACATTTAAACGAACAACATTTTTCCGTAGTTTTTTTCCTTGTGTGTCTCTGAGTATCTGTGTTTCTTCCATTGACTTTGTATGAGCACAGTATTCGGGGAAAACATCATGATAGGTATTATATATGCTAGAGTTAATGTAGTTGTCCATGTTCATGAGTGATCGACAGTACACGTCTATCTCTGTCCCTTCTGATGGCCACACTGATTGAGAGAGTGTCATTTCATACGATTGGTACACACACTTTTCCTGGCATCGGCACTGATCTTGGCCCACGAATTCTGACAATGAAAAATGATTTTGGCATCGAAGTTGCTCCAAGTCATTCTGAATTATAGTTAGATTGTACTCATTGGAATTAAGTTTTAGCCATTCATTTATGTGAAGTTTTAGACAATATTTTGTTTGAGCCATGTCATCATCGACTGGTAAAGAGGATTTGACACAACCACATGTTTCATAGATGGTTTTCTGCAGGCATTTCATGAGGCAATGATTTTTTGTATATTTAAAAGCTCCATAGGCCTCAGAGTCGTGATCAGCGCATTCACCCCAAGGTGCTTTCATTAGTTGTCTTTCATTGACAGACAATGCTGCACTGATCGAATGTCCTGGCTCAATATCAAAACCATCATTTTCTGGGTCAGGCAGGGTCCCCTTTTCATGTATTACAACTCTTACTCCTTGACTACCGCTGGTTGGATAGTTTGGATTGTATATCAGAGAACTTTCAATCGCATCAAGGTACAAAGTCAAAGACAGTCCACCTTTTGGGCCTTTGATCTTTGTGCTAGGTTTATTAATAGTTGTGTTGCCTCCATTGAATGTAAAGCATGTATAATGTTCATTATGGTCTAAAGTGGAGAAGTCTGACTTCAAACATGACTTTCCTTGATACACACATACTGGGATAAAATTCTCTTGTTTATGGCTGTAGGCTTGAACTGCCTCTTTACTATTGTCAAATAAACCTTGAAAGGAATACAGCTGAGTGTGAAAGTCTTCATAAAATTCCAGTTTCTCTGAATTAGCACTTTGTGAGATATTATTGTCTAAATAATCTGAGAAATTTTGTAAAAGGTAACTTAGTTCTAAAATTGGAATGGCTTCTCGTTTTCCCTCTATGGTATCTTGCATAAGCTGATGATACGCTGATTCTGGCATTCCAACTAAAGGACACAGAGTGACTGATGGAAATACAATGTCTCCATTCTTTACAATGATTCTGTCCCTTGTGTCAAATGTCCCATATCGCAGGACGATCGTTATCACCTGCCATATTGCCACAGCTGTACAACCCAGACAAAGGCCAATCCAGAGGGTCTTACCTAATGTTGATGTTCTTTGGGTGACATTTCCCCAACCATGTGCGGTGGTGTTACTTGCAAAATCACTTATTGTTCTCTTCATACTTACAGCTTCATGTACGGCTCACTCTAATGTAATATGTAATCTGTCTGTTTATGGGGTCTGTTTCTGGCAAAAGTGTTTTGATAGAGACCAATTTTACTGATCAATTTTATGAATGCCTTTAGAGACATCCATTTAATTCCTAATCAATATGCAACTATCGCCACAGCTGTAAATGTAATGGGTCTATTTTTGGGATCTGTTTCTGGCAAAAGTGTTGTGAGAGAGATCAATTTTACCGATCAATTTTATTAATGCCTTCGTAGACATCCATTTAATTCCTAATCAATATGCAATTAGATACGCCTTTGTGTCTATACCTGTATAAGAAGTCATTAGTTCTACATTGTATTTATTCAAAGGGTTGCAATTACCCAAAAGTATTCATAATGACTTTGAATCACGTCATTGAAGAAATTAAGGGAATACCATATCCAAATGAAGGGAATACTTCAGTGACCATATCCAAATTAAGGGAATATTTCAGGACCATATCCAAATTAAGGGAATACTTCAGGACCATATCCAAATTAAGGGAATACTTCAGGGACCATATCCAAATTAAGGGAATACTTCAGGGACCATATCCAAATTAAGGGAATACTTCAGGGACCATATCCAAATTAAGGGAATACATCAGGGACCATATCCAAATGAAAGGAATACTTCAGGGACCATATCCAAATGAAGGGAATATTTCAGGGACCATATCCAGATTAAGGGAATACTTCAGGGACCATATCCAAATTAAGGGAATGTTTGAGGGACCATATCCAAATTAAGGGAATACTTCAGGGACCATATTCAAATTAAGGGAATACTTCAGAGAACATGTCCAAATTTGCAGCATGGAGAGTACTGACTGATTTGCCATAGCCAATGATCTTTTGGCGAAATGAATTCTTAAGAAACAGTTTTGATCATTGCAGATACTGGTACAACTGAAGCACAAATCATTTATTTTGGGAATTACTGCATTACCATATTTGGTAATGGGACATGATGTCATTAAGTTACACATTATACAATATATCTAGTATCAGTTAGGTGTCTTCATTGCTCCTGATCCCAATAAATTGCTCATACTCTCTTTCTTATAAATTAAATGTACTATTTTATATTCATACATTTTTAATTGTAAACTCTATATATACACATAAACATGTGGGTACTGTTAAAATCTTTATCATTATGTAATTGAATCAATTTGAAAAAAAGAAATAAAAAAATGAAACTGCTGTTATCTCACTCACATCAAAGTTTTCTAAATATGATTAACTTTCAAAATATTTCGATTTTGATTGTTTAACTAGGTTGAAAAGAAGAATATATATGTTTTGAATATTACTGTTCCATTGGTTTTTAGGAGATTAACTAAAATTTAAAAATGGATTTTTTCTCTGAACCACTTTCATGCATGGATGAGTCCATTACTTCCTTATTTATCAACCAATTTGATGAATGTGACAAAAATAACGCTTATTAAAAGATATGTGTGAGATTTAAAATATAGTTTGAAATAAATTCATTTTTAAGAAATCAAATTTTAAAATTTAAAAAATGTGTATAAGTGACCTTTCGAAGTTAAATAAATGTGTTAGTTGCCAAAGTCTGTGATATCATATTCGAAATCCACATTATCAATATATTACTCATGAAAAATGTGATTTTAAAATACTTCGAAATTTCAATTGAACTCTTGTTGACTCCACTCAGACAACATTAAAACACATTATTGAAGAAATGCAAATGAAAAAGTGATTAAATGGTCAACAAGGACTGTAGAGAGAATATTTTTAAGATCCATCACGTTTCAAGAGGAATATCAGCTAAAATAATGTTCATCCAGGGGGTTTCTTTGTAGATAATAAAAATTTGTGTCAGTCTTGATCAAATATCCAAACTTAAATGTATTTTGACACTGGTTGATGATCGTTTAATGGCCCCCTGCACTAATTGTTTCACCTTTATAAAGATTACCCCATATTTTAGTGAACTTTGTATTATGTGTATTTTAAATGCTCTTGAACTAAATATTTTGCAATAATGTCAAGTGTACTCAGACTTATTTAGAATTTTGGCATGCTGTGCTAATGAACGTATATGGTGGCCATTTTGAAATGTTATCCCCTTTAATATTTCCCAAAGGTTTTTCCATATTTAAGGTACAATATTGACCACATGTTCCTTGTTTTTCAGTTCAATACATAGAAATCCATCAGCCAGTGGACTCTATATATTTCCCAAAGGTTTTTCCATATTTTAGGTACAATATTGACCACATGTTCCTCATTTTTCAGTGCAATACATAGAAATCCAGCTGCTAGTGGACTCTTCATTCAAGCCATACATTCCAGATGTGAGAACATGACCCGGGTATGATATGATTTTATATTTTTGAAAATCTTAGTTTTAAATTACGAGTACTTCTGCTTCTTTGGGAATTCCCGCTCTCTCATTTTTTGAGGCTCTATTGCACATCAATTTTGCCACATGGTAGCGGTTAATTGAGGTTTCGCTTAACTTAGAAGTCTCTTTTTTAATGACCATTAAAGGCCAACATTTCCTTTGATATCTTTGATAGCATATTTAAATTCCGTGGGTTATTTTCTACAATTATTTTCAAAGGAAATATGTGATCAAGAAATCAAGAAATTAAATGAATTTTAAACAGGATTCCCTCTGATACTATAAATAATATCTGGCCCTACCAACATATGTGCTGCCATCTTTTTTCCAACTTCATATCTATATTTAGCAATGTTTGACTTATCATAAAACAAAGTAAAATTAAGTGGTATAACAAAAGTTATTCAAATCTCTTTATTTTGATGAATCTTAAGATTCCAGGGAACATTGAAACAAGGGTCTTCACTCTGCAAAGTGAAGGAAAATGCACTGAATCATTCTCCTTAGCCTTGAAATGTTTCGGGTGAAATAGATGTTATGAGTATCAGAATGCACTGAAAGAAACTGCAGGAAGAATGTGAAGATCCATTGTTCCCAGATGATACATATAATTAAAAATAAATTTATATTTTCAGCCGATGATGGTCAAGAAAACGCTTCATTGTTTAGAAGCAATTCATTTATCCCAGAGTGGAACTCTACTTACATTACTCATAGACCAGTTCTTGCATACTCACCACCTAGCTGTGGCCAGGATCTGTGATACTATAGCATGTAGGAGAGTTGAGATGCTGCTGGCTGAGAGTATTCAGGTATTATTATATAATCATAGATAAGAGAACATGCTGTTGTCCCAAAATGTAATGGATTACATATAAAATTGGCCCCTCTCCCTCAAAATCTAACGAGTTGAAGATTGAGTGATTTTCCAAATTCCCAAATTTTGAAAAAGTGTGAATGGCATGAATGGGTGTGTTTTGACATTCTAGACTTCCACACATACTGTCAAAGTCGTATTCATTGACTTGTACCTAGAATATGAATGGTTCCATTGATCAAGAGCTATGCATTCTGATTTATCAGAGTCCCTCTTTACCTAACGCTTTTGAGAGAACTATTTTTCTGAACTATTCCAAAAGGATAGTAAAGGCTGTGGATCCCACAATGAGAGCTATGAGTTAAAATTGATTAATACATTTGTCAGGGTTAGAGCCATTTTATGCAATTGAAAAGTAATGGACTGTTCCATCCTTTGAGTATGATGTTATCTCATGCTGGTGTGATTTGCATACTTGTTATGACTTGGATTAAGTTATATGAACTCATTTATCATAAAACAACCCTTCACTAGTATCTCTCATAATACCTCTAAATCATCTTCATATTCATGGCCTTAATCGAGGAGGGAGGGGTTACAAACAGAGGGCAATGACAATTTGTACCAGAGCAAGGACACTGATCAGCACCAAGCGAAGGCAACGGCCGTAACCTTCGCACCTAAGATGGCAGACAGTAATTGTCGATTTAGATATTTTCTATTTTCATTGAATTAAACTACTTTAGAGTTGACATTATGGTTTGACATTTGTACCAAATCGGGCTTAAATGACAGTGGAACTATGGAGTATGATAATTTTTTCATATATCAAGCATGAGCGCCACATTTCAACGATATCTCACTCCGCTTTAAAAGGGAAGGTAATACTTACTAGTAAAGGGGATGTAGTAAACATAAATAAATGATAGGTGAAATGTTATGCCCTGCCTTAATACATAAACTAAGATTTCTTATTTTCTCGGACAAATGGTGTCTCACAATTGACTAACTGACTCTATTATCAATACATCAACATCAGGTAATGCATGATCTATCCAATGGATTAAAGATAATACTTGATTCTAATATGGCAAAATAAATCATTCCATGTATGAATTGCATAGTGCATCATTTTGCAGATATTATATAATGCATTCATTGACTCATGGTTAACAAGGTACAGGTATAACTCCTTTTAGTATTTCGCAATACACATTTCCAAAATGCTGTACCTTCAGTGATTCCTTCAATATGGATAGTGGTTTGTTATGTTGAAACTTAAAATAATATCTAAACAAATCTGTTTAGTGTATAAGAACAATAAAAGTAAATATGTTTAATATCAATTATTATTAGACATATGAATATAACCTAAAATAAGAAATCTTGTTCTCGTATTCCATTTTAAAATTGGTTGAATGATTTTGGCACAGTAGAAATGATGACAGTCATAATTTATAACTTATACCTAAGTAACTTAATATTATACGTAATATGCCCTGATGCTGTAACATAAATGGTCCTTTATAATCAGGTATGACTAAAATTGGACAAGATCTTATAATGTTACAGTTTCCATATAACGTATGTTCCATATTACTACCCCAAATGTCCATACCAGTAGTTAAGTTTATGAGTCATAATCCCTCATAGTTTATGATGGCAAATGCCTATCCTTGTCTAGAATATGTCATTTTATCAATTTTATAAAATGATTGTTACATAAACAAGTATACAATTACATGCCCCCCCCCCACACTAAAACTCCATTTTCTTTATCAATCTTTCTACTTCTGTTAATATTTTCTGTCCGGATTCCCAATCCTACATCTAAATAGGATAGTTCTAGCTATTGCTGTTGACTTTTCTTGGGGAAAAATTGTTTCAATTCTGACAGAAGTTTTTAGCCAATATCATTCAATTTATCAATATCCAAAAGCAGAGTTTCGAAATGCACTTTGTTTGTGCCTGTATTTTCATATTTTTTTTACGAGAATCAGAATCTTATTCTACAAAACGGGTGTTCATGGAAGTAGCACTACTTATTACATCATTGCTATTAATCGTGTGATTTAATTGGCTAATTCAGTACCATGGGACTAAAAATACCATAGCGTATTTCACAGCTCCCTGAATTATTGGCATATAAAATATGTATCCCTTATTGCCCTGCGTATTGCCCGCCTGGGGATTCTGACAACTGCACCTTCAATGATTTTTGCAATATGTATTGCCCACAGCCCGTAGGTATTGCCCTCCATAGAATGAAATATTTGCTTAATATTTATTACTGTTTCGGGCTTAATATCAATTTTGTTATAAACTGAGCAAAACGCCACCTTTAACATGCAGCTAATTCTCCCATCTAACCAACAGAGCCTCTTTTAACATATGAAAATTTAAAATTGCCACTGATTCAATTTATTCAATCAAATCTAAAATGGTAATACCTTTTTACTGCTTCGAACTTCCTTATATTTTATACCATAGAAGTAGGATGTTTGTCTCTTTCAATTGATGCTTTCACCAGAAACATGGATATCACTAATTTTGATTCATATTTAAAATGGTATGCATGAATAGACCTGTGTATTTTATACCAAATGGAGACACTTCCCTGGAGAGTTCTAAATCTCTCTATGTAAACAGCCTAGTTTCCTACATCCCTTGTTGACTTTGCTCCCATATTTCCTGTGTAGCTGTGGAACAGTTCTCTTGTTCTTCACAATATTCAATTTTACTGTAAATCAATGAATAAGGCCAATTCATATCACTGGCTTCCCTAGGTCATTTAAATGCCTTGCAATTTTTCATCAGCAATAAAGAATAATGGGTTAAATTATCAAATAATGAAAAAGTTGCAAATGATGAGATTTGCTATATAGCTTTAAAATCTTGCTGAAGTATAGTTTAACTATAGGTTAACAGGCTAATTTCTCTTTGACAATAATTTTAAAGAATCTTAAACATTGACTTATTGTTTCAGTGGTCCTTTTAAAGTTCATATATACACAATCTGAACAACATCCAGTCTCAAACATAATCTGATTATCATCAAGTTTCAAACACAATCTGAACATCATCAAATTCATTGCAAATGCAGGTTTACTTCCAACAGAATGAATATGGTAAATCAATAGACTAAGTGAAATATGTCAAGTCAATGGTAAACACTAGTATCTAGCCCAACTAGCACAAGTGCTGCCATCTACCTACTAGTATCTATCCATATACATAGCACCTAATGAGGTCACTACTTCAAGTAAAGCTTTTTCCCCTGTCTATGGTAAAAAATAAATGAAACAGAAAAGTTAGTTTGACACCATTGGTGATGCCCACCTTCTATGGTATAGGGATAAAAGGAAGGTTCATGATAACACTTACATAAAATATCGTAAGTATCTAATAATGATAATGAACATATTACAATGTTACACATTAGTAGATGATAATTAAATGTCAATTGTTGTTAGTGTAATATTTATTTTTAGCTTAATGCTGCAACAATTACGCAAGTACCAAAAAGTGCCACGCCCACTTTTCCCTAAAAGTTGTTGTGTGTGACTATATTTGATAAATATTATTGATTTATTGGAGCATTATATCAACTTTTTAGTGCTTTAGTGTGAATATATACATATTTATACAACTTTTGACAAAGTGGCAGCCACAAATTCCTAACAAATTTGCAAATATTTCACTTTGAGAGCAAAGGGATATATTTGGGAGGAGGTCAAATTGAGAAAATTTTGAGATATAAATACTGTTTCCATGGTAACCATATAAGTTAGAGATTGGAAATTTCTGGCACTGACTAACCATGGTATGCCCTGCCTACTAAAAAACTATGAATGTATGACATGCATTAGTATTCTTTTAATTAGGTGGTATTAAAGTACCCCCAAGGTTTTCTTGGGGTGGGGGTATAAATTGGCTTGAGGGCCGTCTGCCACCCCTACATGAAGTCCAACTACCCAGAAAGTGCCCAGCATAATCATACAGACTGTTTGAAATATGTTGGAATGTGTGACCTTTCATGAAAAGCAGAAGTTACAATTATCAGAGTAGTCCACAGTCTATAAATATTGTGGTACAAAAATCGGTTTCTAGACAACTCATCCCAAGACAACTCATCCCAAGACAACTCATCCCTAAGATAACTCATCCCAAGACAAGTCATCCCTAAGACAACTCATCCCAAGACAACTCATCCCAAGACATCTCATCCCAAGACAACTCATCCCACTAATATAATCTACAAAAAATATCAATTAGTTATAAATGATTTAATTTGTCCTCTATATAATATATATATCCCTTTTTCATTTTTGCGATTACAAAGTGATATTTGATTACACACTCAATCTTAATATTGATAATTTTTAGGATTTTGAAATGGCACTTGAAAGTTATGTTCTACTTTTACGTACCGGTATGTTTTATTAATTCTGGGTTATTCTCAAATTCTCAATATATCTGAGAATATAGAATTGAAGATAAAAGTAAAAGACATAATTTCCAAATTCAATCATGATGATTCTGAAAGTTTAAAATTGGAAATCTTATTGAAGAATAAGCCAAATATGACATATTGGAATTAAGCAAAATATGTTAAAACAAAGACTGGATTAATCTGGGAGAATTATTCTGATAATACCCCCCGGATAATACATTCTTATTGCATTAAGCCTAATCTGACACCCTTGATGATCTTTTATATAATAATCAAAGTATATATCAATTTGAACACGTTTATCTTTATCCCAATCAATCAAAAGAAAATTAACTGAAACTAGAGTAAACTAACTACAAAATACAAAAGATATTCCATGGCCAAACACAGTGTGCTTACTGCTAAAATCTCTAAATATGTTTCAAATATTCTTTCAAAAGTTAAATTTAATTGTATAAAATTATGTTATATTTCAAGTTGGGAAGAGATGTCTTGGGATGAGATGTCTTGGGATGAGATGTCTTGGGATGAGATGTCTTGGGATGAGATGTCTTGGGATGAGTTGTCTTGGGATGAGATGTCTTGGGGATGAGTTGTCTTGGGATGAGTTGTCTTAGGGATGAGTTGTCCTGTTTCCCAAAAATCAAGCAATCAGAAAATATCAGTCAATAATATTATGTGTATATCATTGTAGGAAAGCAGTAACCAGTTACCTTTGGAAGATTTGGAGAAATTATTGCAGTTTATGAAAACACATGGGCTCACAAGAAGGTAACTTGAATGTAATTTTACAACTATAAAAGGAGCATGTAGGTTATCGCAAACAATTTCAGAAGGTTATATCTTGGATTATGACTATTTTCTGACAATGAAGACGGGTTTATCTTTTAGATCAATTCATTATCTCAAAGGAAATTATATACAGTAATAATAAAGTAAAAAAAAACTCGGAGATATTTGGCTAGCAATCATTTTTTACAATATTTAATGCATTACTATTCTTTATTTTGATGTATCAAATAGTTCTTGAAAGAAAAACGTAATTGCTTTAAGATAAGTGTTCCCCATGTTATTTCTCCATTGAAAAATCTCATGCTATCCATTGGTTTCAGTTCATTTTGGTCATCCAAATTCAGTATCTTTAAAGTACCTGGAGTAATCAACTTTTCCTTTAAGGAAATTGAACATGTCTCAAAGCACATTCTAATTATGCATTCAACAATATAATAAAATGTTGCATTTCTGGTGAAAATTAGGTCAACATTTTTGAAAACGTATGTTGATTGGTCCATTGCCCCTTCAATATCACTTAGGTCTGATTAACTAAATTATCATTTTATATACTTTTCTTGAAGATAATGAATGGATCTAAAAGATACACCCATATTCATGATCAGAAAATATTAATAATTCAAGTTAGAATCATTTGAAATTGCTTGCAATAACCTACGTGCTCCTTTATGCATAATTAGTTGACATGTTTTGCAAAGTTTTCTAGATTTTATTTCATGGTACATTCAGGCTGTATTTTTGTTCATGCTTTTTGACCGCGGTACAAGTGAAATTGATATGGTTGTGAATTATTCAATTGTTTTACACAGTGGTATTTCACTTATTGTGGTATAACCACGATCTAACTAATTTTTTAGGATTAAAATCAGTTTTGTAGTGATTTTCATAAAGAAACAAGAGAAATATGACTTTTTTATTTTATTTGTAGACATTCCAGACTTGCATCTTTATTGAACAAATTACGCAATTTGATGTGTCCAGAGAGTCGACAGACTTTGTCCCCAGAGAAAACACATCCGCTAGCTTTGTCTACAGCAGATGTCAGTACTCTTGCACTGGATAAGGTAATTCAAGATTTGTGCTGGTGTTTGTACAATGTGAAATCAACACTGGCTAAGGTAATTCAAGATTTGTGCTTGTGTTTGTACCATGTGAAATCAACACTGGATAAGGTAATTCAAGATTTGTGCTTGTGTTTGTACCATGTGAAATCAACACTGGATAAGGTAATTCAAGATTTGTGCTTGTGTTTGTACCATGTGAAATCAACACTGGCTAAGGTAATTCAAGATTTGTGCTGGTGTTTGTACAATGTGAAATTAACACTGGATAAGGTAATTCAAGATTTGTGCTTGTGTTTGTACCATGTGAAATCAACACTGGCTAAGGTAATTCAAGATTTGTGCTGGTGTTTGTACAATGTGAAATTAACACTGGATAAGGTAATTCAAGATTTTTGCCGGTGTTTGTACCATGTGAAATCAACACTGGCTAAGGTAATTCAAGATTTGTGCTGGTGTTTGTACAATGTGAAATTAACACTGGATAAGGTAATTCAAGATTTTTGCTGGTGTTTGTACCATGTGAAATCAACACTGGCTAAGGTAATTCAAGATTTGTGTTGGTGTTTGTACAATGTGAAATTAACACTGGATAAGGTAATTCAAGATTTGTGCTTGTGTTTGTACCATGTGAAATCAACACTGGCTAAGGTAATTCAAGATTTGTGCTGGTGTTTGTACAATGTGAAATTAACACTGGATAAGGTAATTCAAGATTTTTGCCGGTGTTTGTACCATGTGAAATCAACACTGGCTAAGGTAATTCAAGATTTGTGCCGGTGTTTGTACCATGTGAAATCAACACTGGCTAAGGTAATTCAAGATTTGTGCTGGTGTTTGTACAATGTGAAATCAACACTGGCTAAGGTAATTCAAGATTTGTGCCGGTGTTTGTACCATGTGAAATCAACACTGGCTAAGGTAATTCAAGATTTGTGCCGGTGTTTGTACCATGTGAAATCAACACTGGCTAAGGTAATTCAAGATTTGTGCCGGTGTTTGTAACATGTGAAATTCCCAAAACCATGATTCAATTTAAGGTGTTCATCATATACTACATGGATATTTCAGGAAATGTACCTGTCCATCTGCAAAGACCAGTGTTTCAGCCCCAATCCCAGGCCAAGGGAATGTGCAATGCTACTTCAACATGTGCAGTATTCTGACCTCCTTGCTATTATAATGACAAAGGTAAATACAGTATACATTGATGTTTGCATATGTGAGTTGTTTGAAATACAAAATATACACACATATTTGTTTTGCATTATATTTGAAAAACACTAAGGTAAATAGATATGTTTTTAGATTATATTTCCATGTTCCCTCATCTTAAAAAATCCCCATATAATAACTGCATTATTCTTCAATGAGAATTTAATGAAATTTCAGATCCACTATTTTCTTCTCTTGTAGGAGTTCAGACTGAGTATATTGGAAGACTGTGTGTCGCTAGGTGTACACAGGTCCTTACACAACTCTACCAACCCCCAACGAACAACCTCCAGACAGCAAACTCCAGATAAATCAATGGACCCCCTACTCCAAGCCTCACAATTAACATTATTCCGCCATCTCAACAATATCATAAACATGTTACCGGTGCCTCATAAGGTTTTATGCTATTCAAAAAAGGCGCCATCTAATAGTAAAGTTGAACAATATCAGGAAAAAATGGAGGACTTCTTCAATGATTCAGGATGGTTGGATAGTTTGTTTCATTTAGCAGGCGCCTTGCTGAAATACATGATCTCGCTTCCTTTGTTACCTTGGCAACCAAGTTTGCCTCCAGAGTCTCACAATGATGTCGCTAGATTCAGTGTTCTCTGTTTGGAGGTATGTACTGATCAAGTCTTTCTCTTGTAGCAGGGACTTCAGAGGATGTGTTTCTTGGCATTTCTTGTTCATTAATGCATAATTCTATAAATAAATTAATCAAAACCAAAATCACAAACCATAGTAATAATTCCCTTGGATTTTATGAAAGTACTTTCACTTTCATTTACGACCTATGTAATAAAATTTTAAGTCGGTTCAGTCTATTTTTGATTTTTAATGCAAACATCACTGTTTGTCCTGTAATACTTCACTGTATCTGAGGCATATTAAACCATTAGCCATGCATTGTATCAATGCTCCTATTGTACTGTTAGTTCGAGCAGCTCAAGGAATTCTACACTGACATCCAAAGAATATTTGAATATTATTACTTTGTAACTTTGAATAGAAGTAGTAACAGAAGAACAGAAGTTTAGTGTATGCCCAGATGTTTATTTAAATGTGAAACGATTTTTGAATTTGTTTGTCTTTGTAGGTCTTGCATTGGATGTATCTCCATGACATCTTACCCTCATCACATCAACTCTATGTGGCCATTCATTGCACAACACTTGTCCTGCAGACTCCAACTCTCTCTGATCTGATTGGTCAAAAAGATCACATGACATGGGTGTGTTCAGCTGTAGCTAGTATTCATCAAATCCTAACCTCATGTAAGTGTTTTTGGTAGAAATAGAAAGGACTATCCTCGGTTTGGAGAACGAAGTTCATCACTCTAAATGAGCGTTATCCCTGCTTCAGATAAATTTGATTTTTTACATTATATAGATTTGAATGTCTTCTTTTGAATAGTCATAATTTAATTTGGGTGGTTTTTCATAAAAAAAATCATTAGCGCAGTACACTGATGAACTTCTTTCTCCAAATTGAGACTTGTATTTTATTGAATCGGTCTACTGCACATTACCCCTGCTTTGGACAATTGTGATATATTTACATATTGTAGATTTAAATGTCCTCTTTTGAATATTCATAATTTAATTTGGGTGATATATATTTTTATGAAAAAATGAGAAATTAAAATTTTGAGATTATAATACATTTGCATTAGTCATTACATTTTGCCTGCTTGTATTTGAAATTGAGATATTTTTTCTTGTGTCATTAATCTTGAAAATAATGTAACATGTATACAGTTATTATCCCATTGAAGGTTCAGGGGGATATACCAAATGGCTTCATCAGTCCATATGTCTGTCTGTCCAGGCAACAACTCAAATACCGTTGGCCCAATATTGTTTATATTTTATATGCCCCATGTAAGTACAAGTTCTGCTCAAAAGTTGATTTTCTTAATGGCCGGCTGTTTCAAAATGGCGACTATTTATGTACCAATTTAATGAATCAGTTGTGGATTGTCTTAGAACTCAGACTCCCTGGAAATGGGGAAATGTCACTTTTTTGTCACCACCTAAAGTAGTGACTTATTGTTGTGGTCTCCAACTTTTTTGTGGACTGTGTTCAGTGGTTGGTGTTCAGCAGTTGTCAGTCAGCGCCTGTTATAAATGGCAGGTGGTGACTTTTTTTTTCTTTTTTTTATATTGTATTTCTTTATTTCATGACATTTTGCATATCAATGCATTGTTATCATTTGTTTTAAAGTGGCCAAACCTGTTACTCTGATCGCATGCTACCCATAAATTAAAACAGACCAAATTTAATTTGCTGAATAAGAAAATATTGTTGATAACTTTATTGATGGGCTAATTTGCATGTTGTTAAAAACTTGTTTAGGAGAATATGTATTTGCGAGCCATTTATAGTTTAAACAGAACGGTTATTGCATAATAATTATGAAATTATGATGGAATCATAAGGTGGATTTTTATGATGTTTAGAGGATAATGTGTTAATTTGTGTAGAAATATTATTTCAGGGGGTGATTATATTCAAAAGTATCCTATAAATCAACTGAGTTTAAATATCTGTAGCTGTATACTCCATGAGGACTACATAGAAACATTTAGTATATGGATACATTTAGTGACCTTCTATCTTAACTTTATTTTCATACATTATTTTACATATTGCAGTTGGGTGTGTAATCTTTGCTTTAATTGTTCCATGGGAAATGTCATATGAGTATTATGGTACTGCATGATTAGTATTCTTCATCCCCTTCATCTTCATACTCAGCTGAGTCACCCCCAACCTCTTCATAGTCCTTCTCAAGTGCAGCTAGATCTTCACGAGCTTCATTGAACTCTCCTTCCTCCATACCCTCTCCTACGTACCAGTGGACGAAGGCACGCTTGGCGAACATGAGATCAAATTTGTGATCAAGACGAGCCCATGCTTCAGCAATGGCAGTGGTGTTTCCCAGCATGCAGACGGCACGCTGCACTTTGGCCAGATCACCTCCAGGGACAACAGTGGGTGGCTGGTAGTTGATGCCAACCTTGAACCCAGTGGGACACCAGTCAACAAACTGGATGGTACGCTTTGTCTTGATACTAGCAATGGCAGCGTTAACATCCTTGGGGACAACATCACCACGGAACAACATACAACAGGCCATGTACTTTCCATGACGGGGATCGCATTTCACCATCTGGTTTTGTGGTTCAAAGCAAGCATTAGTGATTTCAGAAACTGAAATCTGCTCATGGTAAGCCTTCTCTGCGGATATGACTGGAGCATAGGTTGCTAGAGGAAAATGGATACGTGGATAGGGCACCAAATTGGTCTGGAATTCAGTAAGATCGACATTTAGGGCACCATCGAAACGCAGAGAGGCAGTGATGGAGCTGACAATCTGGCCAATTAGACGATTCAAATTGGTGTAGGTTGGGCGATTGATGTCTAAGTTACTATGACAGATGTCATAGATAGCCTCATTGTCAACCATGAATGCGCAGTCCGTGTGCTCAAGAGTGGTATGGGTCGTCAAAATTGAGTTATAAGGCTCAACAACTGCTGTTGATATCTGGGGAGCGGGATAAATGGCAAACTCAAGCTTTGATTTCTTTCCATAATCCACAGATAGACGCTCCATCAACAACGATGTGAATCCAGACCCAGTGCCTCCACCAAATGAATGGAAGAGAAGGAAGCCTTGAAGACCAGTGCAATTATCGGCTAGTTTCCTTATACGATCTGAACATTGGTCTATATACTCTTTGCCAACTGTGTAGTGACCCCTTGCATAGTTATTGGCAGCATCTTCCTTACCAGTAATCAGTTGCTCTGGATGGAACAGTTGCCTATAAGTTCCAGTGCGGATCTCATCTGAAACATAGATATGTAAAACATTACAGAACAGACAATTAAATATCCTTTAATTATCTGGATCAAATTAACAAATCAGTTTCAATCATGAATTGCATATAGATTCCGATTGAATTTTAGCACATAGACATATTAGATACATACCTACTACACTGGGTTCCAGATCTAACATAACAGCTCTTGGGACATGCTTTCCTGATCCTGTCTCACTGAAGAATGTATTGAAGGAGTCATCACCGCCTCCAATGGTTTTGTCACTTGGCATCTGACCATCTGGTTGGATTCCATGCTCAAGGCAGTACAACTCCCAGCAGGCATTGCCCATTTGAACACCCGCTTGGCCAATGTGGACTGAAATGCATTCCCTCTAAAAGAAAAAAATTATGAATTTAACTTTCAATATTTGGGATTCTCTCAACTAGACTCTTCACATAATGTGTTGCTACATCACCACCACAAGTGATGAAATAGTTATTTGGTCTCCAACCTTTTTGTGGATGGTGTTCAGTGGTTGGTGTTTGGTGGTTGGTGTCTATAACTTAAGTCTGTAACTAGGTGGTGACATTTTGCTTATCAACGCCTTGTCACAACTGTTTAAATGTTTTGGGGAAATTTTCTATCACTGATGCTGCGAAGAACAAGTAAATAGTAATCGAGACAGATCATTTTTGAAAAGCTGTTAGTAAACAAAAGGTGATTTTGAGTTCAACAAAGTATTTTGTATGTTAGGAATGCTATCATGATAAGTTATTGTGAATTGAAACAGTAATCAGGAAAATAGAGAGAGAGATGATTTGTTCTGTTTTGTGTTCATGTGATTTTAAAAAATAAAAATAAATAAATAAAAATTAAATATAGATATAAAAATATAGAAAACATATTTTGAGCTTATTGTATCTTAAAAAACCAAGTGAACGGTCTTTCATATAAAACAAATTATTGGTTTAAGATTTGTTTTAAATTAATTATCTTGATTAATGAGAGTAATTACAACATTTCTGTTCTAAGAATACATTATATGATCAAGAACCATTACATGAAACTTAACTGTTTTTGGCAACTGAGTGAGTTCACTTGAAATGAAAACTTGCCAAGAACAGGGAGAGCTTTGCATGTGGTATGCAAGTTACCAGTGTTGCCAAATTTTGGATTGGTAAAAGCTACAGGGTTCTTGCTATGACGTTACTGCATATGGTACAGTCATATAGGGTACACAGTTTGAAGGATATTGATTGATTTATGGCACTTATCCATGGTTTTGATAGCTAAGCAATGTTTCCGCTTATGATTAATGTTTGGGTTAAAATGATATACCTGTCTGCTGAACTGATTTTTAAATTAGAAATTGATATTTTAAAAAGAGGATAATGGATAGAAATTATATGATTATTCCATATTTATAGGATATCCTATGATTTTGAGGAATATCATTTTTATCTACGAGGTGATATTGATATCTGCACGAGAGAGCGAAGCGAACGAGTGCATATATCAATATCACCGAGTAGATTAAAATGATATTCTGAAAAAAAACATAGGATGTTCTTATTATCCTACACTTACAAGGAGTGTACTAAATGTATAATATCATTACAAAATGAATTCCATGCCAAATAGAGTCAATTTGGCGGGAAATCAACAAGCGGAGTATATCGTCACAATATCCTCCGCATATTGGGTTTTCCGGAGTATATCGTCACGATATCCTCCGCCCGGAGTATATCGTTACGATATCCTCCGGATATTCATTTTGCCAATAAATATCAAATTTATTTTCTAATGTTATTATACTTTTAGTACACTAAGTGTAGGATGATATTCCATATTCCATATGCTGTGCCTTTTTTAAGTCCAATAGTTCTGACTTTCCCTAAGAATAATCCTTTGATTTTTGACATAATCTGGCACTTGTTTTTATAAAGGAAAAATGTGTTTTATTTGAGATTTCTACATCTTAAATCCTCAATAACTTTTATAATTGATCATTGATCATATTATTTCAGAAAATAGAATTTGGAAATATTTGCATGATTTTATAAAGATTGCTTCTATTCAGTTTACACTAATTTTCCCTTTTCCACAAATAAGTCTGTCTGAAATACTGAGCATGTGTATACTCTGATACATAATTAGTTAATTAATTAATTAATTGATAGATCATGTCGATTTATACAATGAAATACAAAAAATAACTGTAACCTAATTTATACCCCCAAACTAAGGATAAATTACTGTAAGTCGACGTTAAATTATAAGTTACCCCAGAATAAATAAAATTGAAGCTGCAAGATTAAAAGTACCTTCAAAATGAATTAAATTGCAACTGGCATATAATCTGTAAAATCATAAAATATCCAGAAAATAGATAAAAACAAAAAACCTCAAACATGAAATTAAACCATTATGATTTCAATGGTATGAAAACTGATCTTATAGGATTTACTAGAATTGTAGAAATGAAGTAGTAACAAATCGCTTACCATTTTTCTTTTTAAGGTGTGGTCCTAAAAATATCAGTTGATCAGTAAGACTTGTTGCGTTCCAATGGAGCAGCTAGTCAGTTTTAACGGCTGCAAAATATTTCCACTGGTTTTATATTCAAAAAAAGATGACAACACTTTTGGCATAGATACCAAAACCCATATGTAAAATGCCAGTGAGAATTTGAATGAAACCTAAATAAAACAAAAAGTGACCTCGGTAAAATTTTGAGATTCTTATTTAAGTTCAGTCTTTAAATTGAATAAAAAATGTTGAATAGAAGTACAACCTTGAATCAAACTACGAGAGAAAACAGAATAGAAAAAGGATGTCTTGAGTGCTATTTCTGCAAGGGAAAGCATGGGATACTTAAAATCCAACAATCAAACTCATGATAAGCCTCATATCACCTGTCACGGCCCAGTTAGCACTATCTACTTGACATGCTTGATATCAGCATTATTTTCTTTATCAAGTTATTGTACACTGAAATCACATACTGGTAAATGTATTTACAAAACAGTGATAAAGACCAAAGGAGTGTATTATAAATCCTTTGGAAAGTCAAATAATTATCCCATCGAACATACTTTGAGAGGGGCCATCCATTCGTTCATTCGTCTGTTCTGCAGAGGTTCAGATCCCCACTCGTATACTCGTAATTTGACGAGTAATTTGTCAAATACGAGAAATAATTTCAAAATACTTGCCATTCGTATGAGTATGCCATGATCTTGAAACTCATAGTAATTCCTCTCACTCAACTTATTTGTTTGTAGCTTTACATCTCCTTTTAACCACATGTTTTGTCAAATATACAGTAGAGACGTTTTTCCCAAAAGTTTAAAACTTTTTCCAATCATAACTTTTCTCAGGAGATTTCAGGTGTATTTCCCGCGCAAACATGATATAAGCCTGGATATAACTCCGGGGAAAAGTTGCCTGCAAAATTTATATTGTAAATTTTCTGCGCAATTAATCTGTATCCCATAAGCACGCATTATGCAGTGTTTGGTGAAATTCTGGGATCTGTGATCTCTTAAAACCCTTTTTACTGACCGCTTGAACCAGTTGGAGACTAAACCCCACTCGTTTAGGGGCCCAGTCGAAGCTTTGCATCAAAAAATTGAATTTTTTTTAGAATTCAACCCAGAGCTATTACTGATCTATTATCCCTTCTATAAAACCCAAAAAATCTACTCAAGACATAATCAGAATGAAATACCATGAACTAACCTACCTTAGAGAAGATAAATCTGAAGTGAAAATGACAGATAATCACCAGTATTTGAGAAATACTGATCGAAAAACGGGAAGTGAAGAGTATGGCTTGCCAATTCAGCAAGATTTAATTTAGAATCAGACTGAGTTCATGTTACCATATTCTATGGCCACTGAGTGTGGCCATACAATATAAATAAGACACTCTTTGTTGTTTTGAATTTGCCTTTAAATTGCCGAGCTGTCTTATTTTTATTGATGTAAACATAACTCACCTTCATTGATCTTTACATGCAGTCCTATTTCATAAATTGGTCTACTTCGGAGGATATTTATTCACAAAATAAAACTGAAGGAAATTTTTACAACAAGCGGCAATCTTGACTAAATCGCTATAGCGGAAAAAGGCATGCTTTCAAAATGGAGAACGAGACGACGTCTATTTTAAATGAAAACGTTGAATATCTCATCAACAAGATAAGCCGTTATCCTTTCAATTCACGAAATATTAACAGAACGATTTTTAGAATATTACATAAATTCATTGAGCGACGGCTTAAGATTTTACAATAGTTCACGGTGTTCCAGATGGAAACACTTCCAGCCAAGAATACTCGAGTAAAGTTCATGAATATAACAATTCTAGTGTTTGCAGTGATTCAAATAAAGAATTGTGAATATGTATTGCATATTTATTATAATATTGTGCACAAATGTGACATACATCAATTAATGTAAGTGGATAAATTCCTGGTAAAAAGGACAATGCCAGCAAAGGAGGTGTCAGTCCAGGGAGTCAGTAGGAAGTTTAAGGCCTAAACCAAGGGGGTCCTCTGTAGACCCTGGAGTTTTCGCACAAGTTATTTACTTTCAATTACAAGTAATTTTTTGAAAATACTTGTAAAAACTCATACTAGTAATTTTTCAAAAAAACTTGCCATTCATACTAGTATTGTTTTTCTGAGGATCTGAAACTGCTGTTCTGGCAATAACTGAAATACCAGTTGACAGATTTGGTTAAAATTTTATAGGCTGATGCCCATTATGGGGATAGAACTTCTGCATGAAAAGGAATCTTAATATGGCCACTAAATTCAAAATGGCCACTATTTTTCATAAAAATGTTAACTTTGATAACTCAAAATATTGATGTATGTGAACCCAGTACCTAGGGTACCCATGGTATTATTTATGAATAATTCCTTTGACCTCTTGAGGTGTTTTTATACTGTCATTATCAATTTTAACATTTTTTGACAAAGGATGTACATTATACAAAGTTTTTTTGCATATTCCATTTTCTCAGCTTGACCTACAGGGTCTTTGTATGGGGGGTATAGCTTTATTATATAGTGAAATGAAAAGTAATCTAGGAGATTGCAAATATCATTTTTCTGATCTGGACTTGATTCTGGTTTCAATATAATTAACTGATCTCTTCAAATTAAGGCTATATTGTACTCAAATTGAAGGAATTTTAGAATAGATCACAATAATGTTATTATTTTTGTGCCACAGGAAATTCAATGTGAGATTTCGCCAGTGCCTGTCATTTTTTTATTATATAAACCGTGGGTTAAGTAGATGGTAAATATTACATTATTATGACATACAGTGTATACAGTTCAGATATACAGATTTTGTTCATTGGTTACTTGTCGAGTTGTCAATTTCTGATTTATACGAGTATACCTTGATGTGAGTTTAATATATTAAAAAAATTTGAAATCCTAATTGTTTTTAAGTTTTACTTGATCAAAGGGAAAAGTAACATAATTAGTCATTCTCGGCAAGTTATTGAAATCCCTGTAACTGGTTGGCCAGTTTCAGTCATGTGACTGTTACTAGCGACTATCTTGGATGAGGCACTCATGGGTGGCGAGATGCATTGTTCTCAGTACCGTGTCTATATGAATGGAACGCAAAGTTTTGTTTAGATTTTGTGACATCAGACATCAGTTTGAGTTGAAACTATTGTGCTTGTGTGGGACTTTTCTATCTCAACCAGCAACTCACAAGGAAGTCCCTTATTCTGTGTATTCTGTGTTGGTTATTTCAGTATTGATGCTACCAAATGAGAGACTGGTGACACTTCCCCACCAAGATGGACCCCAAGAGACACCCGTACACAGCTTTGATGGTATGTTGAAACATTATTGCCCTTTTTTATTTGAAATTGTGTTAGAATACTGTTTTCAATTTTGCTTTATATACACTTAACTCATAATGGTTATGTACATGTAAGAAAGTGTAATAAATCTTATCCAATTAAGCAATTGAACAAATGAAAAGTATGGACTCTCAGACACCCTATCATGATACACTTGAACAGTTTTAACTGTTATGTCTTTCAACATACATCCTATATAGTGAGATATAGAACATGAACAGATCAGCATTTTATCCAGAGCAAAACAACAATAATATTTCCTTAGTTCTTCAACTAGAAAGTAATCTGAATATCATTTCAATTTCATGTTACTAAAAGTATTGTTCTTTAGTGAAATGTTTTGTTTCCAGATTATCACCATGTGATTGTGGCTTGTGACCAGATATCTGAACTTGTGCATTGTTTGAAGACTCATCTAGGGGACTCTAGCACTCATGCATTACCTCATTTTGTCACCTCTATACTGAGAAACATTATCATAGGTAAGTAGAGTCATTCATCTTGTCAGACATTGTTGATATCTGAACTCGTGCATTGTTTGAAGACTCATTTAGGGGACTCTAGCACTCATGCATTACCTCATTTTGTCACCTCTATACTGAGAAACATTATCATAGGTAAGTAGAGTCATTCATCTTGTCAGACATTGTTGATATCTGAATTGGTGCATTGTTTGAAGACTCATCTAGGGGCTTCTAGCTCTCATGCATTATCTCATTTTGTCACCTCTATACTGAGAAACATTATCATAGGTAAGTAGAGTCATTCATCTTGTCAGACATTGTTGATATCTGAACTGGTGCATTGTTTGAAGACTCATCTAGGGGACTCTAGCACTCATGCATTACCTCATTTTGTCACCTCTATACTGAGAAACATTATCATAGGTAAGTAGAGCCATTCATCTTGTAGTACACCTTTGTAGATCTCTTATTTGATATCCCAGTCCTAATTATCTGTATTGAAGACATTTAATGTTGATTTTGATAAGATATTGCAAACTTTTATGATAGATATATATTTTGTAAATTTGATATTTATGTCCCCACCATGACCAAAAATGGTGGCATATTTTTATATTATCCTACACTTAGTGTACTAAATGTATAATACATTAAAAAATAAATGTGATATTTATTGGCAAAATGAATATCTGGAGGATATCATGACGATATACTCTGGAAAACCCAATATGCGGAGGATATTGTGACGATACACTCCGCTTGTTGATTTCCCGCCAAATTGACTCTATTTGGCATGGAATTCATTTTGCAATGATATTATTATTATACATTTAGTACACTCCTTGTAACTGTAGGATAATAAGAACATCCTATGATTTTTTCAGAATATCATTTTAATCTACTCGGTGATATTGATATATGCACTCGTTTGCTTCGCTCTCTCGTGCAGATATCAATATCACCTCGTAGATAAAAATGATATTCCTCAAAATCATAGGATATCCTATAAGTCTCCAACTTTATTTGGACAAAATGGCAGATGGTGACATTTTGGATGTTATTGCCTCGTTTTACATCAAAAGTCTCTTTACTTGTTTATGAATAAATTAGCTAAATTGTATACTAGTATAGAAAATAATTAACATGTACATATTTGTTGACCAGGTTTAGCAAGACTCCCATTGGTCAACAGCTATGCACGTACGCCACCTATTGTCTGGAAAATGGGATGGATGCCATCACCCAGTGGCGACATGCGGACAAAACTTCCGCCATTGCCTACAGATTTTATACAGGAAAAAGACGTCCTCCAAGAATTTGTCTTTCGTGTTAACACAATCGGTGAGTTTTGAATTATCTCAGAGTTATTAAATCATGTGACACATATTATCGTTTTAAAGTAACAGTGGTAAAAACTTTTGAAGTCTAAGTATCATTATCATTTTCTCTTGGAAATCTGTTAAAACACCATATATGCCAAATAACATTGAAAAAAACATATACTGTATAGCATTGCACCATATATTTCAGGATGGACCAGTAGGCCACAGTTTGAGGAGACTTGGATGAGTTTACTGGGAGTCTTAACCCCTTTACCCCTGGCAGAAGGTCAGCAAATCTCTATTGAGGTAGGTTCAACTTTTTGTCTTATAACACCTTCACCCCTGCCTGCAAATCTGTCAGTTCAACTTGTTGTTTCAGGCTTTCTCCTGTTATACTTTACGTCAGTTTATTTCGGAAAATGCTCATTTTTATTGAACCCTTTGATCTTAGTTTGCCAAGCACGCAGATGGGCTGACGGGCATACTTCTTAATTTTGTCTACACATTTCCAGGCAAACCGTTTGACGGATTGATTTCCAGGGATAATTCTTTATATGAAAATCTCGATTAGACATTCTAGATAAATGTTAAAGTGGACTTTGTCCCAAAAACTGCCTGTTAAAGGGTGCAATACTGTTCACCCTGCGTCATGTTTAGCATAAAATCAAACAATCTCAAAATTTGAAGTGAACAAATTGAAGTGCAATATAAGCCCTCTTGTGTAATCTCTTGTGACCTAGCAAAAAGCATTGACGTTTTGGAATGTTTATCTTATATTAGGAGGGAGACATGTTGTTTATTTACTGTATAGGTGGTATTTAATCTGAGTGGTTAATTTATCTCAATGGTCTTCTTTTATAATTTTCTTAGATCCTTAGAACAAGAAACTTCCCATCAGATAGCATTATGAACATCATATTTCGCATATTAGGCAAGAGGCAAAATTACCACTTATACAGTATCTTATATTAGGAAGGAGACATCTTGTGAACTATTGAATTTGATAATAATGGAAATAATCAAAAGATGATATAATATTTAGGGGTATGTGTCTCATGCCTCAGTCACATTTGATCTAAGGCAATCGTAGCTTCCCAAAATCGAGAGAAATATGCAGCATAAAATATAGGGATAAGCAATACAACATAGATATTCTATATCTATTTTGTGAAGCTATGGCTGCAATATTCCCGCTGTATAGCAAATGTGACTGAGGCTTTAGTTTATTTATGAACAACAAACAGTTGATTTTTATACATTTAAAAAAAATTTACATCAGTATTCTTTTAGTTGTAGTGTCAATTTGCATCAGTATTCTTTTAGTTGTAATGCTCTTGTAGTGTTAAATGTTGGTATGATATTATTATAAACTTGTATTCTGTACGTACATTTTCAATGATCGACAGAACTCTTTTGAGTTTATGTATACGGAATCATAAATGCTTGTGCATTGTTCCTTTCTCAAATAATAATAGTCTTCATCACCTGAGTGGTCAGCATAGGGAGATCAATTGTCTGAAATCTTTTTTATAAACTCCCTGGAAAGTGCACAGATTGATGGTCTTCAATGTAAATGACAATCTGGTATTCCTTGGAACCTCTAAGACCTCCCCCAGTGACAACATGCCACCTATATTTGACTGGGGAGTTTAATATGACTTATAGTTTCTCAAAGCAACTTTATGTTGAAGAGCTAATTTAAAGCTAATATATCTTCAGTCTCTTGTTCATCCTTTAGTTTCATAGATCACATACTTGGAAAGGACGTAATACATCTGCATTCTGCAGTCACTATATTTGTCCTAAATTTTCTCAAAGCAAACTCTATGGGGATAAGGGCCAATTAAGATGCCAAGTTTTCCTTCGAGGGTTGGTATTGGGTCATTTTTTGGTTTCTTGACATGGAAATTCTGCATTATGGCTACAAAGAATAGGAAAGTTTCCATCCTGGCCAGTGATTCACCCAGACATGACCGCTTACCTGTAAAATAAATAATAAAAAAAATAAAAATAAAAAGTTTTACATGTAGAAGTATATTTTATCTTGCTAAATTTGGTATCATGTATTTCATATTGTCATTGCTCAAGTCTAGTTGTTTCATCTTGTTTAGGGTTTTTATGGTAACCTTATGTGCCTTCTCATTCTATAGATTTGTATCGTTGCATTATGTTGTCATTAAGCACTGAATCAATCGCCATCATTGGCATTAAATTCCCTCCCTATATCTAATTATCCCAACGAACGAAGTTCGGTAGGGATATAGTGAAGCCCTCCGTCAGTCTGTCAGTCCGTCAGTCAGTCAGTCAGTCCGTCCGTCCGTCCGGAAGATAACTCAAATCTTAGTTGACTGATTTTCTTCATATTTTGTATAGTTCATGTATATTTGTATTCATTTGTTTTGATAAATACATTGATCCACTGGTGCTAGTGCTAGGCCCAAGAACATGTATAAAAAGATCTCTTTACTTGGTATATTTGACTCAACCTTTTTTGGCTTGCCATATTTGCTCTGACTGAGTATAAGCAAATAAGAAATTGTCATCATTTAGTCACTATATTTTGTTTGTGCCACATTGGTTTTGGAGTGCTTGCCAAGTGTACATTCTATGAAAACACTATCAAAAGAATGCACTCATCTTTGTTACAGCTGTGTATTCTTTAAAATAAACTAAAGTTCAATCTACTGTGTTGTAACTAGTAACTTAATAAGTGGAGTTTAACAATGGAGAAACTACCAAATGACTAGAACCCAAATTCATTTACACCTAGAACCCAAATTCATTTACACCAGCACTCCAGGTATTAGAATGTTGAAATAAGTAAATAAAGCTTACCAACTGAAAATGTCACCAAGTGGTCATCTTTCTGGAATTTTCCATCTGGTCCTATGAACCGATTAGGGTTGAATTGGTATGGCTGCTCCCAGTGGTCCTCGTCATGGTGAATAGCATACACATTGGGTGACAATGCTGTATTTGGGGGTAATGTATAGCCCTGAAGATAGATAGAGATAATAGGGAGTTTTATCTTGCACTGTTTTTCTTAACCCTTGTAAGGCGCATGCGCAAAATTGATTTATAAACATTATTGGTTGATGGTTTTCTCCTGAGCATGTGTGAAGTCTGATGAACACTTATGAGGGAGACCAGAGCAAACATTACTATCTCTCGAACAAAATTCCAAGTTTCAGATCATTTCGCCGTGTTTGCTAAGCATGTATACATGAATGACAAGCTGTTTTGAGTAGATCAGGTACCTGTTTTAGACACAACATTGATTCAGCTTGACATTGATGTGCACATTGGCACTTTTGAGCATGTTAATACAAGTTTTTACACTCTTAGCGGGAGACGGGTTTTCGAAAAATCTGTTTTCTAATTCACTTGATTATGGTATAGATATTTATTTCTGCTGACATTTTAACACCACCTCACATAGAATTACGCTGCAGAATGAGAATAAAACACAAAACAACTACTAAATTCCACTTGTTATTTCACAGGAGGTAAAAATGCACACTGCCTAGATTCTTTGTAAGGGTTGTCAGACATCGGATTGGCTGCCATATTTGAAATGAAAATATCACTAAACAGAGCTTTGCGCATGTCAGAACATTTCGACTGAATGTATTATAAATAGAAGGTTTGGCAACTTTAAGACTGTTCTTTTGTCATTTTGAGATCACAAGACCGTACCTTCCATTTTGTTGGTTGGTCAGAGCTATAATGGATCGATCCAAGTGGTGTTAAGGTATGCATTCTCTGAACTTCACAGATGACAGCCTGTGTGTAACTTAGCAGTTTCTTGTCTTGCATGGTTGGAGGTCTATCTGGGCCTATGGCATCCAATATCTCAGCTCGTACTTTATCCTGGACATCTGGATACCGGATCATGCATAGAAGCAACCACCTGTGTATAAAATTATATATAGGAAGTCTAACACTCCTTATTATACCTGTATGTTAGATCACACTTAAAAACATCCATATTAGGTATTTCAAATGATATGTGTATTTAGGCACCTCTGGTATTGTATGTGTAGAACCACCCCTCTGTATAAAATCATACACATAAGCATCCATATAAGGTATTTCAAATTATATAAATTATATAATTATATGTTGCTTGGTAAAATTATTAGACTCCAGATTGAAAATCTGAAGTCTATTGTTTTTGCCTGAGTTCTTCTTCTTATTATTATCTACACGTTTTCTTAGTAACTAGAAGACTTTGAGTAAATCTAATTATATCATCAGTTAGGATATGTGTCAGGGCTCCTCGGAAATTAGGTCAAATTTTTATTTAGGTCAAAGGTCAAAATCTAGGTCAACTTCAATTCAACTTCAATTTTCACAAATTTTCGATTTTATTTCAAATCTTTCGAAATATCTTGCTAGGAATCATTTTCGAAGTTCATCTAAGTATTTCATACAGTTTCTTCACTCTATGTCTCGATGAAAATTTTACCAATTAATTTTAATTAATTAGTTAATTAAGGGTGAATTTCAAACTGTTCCAAATCTATCAAGATTGGTATCTGTTTTATAGGAAATTTTCTCAGGATTCTGAATCTGATATCAAAATTGACTTTAAAATCTTTGTTTCGACTTTGAAAATAAGTTAAAACAATATAAAAGGACCTTAAAATGTAAGTAAACTCAAAATTTTAAGAGTCAAAGGTCAAGGTCAAAGTCTAAGTTGTTTTTCTAATTTTCACTTTTATCACACTAAATTTCAATATTTTGCTCTTAAATTTGGTAAGAGTAGAACATATACATTTTCTTTCTCATTTTCTCATCAATATTAGATGTCAAAATCATTTTTGAAATAAAAATCTGGAGTCTTGAATTGAACTTGTTCAATTTCACCAATCTGGTCATTATTATTTTCATATCATTAGTTGAACTGTAAGACTGACTACTATAAATACATGAATAAATGATCAAACTAACTATGTATATAGACTATGTTTATAGACTATAGAGGGGTACCTTAGGGTTGTTGAAGTTGTATCTGTCCCAGCAAAGAAGAGGTCTTCAATATTCCACATCAGCTCTTCATCTGCAAAGTTGTTCACTTATTGTATGAAACAATTACGAATTTTGCAACAAATATCCTTAAAAATGCAGAGTACCATAGGTTACTCGCCCAGACAATCAATTATTATAAGTGATCATATAATATCTCACATACAATGGATATATCTTGGGATTAAAGCGGCTTGAAGTTGAGTTGTAGAAACTTGAGTTATGTTTGAAATGTAGGTTATCTTTGAAATATAATTTAAAATATGATATATCTTTTAAACTTGAGTTATATTTTGAAACTTGGGTTTTCTTTTAAAATTTGAGTTATTTTTGAAATTTGAGTTATCTTTGAATATAAATTACCCCTAATCAAATAAAGTTAACATTCGAATAACACTGAAACAAGAGTTATCATATATTAAATGGAATTATCTTTTAAACATGATTTAGCACTGAAATATGAGCCAATATACAAATGAGTAAGCATTCCAAAATGAGTGAATATTGAAGGTTGACTATAGATAAGATAAATAAAGAAAAATAACTAACCATTGAAATAAATTTCCTCATCTGTGTCCTTCAGTTTTTTTATTTCCTGAATAAATGCATCTATAAAATCATCAATGTTGTCGGGGTCATATTTCTCTATGTGGCGCTTGATTTCTGGTTCAAGAATTTGAGTTTTAATTTCATCGACATTTTGCTTCAATCTTTTAGCATGTGTCAAATCCCCAGGAAGGTACTTCAAGAAGGGCAAAAATTTTGACAAAAATACTGGTCGCATGTGCTTATTGGTGTTCTCATTTAAAATCTGTAAAAGCCTTTTGAATAGTGTGTCCTCATACTCAAAGCGATGACCGAAAACCATGGTGCATATAATGTTTGACACAGCTGTGTTCAGTATTATAATCGTCTCTGTAGGTTCACCATTCAAACTAGCAATGAGTTTTACCAATTTTTGAGACTCTAATTGGATCTTTCCTTCTATGCGACTTTTTCCGAGTCCTAGGTCACGAAGGGCGTGTAAGGCAAATCTTCGATGTGCCTTCCAGCGTTGACCATCATGGAAAAGGCCAGAATTAATTGTTATCCCGCCAATTATATTTTCTCCATGATATATGAACTGATCACTTGTGAATGCCTCTTTCAGATCCTCAAATTTATGAGGCATTACAACATATTGCTTTCCAAACTTTACTGCTATATAAGAGCTCTTTAATTCCTTTGAAGCTTTCAAGTACATTTTCTCGCCCATTGTTTTAGCGTCCATTAAGAAGCGAATGTGCCCCAAATATGGTATATTCCATGCAGGCATGGGAGGTAAGCTATAAGGACTGGGTTGTAGGTATCTCAGCAATAGAATAAGGACCACCAGGAATACCAAGGCCATTGTTAGGTTGTTCAGGACAAGCTCCATCATTGCAGCAAGAACACTCATCTTGGGTGATGCTAATGATGTAAGGGACTTATTTGACACCCTGTAGTCTGACAGTGTAGAGATTTCTGGAAGAAGATAGTTTATGATTACTCAAACCACACTGAAACTTGTATAATATACCATATTCCCTGTAATAAGCGCCCAGGGCATTTAGAAAACTTCAAAGTTAACTCTGACATTTGCATTATTTGACCAAATTCACTACGTTTTGCACCAGGTTTTAGCCCCTTGCTAATGCTTCGATCACATAAGCTCTGATTCTGAAAATTGGAGCAATTGTGACCATGGCATTAGCTAGAGGTGAATGTAATGTAAAAGGTGTAACTCAAAGCAATCACCCACAGCAACTATAGTAGTTTACAGGTTGATAAATAGGATTATCATAGACAGTGTATGTTAAACTTAATGTCAGGGTGCATGATGGGAAATTTTCTGCATTCCTCAATTGAGTCACATGTTATTTTTCAAACAAGAATTACTTCTTCCCCATATTGTCTATATCTTCCAGTTTTGCACAAAGAGTGCACTTATGTGCCTAGAAAAGACTTGTGAGAAGAATGCTTTGATAAAGTGTATAAAAAACAAGAAAATTCAGTGAAAAAATTCAGAAAATTTTCAGAAATTTTTTTTACTGAATTTTTTCGTTTTTTATACATTTTACAAAACAAATCTTCTCACAAGGCTTTTCTAGGCACAAAAGTGCACTCTTTGTGAAAACCTGGAAGATGTAGACAATGTGGGGAAGGAGTTATTCTTCTTTGAAAAATAACATGTGACTCAATTGAAGAATGCAGAAAATTTCCCAACATGCACCCTGTCCTTAACTCATATCTACCAAAATAAATGCCTTGACCTTATTACTAATTTTAGTCTAGTACCAATTGTAAAACTACTTACTTAGCTAAGCTGTGTATGTGTTTACTTCTCTACTGGCTCTGTTGTGATTCATGTGATTTAAACATTAATGCCCTAGATGCCAAGAATGTACTTTGCTTTTACTCATGCCTTATCATTTCCATTCTGTTCAAATGCATATGCTTTAGTTCACTAATCATGAACTATTTATATATTGTCGAAGCACTCCTATTTTGCAATAACATACTTGATTTTCACAATGATCATGTAATATATTGGATGTGTTTCATCAACATTTGGAAATTTTTAACCTGCTTAGTGCTTTTCTATTCAGTGTTGACACGACCTTGGATATGTTTGTGAAGTGTTTAGCATTGCTAGGCCAATCAGTGCAGATTTCAACATTATTTATATTTATATGATGGCCAAAATACTGTAGTGCATTTAGGTCAGGGTGCACTTTGATGAAATTTTATGACCATGTGCTATTTTCAGATAAACATGACTCATTCCACACATTATCTACATCAGTCATTCTTGCACAAAAGATGCATTAGTGTACCAAGACTATTAATTTAGGCTTGATAATTCTTCAGAATGTTTGAATAACAAGAATATTCAGTGGTTTACTTTTCAAAATTGCAAAAAAATTCAAAAGTGCACCCTGACCTTAAGTGATAAATATATTTGCATGTGTGAAACTTAAGTGAAGGGCTTAAATACAAAATAGGCCTATATCCCCTTAATAATAATAGATGAAACTGCAAGAGCATTAAAGGCCTCATATACATGTAGACTTTAAACCACTTTGGCTTATATTAAAGTCCTACTATATCAGATGCTGGCACGGTTTTGCCGGAAGTTTGCAAGAAGTAACTTTTGGCAATGCAGTATGTTAGAGTAACCTAGTAGGTGTAAGAAAATATAAGGTGATGGGCTTTAAAGTGGTAAAAACAATTTTCACGGCCGAATTGGACTTCAATTCCTGCGATTTCAGGGGGTACTATAAGACTATTTCATAACATAAAGGATATAGTTGCTATTGTTCTGCTTTCTACAGCACACATTACTAGTCCAAAGATGAATAATATCCTAAAGTTATAGGCCGATATCTGTATTAGTCTCAGAAATATTGCAATTAATAGGAAAAAAATATGCAATTTTAGTCATTTTTAAGTCTCACGTATCTTATATTTGTAGCTTCCAGCAAAAGATGGCAGCTTAAATAGCTCAAAATTGTTTTCTAAAAACAAATTCAAGCTTTGTTTGATATTGTAATACAATTATAATAATGATAATGTACTATTTATGATTTTTAATATGACTTTATAGTACCCTACCCCTGGAAAGTGGGCGTGGTCAATGTTATCATTTTGCAGCATACAATTAAAAACTTATATTGATAGAAAGCAAATCAATGCATTTTTAACATTTTCACTTGTTACTTGACATTGTAATCCATTCATTACTAAAATATAGGACTCTACATATTTTATATATACGTTTTCAATTTTGTACAATGTAACATGATGAAATCTAATAGGCTGGTTCATTTTCAGTGTTCACTACCGCATGAAATGTAAGTCACAGTGTTTCCAAATTACCTTTGCAATGAGAAAGTACCACAAAGACTACATAATATGAGCAGTTTCAAGGTCCTAATACTAATACTTACCGATCTATCGGCGTTCAAAAATAGAGAAAGCTGTCGTGAGTGCAGTTTTAACTAACTTTGAACTGAAACTGCTGCTTAATGAATATTTTTCTCAACATCTGTGACTTTTTTAGACCCCAAACATAAGATACCAAGACATAATGCTACCAAGTTCTGATATTGGAAGTTTCAGAGCTCTAGATCAAATATTCACTTCTGCATGTACTTTTAAAGAGAGGCAAAATGACAAAAAAACTGTCAGATATCGTTAAAAATATGAAAGATGCACTATTCAGAACAATTTATCTCTTAAATGTTACTTTTATTTGACATAATTTCTGATTCTGCCTCCAGTTAGTACCACCAATAATACATATGAGAAGACTTAACGTCATAATAAGTGGAAGTACAGATCTATTGGCTTCTGAAAATGGGAAAAGCTGTAGCAAGTATGATTTTCACTAGTTTTTCATCTAAGACTGCAACTTTCTGAATTTTCTTTTTACAAACTGCACAGTAAGACCAAAGACATTAAAGGAAACCTGGTCATTGTACCACCAATAATAGGTAAAAATAATATTGGTAATATATACCAAGTGTTTAATTCCAAGGCATCTGAATTGATAAATAAATGAAATCAGTACTTTATTGTATCTTGGGACAAAATACACTGTTTGAATGCTTATGCTTGACATCACAGTATCAAGTGAAAGATACGTTGTTATATACAGCTATATATCACTTTAACTGACTTTACTCTTCAATTTGAAATATGCCTGGCCATTCTAAGAAAAATGCGACGGAGGGCAAAGAGGGTGCATGGTATAATTGGTAATTAAGCTCTTCTAGAGTTTAAAGCTCCCACAATTTTTAAAAAACGAAATGGAGAATAACATGTGAAAGTATAGGATGGACTAAGAAAGTTTTTGAAAGTAACATTGCATGAAATATTTAGCAAGAGATATGTTCCAAAATACTTTCAGGTAGAAATAAAGCTCCGTAATGTAAAAACAATGTATTCTCAGTATTCAATAATAACATTCTTTATAGGTTTTTGGTCTTAAGCATATCAGTGATTATCCCATGGTTGCAAGGATATAGATTGAATATCACATGAAGATATATTTGATATGTGGATCAAGTTATAATATTTTAGCAAAAAATTCACAAACCATTGAATATCACTTTTAAACTATCAAATATCACGTCTTAAAAAGTGATATTCGGTGGTTTGAAAAGTGATATTCCATGGTTTCGAATTTTTTCAAAAAAAAATTTCTTTTTACATTTTTTAATTATTTTCAAATTTTTTTCAATTATTTTTTCAAATTTCATCCCATGGGAAAAATAATTTTCTTTTCAAAAATATCAATTATATCCACTCATGGATACAAATATCTTCACTCACTTGCTGCGCTCACTCATGAAAATATCAATATCCACTCATGGATATAAATGATATTTTTTCAAAACCATAGGATATTCCTATATTATATCAATCCGGATGCTGAAGTCACTTAAAAAATAATAACTAGATGTAACTCCTAGTAAGCGCTTCAAGTTTCAGTTCTAAATAAAATACAGTTTAGTTAAAAAATTGTTAAGAATACATACATTTTTTCACAATCACAATTTCACCATTTCTGACTGTATTTTGCATATTTTTAGGTGTCAATGGGTCAATGATTATTTGATATAACCTCCTGAAACTACTCTCATATATATTTGGTGGTACAGTGATATGGAATCCTGTCTTTTGGGGTCTCACGGAATTCTTGTTTTAGAGAAGAAAATCCTGAAAGCTGCAGTTTAATATTATGAATTATAGGTGAAAATTGCACTTGCTACACTGCTTCTCCCATTTTTAGATGCTAATAATTCTGTATCTACACTTACTATGACCTTAAGTCTACTCATATTATGTATTATTGGTATTACTAACTAGAGGCAGAATCAGAAATTATGGTAAATAAAAGTAAAATTTAAGAGATAAATTGTTCTGAAAAGTGCATTTTTTCACATTTTTTCGCGATATCTGACTGCATTTTGTGTCTTTTGGGTCTTTTTAAGAGTCCATGCAGATATGAATACTTGATCTAGAGCTCTGAAATTTTCAATACCAGAATTTGGTAGCACTATGTCTTGATATCCTGTGTTTGGACTCTAACCAAATCACAGTTGTTGAGAAAAAATTCATAAGTAGCAGTTTTAATTCAAAATTAGTTGAAACGGCACTCAAGACAGATTTCCTCATTTTTGAAAGCCGATAGATCGGCAAGCATTTACACCATGATCTTGAATCTGGGCATACATATTCTTAATGGCACTATCTCATTGCCCAGATATTGTGGAAACATTGTGACTTATATTCCATGTGATAGTAAGCACTGAAAATGGACTTGTTGCATTGTGGCGGACCCCATACAAAACAAACATAGGGGTAGGGGGGGGGGGGGTTTAAACGTTGATCAGTTCTGTTATTTTTTGTGGCTATTGGTCATATAGTAGATCATTTTGTCAAAAGGTAAGGGTGATCCAAGAAAAAGTTTGTAAATTGAAACAGCCTATTAGATTTCATTATGATACATTGTACAAAATTGAAATTGTATATATAAAATATGTAGAGTCCTATATTTTAATAATAAATGAATTACATTGTCAAGTAACAAGTGAAGATGTTTTATATGCATTTATTTGCTTTCTATCAATACAAGTTTTTAAATGTATGCTGCAAAATGATAACATTGACCACGCCCACTTTCCAGGGGTAGGGTACTATAAAGTCATATTAAAAATCATAAATAGTACATTATCATTATTATAATTGTATTACAATATCAAACAAAGCTTGAATTTGTTTTTAGAAAACAATTTTGAGCTATTTAAGCTGCCATCTTTTGCTGGAAGCTACAAATATAAGATACGTGAGACTTAAAAATGACTAAAATTGCATATTTTTTTCCTATTAATTGCAATATTTCTGAGACTAATACAGATATCGGCCTATAACTTTAGGATATTATTCATCTTTGGACTAGTAGTGTGTGCTGTAGAAAGCAGAACAATAGCAACTATATCCTTTATGTTATGAAATAGTCTTATAGTACCCCCTGAAATCGCAGGAATTGAAGTCCAATTCGGCCGTGAAAATTGTTTTTACCACTTTAAAGGCCATCACCTTATATTTTCTTATACCTACTAGGTTACTCTAACATACTGCATTGCCAAAAGTTACTTCTTGCAAACTTCCGGCAAAACTGTGCCAGCATCTGATACATACCCAATGTTATCAAAGTGTATTATTTGAAAGTTGATTTTGAAAGACTTTTTGTTCAAAAAAGTTTTTATGACTCACAGATATATTTTAAGTAATAATTTACATAAATGCATAGCATACATCCTAACCTATTTTGTGTTGAAATAATTAAGAAAATTGGTTGAGAAATAAGCAAGAAATTAACTCATAAGTGTAGAAAAGTGGTTCAGAAAAAAAGCATTTTAAGATTTTAGTTGAACTCAATGCTACATAGATATTTAAAACATGATAAAAACTTTTATTCAACCTAGACAGGACAAAAAATTGCTTTATTTTGTTAGTTCAGCTTATTTAGAAAATATTAATTAAAAAAAAAAAATGTCCACCTCAGTTGCATCACAGTGTATCAGTGTGACATCACACATTTTTAAATATGCTTTAAAAGTTTATACATGTATATGCATAAAACTATAGATTGAATGACTGAAATAAAATGACTTTTGGTTTTTCTACGTAATGGATAGAAAAAATAATGTGTTTTACAGTGTTGTATCTTGTTTCTAAAATGGCATGATGAATTAATATAGTGTGTTATTATTAGATTGATTTTTTATATCTTCTGATTATTTTACAGGGTGACTCAAAAGAAAGAAAAAATTTTACGAAAGAAAAAATATACTCTCATACAAACTCTGTCACCATAATGGGAGTCCCTTAATATAATGCTCTAAAAAGCTTTAATCAAAGCTTAAAGAATTGATAGTCACGAGAAAAGAAAAAAATCATTCCCTTTATTGCACTATATTTTCAGGAGGATATAGATAGAACACAGGCAGTGGTGCTAGCTATCCGTGGAATTACTGCCCTTTTAGCCCAGACGACCTTGACCCCTCAGCCTGGTAACCCTAGCAACAGCATATACAAGCACATCACTAGAGACAAACCATTAGCCTTTCTACATACAAGGGTGGGAAAAAAGTTGGTGTTCATTCACAATATCATAGACCAGGAGCTATACCAACAACAGACATTCCATAGGCAAGTATTAAAATTACATGTAGTTCATTCATAGGCAAGTATGAAAATACATGAAGTTCATTCTCAGGCAAGTATGAAAATACATGAAGTTCATTCTGAGGCAAGTATGAAAGTATATTTAGTTCATTCATAGGCAAGTACAAGTATTAAAAGTACATGTAGTTCATTTATGGGCAAGTATAAAAGTACATTTAGTTCATTCATAGGTAAGTGTGAAAGTGCACTTCTTTCATTCATAGGCAAGTGTGAAAAGTACATGTATTTCATTCATAGGCAAGTATGAAAAGTGCATGTACATGTAGTTCATTCAAAGGCAAGTAAAGAGGTCATTGTATAGGAAAGTACTGCTATTATCATGGACAAGTATTCTATCATTTCATATGCAAAAGTACATGTTGAACAAATTATAAAATCAAGTTATGTCTCTGTTGCAGCCCTGTGTTGGCTAGTGTTGACAAAGCACTATGTAATATAGAACATGAATCATCTCTCCAGTTCTCTTATGGACAGGTAAGATAAAAAAAGATGACTAATGTATTATGCCTCAGTCACATTTGATCTATGGCAACTGTGAGCAAATGGGAGGCTTCACTTAACAATATTTAAAGGAATCATCCTGAAATCAAGTCAGAACTTTTAGACTTTAGAAAATAGACATGACATTGAATGACAAACTTAAAAAACCTTTAAATTGTGATATTTTTGGGACTTTAAACTTGTCTCTTTCCCTTCTTCTTCCTTTAATTAATCACCTCACAATAAAATGCTGATATGAGATGTCAACCAGGTCATGTAATAAAATATTCCAGATCTGTTGCTTCAAAGTTGTAGTTGACAAAGGAAATTGACTGTTTGAATTGATAGATCTATGCTATAACATTCAGTAAATGCAGGTAGTCTTTACAAATAAAATAGTCTTTACAATAAAGTTTTGCTAAATTAGCATTTTTGAGTTATTTATCACCTTAATTCCTAGAGTCATCCATTTTGCACAAGCATTCTTATTTCTGTATTTTTAGACATCCATAGAGTCTCTATGGTTTGCGCTAGGGATGTTAAACCCTGAGCCTACAGGGGCCAATGATGGAGAGATTTCCCTCCAAGCCCGCCAGCAGGTTGTAGATCCAGTCAGTGGGATTGATATCCACTCATGTCTCCAGTTCCTATTAGATCTTTATACGCAGTGGCTGAGCCCAGGGGCGTCCCCTAGGACTGCTCTTATGCAGATTAACCAGACTGTGAAATCGGTAAGATTCTAAATTTATATGTCACAAGTTAAATAGCAATAGCAATTTTGTGATGATGTCACATTAATGAGACTTAATGCTGCCTAGACTAATGGCAGTGATGATTGTATTCTGGATGCTCAAGTTTTCTCGTACTTTCTAGATCATCACACTCTCCGATATTTTCACGGAAAAGCAACAGTATGATTGGATGCTTGATACTCTGTTGGAAGTTCAAAGGTCACATCCTGTAGAGGATGAACTGGTGAACCAATATCTGGTACTTGGTCTGTGTAAGGCAGCGGCAGTCACATCTGTCACCGTGGTAAGTTAAAAAATAAACATAAATTCTTAACAGTCTGCCATCAAGTATATCGTTGCAAACTCACCCTGGTGATTCTGAAAAATATACTCATCCATCCAAAACACATGATAATGAAAATAGCAGATCGTGAGTTCAAATCCAGTAAAATGGTCCAGACTGGGAAGAGTAAAGGTACTTTGAGGGTTAGATATAAAGTTTATTCAGTGAAAAATATCAATATCTCCCTGTGGGACTGGGGAGAGTGAATCCCATTCTTGGAAAGGTTGGAGGATAATACCATTAGTTTCAATATTTTGAAGCATAATCTACGAATGTTTATTAAAATCTGATTTGAAATATTGAGAATTTTGGAAGTATACTTTAAAGTTCTTGAGGTTTTATGTTAATGAGGTAGCCCAGTGACCACAACTTTGAATATTTCTACAGTGAAACCTGTACTTCTTGAACACCTATGGAGCTAAAAAAAAGTGTTCACTGTAGGTAGATGTTCAATACAGAGGGGGGTTTTATACAGGAGAAGGTCATTGTAAAATGTATCATGAACTGGTGTTCAAAAAAACACAGATGTTCACTAGAGAAATGTGTTCCCTAAGACAGGTTTTACTGCATTTTGTACTTTTCAGGATCCTCAAACATTTGAAAAAATCTACAAAGTTTTGGATGCAAATTTCCGAAGTGCGCACCTTCCAACAAAGGTGGCGACACTGCAAGGCTGCCTTTATTTACTGGAGGCGGGAACGTCTGATATGGTCAGAAGTATACTTCCATTGATTGTGGAATACCTGTACAAGTCCCTTGCAATTGCTATGCAGTGAGTATATGTTACATTGTTATGTTTTGATATTCAGCTATTTGAATTAAATAAATAAAAAATAAAAAAATAAAATAAAAGAGGTAAAAAAATAAATAAAAACTATACAACCACAAGGGACGTTAAAACTAGAACTCAGGAGTTCATGATTTACAAAACTGGGTAAAACTTTCCGTCCTCCTGTTAATAGGCCTCCTCTTAAAACATCCATTCAGAAATTATCAATAGCTATTAGGTGCTTTTTATAAACCATATAATAGACTTTGAAGTAATTGTTAAAAATATTTGCAATAATTTATAAGTTAGAGTTCAGATTTTATATTTGTAACAAACAGCATGTCTGTCTTAAATGTTCATTTATATTTTAAGAATATAATACAATTTTTAGCGCTGGTGTACACAGTCAGCAACACACTCTAGTCATGTGGTCCACAGCTGTGTTTATATTGGAGAACTATCCCGATGAAATCAATGAGACAGAACTGCCAGCTAAAGTCATACAGGTAAAGGGGTTTGTTACTCAGAAGTATCATATATTTGATATCGTTAAATTCAATTTTATGTCATCACCAGAAGCAGTTGGTGTTCAGTGGTTGGGGTTCGGCACTCAGTGTTTGGCGTGTGTAACAAGTGGCAGGTGGTGACATTTTGCATGTCAATGCCTTGTTTTTCTTTAATATCCCATCAAACCAAGTTCGGAGAGACATAGGGAACGCCTCTGTCCCTATGTCCATCCATACGTATGTCCATCCATACGTATGTCCATCCATACGCCTGTCTGTCCGTCTGTCCGTCTGTCCAGGCGATAACTCAAATACAGCTGAATTTTGCATTTCAACCACAAATCCTTTGAATGTATGATTAGAATATGTGTCAGATTGACTTTGAGGTTATTGTCTCAAATACCACATTAGTGCAAGAACAACTGTGTTACTGAACAAAGAGAATGCATTTGCTGAATAAAAAGCATTTCATATACAGTTCGACAATCGACATACAGGTATAATTTGTCTGTAAAATACTAAAGTTATTTCCATATGTTTTGGAATTTTATGGCCATGTGGTATTTTCAGATAAAAATGACTGATCCCATAATTGTCTATATCTGTCATTTTTTCACTAAAAGTACAGTTTCGTGGATTTTGTACACATATGCCATATGGGGGTAGAAGCTGCTCGAAAGCCAATTTTTAAAATGGCCACTCGTTTGAAAATGGTGGCCATTTTAGTGCCGATTTTACAGTAATCTAAGTACTAATATATAAAACTGTTAATACATAAGTTAATAAAAATCGCTATTTGGATTATTTATATGATTAAAACATTTACATGATTTAAAACATTTACATAATCTGCGATACGAAATGTATTTTCCTAGATGGCAGTGAGCCTGGCATCATCCAACGAAGATGTGGTACCACTTCCTGTTTTTCTGGCGATAATCCGTGGATTAGAGCGCCTCCTGTTGGCAAATTCAATCAGCAAACAAGATACAGAAGTATTGGTGAAGTTAAGTGTTGACAGGTAAGAAGTTGTCACGGTGATGATGTTTTGTCATGGTGATGATGTCTTAAATGCAACATAGAGTAGAACTGAGTTGAATTTGTAAGGGTAAACTCGCTTGCTTGCGGTCAAGATTTAAAACATTTCAGAAACATATTACAAGCATTAGTTTTATGTGAAAAAGTTAACCCTTCACAAACTGAATTTATTCTTTCAGGTTATGTCTTCCAAACTCTGAGAGAGCTCTGGCAGCACTAGGGTTAATGCTGACTTGTATGTATACATGTAAGTGAAGTATATTTTTATACACACATAATATTATATGAGATATTTTCTACGTACTTGAATCACTACACAAATCAGAATCTGTATAATAAATGGAAGATACTAAATTCTACATGGTGTGTTTGAAAGACAAAATATATACATATCTTAATATGTATGTATCAGACCTTTGAAATTTTCAAATTAAAGAATATTATGTATTGTGATAGATTCCACTTTAGAATAGTATACAATTAATGCATCTTTATAGGTATTTAAAGTGTACAGTAAAACCTGTGTATATTGAACATTTTTTGCCAAGGAAAAACATTCAATGTTGGTGTTCACTACAGAGAGTGTAATTTATACAGAAGTCAGTAGAGTATGTGGGGAGGAAAGATGTCCACAGGAGATGCGTTCACTAAAACAGGTTTTACCATATTTGTGTTTTAGCTAAGCAACGAGACCAATACACCCCTACCTTAGAGCCTGTTGAGCTTACCTACGAGAAAGGAACAGATAGCCAGGCTTTAGTCATTGAAGATCCTGAGTCACTTATTGTTGCTATGGAGAGGGTCACTGTTTTATTTGACAGGTATCATACATTAATTAACAATGATTCGGGTCATAGGTTCCCATACAAAGCACTTATTTGATATTACACCGAGCAAATACATCAGTTTAATTGATATTTGATTGTAATAGATCGTTATGTATATTTTGATTGAAATTTTTTCAGTTTTAATAATAATTAATGTTCAAAATAGTTGACCTTGAGTAATTGTTTTAAGGGAAAGTGAATATGATGATATGGTGAAAAATGATATCATTGATTGCCATCGGCGCATAATTAGATCAAGTGATTCAGTGGACTTGTTTACTTATTTTTTTTCAGAATCCGCAAGGGCTTTCCAGCTGAGGCAAAGATTGTCACCAAAATGCTGCCAACATTTCTAGCAGATTTCTTCCCACCACAAGATGTCATGAACAAAGTCATTGGTGAATTTCTCTCCAGCCAACAGTCACATCCTCAACTTATGGCCCAGGTGGTCTTCAATGTAAGTATTAAAGTCAACTAATATTCCATGTGGTCTTCATTGTAAGTGTAAAATTAACTCATTCCAGTTGGACCATCCTCCGACCACAGGGCTTCAAAATCCAGAATATCTTCTTTTTACCCCCTGCGATAAGCAACTAGCATTTCCACGATTAACAACTGGCAATCTGATTTGCTGTCACGACACTGCAACAGCCAATCAAATTATCCCTTATATACCTTCTTGCTCAGGCCTGCTTTTATGTTACCGCAATTCAAATAAATTCTGACAAAACTGTCTCAAAACATTCCAATTTTGCATGATCGAGGACACGTTGATATTTGGGGTGATAGGATTTAATTCATAAGGTATATATGCTTACTTTGATCTCATTATTTGAGCAATTACAATAAACTATCATATGAATTGCACACTCATGAAAAATTCGTACTCCACTTTAAAATGGTTGACCTTGAGAAATTGTTTTAAGGAAAGCGAATATGATGATATAGTCAAAAATTATATCATTGATAACGCATGTATACATCATCGGTGCACAATTAGATCACATGATTCAGTGGACTTGTTTATAAGAGTAGGTGGTATTTAATGTTGTTACTATAATGTCATCGTATGGTCACCAATGAGTTTATAGAAATTCACATGTATTTTAGGTGTTTGAAAATCTTCACAAAAAGAATCAAGAAAGCCTAGTCCAAGAGTGGGTCATGCTGTCTCTCTCAAACTTCACACAGCGTACACCAGTTGCTATGGCAACATGGAGTCTGACATGTTTCTTCATCAGCGCATCCAGGAATGTTATGCTACGAGCTCTGTATCCTTTGTCTTAGATCAGAATATAAAAGTCTTGAAACTATGATAAAATTAGCCTCATAAATGTGATCATATGGCTGTATTTTTTTATCAAGTCATTTAAAATTGTCATAACAACCTCACAACAATATCTTTTAATATTTAATGTCGACATAATTTTCAACTATTCTTGTAATATTTCTTAACTAAATTCAGCCTGCCCCACGTGATTGGAAGAATGGGAAAGCTAGAGATCGTCGACAGGAAATTATTTTGCATCGCAGCATTAGATTTCCGGTCCCAGTTGAAAGATGAAGAAGAAATCCAAGTGTTCGTAAAAACATTCCAGAGAGTGGCCCAACCTGAAACTCCATATTCTGACCTAGTTCTTTGTTGTACTTGATACCCTATGTAAATCATATTGAATTATATATAAAAATACTTTACTGTATAGATATAATAATAGAAGTGAACTGGGCAGATTCATTTTGAGATGCAGGGGTGATTGACATAAGGATATCCACCATCTTGCTTCATCAAGCCTCGGACCTGTCCTCGTAGAACGTTATGATTGAGTGTGGGAACCGAAGATGGATATCTACCTTCAGAATTAAATTACACGAAACCAATTGAGTAAAATTCACTAAAGGATTTCTGTCTTCATTGGTGTATTATCGCACATTTGAGGACAAATCATGGCTCTAAAATTGTCATGGTTGAATGAATTTCTTGCTTCAGGGTTGAGATTGAAGTCAAGATTTCCAATGGAGGTATTTTTAAAGTACACTTTGTTAAATTAATGTAATACATGCAGACCTATAGCGAGCTTTTGCTCACCTTTTAAATTTGAGAGGGGGTTCACATTTCCCCACATTGGGTCAAAATCCCTTGAAATATGCTCAGAATGGTATAGGAATGCATGACTTTGAAAGAATATTTGGCCATGGGGGTTTGCTTGCACCCCCTGAACCCCCCCTCCTTTGCTACAGACCTGCCTACATAATACGAGACATCAATATAATACATGTAGTATAATACATCCAATCCACTGAATGGACATAAAGCTCAGTGCTTTGTTAGTGATGCAAAGACATTATTTGTAACAGTACAGTATTTATTACATTGTAGTTCGCTATTGCAAATATTAAGTACTTCTTTTATTACATAACACATTAATGATAAATAAGATACATACGGTTACATATACTCGGAGACTGATAAATACAAATGAAACCTTATTCATTCTCCAGAGGTAGACTAGGGAAATTGTCTACTTGCGATTGGTCAGTAGAACTTCATGACTGAGGTTTTAACATCAAAACAACTCAATGACACCTGTGCATTGTAGTAAGTAGACTTTCCCAATTGAGGGGAAATCATTGTACTTAATAATATTTCATGTGTTCACCAAAGGAAGGTGTTCACTATATAGAAGTGTTCATTACATAGAAGAAGCGTTCACAAAGGACTTGTGTTTACTATTTTTTGATGCAATATTAAAATTTACAACAGACTGGATGTAGAAATGATTATAAGAATTTGATATAATGTCGTAGTTGTATATATGCTTGAGATTTGCGGTATACAAAGTCAGACATGTAAGACAGAGTGTTTAAAAATGCTTAGAAATAATCAATGTCTATGTACTGTTATATTATCATTATTACATGTATACCATGTGAACATTATGTACTTATTATGTACGTTCTTCCTTCTGATATGGAAGGATGGATAATCTTCCTGGTGTTACATTTTCATTATCCTTATTCAATTTGAAATCATGATCAAATACTGGAAAACTGCAAAAATTGCTCCTGCAAACTCAATGTGTTTTACAGTATTAAAAAAGTGTATGTCGGTGTATGCAGTGTATCTTTAGACGAATATGGGAATTGCCAAAACTAATGAGAAAGTAAATTACATAGTTAAGGTAGGCCAAATGCTATTAGAGGCATACTAATGTCATGTATAAGCAGATCCCAAAATTGCTATACTCTGCCTACCTTTATATTTCCAGGAATTTTTTATAATATTGTATCCATTATGATATAATATGTACTTCTTAGCTGACACATGTTCTCAACTTGTATTTGTATATGAATCAATTCATGTAGCTGAATGTTTTATGCAATGTACTTGATCTATGCTATGTGTCAAATGCCAGGCGTAATAAATGTGACATTATGTAATCGTTCAGTATGATATCTTACTCTGGAATCATATAATTAGTACTGAAAAGCAGAGAATGTCATATTCAAACTTGTACATCTGTTGTACAGTATTCTTTGAAATATATTTTTTGTTTGTAAATGTATATACCAGTGAGATCCAATCCCCAGAAATGACATGGAAATCTATTATATTGCTAAAGCTAGACTGAGTCTACACTTAAGTCTGAAATTTCTGTATATGTGTCACTGATTATGTACACTATATATTTAGAATTGTCATCACATGTTGTAAAATGCTATTTATTTATTTTTGAATTTTACATGCAAACTGAATATAAATGTAAATGACATAAATGTATAGGAGATAATGTCCATTGGCCAAAATTTGTTAGGAGGGGGGTGGGAACGAATATTCCATTTGGGAATCATGTTTTTCCAATTTTGTTCTATGGGATCCAGAGGGGTTAAACCAGAACAAAACTAACTTTGTTATTCAACAATTATCATAATTTGGACACCACCCCTAAGAGATCTATAATGTGTGTATTGCGGCTACATATATTTAAGTTAGTCAACTAAGTCATGTAACGTAAATGAATTGAATAACATGAGAATAAGAACATCAATTGCAGTAGGTTTGTGAATATGAAATGAAAGTAAAAGTATCGCACCTAAGCACATTTCAGTTACTGGTATAAGAGAGGAGTGTATGTACCTTTTATCTTTCATAAAATGCAACTAATTAACCCATAACTATGTGCGCAATCTTTTCTGCATCTGACATTTACAGAAATGAAGGTTCGTAACAAAGGTGCAAAGTTCGTAGACTGAAAGATATTTCCAGAACTAAAATCTGTTATCTTCTAATATTGTATGTAGATGTACATGTAATGTAATGATTGTTAAGTATAAATGAAGGGACATTGTGAATTACATTTTGCTTTATTAAGCAATTGCATCAATAATGAATGATATTGCCAAGTTTAATAAACATAACTCAAAATATACTCAATTTTGTTATTGATTATGTGTATTGCTTCAATAGCTTTGTAGAATCGCAAGAACTACTGTACATATCCCTCATTCTGGTCATTTGTGGCCAATGCTTTAAAGATTTCATTTGTGGTCAATGCTTTAACGATTCCAACTAAGACTGAGTGGAACTAGTGCAACATGAGTAGAAGTTTGACTTTGAATCATGATGACGTCCCAGGGGCCAAAAATTGGGGCCAAAGGACGATTCTCGGTTTGGAGAACAGTCTCCTGGGCTAATAATTTTTTTCATGAAAAATATAGAAATATTAAAGAGGACATTTAAGTCTACAAGATGTAAAAATAACAAAATGGTCTGAAGCAGGGATAACGCTCATTTTGACCGATTCAATAAAATACAAGGTCTCGATTTGGGGAAAGAAGTTCATTAGTGTACTGCGCTAATATTTTTTTGCGAAAAATCTAGAAATATTACCCAAATTAAATTATGACTATTTAAAAGAAGACATTCAAATCTATATTTTGTAAAAAAATCAAATTTGTCCGAAGCAGGGATAATGTTCATTTAGATTGATGAACTTCGTTCTCCAAACCGAGAATCGTCCTTTTTACAATTCTAGGCCCATTTTCTTGATATTTTGGCCTAGAATTAAAAAATAAGGCACAATAATGCCCAAAAATCCTCCAGCATAAAACTGAACAGCATAAGTTTTTTATTTATGAGACCAAGGTCAAAATGACTCTGAATCTACAAGTTAAATAAATCTTTACATTGCCAGCACAAAATTACTTCAAGTCAAAAGTCTATCCATAAATGTATAATCTTTTCAATTTTTGAATATGAAATGTCAAGCAAAACGACAGGCTCACATTTATTTTACTCCTGATTTTGAAACTATACTTATCGTGTATTATTATCATGTCTAAGGTACAAAAAGAATATAGAATAACAATATTTTTGGTTAGGAGAAGCACTATCCAAAAATTTTAACACAAACAATTTTAGTACAGTTGAATAGCATACATGTTTGAGGGTTGTTCTGAAAATATTTACTCTATAACTCTAGACTTTTATTATTCAGGACTTGAGCGATTAGTGATTAAATATCTTGGAACTTGAATTAGGAGGTGCATTGCAAGAGACACATTATAGTGCATTTTAGTAGTGAAACCTGTAAAGTGAAACACCGCTAGAAATGGAACACCTCTGTTAGTGTATCATTTTTCAGAGGCCCTATACCAACTGACTTAATGTTAAATGAACCTCTATAAGTGGAACACCTTCATTTAGAGGTACCAAAGGTGTTCCACTTTGGCAGGGAGTGTGTGTGGCACAAAAATCAACTGAGAAATACAGGTAGTGTGTACACCACAAATAATTTATATATATCTACGTATGCGAATAAAAATCCATAGTATATCCCCATATTGAGCAATTAGTTCAGAACTTCTGGGACAACCCTCATACATTAACATAATCATAAAAATCTAGCAACATGGACTTTACAAAGATTTGCATGATTCTTGTAAGTATCAAAACATTCTAGGAAACACTGTCTTTACAAGTAAATGTATATAAATATTGTTAAGTACTTGACAGACTTTATGCTTAATTTCAAGCAATGTATAAGTCAATTGCAGACAAATCACGAAACTTAATAATACAAGGCATTAACATGCAAAATGTCACCACCACCTGCCATTTGTTACAGACACTGGGCCACAAAAAAGGTTGGAGACTATAACAATATGTCACCACTTCTGGTGGCAACATAAAAACCATAGGATTACATCACTGAGTAAATATAGGTAGGCATTATTAAATTCTACATAATGAAAATCAAGATAATCGCTTTACTATGTTTTGTTTCAAGATGGTCATTCCCATATGTACTAATTGCTTAACTCTTGATGATATGAACAACTTCCTGGGTTATGAAATGAGTTCATCACGAGCTGGGACTTGGCTGAGAGACAATCAGCTGATGTGTTCTGGGCAAAACCCAAGACAGTAGAACAGGTAACCAATGTTAAAAGGGCACATTTTAACTTTTATTATCTCACCCCCTCCCCCCAGAAGTGGTGACATTAACTTTTTGGGTTTGGTGGTTGGTGGTCAGCAGTTGGTGTTTGGCATCTGTTAAATTGGTAGGTGGTGACATTTTGCACGTTGATGCCTTGTTTTAACAATGTTAGAATGTTAGTCTTGGATCAAGTTTCTGGACTCCAATCTGCTTCACCTCCAGAGGTGGAGGGTCACAGGGGCTTGAAGCAAGACTAAGAGGTTCTCAAAATACTGACACAAGGCATAAACATGACAAAATTTCACCACCTTGAAATTTGTTACAGATATCAGCCACCCACCATCGAACAATGTTCACAAAAAAACACCGCCGAACAATGCTCACAAAAAGCTGAAGACTACAATATGTCACCACTTCTGATAGTGACATTATCATGGCTAAACATTACATAAAGGCCTAAATTCATTACATTTGTGGAGGTGCTAACTAAAAGTCAATACTTCAATACATGGCCAATTCCATTTCAAGGGAAGAGGCCTATTACACATGACTACATGTATATACATTTTTTTAGTACAACCAAAATATTAACTAACTGCAGTAACATGAAGTATAATATTCCAAGGTTAGGTCATCATGTTGTTAACTAAGATAATTTGATTTATTCCTTTGGTGTGTTTTCTGTTATATATCACCACATTCATGTTGAAGATCATAAAGAGGATGAATTCTAAGCTCCTTTTAACTTGTATACAGTACTTTTGTACTGTTTCCCTCTATATTCATATTATGGATTCTTTTTGAAAGGTATTTAACTATCATTAATTAAAATGAGAAAAATAATTGTTTTTGAAGGTCAAACTGTGATGGATATTTCTATGTCCCCGATCCTAGATAGAAGGACTGATACAGAAAATATCCATCCCACTCCTTAGATATAATATATCCCTGCCTGTCATCTACCTAGAATCCCACTTGTTAAAGGATGCAATATACTTTTGGTACAATATGTACTTTTTGGTACAATATACTTTTGGTACAATATGTACTTTTTGTACAATATACTTTTGGTACAATATGTACTTTTTGTACAATAAACTTTTGGTGCAATATGTACTTTTTGTACAATATACTTTTGGTACAATATGTACTTTTGGTACAATATACTTTTGGTACAATATGTACTTTTTGGTACAATATACTTTTGGTACAATATGTACTTTTTGGTACAAAATACTTTGTCTGTCTAATCATCATATGAATTATGAGCACTGCCATAAAAGGAAAAAGATGTGACATGTAAGACAACAAAGAGTTTTGATAACTTTATTACAGATTATAAAGCTGGTAAAAGTAGCCAATGAGTTTGGATTAAACATTCGACCAGTTGGACACAAACATTCTTGGTCACCCTTATATGCTGACAATGGAGATATTGGACTTGACCTGACATTGCTTGTGGGTAGTAGGTTTACCCTAGACAAGGTATGAAAAAGCAATAATAACATAAGCTTATTAATACACTGATTAAATGATGCAGCATTTCTTAGCTGCACACTAGTAAAAAAAAGTATGTAGCAGACTCAGAAATAGGTTTCGTTAGACAGTACTTACATGACAACATTAATACTTCGATGACCTTGAACCCTGCCATAGGTTTTGGTCCCATTATTGAGAGGTATTCAGGCTATTGAAAGTCTCTTGCCCCCTTGCTCCCCTATATTTTCTTTCATTATGCTTTCCCTGTATATGGAAAGCACTAATGCAGATAAAAGTTTATTAGAATAAATCAATGAACAATAAAAGTTATCTATTCCGAACAGGCCTGGGACCAGCCAAAAGTGTTCCAATTAGCCTGTGTTCACATTTTAAGGTTTTATTAACATGTAAGTCAATGGGAGATAACAATTTTGGGACAGAGATAAAGTGTTCACATTGAGAGGTGTTCAGATATAAAGGTTTCACTGTACATGTATCAATCACAGTTAGACAATTTTCTTTTTCACAATCATATAGGCCTACATTAATGTGCTTATTTTAGAAGGAAAAGGGACAAAATATTATTTGAGACATGCCACTCACACAGTCAATCAAATATGATAAAAACTTTAATTTGGGTCAATACTGAAGTGAAAAAAAAATTACTCGCATAGAAAACAGCATTTGAAGTTCAGAGATCATAAGAAGTGAATTACCACTTTTCACAAAGTGTATGTTTCTTAATAACTCTTGGACTAAAAGATGGCGTATGGTTGAAATTCCTATCAAAAATGAATGGACGATTAATGCAAACAACAATGCCATCTTTTTATGGCATTGCTAAAAACTTGACATCTATAAATTGGTAGATCAAAAATATTTTTTCATGATCTAGTGTGAACTCTGATGTGGTCTGTTTGAGCTAGTTTTGGAGTCAAATGAAAGTTCATGTACTTATTAATCCATTGGAAATACTATGAAGATCAAAAGTGAGACTTTATTTATGCACTTTGTCCCTTTTAGGAGAGAATGTTGGCAAGTTCGCTAGGCTCAGCTTTACTTTCCGAGTTCATTAATTTCACAAGAGAAAATGGAGTGACGATACCCTCAGCACCTTCAGTACCAGATGCCACCCTTCAAGGGGTCATTGGAACAGCTGCTCAAGTAAGACACATACTTTCTGTACAAAGTTTATTACACAGAATTATGGCTTGAGCTAAGTTAATGCACTAAGGGGCCATAAGTTACCATTTACAGTTTTGTTAACATGATAAAAAGTTGTTGGCCTAGTAGTTATCAAAATGGATTTGTAGGACTTAGTGCTAAACTTAAACTTAAGAGAATTTGATTAAATTGCTCATTTAAATAGCAGCATTAATCATCCTACAGCATTAATAGTCCTAGCTTTGAAATCTAAAGTTTCATACGTGAATTGATATTTCAAACAAATTAAGTTTGTTGGTATTTTAAGGGTGGTTTCATCAAAGATGGGCCAACAGCAATCTATGTAAATGCTATTGACTTAGTAGATGGCCAGGGCAATGTGAGACATTTCAATGAAGATGATGATAAAGATGTTATCGCAGCATGCAAAGTCCATCTAGGAATGTCTGGGATTATATATAACACCACTGTTAAGGTATGTGTGGGATCATATATAACGGGGAATATGTGTGGGATTATATATAACGCCACTGTAAATATGTCTGGGATTATATATAACACCACTGTTAAGGTATGTGTGGGATCATATATAACGCCACTGTTAATATGTGTGGGATTATATATAACACCACTGTTAAGGTATGTGTGGGATCATATATAACACCACTGTTAAGGTAAAATGAAAGCTTCATGCAAAAGCTTACATTTAATAGAATAATAGAAAAAACACATGATTACCTACCAGTAATAACAAGATTTTCAAATCAATATTACCTCATTTTTACCCAATACAAGCATGAAGCCTGAAAAAATGTGGTGTGTCATCGACAGATAACTACAGTAAAAGAAAGAAATCATGTGACTTCATATACTAGTAGTAGGTTTCAGTTCATGTACATATATGTTGATTCTGACAATTGTATTTGGACACTCAACTCTCTTACAAAAAGGTAGATTTACTCAATTATCTCCGATACTTCAATTATATTGCGGGCTTCAACAGTCAAAGCTACAGACCCTCAATATATATATTTGTTGATAATATGTCTTGTTTGATTCTGACAATTGTATCTGTCTTCATCTGTCTTTCTTTCCACAAAGGTAGTTCCAGACACAACATTCAAGTTTACCAAGTTTAATGTGCGAGTGCAAGATCTGATGTTTAATCCTGAAAATATTAAAGATCTTGTGATGAACAACGATGGCTTATACCTGTTATATAATGCTTTCAATGGAGCTACAGATGAGGAGGTTAATGCAAGAGATGGAGATGAACTTCATAGACCACCAGATTCATGGACTCCCTTGAATGATCTTTTGCAAGTATGGTAGGTCAATAACAAAAGACAACATATACATGATTTAAAAAAAAAAAAATAACAAAAGACTGTTTCTGAGAGTTGTTTTTAAGAAAAAATCTCTTCAAATCTAGGGTTGAATTAGAACCAGAAAACTAGAATGTGTGCTTATTTCATATAACGTGTTGATTCTAAAAATTACATGTTACTAGTATATTCAAAAGTTAACAATTATGCATCTAGTACTTCTTATGGTTTATTCCATATTCAATATATAAAGTAGACACTAGGGCATCACACCATAATTTAAACTATTTTTTATTTATATTTATTAAGGATCTACAACCAGGAAAATGGAACAACTATTCATGATATCGGTGAGGAATTTCCTGAAACATGGACACTTAACGACAACACTGAATATGAAGCCACATCAGACTATAGGACTCTTTCAGAAACAATATTCTTTCCAGCAGCTTTTCTTGATAGTGTACATTTAAGGAGGAACACAGGCTGGATTGGAACTGAATCTGAGGACTTTTCTGACAGCCAAAGGACAATTAAGGTATGAGCATATTTTTGTCTGAACATGAGACATTCTTATACCAGCAATATACCTGTTTGAGTGGGTCACCAACTTAGGTCACAGCAGCCTCCATAAAATGGTAAATATCTATATATTGATCCTTTGAAATGTCAAACCTCAGGTCACCTAATCATGAGTCATTGTCAGCAAATGAGCCAAAAACCTCTATTTGTACTCTGACATTTCAGATGACCTTTTACCAGTAGGAAGAGAATGATTACTGCGCTTTTCATTAAGTTTTGCTATCAAAAAAGCTAATTCATATTCTACTCATGCTGAAAACCATGATTCGCCTATCCAATCAAATATACTTACATATCTCTTTATATCCAGAATTTCTTCCAAGTTATAGAAGAGAGTTTAAAGAAATATGGGATGACATATGAGTCTTATTATGGTTTGTTCAAATGGATCACCCATCAAGATGACTGTGTCTTGTGTCATACAAAGGTGAGTTTTTATATATGGTACATTCTTATATATGGTACATTCTTCATCTGTATTATTATCCATAGAATTGGTACATTTTTTACCACATGGTCCAATATGTCCTTTTACTGGATTTTTGCAATTTGTGCAAAATCTCATGACTGTACCACCTTCATCCTGAGATTGTTCATCAGAATCACTCATTGTTTATGGTTGTAACTATAATATGTCCTAAATCTTTAAAATACTAGATCAGTTCTTAGCTCAATTCACTTATATGTGTTCACCTTTCAAAAACTTTGTTCAACTGGCAATGATTCAACAGAAATTGATCAGAATTTAAAAACATAGATGGCATTACAGTCATTCCTCCCATTAAAAACCATTTACACATATAAATAATCATTAACACATTAACTATGAATATAAGCCCATTACTCGTGGGTGATTCAATGCACTCATGTCTTGAATCCATCTTTCCATTCAATCTAATGCCCTCAAAGTCTTAATAAAAGACATATGTTCATCCACAATAACCCAGATGCTGGTAGGTAAAAATTTATTATATGTCCAATACAAGAAAAGAAAATATATTTCACTCTTTGTGATTTTATAACATGGGTCTATGGGGAATCTCCCCAACTTAGAAGTCACATTTTCAATGTCGATGAACCCTTTTTAAAACCACATTTCTAGATCCAATTTTAGATGATCTTTTTTTAACCTCAAGTGAGGGAGAACTTAGAACATACTGGTAAGTAGATAAGTAGTTAACCTCTTGACTACCCAGAGTGACGAGATTTCTCGTCACCTCAGAAATGACCCTGAAACCCAGAGTGACGAGATAATCCGTCACAAATTGTTCACTAAAATTGCTCTTATTTGAACAAGTTTTATCCAATTTACACAAAAATTGTCTAGAAATGATCTCCGCCGTCTAATTTTACTAACTTGAACATCATCTGTTGTGTATGTGTGTAGTTAAATGTTAAAAGCTGTCAAAACTCCCAAATTTTTGATTGTATATCTAAATATTTGTACATATAACTTAGTAGTAGATTCAAATATAGGTTGAGCCATTTTCATTTTAGGTAGCTGGAAGTTTTAAAACGGTCATAGACTATGAATGGGTGCTTTCAAGTAAGATTTGTCCATTCAATTCAACAGATGAACTAATTCAAGATAAACTACAGTTTACTGAAGTAAGTACCATTACAAAGAGTCCTTTCATAGTTATTTTTCCCGTTAGGTGTCAAGTGTCATTTATACACTTCTGTCCAAACTTTTCTAATTATTGACTGGATACAAAAAGGTTTTAAGTGCAGCACAGCACCCTCGCTTGTTTCAATTTTGGAGATAACACATAAAATTTATGCATAATGCACATTATTTTCTAAGCTGCTACTGGTTTACTGTCAGATAATGCTGTGCCACAATGGGCTAAGATATATGACTCCATTCCTGGCATATACAACCACATTCGAAATGTCTATGGATCCAGCTTTCGAGAGTTTATCACCATCCGAAACAAGAAGTCTCTTGATCCAAGCAACATCTTTATGAACTCAATGCTGAAAACACTGTTTCAGGATTTCCTTGAGGAAGAGGGAGCAGCAAAATCGGAGCTCTGAGACCGAATACTGATCCTTTTCCCAGATCTTGATGTGACATAAACATTGAAGTGACATGTCATTAAAGTGACATGTCATTAAAGAGACATGTCACCTTTTCCCAGGTCTTGGTGAGACATAAACTTTTACTGGTGTACATAAGTCCACAGTTTCCAATTTGTTTGTTGATGATATTTCAGTGTCACTGCTGTTGTAGTTAGATGTAAAGGCTTTTGCTAGAGACAGTTCTATGTAACATGGATCTGGAGAGGAAAGTACAGTGCTAGTTAATTAGTTAATATACAATGATAATGCATGTATAGCAGTCTGGATTTTCTTTTCTAAAAAACATGGAGGGGCAGATCGTTATCTCCTAAGTCTAACTTTTTACGCTTGACATAATAATCTTTTTACAGATGGAGTCAGATATTATTTTCCTCACAGGAAGTACATATCTATTATATTAGATGCATTCATGCAGGAAAATTTTAGTGTACCCTAAAACACGTTGGCCAATTCAAATTTCAAAGCTTTAAATAACCATGACACAAATATGTACTTTAAAATGAAATAAAATGGCTTTAGGATTTATAATAAAATTATTGTTCGATTTTACCTCTCATTTTCCAAACAGCTTAATTATGACACACATGTGCTTGGACTCACCTGACCAAAGAGTATGGGATAGAATAACTTCTGTGGACACCCTGTATTTATTCCCACCCATAGCCTTGCAGTCCGCTTGCTTTATAGAAACATACTGCTCTTCTTGGTCGGGGTATTTAATCTGAAACATTGTCAGAAATTACAAATTATTTTTGTTTAATTTTGATAAGCGCTTCTTTTCTTTCAAGACTCACCCACTGAAGGGCTGACCAAGGACACTTTTGATTGAATGACTTAGTTAAAGAAAGTAGAGAGTGTATGATGTTGGAAGCAATCTCCTCAATCCGGTCTCTATTCCCTTCTGCTTTGAGAAGTGACAAATTTTCAATTTTAGTACATAAATTGTAATTTTAACAGAGGGGGATTTTTTTGAATATTGTTTACTTAATTTTTAGAATTCTTAAAAAATGTCCATTTAAAACCAGTGCCAGGTTAAAACAAGCTACAGAATTTTATTTCCTGAAAAAAATTACACTTATGAACACTGGACATATCAAGAGGGTAATTTATCCTCTTATTTACCTTTAATCTGAGATTATGGGAGTCATCAATATTTTCAATGATCGCAATGAACTGCACTCCAACAGTTAGTCCCGCAGTAAATCTAATTGGATTGTCTGATTCGCTGACAGGTTCATGAATCACCACATGTGCTTTTTGGACATTATTTGATAATGTATGAATGTCAATTTTATGTAAACCTAGAGTTGATTGTAGAACACGCAGAAATATGGCAGGTTGCCGAGACTCTAGTTCTCCTAACTCAGACACCAGTCTCGCAGTAAATGGATCAAACGGCATATTATGTGTTGAGAGAAAACTGAAACATATCAAGCAATTATGTTCATTTTATCATGAGATTAAATAATAGCCTAAATGATTTTATTATTAACTAAAATGTGATTTTACTCACAATAGAAAGTATACAAATAAGGAATGGCAACTTTTGTGGAAACGCAAGCTTTTTGAAAACATTCAATTTTGGACCAATGCTCAAGATTGAAGACTTTATATAGACACATTGTAGAATGGACACCATTTAAATTGTCATGGAAGATTTACAATAAGTGTATATACTGAGGATCAGACAGAGACAAAGACAGACAAAACAATGATTGCAATAGACTCCAAATGACATAGTATACCTTTCAAGTTCAGTAACTCTCTGATACACATCATCACACATCTGTAAACAAGCCGCATCCCGACTGTTGCCATGTATGGTTGCTAGCAACTGGAGGCAATATGCTTTCAAACCTAACTGACGTATCACCGCTAGATCAGAGATGGTCAAACCAACAAACAATGACTCCAGCTTCTGTGTCAGCTTCTTTACCTGCATGAATATGATGAATAAATATACTTTATTAAACTGCAATAAAAGTGAAGCCATGACCAATGTCATTATCTATTATTTATTGATAATCTCCCTCATTGTACAGGGTAACACAAATGACCAATGTCATTATCTATTATTTATTGATAATCTCCCTCATTGTACAGGGTAACACAAATGACCAATGTCTTTATCTATTATTTATTGATAATCTCCCTCATTGTACAGGGTAACACAAATGACCAATGTCATTATCTATTATTTATTGATAATCTCCCTCATTGTACAGGGTAACACTGAAAATGCTACTCTCTGATGTGATGAAATCTTTTTTAATTCTTCTCCGTAGACAGCGCTCAATGCATCAAACTGTGGTATGCATTAGAACATCAATGACTGTGATTTGGAGAGATAACATTTTACATATTGGATTGCTATAAAAGGAAAATTCTTGGTAAATTATGATAAAATGACATGATTCTTTGGAAGATATTAACAAAGACAGATTTCTGAACTTGCATTATGGATTTAGTGTGACAGTATACCAAGATGGAAATAGCAATACAATGCATTTCATTATAACTAAAAAGTTATTCCAAAATTAAAGGGTTATATTTTTGTGTCATTCTGTATAACAGATTCAATACAATGTCAGTATTCAAATCTCAAACTAAAAACTCTCCATTTTTGTTTCACTTGTAGGCTCTTCTATTGCCAAAGACAAATAAAATTAAAAATTGTGATTACAACACACTCTTATGACATTGGCCCATACGAGAGCCCACTCACTTACCTTACTCATGGATGTAGATGTTACATTGCATACTTTATGACCACGCCCACTGGTTTTAAGATCTGCTACTGCCTGAAAAATGAAGCACAGATAAAGGTTTAATTTTTGTATTTCTTGTTTTATATTTGGCTGGTTTTATCACATTAGTTCTAATATTTCAAGGACACACAAAGCTCATAACAGCATAATCTCGGGTTTAATAAGGGTTATTTCTCTAAGTAATTACCTTAGAAACAAGTAGATGGCACTGTATGTAGATGGACATGCTTTCTGTTGTTGCAGAGAGTTTGGGCTCCAACTCAGAAAGACGTGATAGATCCCTGCAATAAATATTACCATATTAAGTATGATCATAAAATGTCTGCAAAAGGGAGAGCATCTATTTACTAGCTTCAACTCACAATTTGTAATATCATAAAATGTATTTATGAAGTGTATGTATCTGGCAATGTACCACAGTTCTAGGTATTGAAGATATTAATATTCTGAGGACCGTTAAAAGAAACTTCGTAAAGTTAAGAATTTTTAGAGTCCATTGTTCTCTTACTATGACGTCATTATATCCATGGTTACAACAATTGATTTACGAATTGTAACTTTACGAAGTTTCTGTTACCCACATATTAGTGGCCTACCAACCTATTCCTGGCCTAACCCACACAATTCTGGCCTTACCCCCATAATAGTGGCCTACCAACCTAATCCTGGCCTAACCCACACAATTCTGGCCTTACTCACATAATAGTGGCCTACCCACCTAATCATGGCCTAACCCACACAATTCTGGCCTTACCCCCATAATAGTGGCCTACCAACCTATTCCTGGCCTAACCCACACAATTCTGGCCTTACCCCCATAATAGTGGCCTAACAACCTAATCATGGCCTTACCCACATAATAGTGGCCTACCAACCTAATCCTGGCCTTACCCACACAATTCTGGCCTTACCCACATAATAGTGGCCTGTCCACCTAATCATGGCCTTACCCACACAATTCTGGCCTTACCCACATAATAGTGGCCTACCCACCTAATCATGGCCTTACCCACATAATAGTGGCCTACCAACCTATTCCTGGCCTAACCCACACAATTCTGGCCGTACCCAGGTAATAATAGCCTACCAACCTACCCACACAATTCTGGCCTTACCCACCTTATAGTAACCTCCATCAACTGCTGTGCAGAGTTTCTATTCATAGTTTCCACTTTGCTGAGTCTTTCCAGGGCATTGTTCAGGAACCTGCTCAGTTCTTGGGATGCATCTTTCTTCACCTTGTGCATGCTGCATACTCCAGGCAGCTGCAACATATGATCATGAGATCAGGGCAAATATAGGATCCAAAAATGGTGGGGCATATTCAAACATGCAAGCCAGAACATGTGCAGAAGACAAAGTGGTTATTGAGAGAACAAAAATGTTAAAATCTTCCCTGAATAAGCTATGAAATTAACGGATTATATTAGGAATGACAATGAGTGATAATGAAAAATAAGACCATAAATCATTTTTTGGAAAAGTTCTTCTCTTGATCTGATGCTACCTTTAATGAGGCACTTAGTTCTGAAAAAGCCAAAACCAATTCTCATGCAAATTCTGCAAATGTTCAGTAACATGACCGTCACGTGACATCATAATCAGGAAGAAGAGACGCTTACATTGAGACCAGGAACATGCTCTGGAATACTATCCCTGAGGTATTGGTAGTGTCTGAATGTATGGTCTGGGAACAATGGGACCATTGTGGGATTGTCAACAGTAGCATTGAACACTAGAATCAGAACTGCAATATCTAACACACAGTTAAGGTTTTCAAAACAATAGTTTTTTATTCATGGGGAAACCAGAACAACGGCAACGCCAAAGCGTAGCGAATCCCATCAAACAGAAATGGCTGGCATTTTTACAAACGAATAGCAAATATCATAAAACAACACACCAGAAAGGCCACCATTTTCAAAATGGTTGCTCACTAGCCAAGTTGTCATCAGAAGAAATAATATGCTTTTCAGTAGCCACCTCTAAAATTTTTGAAAAATCGCACACGTACTTGTAAAATAACACACATAAAAATGGTGGCTATTTTTCAAAATGGCCGACTACTCCCCAAAGTTTTATTAGACAATGTGCCATGCTTAAAGTATTCACATATCAAATATGAACAAAATTGCTCCACTACTTTTCGAGTTATAGTAAAATACGTTAAAATGGCGGCCATTTTTCAAAAAAAATTTCAAAATGGCCGCCTTCTACCAAAAGTGTCATAGGACAGTGTGCCATGCTTATAGTATTCACATACCAAATATGAACAAAATCGCTCCACTACTTTTCGAGTTATAGTAAAATACGTTAAAATGGCGGCCATTTTTCAAAATGGCCGCCTTCTACCAAAAGTGTCTTAAGACAGTGTACAATGCTTATAGTATTCACATACCAAATATGAACAAAATCGCTCCACTATTTTTTGAGTTATAGCAAAAATCGTAAAATGACAAGTAAAGGCCGCGATTTTTCAAGATGGCTGCCATGTGCTTCTTTAATATCTACATTTGTAGCATTATTAATGTCCTTTAATATTTTTTACATTTAAAACATACTGATATAACAGTTTTACATATTGCACCAAAATTACTGTAAAATCGGCACTAAAATGGCCGCCATTTTGAAATGAGCGGCCATTTTGAAAATCGGCTTTCGAGCAGAACTTCTATCCCCATAAGGTATATGTGTACAAAATATGAACAAAATCGGGCCAACGGTATTTGAGTTATTGCCCAGACGGACGGACGTACGGACGGACGTACGTACGTACGTACGTACGTACGTACGGACGGACGGACTGAGGCGTTCCCTATATCCCTCCGAACTTCGTTCGATGGGATAATAAGGAAAATGACTCGTCATGGTACAGATTTCCAGTTATCAGAAAAAAATGTGGCAAAGATTGAAAATTTCAATTTTGTTATTTCTAACACACAACAAACAAAGTATAATATAATGATGAATGGTGTAACTGTAATATACATAGAATGGGAGTATGAGGACTTTGTGAGATGCCCATTTGATGTAAAAAAAATATTTTCACATTTTCTTACATGAAAAATACTTACATCTTCATCTGTAGAAATCTCAACCAGAAATGTAAGTCAAAATATTTGTCTATACTCGAGAATAAAGGATACATGCTGGGTCATCCATATCTGGTTCTGGTGTATCAAAATATGGATGTGTACTCAGTAACTCTGTGGTCAGTGCTAGAGTGAGGTGAGGGTGGTTCTTTCCTATGTACTGACAACTCCTGAAACATCAAAAAGTGCAGTCTGAGCATTTAATAAATGAGTAGTAGATTTGCTGGAGTGAAGATTTTCCATGTAAAAAATTAAAGGATTTTCAAGAGGCCATCCATCAGTGGATGAGAGTATACAAAATGTAAAATATACAAATTTTAGGGGATTTGTATCTAGACAATATAGGAAACAATGAGCTTCCAAACCAGGGAAGTGTTGATGGAAAATCAACTACTCATTTATTTATTGCTCAAACTATATACAAAATATGGTTATGTACAAAGTAGCTCTGTGGGCATTTCCCATATAAAGTAAATTACCAAAATAGAGAGCATATAGACTTGCAGAGAATGTTTTAGTATGTCACTCACTTCCATATTGAGAGCCTATCTTGAGGGTATCGTTTGAGGTTATCGAGTAAAGCCATGATGCATTCATTCAGACATGTCTTGGTACCCATGTGGATGCATTCAAACATCTCATGCAGCGCTTCACGCATATCATACGAGAAATCCTGGAAAAACATAATATTGGAATCATGTTTTGAATTTTATATAAGATATTTAACCTAATTTGGAGAAATTGATCTCAGAACCTCTTAAAATCAATTAAGTGAATGAGGATCCATTATAAATTAAAATAGTGTCTGAAGTTGTCTCTTTTGTATTTTTACTGTAGTGAAGATTTCCAAACCTTTAAGCATCCAGTTATAATCTCTAATTGATCCTCCCTCAGAGTTAGATGAATTGCGATCCTCTTCAAGCTACGGATAGCATTCAGTCGCACATCTTCAATTTCATCATTAAACATATCCACGAGGGAATCCTGAGAAAGGGCTGCAAAGCTGGGTGATCGGGTGGCAAGTTGACAGAGAGATTCAATGGCTGCTGTTCTCACCTCTATAGGTCAAGAAAACCAATGATAAAATTATTTGTACTAATTGTTGACATTTGGCTATCAGTATTACAAATGTATGTTATATGCTCCTCTCATTGTAAAATTAATTTTTCAGTTTAAAGATTTAAAATAATTTTTTTTTGTAGTGGTGCATTTTTGTAAACCAAACCTAGAATTTAATTTTGCTTTGCATTTGGTGAGTTTCTTAAAATCATAACAAACATACATTGTATGTTTATTTAGTTATCATATTTTCTTGCGAGGGGGCTATTATTTGTTTTGGCTCACTCTGTGATTTTGGATACATACCCAGATATTCATCCTCCAGTCCATGTACAAATGCACCACAAGCTCCTGTGTCTATCACACTGACATCATTCTCCTGAATGAGGTCCTTAGGGGCATCTGATGCCCACTTACTGCCTGTAGCCCATTCCCCAGCTGCAAAATGCTCCTTGGCACGGTCATGCGCACTTGTCTTTCTCTGTCAAATAATTTTATAAGAACATGAAATTGTATTTAGTAAAGTTTGAAAAAATATTAAAATTAATTTTAAAATAAAGATTATAAATGTTTTGTCCAATTTTTAAGAAAAGCTTTGGCACTTATTTACAAGTAAGTGAATAAGTAAACAAGGCATTAACATGCAAAATGTCACCACCTGCCATTTGTTACAGACATCGAAGGCCAACTGCCAAACACTGAATGGAAAACACCTACCACCAAACACAGTCAACAAAAAAGTTGGAAACCATAACAACACTTGTGGTGATGACATGAAAACCACTTACACAGATATTCAACATGACAGAATTTACAGCGCATCATGATGGCAACATGACCTATGTAATACGAGGGGTAATCAAAAAGTATAAATAAAAATTCATTGTATCATATTGATGAATCAACTTACTCTCATGTTTGACATAAGTTTCTTGTCCAAGGTTTGTTCCAAGAACTTAACACTGACATCATGCATTGTACCCAGCAGGCTTGAGGCTTTTACCCTTATGACCATGGATATGTCATTTACCATGTTGCATATCTTGCCAAATGCATCATCAATTAAGCGTACTTCTTCAGTGTTCTTCACCTTTACTAAGCTGGAAAGATAACAAATGCTAAAAGTAACATAGGGCAATAATGTGACAAAAACAGTCCCAATTTCTTCGTACACCAGTTCAAGGAAAATTCGACACCTTATTTCATGAGGCCATAACTTAACCCAAATCTAATCAATTTTGGTTCTGTTTGAATCTTTATGATGTCCAACACAGGGGCTGCGTTCTATAAAGCCATTTCATAATGTGTTTCATAACAACCATTCTGCATCTACAGTTTCCTTAAATGTTTTAATGTATGGCATGCTATACGTTTAGCTGATAGCTCCTAAGATTCAATACTTGTCAAGGTCAAATAACAAGATTCCCTGGAAATAATGCTACTTTGAAGTTAACATGGATATATGTTTATGACAGCTAGACAACAGCAATGCCAAAGCGTAGCAAATCCCATCAAACAGCCATGACTGGCATTTTTACAAACGAAGTATATAGCAAAAATCATAAAATAACACACAAAAGATGGCCACCATTTTCAAAATGGCTGCTCACTAACCAAATTGTCATCAGAATGTGTAATATGGTTCAGTGTAGGCACATATAAAATTTCAACATAACCGCACACATGTCCATGTAAATATCTTCCTGTGTGAAGTCCAATGTTGTAAAGGCAATCTGAATGGGTTCTCACTAGGCTTTCTCTCTCAGAAGTCTTAAGACTTCGGAGATTCTGCAGGTGATAAAGGATGGGTATCTTAAACCAGTCATCAAAAAATTCTGAAAATTTTACACATCGTCAATTTAATGGTTGTCTTTTGAATGGTAACAATATAATTTGAAATAAATATATATACTTTTCTCTATATTGTTTTAGAAAACACATCTGAAACTTCTTATGTTCTTGGTATCATATGTTTGGAATGAAACGAAACATCTATTCGAACCAAATTGGAACAAAATGACAAACACAACGTGTTTTGTTCTCTCAATATTGCAATGGTACAGTACAAAGGAAAGTTCAGTTGATTTAAAAAAATCTTCTTAATGAAATAAAAGGTTTATCTTAATTCTTATCCATTTGGGGGGTTTTTGTTTTAATTTTTTGGATACTTTTTGTTGAATCAACCAAAATGTCCTTTGTATAACTATAATATTGAGAAGTCTAAGAAAATGTTGTATATGCTTTTTTATTCCAAGCTTCGGAAAGATATTTTATTTCATTCTCAAGATTTGGTAAAAAGGAACAAAAAACAATTGCACTAAAAAAACAAAAAGTGTTAAGAAAAACAGTTATATTAAATAAATTTAAATAATTTTCGCATTAAATTGTTGTCAATCAGTCAAAATTACAAAAAAACATGTTTTTTACAAAATGTTTTCAATAATTGGTTAAGAGAAAAACATTGTTAAATTCAGTTCACCATATCGATACCAATCCTTTCCTGATGAGAACCCTGTGTACTAACCCCAGTGACACAATCAAAATAGCATTCATAAATTTCATTTATATCTGCCATTTATTTCAAAAGGCCATGACAGCTACTATAGGAATATCAGCATCAAACAAGTTTATTTATTTCTCTGGCTTTGACATTCAGGTTAAAATATGGTAGAATGGATGAATTCATTTCAAAGAGACATAGAAATTCATTCGACAGATAGTTAATGGAATTCTGTTGCACATCAATAATCCCACTCACAACTTATGTTAACATTATCAAATATTAAAGAACACAGAATCAAACATGACTGAAAATGCAAACATGTCTTCTGATATACAGGTAAGCATTTTACATCAAAATCTTTTTTTCATGCCAACAAAAACAAACCTGATTCACATTCAGCATTATATTGACACACTAACAGTATTGGATGAAATGATGGAACATCAGTTTTTGTTCTAAATCTATATAACTGCTACCATATAATAATCAGAGTTCATCATCAAAATATGGTCAACTCTAAATATAGTCATTTGCTCTGATGTCATCATCAAACCCAGTATAGTTAATGAGCATGCATTTAGTATGAGTCCCCTCCACGCTCGCTGATCGGTAGAGGAAAGGTCATCACGGTAGGTCGGAAATGATTTATGACAAAGCCTGTCACAGGGGCGGGCCTGCTAAACTGTAATATAGTCTATACTAGGCAAAGGGTAGTTTGTAACTAGACTTTACGCGGATTAATAAAGGGTTTCTATTTCAGATAGGACAGTTGCCCTTGACCTGGATAAGAAAAATTCTTACCCTTTTTGAAAGGTTTGACAGAGATAAAGATGGAGTTAATAAGCGTGAAGATCTTTTGCTATATGCGGACAAAGTGATAAGAGAAGGTAAACTCATTACTCAACTCAAGTTAGTTAATTGATTATTCACACATAACAGGGCAAAGCGTGTCCAATTTAAGGCTACATTTTTGTACATGCTTTTTGACCGCGAGCTAGATTTAATTCAAAAAATTAGCTACATGTATATAATTTTGTGGTTAGATTGCGGAATACCGCTGTGTCAAGCTTGTCCCGCGCACTTGTGATAGCTTGTCACTGGTGCACCACAGGAGTTCCATTAAGTGAGGATTTAACAGCAATTAATCATGGTAATAGGCCCAATTTTACACTGTGTTTTTCAACTTCCCCGCATTTAAAAATTTGACATCTGCTGTGTACTCCCGCGTCACGTTAAACTTGCTGAAAGTGAAAATATAGATAATTTAGCATGATTTCGACATAAATAGACCTTTGCTTGGGAGTAAAAATGGCCTGTTTTTCGATACACTTGAGTGACCATAATGTTATACAATTTGCACTGCAGTGCTCAGAGATCTGTTTTTTTGATTTTCGCGGTTCTACAATTCATTGAGTCCTTGGCTTAAATCCTTTAATCAATGCAGTATTTTTTTTTTGAAACTTCATTCTATTGTTTTTGTGTACAAATTATATGCTTTAATCATGATCAGAGGCTCAATAATAGTATGCATGGCAAGCCTTTTTTGAAAAAATTTATACCATGAGTTTTTACTAGCATTTCCCAAAAATTACTCGTAATTGAAAGTAAATAATATGTAAGTAAGTTTTAACAGGGACTACCCAAGTCCCACTTTGTTTGGGCCTTCCGCTTCCAATTGACCCTTTGACCAACCAGCTTGATATGTTGTTCCTACTACAGCTTTAACAAGGCATTAACATGACAAAATGTCACCACCTAGTTGCTCACAATATTATTAGTCCAAGCTTAAGTCAGATTTGAATTTCTGAGAACTCTGTAGATGGTTTTGAAAAAATGGTCAATTTGAAACAAGACTTTTGACCCTGAGAAGGTCATTGAAGGTGAAGTCTCAAATCTAAAGTCAGATTTGAACTTCTGATTTTGAAAAAAATTTGTCAATTTGAAGCAAGTTGAAAAAATACCTTTTTGACCTTGAGAAGGTCATTGAAGATCAAGTCTTTTTTTACCTTGAAAATATCATTGAAGGTCAAATCTATATTCAGATCACCAACTTTTGAGAATTTGTAGATGATTTAAAAAAAATTGGTCAATTTAAAGCAACTTGAAAAAAGACCTTTTTTAATCTTTTTTGACATTGAAAAGGTCATCTAAGGTCAAATCTTAATTCTAGAGTCAGATTTGAACTTCTGAAAACTGGTAGATGATTTTGAATGAAAGGTCAATTTGAAGCAAGTTGAAAGAAGACCTTTTTATCCTTTTTTACCTTGAAAGGTCATCGAAGGTGAAATCTTAATTCTAGAGTCAGATTTGAACATATGAAAACTTTTAGTTGATATTGACAAAAATTGGAATCGGTCTAAACAGTATTTGTCAAGTAATTGGAAGTTGTAAGAAATTGTTACAGACTCTGATCGCCAACAGCAAACCGCCGACCACCAACCGCCGTCACAAAAAATGGAGACCAAAGCAATAAGTCACCACTTTTTGGAAGTGACATAAAAATGAGAACCATGCCAGTCATTCATTATTTTGATTATCAGGTACCTTGACAGATGAGGCAAGTTGTGGCATCTACAAGTTCTTTCAAAATTACTTTGATGTTGAGGCTGCACAAGATATTCACAATAAAACTTCAGTGGCAGAGAAACTTATATCAGTTTGGAAATACAAAGATGTATCAGAAATAGTTGAATGGTGGTTGAAAATGTTCTTAACGATTTTCGAGGTAAATATGACATCAATTGGGAAATGGTGGGCTCACATTGTATTCATGATTTGCAGAACTTTTTTTATATTTTTACATATTTTTTTAGCATGTTTCTAAAACTTAGCCCTAATATCACAGAAACGAAGGTTTGTAACAAAGTCTATTAATGGTGGAAAATAAGGTTAATTTAATTATTTTCAATTGTGTTGTATTTAAAAATAGGCACATGGCCCTAAAAACCTTTATCCTCCTGATTTAAAATGGCTGAAAATTTTGGTTCTGCACCTATCTGAAGCACGCCTGGTGATCGGAAAAATGGTATGGCAAGAGGGAGCAGGCAATTTCTGCGAGATAATTCAATAAATCTGGAATATTTATTTTTTCAAGTGAGAGTTTACTGTTGAATTTTTGAATTATGCTGGTCTTCAACAGATGCAGAATTTAGACTGAATAATCTACCAGGAAGGTTCACAATGGCATTTAATGTAGCAATTTTTAACAAAAACTCAAACAGCTGGCCGGGCGCCCACTGATGAATCAGAGCAAATGTGACTCAGGTACACAATATACTAGTAGAAATATTGCTACCGAAATATTACTCCCCCTCGCCATCCCATTATTTTTCTACAACATATGGAAACTTATTTTATAATATCAGCAATTATTTTACTTTTATGACGATAATGTTATCACCCTTGGTATACGCAGCTAACGAAAATTGACCAGTACGGGTCAAAAGCTGGACCGGTACGGGTTAACGGTTTTATTTGAATTTAAAACAGCCATAACTTGCTCAATATTGAAATATAATTTGAAATATATGATGCCTCCCGATGCTTTTAAGTACCCCAATTTTTTACAGATTTTTAAACGGACCAAAACTCTCTAAATGCGCATTTATGCTCTTTTCTCTCGAGAACGACTGTCTCATTTTCACGATAACTTTTATTTAGTACTTCTAACATATAAGATCTATTTTTCCCCATCAAGGTATGATGTAAATGACATGCTATTTACATCTTGTGAGTTTCAATGACGCACGTTTGATTTTATAAAAAATGCCAAACTTTGTGACAAAGAATTTCATCCTGCTTGCAGCGAGAAGACGGACCGGTTCGGGGCAATAGCATGAACATAATTTAGGAATCTTTATACATGTGTGTTATTGCCCCGAGACCTCACTTTATTTTTCGTAAAACACAACATAATACATTAAAGCAGATATGAAATGGTATTTTTGACCTAAAGGAATCAAAATAATTTTTTTGATAAATGTATTTGGACATGTTTTCTCATCAGTATTGCGAAAATTATTTCACTCTAACGATCGTTATAGCTGCTTAATAAGCAATATTCGAATTGGTTGTGACGTTATTGGCCCCCACGTGATCTCTCACTGGTCCCCACATGACCTGTTCTGGTCCACTGAATATGACGTCATTTGTTTTAGTAACGTCTTAGCAACTCTATTGCCGCCACTTTATGTTTACAAAATGCAGCCATGCATACTTCGATGTAGTCTCAGTAAACATACAGCCTTATTATCCTACGACCATGTTGCCTATTGAACAATGTGCCCCTATTACAGTTGCGTTGGGTACGATTGCTGTATCATATTGCATTTGAACGGCGATACGGCAATTTAAATTTACTGACATATTTTGTCCTAGATATCGTTTCTTTCTACTCCACGGCACAAGGACCGATTATAGAATATTTTCCCCAAAATTGTGAAATTGCAATGGACCTCCCTTGTTCATCATTTCAGCAATATTAAATGTAGAAATAGTATCATTTTTTTATTCATATTGGAAGAACATGTATAGAGTAAACATTTCCTCGCGGTCATTTAAATTCAACCGTATGCAATTACTTTTGTAGGCTTGTAAATTTTCGCTTATTTCGGGCAAAAACTTGGGGGGTTTAGGTACTCTCCAGAGGCAAAAATTACATAAACTAGACACGCTTTTAGTTTTATTTCATTGTTTTTACATATAAAACATTTGTTCTCTATTTGTTCACACAACAATCCTGTGGTTGCTATGACGTCGCAATTTCCATGATTTCTAAGAAATCAAACTAGAAATAATTATGGCGTCATTGATCACGTGGGGGCCAATCTGTTTAATCTGTTATTTTATTATACCGTTATTAAGAATATTAGTTACATGTGTTTATCTTTTACTTTTAAATGATTTACGGGAGAAATCCATGTCGGGCTTACAATGCAGAAAACCGAATTTTTCTAGCTACAAGTTAAGAAAACCTATTTCATTTGTCCTTTAAAGGTACTCCATTATTTGTATACATGTAATTACAATATCTGATTATTCTGATATTATTACATATTAATTATAGGCTTGCAACTTGGATTCTACTGGTCTCATGCCATTTGACAGCTTCATGGTTTTTTGGAATTCAATTGACGCAGATAAAAGATTTGCACGGATGCAGTTTGACTTCTTGGATACTGACGGGGATGGATTCATAAGCAAAGAAGAATTTTCCAATGGATTTGTTCACTATATGAGTAACACAGATGAAAATACTCTCAACCGCTTTGTTGGACCACTCATAAACTACTAACATACGAGGGTTGTCCCAGAAGTATATGTATTTGTTCTCTAGTTATGCTGAATTTAACACTGAACAACAAGGACACAGACGTGTATAACATGTCCCCACCAATGGGTGATCCTATATAGATTTTTCATCCTGAATGCGCACAATTAATCAGTTGAAGAGACAAGATTTTAGGACAAAAGATACAAAATGGCCACCTTAAAATTTACCCAGAATGCCTGAAAACAAATCAGTCTCAGATTTTCATATAAAGAATCCTCTCTAAAGATTTAAAATCAATCTGTCAAATGGTTCTACTACAAGTATAAACGCATAGACAAAACTTTACAGACAAGATTTTGGGATGAAAATGGCCACCTTACCTATAATGTAAGTTACATGTATATATATTAACTACAAAATATGAACAAAATTGCTCTACTAGTCTATACTACTTTTCAAGTTACAACAAAAATTGTAAAATATTTTTCAAGATGACTGCCATGTATTTCTTAAATATATACATTTCTAGCTTTATTAATGTTCTATATAACTTTTTGTACATTTAAAACATATTGCTAAAACAGTCTTATATAAAGTACCTAAGTTACTGTAAAATCGTCGCTAAGATGGCTGCCATTTTTTAACAAGCAACCATTTTGAAAATCGGCTATCGAGCAGAACTTCTACCCCATAGGGCACATGTGTACAAAAGATGAACAAAATCGGGTCAACTGTATTTGAGTTCATAACCGGACAAACGTACGTACGTACAGATGGACAGACGGATGGAGGCGTTCCCTATATCCCTCAAAATTTTGTTCGATGGGATAATAACAATGCAATGCAAAGCATAAATATAGATGTGTAAATAAAGTAATAGAAAATAATAAATACCTATCAGGGTAGAGCTGACTAAGAGTCCAGATGAGGCTGACAGTGACCAGTCTCACTCCTTCATAATCATCCCTGAGTGCATCACACACGGCATTGTATATCCCTGCGTCCAACTTGATGCCCCTATTGTGCCAGTGAAGCTGCAATGCGACCATTAAAATACTTATTTAGTCATCACAAAATTAAAAATTAATTACCCTGCGTGCAGAGTCTAGTTAAACTACACTCTGCCTAGTAGAGACCATATTACAGTTTAGAAGCCTCGCCCCCACGACGGGTAATGGTGACAGTTTGGGTAATAAATCACTTTTGACCTACGCACTGACCTTTCTTCCACCAATCAGTGAGCTTGAAGAAACATACGCCAAATGCGTTCTAATTAAATATGCGCATGTCATTGGTCAATTCTGGGCTCAACTATGACGTCAGAAGGAATGACCATATATAGAACGTCGGTCAAATTTGGCTGACGAACACTGATTGGCGCAGTGAGTTTTATTTTAGTTTGAAAGAGTGAAGACGAAGCTCTCTTTTAAGAAGTGAAGTCAAACGAATGCAAAGGGTAAAAATTAATCCTAATGGAAGCAACAAAGCCTGCAAATTATCAATTCTGCAATATTTTCTGTTGTAGAGGTGAGCCAAAAAAGGGAACCAAACAATTATCCTGCATGGGTGTAGTGTCATATTTGGCACAATTATGCCTTGTCCAATGCATTATCATTCTTCCAAGTGTCCAAGGTCTATCTCTAGTGATCACAATTTTATGGCCATTTTACAAAACATGCTATAAAATATGCACCTCATATCTGGAGGCCAACTTGAATGTATTGGGCGTATTTATTCACAACATGAGTATAAACATCTTGTGTTATGGCTCTCATCTTCCTTCTTATCTCTTGTTTCAAAGTTTCAAGGGTAGTTAGTGTAGAAGATACGCCCCAAAGATAATAATCTGGAGGGATTTATGTACAGTCAGTGAGGTACATTTCATCATTTTGAGCATGTTTTGTAAATTGCCATAATATCGTGACTATGAGGGATAGACCAATATGTACATGTACATAGTATACATGAACATACCTTAAATTAACATATATATATATAAATGCTTATAATATCAAAATATTATCTCAGTTTGTTTCTTTATAATCAGACAAGTTGTTACCAAGGGGGTCATTAACAGAAACTTCGTAAAGTTACGAATTTGTAAATCAACTGTTGTAACCATGGATATAATGACGTCACAGTTAGAGAACAATGGACTTTACGAAATCTTAACTTTACGAAGTTTCTGTTAATGGCCCCCAGATTACATAGTGTATATAATTCTTTAAATGTTGATCAGTATCTAAACTGTATGTATAAAGTAAATTACATATTAAGGCCCCCTGAAAAGATTTATCCAGTGTGGCAAATATTTTTTGAAAAACCTATGTCAGATATATGATAGAGAAAGCAGATATTTTACCATGGCCTGAAAAGCACATGTTCTAACTCTCGGGTCCTGGTCATGTGTAAACTCCCCCAGAACTCTTTGTGTGCTCTTCCCTGATTGGCTCTCCTCAGCAAGACGCTGGTCAGGTGACCCAAGCCAGCCAATCAAATCAAGACATTTGCATCTCACAAGGTGACTGGTATCGTTCAGATTCTAAAAGAAAATAATTTCAAATGATGAAAGATGTCCATCTTTTATTCCCAAGTAAAATGCATATATGACCTGTACTTATATGGATTAATGGCCATAAAAATTGTTGATAAAAAAATTAAAACAAGGGATTAAAATACAAAATGTCAACACCTGCCATTTGTTACAGATACAGAACTCCAAATACCACCCATAGAGCACCGTCCACAAAAAAGTTGGAGACAATAACAATAAGTTACCACGTGTGTAACCAAACCCGTCTGGCCCAGTTATCTACTCCTGACGTATGTATTATATATCATTTTAAAGCTTGTCCAAAGTTACATTGATTTGCCAAGTAACATGGTTCAACTCACAAACGGGAAAAAGTTACACACATTTCAAAATGTAGTGTTTTACCAAAATTAAAGTTTAGTTTTACACAAAATTAATAGTCGCCGCATCTCCCTTGGCCATGTTAACAGCAGCAATTCTTTACAGATATGACCTTGAATACACTGCAAATAGGGGTATGGCAATTAATAATCCTCATAAAACCTTTTTAAGCCATTTTAGAAGAGTTTCCTTGGAGTATCTGCCCTTACTGACCTATTTTTACAACTTAATATCCATCCTCTCTTTTTTTAATGATAGCACCCATTTTTTGTTCACATTCAGGTTAGCGGTGTTTGCAGGATGGCCAAACACCTTGAAATGCCTGTACCTTTTTCCCATTTGTAAGTTGAACGATGATACTTGGCAAATCAATGTAACTTTGGATGAGCTTTGAAATGAAATATGACACATACTATGGGAACATTGGTGTATGTCTGCCTAGGGGGGGGGCATACTTTCGGGACCCTGTATAATACATGTATGTTACCTGTTTAGCAGATTGTACCAGAACCTGGTGTAGCTTAGTATCTTGTGGTAGAGCTTTTCCAATAGATAACAAACACATGATATACTGAGACTTCACTACATGAGACTCTGAAATAAAATGAATTTTTTTAAATACGAAATTTCCCAACTGCTAACATATTTCTTGAATTTGCACCAAGCAAAACAATGGTTGCTCTTCATTAAGAAAATTTGTGATATAAAGTTTTTAATGGGTCTTAGTCAGAATTGCAATTGGTATTTTTACTACGCTACCTTCATTTTTGAGAAGAGGTATAATATCATCCGGTACAGCTGCAGGGTTGAAGCCCTCCGTTGCGACAAGTTGAGCCACGAGGGAAGCGATCTTTGCCCTAACTGCGGCATGTTTACTCTTGCAGCAATGGTCCAGTAAGGCACGTAATATACCATCTATATATTCACAAGATACTGGGAGCTGGTTTTGGGAGAAATTTTGAAGTTGTTCTAAAGTTTCCTGGCTTGAAGATGCATTGTTCAAAATGATTTCTGGCTCAATAGATTTTTGCTTCTGTGTTATGCGTAGTCTTTTTAGAGGCGGTTTAGGAGGTTCCTGCAATAATATTATAATAACAATTACATAGACGTTACACAGATATAACATGGATGACGGAGAGTCTGATCTGCTAAGATACAGACCAGTGAGAGTCTAGTAGTAGTTATAAATGAATGTATTACAGAAAACCATCAAGAATTATGGAAAGGAAGTCAATTCATTTTTGCGCTTGCTTACCTTTGTGCATGGTTACATTTCATTATTTCGTTATTACTAGAGCCGTTGAAAGGGCACGCCCCCCCCCCCCTTGGGTGGACTAGAAAAAAATTGGCAGCAAAAAAGGACTTAAGGCCCCGAAAAGTGGGCCTTTTTGATCATTACTGGGCCTTTTGAGGCCTTATTTTTTAATTTCAGGCCAAATTTCTAAATTTGGGCCCACTAAATTTTTAGGTTGTTTTCTCTGACCTGAAATTTACCCCCCGCCCGTTGTTGGTTCCCAGATCCACCCCTGACCCCCACTACGTTTGTGGTCCACAATCTAAAGTGGTAGGATTCGATAAATCAACATAACTTCTTCATAACATGGGCGATAATTGAGTAATGCAATTTATGGACTTTTGTTTTTGAGTTTCGTTCATTTATTCGTTTACAACATACCTAGATTATATGTCAAATTAACCTCTGTGTTGTTTTGAAAGTGATAAATATCCAAAGATATCTTTATATACAATACATACCTGAATAACTTGACTAAACTCTGCGAGAGCTCGCTTTTTCAGGACAGCGGCCATGCTGAGCTAGCGCTAAATAAAACAAGTTTCGTATTTAATTTAAAGCCCAATAAAAGTCACGCCCCTTTCTACGGATTTATTTGTTTAACCTGATTATGAAGTATATTTAGTTGAGCTAAATAAAATTAATTTATAGAATAATCCAAATCGGACTATTTGCGAAGTAAGTAGATACATGGGCTTTCTATTGAATGCCCATGGTAGATACGATTCCACTGCACTGCCTGCAACCACTAATCATGGGCTTTCAACTAGAAGGGTAGGCAACTTCCCATATTTCATACATAAACATTGCCATGCATTGTGGGATCCACAGCCTTTACTATCCTTTTGGAATAGTTCAGTTCTCTCAAAAACGTTAGGTAAAGAGGGACTCTGATAAATCAGAATGATTGCCATGGGTTTTCAAAATTGGAGAATGTACACATTCCAAGAAAATCTTATTTTGTACTTTTTATTGATGATTAAAAGAAATAACTCAAAAATAAAAACATGATCTTCTACATACATCTTGATAATTTAATAAAAATTGGAATTCATCATAATTATGACAATACAGAGAGTGAACATTCTCCCACAAATTATGTTTTTATTGGAATGTGTTCTTGAATAATTACCCACAATGCAATACTCAAAGAGAACATCTTGATAACTCTTATTCTTATTGGTCTCTTTTGTTTACTTTTATATGATATTGAATATATTTTATGCTTAAATCATATTAAAAATTGATTTTTATTCAAAATAATACTTAAACATATACATGTATCAAATACTTTTTGAAATATTGCCATAAAAGGGAAGCATGTCATTGCTCATTTTGAAGGTCTCATGTTATTACATAGAGTTGCATACCCTTCTAGTTGAAAGCCCATGCACTAATTTAGGAATTTCAAGTTTTTAGCCATCTTTTTATCTAGACTATATCCTCTCGTCTGAAATTATTTTGAAATTTGGAATGAAAATATTTAGACTCATATGGCCCACATATGTTAAAATTTGAGATTGAAAATTATTTGTTTACAGACCCAGAGGAAGTGCCATTCAAAATGGCCGATTGGGTAAATTAATTTGCATATTTGTTACTTCCCCTTGCTTTATTTTCATTTGACAATATGCTGTGTTACTTTTTTATAGCATTTAATTGTTACTTACTACTTAATATGAATTGTTATAATGCTCATTTTTGAAGTGAAGTTTCCTAAAATTGATAAATGTGTGCAGGTGAATTTCCTATTTTTCCCTCAGGAGGGACATAATATGATCAATATTTTGATTCTCAGGAAATTCAGTCTAATCTTTTTATCTGAGAAAGATAGCTAAGTGTAATACGTTTATTTAAAATATTTAAGTCATGTTATGAATCCACATAAAAACTACAATCCCTAGTTTGCATTCGTTTGCGGCTCCATTTGCTGGGAAATACACTCTACGCTCAGGGATGTGGAATACTCCGGGGTAATTACTAAAAGTCTGAGCCGGCATCTCATTACGTTGATTCGGTTCAGTAAATCCATGGTTCGATCCGTACTGGGGTGGAGTTTTTTCGGCCCTTAGCAAAGGTTTTCAAGTACTGATTTTCCTGATTAATAACATTTTTAAAGACCTTTAACATTTTAACGGGTGGTGCAACATATCAAATTCAGTATTTGTACTTGCATTTGTTATAGCATACAGTATTTTTTTAAAGAAATAAAAAACGAAGGCAGGCAAACCACTTTGTAAAGTAAAACCTATAAATCTGAACACCTCTGCCATCCTAACACCTCGCAATATGAACACTTTCTTTGAGTCCTCGTTTTGTAATATCCCAATGACCCTCCGACATTGACCCCGGCCTTGTTAAGAGGAACCAAGAAATGTGAAAACTTGCCGTCCGAACATTTTAGCCGGTCCCACTGGCGTTCGGATAAGACAGGTTTTGCTTTAAATGTTTCTTGGAAAACGTTTGATTGAAAAACTCGTTTATTTTCAATATTCTTTAAACATTCCCTACCTATAAACATTTTTAATTGTACCGGGATCTAGTTCCTGGTAGACTAAACATACATAATAGTTTTTCATCGTATCGAGTGTGGGTTATTGACATTATATTTGTACATGCGGGTGTGGTTCTCTATTTTATCAATGATAAGAGAATGAACTGTGTACCTACGCCTATGGCCTATGTTTAGCAATAATCAATACTCATAAGACCAACCACATCAAGAATAGATTGAGTTTCCTACACGATATATAATAACAGCCCCCTTTAAGCGGCTGTTTGTATTCAATTTAGGCTTTTTGTGATTTATACTAACTTCTTGAATGCCATTTTTATTGGACTTGAAAAATAAAAGGATTTTTTAACTGAAGAAACATAATTTACATTGAAGTTAATTCATGGTTGTTTAGATAGTGAGTAACCACCAAAAGGAAATATGTCAGCTACGATGGTTACAGCTGATCAATACAACGTGTAGATTAGGCCTAACTCCATTTCGGATTAACATACTGGATTAACTTGACCCGACGGATTTACAGATTAACGGAATTGGGATTACTAGATTTTTTCAACATTTCTATGTCAATAATGTTTGAAACATACACAATAAGGGTGAGATAATGTCTTAAGACACTGTAATAGATTCCATTGTTATCAAACAACGACGTTACGTGTAGGGTGGAATGAAAAGTGGACCGTGAATACAAATGGATGCAATAACTTAACCTTGTGTACGATGCTGCAAGACAAGGGATTATGTTCCTAAGGGGATACGGCAGATTCACCGTGCTGCTTCTTATCATCGTGTACGGGGTATTGGGAGCAACAGGTTGGTACAAACACCCCTAGTGCTAGTCCTGAGTATGTGTCCCGGGGGTGAGGGAGTAGGGGAATGGGGGAGACGATAGTTCAATTAATATAGGGAATCCCGGTGTAGGTCATTAGATCCCGATCTTAACTCAATATTGAAGGCTGGCAATGTAAAAAGTATTTCCGTCTATAAACGTTACCAATAAACTTGCACAACCAAGTTGATGTTATCTGTATTCTATAAAGGTACCATAAGTGGATGAAGTCATATTTGACTTTCAGCTAATGTAATCCAAGATCTACAAACTTGAGGGTATTTTGGTGTGCAGTTTGTCTTGGTTTCATCAAATTGGCTGGCTAAGGATATATACGATAGCATCATAAGCTTAGTATTAACATACTGTGAAGATTGAACATTGTTTACATAGTAATATTATAAAACATAAAATAAATCATATGTCGTTTACGTTATTGATAAGTTGCTTAGAAATACAATTACAATTTTGGAAAGAGATTCTCGTTCAAGAAATTAATCGACCAGATGATGCACCGGGTAAATTTATTCATAAATTACTAGTAATAAATTTCTCATGTAAAAGAGAATGTTATCTAACACAGTCTATATAATATTTTCCAATTGAACGGGGTCGATATCATAAAGTGAAAAAATGAAAAAGATATTTTTATTTCTGTAATTGAAGTAATATTAAGCCTTTAATGTGATTAAAGATTAGTAAATTAAAGATTAAAGATTAAACTTAATTGTTTTCAAGAGATCAATGAACTGTATTTAACAATACTTAAAGTATTAGATATGATATCAATTCTTAAAAAATCTGCTTCACTTTGAAGGAGAGAACGCTCGTACATTTTATCAAATGAGAACAATTAAATTTTTTATGTTGATTTAATAGAAAAGAATAACAAACGCCACCTAAAATATTTGTAAAACGTACATGTATAGGCCTGCGACTGCGCATTAATGGCACGCATTTTCTCAGTGAACACCCTCTCCTATCTATTTCACGGTCTAATGCCTGTTTTGGAGAAATAGGATGGGGGTCACATGGGCTCGAGGCAGGACTTGATGTTGATTTGTGGACTTTTATGCCACCACCAAAATAGTGGTGACATCAGCTGGGTGACATATTGTCCAACTTGTGGACGGTGACAGCGTCTGTAACGAATGGCAGGTGGTGACATTTTGCATGTTAATGCCTTGTCTATGATGTAACTTGTTAGAGTACACTACAGCTAAAGTAGTCCTGTACCTGGATAAGTAGCCTACTTATATTAGCCGGTGGATGTCTCGTTTTTTGAAGAATTTGACGAATATGGAATGCAATCATATTATTTACAGGTTTTGCATTATTACCGCCTATATTCACTTCTTTGAGAACTGGGTTTTAATTTGAAATGGATTGGTGAGGAACACTTGGTTGGTGGATAAGCGACGTTTTTTTAGTCATTTCAAGACAGATATAGATCAGGACACGATTGTCTACAAAAATGACCATTTTCTCAAAAGCCTTTTGGGTCCATTTCAGAGAGGGAACGCACCATGAGAGAAGACCCCGAGATCCGCCAGCCCCGACGTTGACACATCCCTCTTGGTTTGCTCTATTGATCGGAATATCACTGAATGATTGACATGTCTTCAGTTGCCTTTGTCATTAGCCATCTCATTTTCTAGGTGGTCAATCACAGCGCGTGTACCTTTCCCGCGCTTTTATTTCGCTACAGCGGTCTTTAGTTCAAAAATTGTTGTATGTTCCTGAGTAGAAACTATTTTTAGAAAGTTTTATTTTTAAAAAAGTCATCCGAATTATCATTATTATCTTGAGGTCAGGACCAGAGACCGAAGGTAAATCATTTATTTTCTATAGTCTCCACACGAGGCCTCTATCACCACGTATCAATTTAGTTTCTTGAAAAATTCCCCGAATGTACAGTGATGATAGTGGTAAATTTTTGAAAATAAAGTGTCCAATTTGAATTTTTTGTCATCAAAATGTGATCATGATAGACATCTAGTCTAGTTATGGCGAAAAGCTATTAAATCTGAACATATGGAACAACCTAAGTTTAGTTGTGAAGACGCAGGTGCTCAATCTATTAGGATTATATTACTGACATTTTGACAATACTAGGTTGATTTTTTACAAAAATTACACTGAAAACATATTTCATATTTGATCTCATAATGCCCTTTCAAATAACAGTAAAACCTGCCTGATGAAACACCTTTGGACCAACTGTCTAAATGTTATCCCGTTCCCGGACTATAGTCCTGCACTGATCGCATTCATTTGCCTGTACGATTACAACTTGGGAGAATTATCTACGCCCCTTACACTTAAGATACCTACCTCAATGCATTATAGAACTCAAGATGTAACTTCTAATATATTGGAACCGCCGATTGTCTGGGTATATCGGCAGAACGGGAACATTTTCTCTTTTTCATTGAGAGAGATTCCATCACTTTTCAAAATGGTGGTTGGATTTAAAAGGGGAATCCCCCGTTTGGCTGTCCCGGATGTAGCCCGGAAGTACCAATATGGAGGAATTTGACGGTTGAAATAAGTTAAATGTTACACGCAAATATTGCGATCAAAAACGAAAATGTCTTCGTTCTGCCGATAAACCCAGACAATTGTGGATTCAACTACAAGAAAAGAATGCTAAATTACCAAGGAATCTATTGAAGTAGGTATCTGAAGTGTAAGATCAGTAAAAAATTCTCCCATGTTGTAATCGCACAGGCAAAAGATTGAGATGTTCACAGGACCATAGTCCGGGAACGGGATAATCTAAATGGTTTTCAAAAGCACAAAATATTTTTCCATTCATGTTAACTGACACTCTCGATATGGAACACACTGCAACTGACCAGTTGAGATAATCAAGGGTATCATACAATTGTAGAAACATAGAAATGTATTTTTGTCATGAGCCAAATCTCTTAATTTTTTTAATGAACATGTTTTTAACCATTTCATGTCTCTTACCATTCAGAGCAAATTACATTAGCTACTGGGCAATGATATACAGTGTTTATGGGCACAAGATTGAAGTTTTAGTAGATAGAAGTATCAAACAATTTTTATCTGCATTTGTTTCACCCTTATCTCAATGATACCACAAAATGAATATGTTTTGTATTTTATGTACATTTTTGTAAGAGCACCCAGTATTGGTGTGCCACCGTTTTAAAGGTGTAAGAAATAAATAGATAATGATTCAAACTTACAGATTTCATGCACTATCTGAAAATCTCAGAAAATGTAAAAAAACTTATAGAGATTAATTTAACTCATGTTCTTATTGTTTTAGTAATCGCATAACAATAAATATATGTGTGAAAAAAGATTTTTTGTACTTTTTGGGGCATTTGTGAGTGGTTTCTACAAGGAATTTGACCAAAGAAAATATTAAACAATTAACGTCCGAGGTAAGGCTGATTATTCATACTTTCAGAAAATATGTTGATTCTGAAAAAAAATCAGTGGAAATTGATAAAAATTCCTTATTCTGCAATTGTGTGCCTGAAGGCCAGTACTGGACTGTCTGCTATACAAAAATGGAATTCTAGGGGGAGTGATTATATATAATATTAAAAGAGCCTTTTAATGCTCACAGATGGCATTACCTTGAAAAAATAAACTATAAGCATACAAATGAACATATATGGGCAAATGATTATGGTAATTTAAAAGTTTGGAAATTAATTACCGGTATAGATCAAGACATGGAAGGTTAAATATGAAATAATTATTACATACATTATGACAAACTCGAATCTAGCACTCCAGACAAGTGCATGGCAATCAGAGACAATATTAATTGATTCAAAGTACAAAGTGTGTGAAGTATGCACAATTAGATGAACTTAACCCAGATTTCAAAGCATTTATATAAAACCCATTTAGATCTTAGGAAAAGGGGATAATCTCTTCAGATAAACTGGACTTAACATTTTTTTGTCTTTATCTAGCTTTAGACATTTTTTTTTCTATTAATTAGGCCAAGAGTTTTTTCATAAAAAATCGCCAATTCTAAAAGAACTTGATTATAATATTTCAAGTATGCAAATTTCAAGTATTTTGTACTCCAAAGTCGTAAAGTTGATTCTTTGGGGACTAAACCAGCAGGTAGATTTGATTCACCACACATGTTGTAATACTAAACATCATTGAAGGTATGCATTTCTTGAATGTTTCTTATTCATCACAAAACAACTTTTAGGCTTCAAAATTATATGAGTTCAGTTTTTCTTTCAACTCACACCTGTGAGTATAAATATGAACAACTATATGCAATACAAAACTGATATTATAAATTCAGTGGCGTAGCCAGGATTTGTTGACCGGGGGTTCTATTTTTATGTTATTCACAAATCCCCCCCCCCTCCTTCATTAGGGTTCCTCAAATAATGCAATTTGTACAATTACACCCCCTCCAAAAGTTTGACAATCCTAACCAACCCATTGGAAAGCATCTTTAAGTTTGAATTCTTTATTGTAAAGAAAACACTATTTTGAGAGGGGAAATATAATTCATTTTCATACCTTCATTAAGTTAAGTAGACAATTGAATCTGAATTTTATTTAATAAAAAATGATGCCTTTATTTACGTCAAGCAAAGTCTGAGAGAAAAGGCTTTATCAAGAAACCTCTCCCATTGAAATAACACAGGACGTAAAAATGATTTTCAAAAATGACCTTGTAGCTTTGTAACTTTAATGTTCACAAGTAAAATAAACAGGCAACGTGCAAAAAAGTCAGAAAACTTATAATTGATTGTCTGCATCAAAATATATTTCGGTGAATCTTTTACTGAATACATATCCTGAAATCTGATTTGCCCCGAATCCACCATTATTTCGTCGGATTTCTAGAATACCCCGAAGCATGATTTGTTTCCAAGGAATATCATATCATATCATTATTTTTCAGGAATTTTGTTGGAAGCCAGTTCGGATCAAATGCAAGGTTATTGAAATTGGTGCAAACACCCTATACTCCGAAAGATCGTTCTTCTACGATAACTTTTCACAACGTTTACACGAAGGCTTTTTAAACTATCCGGGATAGTATTACTGATGAAAATATCTATTATTCAAATAAGTGGGTCTCAGTTATGCTTTGTTTTAAAAAGTTAAAAATATTTCTTTGGACGTCCCCGGAGCTCAGTGGTATGTCTCCCGGAGCAGATCAACTGCAATTGATAATAAAAATGTTTTGGTGGATATAAATCATGTATAAATACAAGCGACTGTTCGAATATAAAACGTATTTTGTTAAGTTCAGACGGCTTGATAACAAATTAGGCCTTCATTATTTGAAGATTAATACCATATGATTTTCCAATGTTTTTTTATTATGTAATTTATTCGCTAAACATATCATGACATTAACATGAAAATGGAGAGCAAGTAAACTGGAACGATAACAATTTGAATTCTATACAATCTCTTAGATGAGTAGAGTGTATCTGAAAAAAACAAAATCATTTTTTGCAATGATTGATTTTTCTTTGGAAAAGTGATAGGTAAATAAATAGATACGAAAAAATGAAAGAATGAATAAATTTGAACAAATGCTTGTGTTTATAAATGATATACGCTTTTAAATAATTCATTTCACAACGTTTTTAATTGTATATTTAACGAAATTAGTTTCGGGGACTTGCCAGCCTCAGGGACGTCCCAAGAAATATTTTGAATTTTAATTGAAATAATACAAAACAGAGATATAAGGGGACATGGGGCAAAACGGCCCTGTAGGGCAAAATGGCCCATCGGAATATCTTTTGAACTATAAAAAGATGGTTCGTCAAAAGTCACATAATCGAATTTAGAAATTTCCGCCACCTTCTCGACCGCCCATTTTAACCTAGCAGCGTTTCGCTATACGTAAGCAGCGTAAGAGGTAATTCTACTTTTCACTCTCTTTTTTTGCAAGTTACCCCTCCTTCTAAAATCTCTAAAAAATCCGGCAATACAATATCGTTTTGATTTAACATTTTACATAGGGTATGCATATTTATTCTTTATTTGTAAACATTTCGAGCTTCAAATATTAGGCAAATTAAAATGACGTCTATTTGAAAATTCACATGTCTTTGGGGCAAAACGGCCCTCAAAGGTTATAACATACAAAAATCGTAATACAAGAACAATTGATTTTCAAATAAAACAATTTGAACATTTGGTTTGAACCTTACTTCCTTCCGGCACATATCGAATGACTAGAATTATGGTAGGGGTTAAGAATACTGTGTCTGTCAAAGGTTTGAACGTCTGAGAAAAGATGTGTGTGTTGACGAGTCTTGTAATTGATTAATTTTGGTTTTAAAACCCATGTAACAGAGGGTGGGCCGTTTTGCCCCACCCATGGGCCGTTTTACCCCACTCTCGACATTATTTTTGGCAATTGAAAAATCACAGAAGATAGTCTTAGGCAAATATAAAACACTCGAAAAATATTTTTTAGGGCCGTTTTGCCCCATGTTCCCTTACACATTTGAAAGAACATGTGTTTCATCAATATTACGACTATTCCAGATATATTTTTTATTCGTCAATGTTGTAAAAATCATTCGGAGTATGGGACGTCTGCAATGTTTCCATTGCCCAAGATGGGTTATTTTGTACGAGAAAAAGCATCTTTTAAGTTAATTGTGCGAAATGATTGATATTTTTAAATGTAAAATCTCATGCTCTTGGGTCTTCCCAAAATAGAATCTCACCCCGTGCCTAAGGTTGTTAAACGTTTTGAGGGAAGTGTAACTTCACTATGACATGTTTTTAACAAAATAAGGCTCTCGTGTTCACCATAACAAATATCAATTCATTGACTGCTCATATAATACATGTAGTTTTCAAATAGCACAGTAATTTAATGTTTGTGGTTACATGTATTTTTCCGCAAAATGATATATTCGGAAATCCTGACCGGGGGTTCGTTCGAACCCACCGAACCCCCGCTGGCTACGGCTATGAAATTACAGTAATTATGAAGATTTATTTTAAAGGTTAAATACACGAGTACCCTGTACTTAGTACCTGACATTGACGCCTTTCAAGTGCACACTGAATTGTTAAACAAACACAGACCTTCATTTTTTACCATTTCATGTATTCCAGAGTACACTACTTATATACAGAACATCCATTTATCACATACTACATACTTGTCACTTACTATTTTTTTTATTTGAAACTTTTCATGAACAATAATGTTAAGGTGTTTTTATTTGAAGAACCTTTGATGAGTAGTGTTACAATAGTTATCATGTTGTAGTGTTTTAATGTCCAGCCACTTCTCGACCTTAAGGACATTCTCCCGTATGATATAACTCTTCAAGATTCATCAAGAGGCATTGTCGATTAGTTAGCGGGAACAATTTTGTAGTCCTTGACATTTTTACAATGAGAGGTGTGACTCATGTTTAATGTTTATTTATCTATATATCAACTGCTAGATTTCGACACTTACGTCAGTTGTTTTATTGATTTGATGATGAAAAGTTAGATGGCAAAAAAATAATTTAGTGTTAATTTGGGGGTTGAAGAAAATTAAAGATACTGATTGGTTCAAAAGATGTTATCTGTATTTTAGCTATACTGGATTAATTCCATATTGTGTATACATGTATTCATTCAGAAAATGAAAATCCAGGGTTGGAAATACTATATTTAACTAATGCACGCCCTTCAATGGTAAAATGTAGCTCCAGCCTTCAGATACAACAAATGTTCTGGAGTGAATTTATCATTGGCATATTTTTGCAAGTACATGTACATATATACATGTATATATTCCCAATTTTAGGATATTTACGCTTTTTGTCAAAGGACAAAATATAATGATTTATAAAGTTTCTTATAAAATTTTGAATTAGAAACCAAAAAAGCCCTGTCCTCTTATTCTTTAAAAACAAGAAAATGATAAATAAATAGAATTTAAAAATAAAAAGTGAATTGCATTTCAATATTTTTTGATGTTTCTTATGTGTGAATCAATTGAAGATAACAAATCTAGGACCAAGAAAAATAGTTGACTTTGAGAAATGTTCCAATTAAAGATGTTTTTGGATATATACAGGTTTTACTGTAATACTAAATATTAATTTTGCTGGGATGTATTGAGATAGTTCTTGTATATTTAAATGCCTATAGTCTGAAAACATCCCTTTATTTTTAACTTCATTTTACATCACCACCAGAAGTCGAAGTGGTGACATTTTGGATTACATACATTTTGTAGACAGTGTTTGGTGGTTAGCGTTCGGTGTCTGTAACAAATTACAGTGGTAGGTGGTATGTAAGTGACATTTTGTCATGTTAATGCCTTGTTTCACTTTATAATTGATATATTCCAGGTTTAGAATGCTACCACTGTAAGGCAGGCCCTGAGAAGAACTGTAATCTCACCAAGACATGTAAAGTATCAGAAACTGTAAGTTTATTATCACAATATTCAGTATTCATTTAAGTAAAGGAGATAACAGTTATCGATTTCAAGCTAATTTGAGGTCAATATTGAAGTGGAAATTTGATATTCCTTTAAAGGTAAATGTGCTTTTGACTCACATGTCAGTAGTTTGTGACTATATCTTTAACACTTACAATTTGAAAATTTAAAATCTGTTAGATATCTGAACAATACTAATAGATAATTGAATGAATGATGCATCACTAGCAAACAAAAGATCAGTGGGATTGGCACATATGAAGTATCTCTGTAAAAAGTGTCTATTACATATACTTCTTGATCACCCCTCTTATTACAGGCCTGTCAACTGTCCCGCAATTTGCGTATACAGGGTGATCAATAAATAAGGTAAAAGTATCTGGCATTTTGTAAATATTGGTCCAAACATCCTGAAATTTGGTCAGAATATACCTTGTACATTTCTAAATTAAAACATATAAATATGTAACTTCTGCCATCTGATTGGTTAATATTATAGTTACTATGACAACTGGAGTCGAGGGTACCCGGGGCAATTTCATTACGTCCAATTTGAACAAAAATGATAAAAAGCACATCTTTTTCAAACTGAAAAGAAATAAACGTGGGTGCCAGCATTAATTGTTTTAATACTTTGTTTACATTGTTACATATTTTCTTGCAAATTTGATGTTTGATGTCACGGAAAAGATTAATATATAATGAATACTGATGTGATCATAGAAAGTCTATGACACATGTCAATGATGAAAAACAATACCCACAGAAAAGATTTGATGAGAGAAAAGAGGAAGAAGCTAAGACTAAGAGGCCTGCAAAACGTTTCACATTGCACTAGGATAATGCTCTGTCTCACAATGCTATTCTCACGGTACAAACCATTGAAGCACTGGGTTTCCTACTGTTTGGTCATGTACTATACTCTCCTGACTTGTCCCCTTATGATTTTACCGTCATGGTGAGCTGAAGAGGGAGTTGAGAGAGTTTCTCATGGGATGACTTGAAGCCAGCTGTCTTGAAAATTTGCAGGCTATGGGAAAATGGGTTTAAAAGGTGTTCAAAGACTGGAGTAAAATACATGAACTATATGTTAAAAACAAAGGACATTAAGTAGCAGTTATGAAGTATGAAATAAGAATATGATATGCCATTTTAATTGTGATTTGAAATATATTATCAAAAGTGTTTCGACTGAAAATTTAGTATTTTGATAGTTGCCCCGGGTCTTCATGCTTTCTGTTGCTATGGCAACTATAACTTCAACCAATAACATCACTTTGATCTGTAACTTAATATATCAATTCAATAATGTTTGAACATTATTCTGTGCAAATTTTATGAGGATTGGGTAAAATCTGAAGAAATGCCAGATACTTTTACCTTATTTATTGATCACCCTGTATGTCACACATTTGTTGAAGAAATTGAAGTCACCCCAGTTTTTTTACATGACAGAATATGTCACACAAGTACGCAATTTTTAGGATTATTGTCAATCCGAAGAACATAAAAAAATAAAACCCAAAACATAAAAAAATGAATGCCGAAAATAACGAACACAGTTTGTATTTGAGCTGTCCAAAATTTAGATGTATGCAATAAAATTTGAACCATGGTGTTCAAAATTTGGACCAAGGTGTTCAGATTTGGACCAAGGTGTTCACAATTTGAAGGAATGTGTTCAACATTTGTAAGTCACTCATTTTAGGTGTTACCAAGTTGACAGGCCTGCTTATTATATGTTAAGCTATGGGTAAAATCTTATGAATATTTACAGGTACCTTTTGCAATGTGACATAAATATTTATATGTACATCAGCATTGTTTCATAATTTTTAGCAATGTGTAACAATCTTTGAGCGAACTGAAGCAAGTGCTAAAGATGACGACGCAACATACCAAGTAAAAAGTAAGGATTGCGCTAAGAAGCAGTCATGCAGGACAGGTTGCGGGAGGTCCACATGCACAGAGTGCTGCAATGGCTCCCTGTGTAATAAGAACAAAGAGACAACCCCAGTATGCAGTATACACTTAGCAAATCAATGTGTCACCCAAGTAAAAAGTCGAATAGAGCAGGGACAATTCAATGTTTGCAAGTTAGTATTGTTGATAATAAAATCATGGAAAATACATACATAAATATATACCATGTATATGGTAAAGATCAAAACTGTATAAATGTAGCAAAATATATATTTACATCCAGTACCAATAGCTATATCTCTGGTGCACCAATGCATCATCATCATTAATGGTAATACTAATACGTAGTTATGTAGTTTTTTACATGTAAATGTCTTCTTTTTTCCTTCCTTTATAATTGTTATAATTTTTGTTTGTACATGTACTTGACCCCAAGGGGTGTGAATGTACTTGAAGAATAAAAGTATGTATATCTCTGAGTGGAATTTTGAAGTGTGCAGAACTGTTTGAATCCAAGTTTTCCAAAAATAGGTCCAACATTTATTTCATGCATGGCGATTATACTGAGTATTGTGAGAAGTAACTTTGGATTCACATTGAACCTGTGTTTTCTGAGAAATTATTTTTTTAGTGATAAATGAGACCAGAATTAGTTATTATTTGTCATCTCTTGAGATTCTGTATATTAACATTTCTTTTTATTTTCAGTGGGCTTAACTTTGCAACTGGATGTGTTCGTCGAGTTACACGTGACTGTCCTAATATCGGTGAGTCAATTATTGAGAAAGACCTTGCAGAATTAATCCTAAATGCAACTGAATTAGGATGTTACACAACAGCATCTCCCATTGAAACCACATCGAGCTCTTCAAATGGAGAGGTAAGAATGACCACTGAAGCAGACGTTACAACTCGAGATAGCAGTTCCACATCTAGGCCAATATCTACCTCATTCAGAAGTTCCACAATTGTGTCAACGATTGCAGCAGCTGAGAATACAGTCTCATCTACTGTAATGTCAACAACGAGGCCATGTTCATTATCAGCAAATGCATGGAGATGTGTTTTCGATTTAGCCGTAGAGTATGCCAATGCAACAGAAAAGACAATCAATAAAGTTTGCCAGTAAGTACAGTATATTGTAGTGATGTCTCATTATATACAGCAAAACCTGTGTATGTGAATTCCTTAATCAGTCCCATTGCCTGGCATGTTATCAAAACACCTTAATATGAACATCTCACAATTGAATGTGAAAATTTATCATTCCCAGAGGCGTTCACATTACAGGTTTTACTGTATCTTGATATATGTAGCTTCATACCTTGCTTTGCTTTTATACATATATTATATATAAAATAGTCAGTTTATTTATTTGTCTAAAGAGGAATTTGGTTCAATCTAGTTTAGTTATCTTTATAAAGCTGGGTGCATCTTAGACAATTGAACTATACTGGTTATTTATCTTATATTAAATGTAAGATTGTAAGATAAATTTAACCTCTATATAACCATTGACTATGCATATGTATCTACAGAGTAGTTTAATTTATATTCTATAGATAGGCAAGATAATCTATTTTATTAAATCTGTATTAAGTATAAATTATTGTTGTATAAGGGAAATGTGGTCTTTGATTTTATTTTGTAATTTTATTTAGATTCAATTTCTCTTTGTTGTCGCTTATGCACAGTTATCATGGTGATAGCCTTATTCACTCTCCATGCATATCTCCCATATTCCTATAGCACAATACCCTACACTCGCAACTGCGTGGAGGTAAACATGGCTGGCTGTGGACCTCTTCAAACCACTGTAATCAACAGAACACTTGAGATGCTGCTTGCTGAATTGCAGCCTCAATGCCCACCGTGTGAGGCAGAGACTGCATTGAGATGTATACAAAATTTCACCTCTGAAATGTTTGGGATTGTCCCTTGGATTGATGGTGCATGCAAGTAGGTTAATTCTGAAGCATTTTTCTTGATTCACCGATCTTGGCGATTGAAATATATTTTTGATTGAGCGAAAATAGACCTATTTAAACGAATCATTTTGGTATAATTAATTCTTCTAATGATTTGCAATAAGAAATAAACATAGAGGTTCACCTGTAAAGCATGAACGGTTTACCTGTGAGGCATGAGAGGTTTACCTATATGGCATGAGAGGTTTACCGGTATAACATGAGAGGTTTACCTGTATGGCATTAGAGGTTTACCTGTATGGTATGATTGGTTTACCTGTGAGGCATGAGAGGTTTACCTGTGAGGCATGAGAGGTTAACCTGTATGGAGAGGGCATGAGAGGTTTAACTGTATGGAGAGGTTTACCTGTATGAGATGAAAGGTTTACCTGTATGGCATGAGAGGTTTACCTGTATGGAGAGGTTTACCTGTATGACGCGAGAGGTTTACCTGTATGACATGAAGATTTACCTGTATGCATTAGAGGACATGAGAGGTTTACCTGTATTGCATGAGAGGTTTACCTGTATGACATGAGAGGTTTACCTGTATGGCATGAGAGGTTTACCTGTATGACATGAAAGGTTTACCTGTATTGCATGAGAGGTTTACCTGTATGACATGAGAGGTTTACCTGTATGACATGAGAGGTTTACCTGTAAGGCATGAGAGGTTTACCTGTATGACATGAGACGTTTACCTGTATTGCATGAGAGGTTTACCTGTATGACATGAGACGTTTACCTGTATTGCATGAGAGGTTTACCTGTATGACATGAGAGGTTTACCTGTATTGCATGAGAGGTTTACCTGTATGACATGAGAGGTTTACCTGTAAGGCATGAGAGGTTTACCTGTATGACCTGAAAGATTTACCTTTATGGTATGAAAGAGACACCATTTTAGTTCTGATGACAAAAATACCTTATCGCTTGACAGCTTGAAAATCATGCTTATAAACCCTTTTCCATTTTCAGACTTTATTTTGTAGGCCTAATTCATTATTTCATTTTATTATTCATTTTTGATTTTAGATTTAAATGTAGTTTTCTATTTCTTATGGACTAAGGAATTAAAAAATAGATTTCATATTTAATTTTAATGAAGATCAGGAGATAATTTTGATGTTACATCTTAATGTATGTGCTACTGGTCTCGCTCAAACCAAGAGGAAGTAGTTTTTCTAAGTAAGTTGTATAAAGCAAATAAAAACACTATAGCCGTATATAAGTGGAGGTGGAGTTTGTTTATTATTGTAAAAGAACTCTTTGTTGTTGGGTTAATGTTTTGTATGAGGTTTTACAATAATGAATTACCACTTTATTGTCTGAAGTTTATTTGCGTATTGTATTGTATAGTATACAAGCACTCTCAAGGTGAAACCATAAAGAGTTGAATTTTAAAAATCAAGTTATAAACCATCTTGATACTTTATCCTATTTGTACATGTAGCCTGTTGCTTGGTTTATTGATGATTTTAATTTGACAAAGGTAACTATGGCCAGTTGATCATTGTCAGTTTGAAGTATTGTACATGTACATTATATATTGTTTATGAGAAAGGTTGCCTTGATCATTGGTAGTCATTGACATTACTTTGTTTTAATTTTCTGGATATTCATCTGAGACTTAGATATATTAAATGGGTTGTTTTACGTCATCAGTAAGCAAGATAACTGCACTGCTGTATCCGCTTGTTAATATTCACTGGTCAGGCACATAGCCAGGATTTGCCAAGGGGGGGGGGGGGGGTTCACTTTTCAAAAGATTCCAGTGGGGTCACTTTTGACAATTTTGGTTCAAAAATGGCCAAGACCAGTTAAAAAGTGCTTGAATGGTGAAAAACTGCATGATTTTGATCAGGGGATCCATCGGATTAATTTACATCGAGGTAATTCTGTGGGTTTGTTTTTATTACTTAAATGTTGATGAATAAATGTTATAATAGCAAAATTAGCTTTAAAATTTGAATGACCATTTTACCTTGTAGGTCAATAGATGATGTGCGTACCTGTATTAGGGAGTCTACACCTGGTTGTCAAGGCAACCTAAGCAAAGTTTTAAACACTACTGCTGAACTGCAAATAGCTGAGATCATGGACTTCTGTAATGAAACAGGTGAGAGCATTCAGGCCATGCTTTAAGTGAAATAAATATTTTAAAAAAACTATTATTGTTCATGCAAATACTTCTTAAGGAAAACTATTCCTAAATAGTTATTCTGAAAAGGAAGTTGCCCAAATAGTTGTTCTTAAAGGGAAACTACTATGCCTGGTAAATAATTGTTCTTAAAGGGAAACTATGCCTAAATAGTTGTTCTCTTAAAGGGAAACTATGCCTAAATAGTTGTTCTTGAAGGGAAACAACTGCCTTAATATTTATTGATATCCTATACACAATATACAATCCCTCCATAGGTATAACCTCTATTTATATTACTGGAGAAAATATTTTGATATACTGTACATACATGTAATATACATGTACATGTATATCATTTAAACATATATAAACTCCATTAATCATAAATTAAAGTTAAATTCCTGTTTTATTTTTTATTGTATCATTTTATTTTTCAGAAAATTCTACCCTGTCCTACAGAGGTGAGTGAACATTTTCCTCTTCAAAAACAATTCCTTTGTCAACATAGGTTGTGTCATCTACTCAGAAAGGTTCACAAGTTCGAGCTTTAACCTTTTGAATCCCAAAACAACAAATTTTTTTTTCACAAATAAAATGCTCTAGGGACCAAAAGGTTAGATGTATTTTTCAGTAAAATTGCTCAATGGCAAAATCGGAAAAACAAATCCTTTTATTAGTGTGGTATTTAGGAAGTTGTCAAAACTTTCTGGCTAAAATTCAGTTTAAATTTGGTTTTTGGTAAAATTGACCCATTAATAATAGATCAAAGTGTTTAGAATTCAAATATGATTTACAAAAAGGGATATTTCATTTTATGTGCTACTGTTTTCACAGCATTTTCAATTGTGAAAATGTCATGCCGAGAAAGCATTTTAAATATGATAAATAAATTAATATGCATGTTTTTAGGATCCAAATTCATTAGAGTACCATGTAATATTTGTGTGTACATCACAAGATTTGGTAAGAAATCGGGGATTTATGGATTCATGATTTTTCATCGCTTTTTCAGGTTCTATTGGTAATTATTATAATTTTTATTCTTTTTCTTTTCTAAAATATGTCTGATATTAGAACCTTAGACATACGAGGATTAATGGCATTAGTTTTATTACATTAGTATGCTTTAGGACGAAGCTTTCTGTCGTATGAATGGAAATGGGCGATTTCATTTTTAGTTAGTAACATATACTTTTATTTTCAAAGTATGTTCATTTTATATAAACATACATTTTTACAAGTGTATAAAGTTGTTTTGGTGAAAAATAATCAAAATTCAATGAGCATTTTGTCAGCATTCGTATGCATCTAACTTTTGGTTTGTGGTGGTGGATCGAGGTTGCTAATGTGTGTGTTACATATGTACATTACATGTTATGTGACAAGTAACTCTATTTCAGTTTAGGATAGCATTGGTGGATAAGAGGGGGGGGGGGGTGTCCCAGGGGCCTGTTCAGAAGCATGGGACAATGTCTTATAATACTTTGCCTAGTAGAAGCATATACTTAGATCCATATTACACTTTCTTATGACAATTTAGCTAGTGAGCAGTTTATTTTACGATTTTTACTACAAGTAGTGAAGGGTTTTTGTAAAAGTGACAGCCATTGCTGTTCAATGGGATTTGCTCCCCCTTGGCGTTGCCCCTAGTCTAGTTACAGTATAAGTGGTATGCTAGTGTGTAATTTGAAACAGCTTAAACACAGAGTAGGATTGTCCAACTTTTGATTACAGACAATGGACAAATGCCAAAAAGTTTCTGGTTGCAAAAGAATGTTTGGGATGAACCATTTGTAGTCACAAAGTACAAAGGTATATTTAGTATTCTGCAGATAGAATAAATATTACTGCAGTTTGCCAGGTAATATGAGTGTACTTGCACTTGTACTTGTTGCAATTTCCTTATTTGCACCCTGTGATGTACGTGGACCTTTATACAGGACATTATTTATGAACAGCTAGTCACCATTAAAGACAGCTTTTACCCCAGCTTTCCTGGATTTGAACATAATCGGCACTAACTTCTTCCTACGTTCCCTTATCTCATCAGGAAATTGTTGTTGTATTGCGTTATCAGAACCTTTGGGAATTTTTTCGCATTATACATCAGCAGATCTTTGGTATGGGGGTTGTTGAAGGAACACATGGCCTTTTTCACTTGACAATTTTTAATTGTTCAGATTGAAGATTCAATGGTTAAGATTGAAGCTTTCTGTAGTATGCATGGAAATGGGTGGCTCCTTTTGTATATAGATTGAAGCTTTCTGTAGTATGAATGGAAATTGGTGACTCCTTTTGTATATAGATTGAAGCTTTCTGTAGTATGAATGGAAATGGGTGGCTCCTTTTGTATATAGATTGAAGCTTTCTGTAGTATGAATGGAAATTGGTGACTCCTTTTGTATATAGATTGAAGCTTTCTGTAGTATGAATGGAAATGGGTGGCTCCTTTTGTATATAGATTGAAGCTTTCTGTAGTATGAATGGAAATGGGTGGCTCCTTTTGTATAAGATTGAAACTTTCTGTAGTATGAATGGAAATGGGTGGCTCATTTTGTATAAGATTCAAGCTTTCTGTAGTATGAATGGAAATGGGTGGCTCTTTTTGTATAAGATTCAAGCTTTCTGTAGTATGAATGAAAATGGGTGGCTCCTTTTGTATAAGATTCAAGCTTTCTGTAGTATGAATGGAAATTGGTGACTCCTTTTGTATATAGATTGAAGCTTTCTGTAGTATGAATGGAAATGGGTGGCTCCTTTGTATATAGATTGAAGCTTTCTGTAGTATGAATGGAAATTGGTGACTCCTTTTGTATATAGATTGAAGCTTTCTGTAGTATGAATGGAAATGGGTGGCTCCTTTTGTATATAGATTGAAGCTTTCTGTAGTATGAATGGAAATTGGTGACTCCTTTTGTATATAGATTGAAGCTTTCTGTAGTATGAATGGAAATGGGTGGCTCCTTTTGTATATAGATTGAAGCTTTCTGTAGTATGAATGGAAATGGGTGGCTCCTTTTGTATAAGATTGAAACTTTCTGTAGTATGAATGGAAATGGGTGGCTCATTTTGTATAAGATTCAAGCTTTCTGTAGTATGAATGGAAATGGGTGGCTCCTTTTGTATAAGATTCAAGCTTTCTGTAGTATGAATGAAAATGGGTGGCTCCTTTTGTATAAGATTCAAGCTTTCTGTAGTATGAATGGAAATGGGTGGCTCCTTTTGTATAAGATTGAAACTTTCTGAAGTTTGAATGTTCAGTGTGACACCACCATTGAACCTTTATGACATAAGGATCAGAATGTGTGACACCACAATATGTTAGCTTTACGGAGTATGAATGGAATTGTGTGACACCAAATTGTATGTAGAAGCTTTTAAAATTCCCTGAAATCCGCTTCAAAGATTTCCCCAAATAAAGACCCTGTTTTGTCGATGGAAAGCTTTTTGGAACAAGGATTGAATTATGTGACATCACTACGTATTAGAAGCCTTGTGAAGTATAACAGCCATTGTATGACATCACTTGAGCTTGCATTCGATGCTTTTATTATAAAGTATATGGGGGACTTATGTGACATCTTGTAAGGGGATGCTATCTGAAATGAGGATGGAATTGTGTAACACCAAATTACATTTGTTTTAATTTATGAAATAAAACTTGGAATTGTATGACATCACCTTGTCATGACCACATGTTGAAGTATAATCGTGTGACAATGTGAATTAAGAACTATGTGAAGATTATATTCACTGTGTATCTTATTTAAATTATCCATAAACAAATATATTTTTGCAGGTATGCGATGTTACAAGTGTGATGGGGCAGCGAACAATACAATGTGCAACATTTTCATAGAACAGTGCACTTATGTCCCTGATAGACAGGTCAGTGAAAATGAGTCATTATTGAATTCATACCTATCTTGCACCAAATCCTTGTGACCCCCCCCCCTTTGACACTATAGAGATCACAAAAACCTAGTCAGAAAACAGTGATAAAGACACCCCAGGGGTATCTTATAAACTTAAAATCTTGTAAAATTCCCAGGGGTCAGAACCTTAAATTCTACCTCTATAAATGAAGGGCTCTAATAAACTCCAAAATCTCTTTATTTATAGAACTTCTGGATGAATCCTGGAGCCGGGTTCTGAATTTGGAGTATACATTTCATATATTTTTCTTGTACATATATCTTTGCATTATCATCTTGTTTTGTAGTTTTGCTATACCAGTGTAGATGCTGATGAAAATGGACGTTTGACTAAGGGTTGCACGAGTCCCAGTACATGTTGGCCCCCACATGGACAATGTGTGGGGCCTCACTGCAAGCACTGTTGTCAAGGAATGTTGTGCAATGAGCCTGAGAGTGGATACCAGCCCTGCAGAGCAGAGAAGGCGCAACAGTGCACTGAGCAACTCAGCAAAGATATTGATGAATATGGCCATAGACTAGATGAATGGAATATCCTTTGCTGGTAAGTTGAGATGAGAGATGAAAAAATATATGGATGAAATGGACAAAAATGGGGTCTACTACTTGAAAGACTAACTTAAGGAATATTAGACTAAATGAATTCCTATATATTCATGTTGTTCAAAAAAGAATGGATTATTTAGGATTTTAGATTGTACAAATACAAACTGCAATGGGATAGAAAGGAATTCGAAATTGGAATAGAAGATACGATATTTTATAAAACATGGTACAGGGTGAAGGGTGTCCAAAAACAGGACTGCCTTAAAGTTGATTGACTCGGTCAATCTTGCATATTCTCCTTACAATATGACAATTATTCAGTTCATTCATTGTGAATTTTGTTGAGAACGTTGATGATAACCTTTTTTTGGACACCCAGTATTTTATGAAAACTTGAAAATACAATGTTTAGTCTTTTATGATATTTTGCATTTTATGAAAAAATACTATTTTAGGACTTTACATAAATCATAATGTATTGATGAAAGTAGGTAATGTTCATAAATCATAATGTATTGATGAAAGTTAATGTTCATAAATCATAATGTATTGATGAAAGTAGGTAATGTTCATGAATCATAATGTATTGATGAAAGTAGGTAATGTTCATGAATCATAATGTATTGATGAAAGTAGGTAATGTTGTAGTGAAACACTCAGAGTAAGTCAACAGTGTGTTCTGTCTAACCTAACTGGCTGTGAACATCATGTAAGAGGAGTGCAGCTTGAAAAACATTTCGAAGTGGAAAGACGGATTCCTGATGATAAGTGTAACGAGCATGGCATTCAGGTACCTGTTGTTGGAGGTCAGCTGGGATTCCCATCTTTTAGCTCATTATTGTTTGTTACTGCTAGTTTTGCTTCAAGACCCTGGACCCCCCCCCCCATCTTCTCTTCATCCATGTAATGTATTGGAGAAGTTAAGGGAGGGGGTCCACTGTCTTGAAGCAAGACTATTTTACTGCAATCAGGGTGTGTAATAAGCATAGGCCCAGGAACGTGTATAATTAATGCAAAATAGAACTTTGTCAAATCTCGGAGTCCTAAGTAGAAGAGATTTTTTCTGAGGGACTCAGATTTTTTCACATTCACAGGCCTATGGTGATAAACATTTTTTATCAGGTTGTCTTTGGATTAGCCTGGACCAGTTGTTTAATATGGGGTTGATAAATAGATGGCAGTGTAGTTTGACACTGAGATACATATAGACAGACCATACTGCCATCTATCTATGAGTAACTATGTTAAGAGTATCAGTCGTTCCATGGTTAATGCATTGATCAATGACTAATGGAAATGGACCATTGCTTATCATGCACCCTGCCTGTATTGCTATATGTATTGCTATATTTTTTCAGGTATCTTTGGTGGGCTTTGATGTTTTCTTAAGTTTACGAGTATATGGCTTTTTATTGTACATTTCTTATTATATTAATGATGATTTTGCTCGCTTTAACAATATTTTAACTTGTTTTTCTTCTTTCATTTTCCTCCAATCTTACCCCTCCCTATTTTTGTGTGATTAGGAATACAGATATGGGAGATTGATCTGAATTACAGAATTATACGAAACAAACCCTTCTTTATTTCGCTATATCACAGGTGCTAACCAGATCTCAACAAACTCTGACAGGCCTATAGCCAGGATTTGCCAAGGGGGGGTCACTTTTTAAAAAATTCCAGGGGGTCACTTTGGCCAAAATCACTTGAAAAGTGCTCATAATGGTGGAAACCGCATGATTTTGAAAGAATTCTTGGCTGGGGTGGGGGGAGGGGCAAACTCCCCCTGGCTATGGGCCTGACCAAGCATTTTAGGATTCTCGATGAGTTGATCATACCACTGAATCCGCTGATACAAATAGCCCAATGCTATAGATGTGATCCCACCAAGCAAACTCACTATGAGGTCTGGTTTGTTTCCTGTGTCTATTTTCTTCTTTTTATATTGTACACTGTATGTAAATCCCCTTTTCTCTTCCTGTGTATTTTCTTCATTTTATATGTTATGTAAATCCCCTTTTCTTTGCTTGGTTGTAGTGATAAGCTCCCTGAAACAACCAGATGTATTGAGGAGAGTAAGGTTGGGTGTAACAGTGGACAGATTGCTCACATTGACAACACATTTAACGTTGTACGCAGGCAGCTTGGCCCTGATAAGTGCTATTGGATGAGAGTACTCAACCAGGGTCGGAAGGTGGGTGGTTGGGTAGAGGTAGGGGAGGGGAGTAGGGAATATTCTCAATTTTAAATGCTGGTTTGAGATGAAGTAAAATCTGTGTAAGTGGAACCACTTTGATATGTTCCATTTGAAAGGTGTTCAACTTACAGAGGTTAATGGGTAACTGGATCTTGAAAAGTGTTCCAATTATTAGAATGTTCCACTTACAGAGGTGTTCCACTTACAGAGGTTCATTTTACATTGAGTTAATGGGTAACTGGATCTTGAAAAGTGTTTCAATTATTAGGGTGTTCCACTTACATATGTGTTCCACTTACATAGGTGTTCCACTTAGAGGTTAATGGGTAACTGGATCTTGAAAAGTGTTCCAATTATTAGGGTGTTCCACTTACACAGGTGTTCCACTTACAGAGTTTCATTTTACATTGAGTTAATGGGTAACTGGATCTTGAAAAGTGTTTCAATTATTAGGGTGTTCCACTTACACAGGTGTTCCACTTACAGAGGTTCATTTTACATTGAGTTAATGGGTAACTGGATCTTGAAAAGTGTTTCAATTATTAGGGTGTTCCACTTACATATGTGTTCCACTTACATAGGTGTTCCACTTAGAGGTTAATGGGTAACTGGATCTTGAAAAGTGTTCCAATTATTAGGGTGTTCCACTTACACAGGTGTTCCACTTACAGAGTTTCATTTTACATTGAGTTAATGGGTAACTGGATCTTGAAAAGTGTTTCAATTATTAGGGTGTTCCACTTACACAGGTGTTCCACTTACAGAGGTTCATTTTACATTGAGTTATTGGGTAACTGGATCTTGAAAAGTGTTTCAATTATTAGGGTGTTCCACTTACATATGTGTTCCACTTACATAGGTGTTCCACTTAGAGGTTAATGGGTAACTGGATCTTGAAAAGTGTTCCAATTATTAGGGTGTTCCATTTACACAGGTGTTCCACTTACAGAGTTTCATTTTTTTACATTGAGTTAATGGGTAACTTGACTTGTGTTCCACTTACATAGGTGGTCCACTTTACAGATTTTACTGCAACAACCAGTCATCAGGGACAGTTACATAAATATGTTCAGATTTTTGGGGTATAATATAAGCTGCAAAGGATCAAATTTTTAAATTCTTTCTCATTTAACTAATTATATATTCCTTTTTCCCAAACTAGAATATAACTATCATTAACTCATTCAGAATTCATTCCATTGTATAATTCAGTTTCTGCATTATTAAGATAGGAAATAAAACTCAAATGATTATTTATTATCTCAAACATTGTACATGAAAGTCCCAATTCATCAAAAAGGATCTCCTAACCTCTTTATATAATTCTGCAGGTACACAATAATAGCGGCTCAATTGTACTAGATGAAGGTGGCCCTCCAGAGTATCTGAACATGACATTCCAGTGTTCCCCCACCCAGATATGTCAAGCCATCGCCAACGACCATCCCGACTGTCAAGTCATGTTAAATATGAATGTGGAGGACCCAACTGGCGCAGCATCTCCTAAGTGAGTTTACGACCCCAACTTTGTTTTGTCCATAAGTGGTGACATCTTTTTATAGCCTGAAACTTTTTTGTGAACAGTGTTTGTGGTTGGTGTATGGTATCCAGTGGTTGGTAATCGGTGGTTAATGTTTGGTGTCTGTCACAAATGACAGATGGTGACATTTTGCATGTTAATGCCTTGTTCATTACTATAATCCGCGTATGTATTGTTTTCATGGATCATGTACAAATATCGACAGAACTGTTGTTTATCACAATTAAATTTCAAGCGTTGATTTTTTGATTTTTTTCAAAAATTGGGAAATCAGGATTCTATTTTTGTTTGGACAATATTATTCCATTTAGACAGCTCATTTATTTTATCGCTAGTTTTATCATAGACTTCTGTCATTCTATTGGTTCATCCTGTATGATTGTTTTAATTTAAAAATTAAATAAAAAATGAGTTTGATATCATTGGATATAGTCTGCCATATCATTTCTTAATAATACATACATACATGTGATCAGTTTCACCAAATCTTGCCAACTGTGCTTCTTTTAATGATTGAAATGTGATTTTAAATGTTGCCTAATGTTCTTAATCATGCATACCTATATTGCCTACATACCTTAAAAGTTGCATATTTTGAATTTTTACAGATGTATGACATCAGGTGATCCCATTTCTCAGGTGATCATCGGGAAGCACGATTTCCAGTTTCCTGATTCGTCCTGTGTGCTCAGTATCCATGACCACACATACAACAAACCACACTTGATCCCTCTTGTGGCCACCATAGACTTGAAATATGATGGCGACCAGGAGAGGAACTTAAGTTTAAATCTGAATGTGAACCTTGGTGGAAGTGAACATCGCTTTGAGAGTTTAACAATCAAGGTAATGAGTCAACTCTTCAAATATTTGCACTAATTCTACTTGATGCATTTGTAAACTGGTCGATGATCCACCTCCTCATTCTCGTCTTATTGAGAATGTGAATTCTTGGAAATAGGAACAAGACAGTTGATTTTGCATTTTTATGTCATCACCACAAGTGGTGACATCAAAGTGGCATTGTTTGGTGTTCTGCAGTTGGTGGTTGGTGTTCAGCATCTGTTACAAATGGCAGGTGGTTACATTGTGTTAGTTGATGAACCAATCTTTTATCACTCATTCAACTAAATTGAATATTATGCAGAAATTAGGAATACAGTGTATATGGCAGTATTTACTTCCTATACAGCACATTACTTGTATATTACGATAGAAAACAACCTATTGTGATATCAACTATAATACCATACACAATTTATTTCTTTGTAGGTTATAGCCAGGGATATGGATACACAGGCTATGTGCAAATCAATCAATGACCCCCACATAACAACATTTGACAATCAGTGAGTAGGAAACATACATTAGTATTATAAGTAAAAGGAACATAAGTAACACAAGACATAAATAAAATGAATATGTTTTGAAAGAATCTATAAGCTAAAAAGGAATCAGATGGTGGCAAGAATTTTTGTGATACTCATTATTATCTCAATTTTTGGCTAATAATGAATGCTCTTTGAGTCTAGTAAAAATATTATAGCAATAGTATTGATGATTTTGTGAAAAGATAAAGAATTCTCAACTTTTGAATACATGGGTCTAGACATCATCCACTTTAGAAGGAAGAAGCAAATGGATAATGTCTGAGGCCTGCATTCAAAGGATTGAAGATCTTCAGATAATTGTTCATTACATGAAATGGTTTAGAGATAATGTAACCATTTCAACATAATAGATGCTTCAATAATATTACACCATACTACATGTTGACCTCATCTTTGTCTCATTTCAGTTACTACAACAATCATTTAGAGGGCTATTTCACACTTTACAAACACATGGAACTGCCTTATGAGGTGAGTGCCATACTTTGACATTGTACATACATTGTGTTGCTATCCTAAATGTAAATTCTCTTCCTTGACACACATCTTTACATTCTACAGAGCCTTGAGACATGCCTTGACATTGTGCATATACTGCCTTGGCACATGTCTTGACATTGTACAGTTACTGCCTTGACACATGTCTTGACATTGTACATACATTGTCATGACACATGTCTTGACATTCTGCATATACTGCCTTGACACATGCCTTGACATTGTACAGTTTCTGCCTTGACACATGTCTTGACATCGTACATACATTGTCATGACACATGTCTTGACATTGTGCATATACTGCCTTGGGACATGTCTTGACATTGTACAGTCATTGCCTTGACCCATGTCTTGACATTGTACATACATTGTCATGACACATGTCTTGACATTGTACAGTTACTGCCTTGTCACATGTCTTGACATTGTAAATACAGGGCCTTGATATTGTAAATTCCTGTCTTGACACATATCTTGACATTGTACAAACACTGACTTGGCATTGAAAATACATTGCTCTGATATTTTAAATACACTGTAATCATTGATTTTATTATATGCTCTCTTAATCTAAAATATTAGAAAGCATTTAATTGTTTCTTCAGGTACAGGTTATCTACCAACGTTGTACAGCTGGGCAGGATGGTACTTGTAACTGTGCTGTAGCCATACGCTCAGGAGACTCTGTCCTAGTCATAGATAGATGTAGGCGCAATGTCACAGGTTAGCTTTAAACTATTAAAGTTAAAGGTCTCTTGTACATTCAGATGTCATAGCATGATGTATTAGTCAGTACAAAAATAATTCATTCCTTCTGTCCTATGATATAAATTTGGATTCCAACCATTCATTCATTATTGAATTACTGTAAATGTAAAATGATGTGAAGGATTAGACTATATCACATGTTGTGCCAATTTTATGAATGAATAAAGAAATGATAATGAAATACTTGTATATTGTTAGTTTTATTGATGCTCTTTTGTGTATGTTTCTACTGCAGATTGGCGCCGTGAATACAACATAAACATAATGAATGTCACCCTATTCATATACAAAGATCTCACTCCCGCTACAAGGTTCTTTCAGAGAGCTGATGGATTCAGATATGAGGTGAATAGAATATTCGTCTTGTTGAAATGATATACTTAACAGTAGTGGTGGAGAATACAAATTGTGAATTTAGAGATGTTCTGGATGTTTTTATATGAAGAAAATTTTACTTTCCAAAAATATATAATTATTGTTCTAAATAGAGACAAACGAAGGCATAATTAGCAGATAATTGGATCATTAGTAGAGAGTTTTTGAAATGAGTTGCAAAATGTTTCATCACTAATTTTACAAAAAACAACATTTGAAGACCTTTTAACCACATGTATTAGTCAATCTCCATGTTAAATCATATTGGGGATTATTAGTCACCTTCACCTTTCCATTATGTCCACTGCAGGTACTGTTCCCCCATGGTACCCAGGTACGTGTGGCTGTGAATGAACAGCTGATCAATGTCTGGGTAATACCCTCCCCTGCTGACTGGAAGAATACAATGGGTGAGAAAACTACAAATTTTATCGAAGTGTCGCTACAGTACCTTTAACCCTAATTTATTTCAAAATGTATCATACAGATAAAAGAGAGTGAACAATAAGCAACATGAGGATATCCAAATCATGCCCTAATAAAAATCCAAATCATGCCCTAATAAAAATCCAAATCATGCCCTAATAAGCTAATGTAATTAACTATTCCTTCAGGTCTCTGTGGTCTTTACAATGGGAATTCTGCTGATGATCTCATGTTGCCTAATGGCACAATATATTCAGGGGAGGGGGATCAACCAACAGAACAGCCAATGCCATTTTTAGAATCTTGGAGGTGAGTGAGAATTTTAAAAAAGTTTAAAATCATATTATTGCTTATACAATGTTGAGAGATTGACAAGAACAGGGTCCAACAAATACTTTACCGTTACAAACACATGTTTAGACTTCAAAATCTCCCAAAATGTAAAAACTCTAGCTTTCTAAATTAATACCTCACAAACTGCAGTTTTAGGAGGATAAATGCTTTTAATTTTTTTTAGTTTGATTTAAGTTTGATTCTGTATTGTAGAGTGAATGCTACTGATAGAATATTTTCCGGTGCTAAAGAGAGGGATCGATACAGGCCTGAGTCATATTGCGATTGTGCCAAACCTGACATCCATGACCCTAGAGCTAGAAAATGTGGATATGATGTTCTCGTCTCTACGTGTGATATTGATACAGGTATGTAGGATGTATGTCGTAAAAATACTAAGCTTTCCAATAGTACCAATATCAGCTTGTAACTTTTCAAATGTGAATTCACTAATTTATAGAATGGGGTCAAGTTCTCAACTCTATATAAAACTACATGTATATAAAAATTTCATCTTGATTGATTCCAAGCACTAGGCATTTTATACATGATGAATTATGAACTGAGAATAAGAGCATCCCCTGAGAAAGGCATGCAACAGGAATGAGACTTCCATCATTTTTAATCATGGGGATAATGAAAATGATGATGCACTATATATTACAGATGGTGAACTGACTGCTAATATGGACTATGGCAAATACCTTACTATTGTTGACCTACACAAGGAGGATGGTGTACAGAGGTTCAGGAGGCAAGCCATAGAGACCACCGAAGATGGCATTGATGTCGATGAGAACTATAGGCCACCATCAGTACGTCTCAGTTTTATCTCACAGCATTAAATATCAACTGTTACCATGGTTACCTTTTGAAAATGTGATATCAAATGCACTTCAATGTGTTTCTTTTCAAAAATCTCAATTTTCATATTTTAATCATTTTTTCATGCATTTTTGAGACAATTCCATTTTTACTTTTGATTTACCCTCCGATCCTACGTATATAGTATGTTTTATTTGAAAAATATAATTTACATGATTTATATCCACTTCTGGGTTTGAGTTTTTATAAAACCTAGTACATTCCTTTGATATCCATTCCATATTAAAGAATGAAGACAGATGAGGGACAGATTGTCTCAATATGTATGTCATATGTTACAGAGCATTGGTTGGTCAGGAGACTGGAATGAGACCACGGCGCGTGAATTCTGTGATTATTATCTCACCAGGAAATTCCCAATAGGTCAGGCATGTACCAGGGTACCAAATGTCAAGATGGAGGGAGACATTGAGACTTGTGTAGAGGATATAAAGGTTTGGACCTTATTTTTTAGCACAATTTACAATCATTTGTTGAAAAATCATAATTCTGATACTCATTGCATGATCTTTCTTAGAAAAGAAAGCTCCAGATGAAGAGATTGGCCACGGTAGACCATGATGTCGCTTAATTACTATTTACTAGGATATTCTGCAACAATATACAATGTCATGTAGTGTCATTTCTCATGTAACATTTCCATGTCGTAATAACAATTGCTGGTTAAGTGCTGAAATTGGGATTCGAAAATGACTGTATTCACGCCTTCTATAAACTGTAAACAAAGTCAATGCTTCAGCTGGGTTATATTCGAGATCAAATCCTTGGCTCTGTACTAAGTGTTTCGTTCAGTGCACTCATTGGTCAGTTTAGGCCGTTCCACTCTTTTCGCGACCCCCTCTTGTCTGCAAAATAAAAAAGGCAGGGAGAAATTGTCCGGAGCCAAAATTTTCTGATATTTTTTTCCCTCAGAGAAAGGCTACTAGATCCGAATACACCCCTTAGGTCTAGGCACAAAAGCTTTCGAACCCCTCACTCCCTTCGGTCGTTCGGGGTACAGGAAACGTTTGTGCCTAGACCCTGCAGGGTGTATTCGAAACTAGTAGCCCTGCTCTTCGGTCTTTATTTCTTAATTAATTGCGTAAAATTTGCTATTGGCTTGACACCTTCCGGTATACAGTGTATAAAACGTATACTATACAGTACTTATACAGGTTTAGAAATAATACCGTAAATAAAATTTGAAAGAAATTAATTCCTATTTTCATCCATCAGTTAACCAATTCTACAAGCTGGGCCAGTTCTCCACTAGAGTCAATACAGACCAGCTGCAGGGACCAGCTGAGTAAGAACATCACATACGCCAGCACTGATGAGGGCAGAGCCATCAATGAGAACATTGACAGCATGACATGTGTCAATCAATGTAGTGGGCGGGGCAACTGTACAAATGGTAAATGAATAAAACATTTGTCAATCAAGTCATTAAGTCAATAAAGTGTTTAGATTAGCAGGTGTTCACATTTCAAGGTTTTTTAAACAAGTGAGTAAATGGGAGATAATGCATTTGGGACCAAGAAAAGTGTTCACATTGTGAGGTGTTTAGATTAGATACTGTAGGTATTTGGATAAACAAGTTTCACTGTGGATGTATGTGATTACTGTATGTCATCTTAATCTACAATTCCAGGTCAGTGTGAATGTGAGGCAGAATATATAGGTGCAGACTGTAGTATGCCAGAATATCAAGCTCCTATAGTAGCAGTCATACAGTACAGTGGAATATGTGATTATGCCATTGATAATTGCTCAACCATAGAACTCTATGGAAAAAACTTTGTTGACTCTCCAAAACTGACCTGTCATATGGAGTATGTTACAGTAAGTATTATCTGGCATTTGCACATTTTGTTGTTGTTTCCTATTTTGCAATAACAAACCAATTCATGTATTGGCAGATCCTTAGTGCTTACTACCGATTATTTGTGTTCTGAGTCGCCATTGTCATGCTCTACAACTGAGCTAAAATGTCTATTGAATTTTACATTTACTCTGATTCCCCCTTTTCTTTCCAGGTCACCCCTTCAGGCGAAGGTTTTACAAGGACTGGCACTGTAACAACGAGGCAGGCAACTTATATAAATTTCCAAGCAATCCGCTGTGATATCCCCACGTTGTATTCAAGCTTTAAGATACGTGTTAGCAACAATGGAGTGAACGCCAGTAGTCAGGAGCCACTTTTGTTGCTATACAACTCGTCATGTCAATCATGCTCCAATAGGAGTCCATCCCCACAGTGCTCAATATTTGTGAGTATCCACATGTACCGATACCAAGAAATATTATCTTGTTGATCACAGTGATTACCCATTACATTTGATTGGTTGATTGCGTGACATGACATAAAAAATAAAATGTTCTGTTATGTCATAGTTCAATATACATTACATTGTATTCATTTTAGGGAGTTATTATTGAATACAATAGATTGATTACATTCTGATTCATCAGAGTCTAAAGCTTTTGAGAGACCTATTTTAGATGTCATGTGAGGGTAAATTTTCACGCCTTTAGTAAAGTTAATTTCGCATGTTAATATTTTCTCTCTGATTAAATTAAAGACATCTACAGCATTCCAAGGAATAGTAAAGACTTTGGACTGATTAGGTTTCAAATACACTGGAACAAGGATTTATTAGAACCATTAGTCAGGGATATGTAATTGTATTTTCAGGATGATAGATGTGTGATAGATAGCCGTTGTTACCATGGCTACACATTAAACCCTGACAACAGCTGCTTCGGTTGTTACCCACAAAATAAAACATTTTGGTCCCCTGTAGGTAAGTGGTTACAAAGTTTATGCAAAGAGTATTGCATAGTAGTGCAGACCAGAGGCAGATTTTGCCAGGAGGGGGGTTTAAAAACTGGGGTTCCAATTCGACGAAGGATAGGTATCGATATGGTGAACTGAATTTAACAATGTTTTTCTCTTCAACCAATTATTGAAAACATTCTGTAAAAAAACACGGCCCTTTATGTAATGTTGACTGATTGACAACAATTTAATGAGAAAATTATTTATATATATTTTATATAACTGTTTTTGTTAACATTTTTTGCTTTTTAGTGCAATTGTTTTTTGTTCCTTTCTACCAATTCTTGAGAATGAAATAAAATGTCTTTCCAAACCTTGTTGCAACAAAATAGCATATACAACATTTTCTTAGACCTCTCCATATTACAGTTATACAAAGGTTGGTTGATTTTACTAAAAGTATGCAAAAACTTAAAACAAAATCCCCAAAATAGATAAAAATTAAGATAAACATTTTATTTCATTAACAAGATACTTTTTTAAAATCAACCAAACTTTCCTTTGTACAATTACAATATTGAGAGACCTAAACACATTTTGTTTATGTCGTTTTGTTCCAATGAGGTTCGGATAGGTGTTTCATTTCATTCTGAATATATGATACCAAGAACAAAACAAGTGTCTGATGTCTAAAACAATATAGAGAAAAGGATATATATTTCAAATTATAATGTTACCATCCAAAAGATGACCATTAAATTGACGATGTGTAAAAGTTTCAGAATGTTTTGATGACTGGTTTAAGAGAAACGCGTGTTCAAAAAGTTCACCATATCGATACCACTCCTTTAGCCCACAATCACTTTAAAGGTGCTCAAAATGGTGAAAAACGACTTGATTTTGAAAGAATTTTTGGCTTTGGGCCTGAGTGCCAAGAGTATTGTACTGGACTGCAATGAGTGGCCTAATTGTTAAGATTACAATACACATTGTACACATATTATCATAATGCTTACAATATATTGTATGCCACACCTATATTACCTGATAATTTTTAACTCATAGCATATTCTGATTAACAGACTGCATGTTATATTAAACATGTTATACGTAATAAACTGTGCTTTGTTGATATTCCAGATGTCGAGGCTAGGCCCGATTGTCGCGCCCTGCCTTCAACTGTGAGTCCAACTGAAGGTCCAAAGTACCTCTGGCTTGACAAATATCTTCTAATAGGTATATGTGTGGGGGTCACAGTGGTACTGTTCTTAGGAACTCTAGTCATAATCTATGTGGTGAGACAAGGGAAGAGGACCAGGTAGACATCTTTAAAGTCATATACAACATTGTGATCTACTACATATACATACATGTAGTGTTCTCTTCATGATGTTAATTTGTGAAAATTTTTAGTTTTCTTAATTTATCCAAGAAATTTTACAAATTGATCCCGCAATGTCTTAAATCATTTTCCTCAGTCTTGATTTTGTGCTAATGGATGTTTGACAGAATGCAAGATATGAATCAACTGGATCCAGTGATCAATTTCATTTAAAGTTAAATTATTACTCACATAAATAATGCTTAACAGTGTTAATATTGGTAACAATACATTATATAGATAGGCAATGTGTCAAAAAACAATGGCACCCATATCTACAGCAAAAAACTTTATGTTATATAGTGTGTCACATGTCATTTTAAAGAGAATTTAATTCTTGAGTTACCTGAGACATTTCAGCTTTATATCATATAATTTTACAGATTTACAGCTGATTTTTAGTAGTTGGTATGACCACAAGCTGCTGCTTGAACAGCAGCTTATCTGGATAGATATGATTTCAATAAAAATTCAGATGAAGGTGTAGCATTGCATAATCCTCTAAGCACTTTCTTCACATTCTTCAGAATTGCATCCTTACTGTATTTATTTTCAAGAGGCTTTTTGTCCATCAATTCCTATACCCTGTTTTTCAGAACTGAACACATACAGTACGGTATGTTCAGTGCACTTGAAATCTGGGCTAATTCTTTCATATTCCACTTTCTGAAGATTTGACTTTTAACCAGTAACAGAGCAGCAAACAAAGTACCAAAGTAGCAAACTTTGAAACAATGTAGCTTTTTTATCACACTATCGGTGGGATATAGTCGTCATACTGGTCGTGGTCGTGATCGTGGTCGTGATCGTGGTCATGATCGTGATCGTCCCGCTTTTTGTCATCGCCGTTTTAGGAAAACTGCTCATCAGATTTCCTTCAAATTTACACACATGATAGAGGATATAAAAGTACTAGAGCTGATTAACTTTTGGGTGGCCATCTTGTTTTCTGGTGGCCATTTTGAAGGTTTTTCGAAAAATCTTGTCATCGCCATTTTAGGAAAATCGCTCATCGGATTTCCTTCAAATTTACACAAATGATAGAGGATATCAAGTACTAGAGCTGACTAACTTTTGGGCAGCCATCTTGTTTTCTTGTTCTTGAAATTTGTAAACATAATAGGAGAACAGTTTTCCTGGTTCATAGTGTCTGCCTATTTGATGGTTTGATCTCATTCACGTCCTGTGCCTTGTTAATATAAGGTTTTATTAAATGAAATTTGATGAGTAACTCCAGAATTAAATTATCTTTCAAATGAGGTATGACACAATAATGTAACATTTAGGACTTTTTGCTGAAGAGGGGAGTGCCATTGTTTTTGACACCCTGTACATACTCTGTATTATTTTCTAAATTTCAGGGAAAGAAAGATAAACGGTGAAGCTGTATTCCGACGTCGCTCGCGCAATAACAGTATTGACAGTGATGATGTTAACATAACACTACCTTCGACGCAAAGTGCCAAAAACACAACCCTATATCGTGATGGAAAACCTTTGTCTTTCGGAACACTGGAGTATATAAATGAAGCATTTGAACTTGATTCCAATGGAACAGATTCCTTTCCAAGAGGGAGGAGGTTAGATTTTGAGAATGTAGAGTTGAGGTCATCATTCTTGCATCATTGGGCGAGAAGTCCGCATGAGTTTTAGATAGTGTTGTCAGGTAGATGTGCAATAATAAGATATTGTATACATTAGCCTTTGTTGAGCTTTATTGTACATGTACATTGCAATGTAAAATTGTTAAAAAATGAAAAGTGAAACGCACAAAAACATTCAAATGTCCAGTCAAATGGGCACGAAAAATGTTTTGATATACCATGATGATGAATCATCACAACACGAGTTCATGGGTTAAAAAATCTAAATTTTTACTATTATGAGAGGATAGAGTAACAGTGTAATTAGTAAAACACAATGAAACTGGTAATTAAACACAATATTTAAGGCCTTACAAATTAACTGTTTAGCAGTGCAGTCATAAACTACCCTGATGAAATCTCGTTTCTTGTTCCTTTTTATGTCACCACCAAAAGTGTTGACATATTGTTATGTTCTTCAACCTTTTAATGACAGCAGTTGGTGTTTGGGGTTCAGAGTTTGGTGTCTGTAACAAATGACAGATGGTGACATTTTGCATGTTAATGCCTTGTTTGATTTTGTCTTTCTTTCATTTTGACTAGTATATCATGATTTTAGAGTGAAATACCATATAAAAGTATGGCATACCCAGGTACTCCCTGTTAAACAAACAGTTAGGCTGTAGAAGCCTAAAATACAACGTTGCTAAGAATCTGAAGGCAGAATACATTATATATTTTTGCTTCAATAGTTTATATTTTGATTTTGATTTAGGCTACGTTTTGTTGGTTGCAAATCAATGTCCAAAAGTTTTTAGCAGTTTGATACTGCAAAATGAAAATCCCTATGTGCAGTGCAGAACTTCTGTAAAAATGGATGGGTAATGGATGGTAATAATCAGATAATAATATGTGGGGAAAATAAAAATCAAAGCCCTGTACCATTGAATTCAATTATAATTGTTTCAGTTAAACTTGGTGTCATTGGATGAGATGAAAAATCATATACTAACATTGATTTAATTTTTTTTACAATTTTGTACATTATGAAAGAGTATACTGCGATTGATTGAAGACACTGGGGATTTTCATATTTTGTTGATGTAATTTATATTCAATTGTACTATATGTGTATGAATATATAAGGCTAGGATAAATAAGTGAAGTGTTTAGCATATTGTCTCATCCTGTTGTAGCTACATTAAACATGGCGATGCAGACAGAATTTTGTTTTGTAGCCGACATGAATCAATCAAATCTGAGGATATAAGTAAAGAGCCTCATCTTCTAAGTTTTTTGAAAATCAAAATAATGCTAAACATATATCATTTACCCTGGCCTTAGCTCATCTGAAATAAATGTAATAGTTGACCCAGTGAACAGGGTCATTAGAAGTACAGTAGTCTTGCATCAAAACAATTTACCCCCTTTTCAAAAGGAATGGAAAGGGGTGCATATACATGGCCTTGATGCAATACTTACAGCAAAGTTGAGTGTTACTTTATAAACAGGGTGAGCCCCAAAAAGGTAACAAATCTTTATAACTCAGTCACGTTTTGTAAAATGACCATTAAATCACAACCATTTGAAATAGACTAATGAAACTTATGAGAATCAAGGAACATTAAATAAGGTTCGATTGTACCCAATATGAACTAAGACCCATACCAGATGACTGTGTTATTAAGATTAATTTGGGTTACCTTTTTGGCATACCCTGTATATATGCTTATGCTTTAAAAACTGAAATGGTGCTCATACAAATCATTATAGTGTGATTTAAAGGTGGTCTAAGAATATGTAAGATTCAAAAGCATACAGTATTATATGCACAAGGCAGTAAATTGATTTTGAACTGTCACATTGTTACAATGGCATTATACAATACTTGGTAAATTAATTTATTTCTATAGTTTGTGCAGTGTATGTCTGGTGCTCATAGCGCCCTCTTTAAACTATATGAGCTAGTCTAAGAATACAGTTAATCGCCCAATGTGACCGTATGTCAAACACATCCCATACACTGAACAAAATCTACCTGGTATTGAAAATACCTTGAATCATTGGATGGTATTATAATGTATAACTTACATGGTATATTATGAGAAACAATGATGTAATACTATATGGCCTAATTATTATAAATTATGCAATACCTTGATTGAAGTGCCAAAAAATCATTTATAAATTATTTTACTGTAATTTAAATTATTTTTGTGTAATCATTAATTAGAAACACATAATCACCGCAGATATATATCTGAACAGGGATGTTCTTGATGTAGGATGCTATTTATGTGGAATAAATCAAATTTAGGTGCTTTATTGTTAGATGTTTTTAGTGGAAACACATGTATATTGCCAAAACAAAACTCTAATTGTGTTTTAACATGATGATACACTGATTATATCTTTATACAAGGATGACAATTTAGTGTATTTAAATTTATGTTGATATTATGATGTATGTGCTGTTTTATTTCTTGTTTACATAGAAAAACCAAATTAAATGTGATTATTTATTTTTCAAATCATTTTAAATGTGATTTATTTTCAATTTTTGAATAGGAAGTAAAACAGTGTATAAGATACACACCTGATACAGATAAACAGTGTAGAATACTATACTAGAAAACTAGTATTATTGTAGAATACTATACTAGAAAATTAGTATTATTATATGTAGGATACTATACTAGAAAATTAGTATTATTATGTGATATCATTCCAAGTTAAACTGTAAATAAAATTTATTTATTTTTTGAAAATAGTTTTATTTGTTCATTATGTCAGTAATATGTTCGATTGACAGTGGCCATCAGGAGCAATGATTAAGACTCTAGCATACAGTAAAACCTATTTTAATGGAGTAAAATTCACCTTGGGTTTCAACGCCTTTATGGAGATATATTCATGTGAAAATAGCCGCCATTTAAAACTCATTAAAATGGCAACTCATTAGCCAGATTGTCATATCCCCAGATTCCATTCTGAACTTTGGAAAAACAAATTGCGCTTTGGAAGCAGTCACACTCGAATTGATTCCTTACATCAGTGGCGGATCCGGAGGGGGGGCAAACATTTTGAGCCAAAAAAGGCCTTAAGGTCCCAAAAAGTGGGCCTTTTTGGTCATTACTAGGCCTTCTAAGGCCTTATTTTTTAATTTCAGGTCAAATTTTGAAGAAAAAGGGCCTCAAAATTTCAAAATTTTGGCCCACCTTTTGGTTTTAGGGGTCCAAAATTTTTTTCCTTGTTGTTTCCTGGATCCGCCACTGCTTACATCATTGAATAAATTACACCAATCATGAAAATACTGTGGGCAAGATGACTTGCAGCTCAGTATGTGGAGGTGGTGGCTAAGAAAATATTTCGAGACATCAACTGTTATGTAGAATTATCATGTGTATGTTGGTTTTACATTAGGTTTCATTTATAAGGATTGAGTGAAACATTTAAGATACATCCACTATAATTTTCTTTTCCTATTAACAAAATAACATTGCACAATGCACATTGACTTGAACTAGCATGTTTATTTATTGTATGCAATCTATCAGGAGCTACATTGATGCATTTTATTTTTATTACCAAATTTTATGAAATGACTTGTATTCAAAAAACATTTTATTCCATTCATCCTAAATACTGACCAGACCTAATTCATTCAACTCAGTCATCATCCACCCTTTTCCTTTTTTGCCCTTTACTACTATGGTATAAACTCTGTTCATCCTCAGAACGCATTGCATCCTGGGTAATTTCCTCTACTGGTTTAGAAGGTTCTGGTGAACAAGTTCCATCTATTGATCCATCTGATGAGTTAGATTCATTGTCATGACAACCAGTTTCTGAAGTAATCTTCATATCAGCTCCAGAGACATTGACATTCAAATCTTCATAAGATTTATTGTTACAAGGGCCTTCGTGTTTAAATGATGAATTCTCAGATAATGATTTTTCAGAGGATAACTTTTCGGATGATGACTTTTCAGACGGTGTCCCACATAGATTTTGTTGAGGTGATGATTGATGGGATGTTCCTGGCTTAGTCCCATTTAAGTGATTTCTAAGATTTTTGATGGCATTCTGAAGGTCTTCGACTATGTGGTTTGTATGTTGATCTTCTTTTGATTCATCTTTTCTGAAATAAATACAATAACATATTTACATATGTATATGTGAAAAAGTATCTCTGGTTCTGTGAAAAGAAATAAAAAACAAGGATTTAATTGCACTTGCTGATAAAAAATTTATAACAAGTTCAAAAATCAAATAATAATTATCATTTTCAATTGTGAGATCTACATGTTTAAATCGGAATGTTTAAATGGGGAGGAGGTTATATTTGTCCTTGGGAGTGCCGCCTTATTTTTATGACTATTGACAAAGAAATCAAAATCAAAAAGCCATACCTCATAAGAGTGCCAAGTGTAGACTCTAAAAACAAACTGACTTGGTCTATGACACCAACATGATGGCTGTGTGATATTCTCTGTATTGTCTTCCCACTTGATGCTAACTGGAACATAAGATATTATCACACTGCAAACAAAAATGCTTTGTTGTGATTGGTTAAAACCTGTCATATGACTGATTGATAATTCAATATATCAGGTTTTTAATGAAAGCATGTAATGTATTACTAAACAGTAGTGCATGTACATGACAATACTGTACAACAAAAAGTTTGAAATCTGAGAAGCGTATTTTGTGATATCTCATTTTGGACATATGTTGCAAAATTTTAAATCCGATTGCTTATTCTGGGATCTGCTCTGGGAGTTGTACATTAAAATATCATACTATATAAATGTATTACCTGGTCACGAAGTGTGGACAATAAATGTTCATCCGATTCAACTTGTGACTTTGGTCTGTAACACGGCAATACATTTGGCAATACTGATCTCTCTGAAAGTAAAATAAATATGGTTTTCTTGCAATTATCAAAATAAAGGACCCACGGTCCTGTGCTCACAGTGTAGTGGATATGAATAAAATGAATGTGGATATGACTCAATCCGAATAGCAGTTTTAATTTGTGCGGCCAATGTTGACGGACTGACGGATGGACGGACCAACGGACGGATGCCTGGTCGATTCCATAGGTTCACTGTGTGAGCCAATAAAACCTGTGCTGTTCCCAACCCTTTCGTTAACCTAACTGACTCTGGGTAGGGAAATAGATTATACGAGTAGAGAAAATAAACATATTTGTATCACCTGAGTTGCAAAACATTTTACATACATATCTTTTCATATTCCTAAATAAATATACATTGGTAATGACCTTCGATAGCAAGTCGCTACTACAGTCTCAGCTAAGGACGTGCCCAAAGGTTGTTACACATTTATAAATACATGCAACTACATATGTATGTGTTTTTGTTTGATTGTTTGGTGAAGTCAGTTTGCATTCACAAACTACAGTAATTTAAAAGAAAAAACTTCTGCATGTCATATACCTGACAGGTTTAATAACATTGATAAATGTTTCAAGTTTAAAAACAAAAAGATAAAACAATAACTACAATACCATTTCCGTCAATCAAAATGAGACTGGAACTTCCATGGTCATCTGAGTTAGCTATAGATGGAGCTAAGGAACTTCCTGAGTTTATTGCTACATCTCCTGATTGTCGATGTGCCTCTCTCAAAGTAACAATCTTGCAAGAGTCACACATGCAATTCCTAAATTCACACAAATGTTCAGAACCTGCTGCAACCAGTACTCCGTGAAACAGACATTTCCGACAGTTTCTTGGTGACTTGCTTACTTCTACAACGGTAAAGTTTGTTGTCATTGTAGATGCTGTGTACCTCTTATGATGTTCATAGAACTGAGACAGCGAGAGAAATTAGATATAGAGCAAACTTTGCCTGGTCCTTTAATTGTAGTTAAAGGACCAGTGACAGAGGAACTCAGGAGTGCAATTTATTTACAGTAGAGGTCTACTCCTTTCTTCAGGCTTTGCTTTTGTTTGTCATTGACAATGATCTGTTTTCATGTCCAAAGACAATCCATATAAACTTCCTTATTCTAAATCCTTTTTCTTCGACCCTTCAATTGTTTTTAGTTCATTCTGTCAGGTAATTACTTGATATGTTTGGTAAATAAACACAAATATCCACAAATACTGAAATATTCCAGGAATATTATTTTTTTCAATTTATTTTCTATTTGAAACAGCTAATATCTGAAACTTTAGTCGCTTTAGCGAAAATATTATGTCGGAATTATATCGTTCACGAGATTGCTAGCACTTCCTTCACCAAGTCACACGTTACTTTATTTCCACAAACTGTCTCTAGAAGGATGGCGTTGTGTAAATGAACAAAGTTGCACGGAACTTCTGTAATTCTGTTTGCTGTAGAATGAAAACAATGATCTAGAAATATACTGTAACTTTCTATTGCAGCAATACACGTTGTGTTGTACTGTGTTGTGTTGTGTTGTGATAAATTTAATCAATCCAAAGGATCATGTAATGCAAACTTTTTTTTCTCATTTTGACCAGAGAAATATAATAACATATGAAAAGCTTTTCAAGCGCTATGTCAGTAACTTCTGAAAAAAAGTATGATATTTCAGTGCGATTAAGTTGAAAACGACATCCCATGTCATTTTTCCATTGGGAAAGCTCATATTGGTCACACAATTGAAGTCTCAAAATTGATCATTGATCACCATTTTACATTTGATAAACGTTTAGTTCTATACTTGAGTATTGTATTTATGCAATGAAAAAAGTTTTTTCTTTTTTAATGAGGAAAACACTAAGAAAAACCTTTCAAAGTTGCCTTATTGGCTACGTTCATGTATTATTTAAGGAGACGTTTTAGTCATGTTTAACATTTGACTTTTGAGGGAAAATTATAGCCTTCAAACTGAGCTATAAGCTATAGAGCCGGGAGAGCCCTATAGCTACATGTATAAGCCGGTGTAATGCCCCACACACACCCATGGGGAATAAGCCCCCCCCCCTCTCTAATACTCTCTGTGCTAATTTAATATAGGCTGCAGTATATAAGAGGGAGGGGTGACTTACTCCCCATACACACCCTGCACCACGGACCTCTGCCAGAAAAGCTCCTCTGTGTCTAGGCTCAATAAATATACTTTGAGCCTACTACCAACAGGGGCTGGATCTGGCTCCGGATCTTTGCCCTGCACTTATACCGTGACACCCCGCGTGACACCTCCCAAAGTATAAACCAAGTATACACCTCAATCAAAGCACCTCAATCTAATCTCAAGTTGACTTCAGTTTCTTTTTAATTGATAGATGTCACTACTAGATACTAAAATAGGACCCCATAAATCTGGTTGATATATCCTATCACCCCTTTTAGAATATTTCTTTTTTATTGAAAAATGTTTTCAAGCTTTTCATCCAACTGAATAAATAAAGAACCAGGTGACTGATGATCAGGTTTTGGAAGCTATTGATTCTGTTCTGGTAATGGAAACTGAATGAACATAAATTACACTTCAAGTTCTAGACGGTAGAATTGACTCATCACCCCTACTAATGGACGATGCTACTGCGGTAATCCAAAACATCGGTGATTTGCTGCAGAATTTTGCTGTCTTTCTCTCGGATTTTATGCCTGAAATGAGATATAATCGCTAAAAATTGGATGCATATATACATTTAAGTGGACAGGGTAACCATTTGACTTAAACGTTGCGTTTAAATCTATTCGAAAGAGACGAAAATGGGTGAGTACAATTTCATTGATTTTTTCGAAAAATGAATATTTTTGTGAGTGGTGATCACAGAAAATCCCATACAGCATGACGAAATGTCAAATGAATATGCGTGTAAAGTACAGAGGTTATGACATAATATTGAACCGTAAGATGTTAGGGTTAATACAGAATAAGTTTTGTTTTAAATGATTCAGTATTCGAATTCAATATGGCGCCAGGCAAGTGCTTGGCATTGCAGGATGAGTTCTGAGTTCATAGAATTCCTGAAATTCTTCCTCCCAGATTCTGTGAGGTTGTTATACTGTAGTTCCAGATTGAGTGAAGTTACTATATCAAATTATTCCAGATTCCAGAGCTACACTCTGAGGTCATCACCAAAATAAACTGACCATTACAAGGTCAATGGTGCTTCAATAACTCACAGCTCATAAAGCTGATATGTTTAGCCATTACTTCGACATAATGATAATCACTTTCATCAACCAATATTGTCCCATATCATAAAAGTGATGACAACTTTGAGAATGTGTTATCAAAGCACAATTGATTTTTGTTCAATTAGAATAGAGCCAAGAGAACATGAGGATAATATATAATGAGGATAATTGATATAACATTGACATTGTGTCTTTCCTCCTGTTCATCATTGGTCCAAGGGTATTTCAATATTTTTTCCATAGCTGGGATAGAACTGAAGCCTGGTCTCCTTTTGTGCTTGAGATGGACTGTCAGTTGTGGAAATAGAGATAGGAGACAGGAGCAAAATCTGGCACATCTGTCATAAAGATTGACAACTTTCCTTCCTAATGCAAAGGCTATAGACTGAAAGGGCTTGTGGTAGAATTAAGACTTCCCATCAGAAGATGCTTTTCAGTAGCCCCTGTCTTTTTATACGAACTGCAAACGTATCTTAGATTGCAGGGTATTTTCTGTGTTCATGTACCTTGAATATGTCTTATTTACTACATTGCTCAAGGATAACTACAAATCATTTAGGAGATTAGATATTACATATACTGTCTGCTGCACATCTCAGTAATAATCAGCTTAAATCTAATTAAGTCATTCCATAGTGATTTCCTTTGGGGAAGCTTATACAATCAGTAATCAGTGTGTATATGTGTATTATGTGTACTGTTCTCCATTAGTAATATATAGATAATATAGAGGCATGTGTAATCAGGAACTAGTAGCATATAGTTGGCTAAGTGGTAATCCTAATCATATGATACACATGTGAACTTGTATATTGGCATTTTTATATTTTTGGGTTTGTTTACATTCTATGTATCATCAGATTTCAATAATAAAGTATGTTAGTTTAAGTTGCTTCTTGTTAAGCATCTGAACAGTACTCTTGTAAAAGCTGTATATATTTAGAACAGAGGGTAATCTATTTACAGATAAATAAGAGATAATGAACTAGTGCTAAATATATACATCACATACTATTTGACTACTGGTAGTTAAACTGACATTCTCTGCTCCCTGTTTTTGAGAACATTGTGGTTTTTGCCATTACCATTTATACAGAATTGTGGTTTTGATATTTTAAGGATTAAGGAGCTGAATTACCCCCCCCCCCTCCCCCTGCTCTCGATTGATGGAAGTATTTCCATTCATTGGTTCATTGTTATGTTACAAAATATAGAATGTAGAGAAGTGTATTTGATTTTCATTATGAGGAGCAATAGCCAACGCCATTAATATAAATTAGGTTATGTTTAACAGAACTCTACTTCTGTCCAGATTATGTGGAGTAATGTATTGGTATAGGCGTTACACAATGTACTTACAGAAGCGTGGAAGCTGAAATTGATTTTTGCATTCCTACGTTGAAATTGATTTTTGCAATTTTACTTTTTGTATTTTTATGATTATAGCTATTTTCAGCATTATATTTTTGTCTCTTCATCTGTCGAATGTTAGGAAATTTGCTGTTTCTTCTTTTATTCATTTTTGATCAGTTTAATCAGTTTAAAGGAGAAATGTTTAGCTTTCAGGGCTATAGTGATTGGATTCAGAGATCTCTCTTTTAGGCACTGTACCTCAGGAGATTTTGACATTGTGAAAATAAAGCGTTCATTTTACTGATTTTTACTTCCAACAGAGCTGCAATCAGAATCCAGATCTAAGATTGCCATGGCATACCATGATGAACAAAATACCAGATCTCAAATTTACCTTATGAAGGGAAGAATTTTATAAGGAAGGAATTTATAAACATATTACTTGCTAGCTTTCTGTCAAATATGATGCCAAGATGTCTATGTGAAACAGATACTTTTACTAGTTGCTATTATCACGTTGCTTGGGGGAGGATCATTAGATATTGGGAAGCTCTTTTCATATTGATTCTTTGGAGTCCATCCTGAGATAGTTAAGGTGTGGACTGTTGAACCCAAAATGAAATCAGTAAACAATGAGTATAAAAATAGAGTATCAATCAATAGTTGTAGATTTTTATTTTATTTATTTATTTATTGATATTGGGATCACTTTTGACACAGGGAACACCTGGGTGTACATGGTTCTTTCAGACACTGGTTCAGCCCCTAGAAAATCACTGTACCTCATGAGTATTGGGTTTCTAGGTCAGTAACTGCCAAGAATCTAGAATTCCAACATGTTTCTAGTGACTCAATCCTGAGAAACTCTCTGAAATTCTTTAGGAGCCCTAAAGTCAATTAATTTATATCTCACTTTCATTTTTATTTTGGTGGTATATGGCCAGTTCCATAAGAAATAGACCCCTTCCTCTACCACACTTTGAAAAAACTATCTGAACGGCATTGTGGGATCCACAGCCTTTATAATCCTTTTGGAATAGTTCTCTCAAAAGCGTTAGGTAAAGAGGGACTCTGATAAATCAGAATGTCTAAACGGTACTTCTTTGAAAACTCCAGGTCTTCATTGTGTAGATGTTAAATGTTTCTGAAAGACGTACCCAAGGGCGTTGCCATTCACTTCAGGTTGGCATTATGACATCATTTCCCTCAGTAAATGTTCCCAGTACTGAGTAACTCAGTTACAGTACTTCATGTTCACATAAGAAACACTTAAATCTGGATTCTTCTGTTGTTATGGTGTAAATATCATTGCCATGGTAACTAAGATGGAATCATAAAAATAAATCACCAGCATCTTGTGGTTAGTAGCCTACCATCAGGAAATCTC